CTAGCTATAATACGCTAGATATTCTAATACCTATACTAAAACTTATATCTAATTAATAATATTTATATATACTATTACTTTTCCAGGCTACGCTAGCTACACCTACTACTAGAGATACTATTATATAATTTTAAGTATAATTTATTTATATAGTCTATATCTAACTTGTACCAGCACCTCTGGTTACTAAATTTAATATTAGATATTTTAATAATATATATTTTTCTAGATTATCTATATACTATCTAACTTATATTAAATTTATTTAAAAAACTATTCTTCCTTGTTAAGCAGCAGTATTATAATTAAATAAAGTATTTATATTTTTACTAATATTAAATAGCTAAGTTAATATATAACTAGCTAAAAGCTGCTTAGATTATCTAGTATTATATAATACTTATTTATTATAATATAATCCAGCCGTTGTTATACCCAGAGTTGGTTTATAAATAAATAAAAATTAGGGTACTTATTTAACTTAGAAGTTATTAAAATAATAGATATATTATTTAGTAAGTAATAGCTATCTTATACTATATAAATAATACCTAGCTATTAATACTACTATTAAAAATTTTATTAAAATAATAGTAATAGTACTATTATAATAATTATCCCACTAGACTTAAGTTATATTAATAGTATGAAGAGCATATTCTTACTACTATCCGTAGATATTATTATTATTATAGGATTTTTATTATTTTAGATTATCTATAGTACTGTATTTTATATTTTTTATAATTAAAAATTTATTTATTCTATTATTTCCTATACTGCTTATATTATGTCTACTTATTATAATTAGTACTACTATTATATCTAATATATTTTAATTATTTTCTCTTATAATATCTATTTGCGCCTGCTTAATATTAAGAAAAGCTTAAAAATTTATATTAATATAAATCTTAAGAAATAATACTAATCCATACTACTTATCTAAAATAGTATTTATTAATATACTATTATCTTTATTATTTTTATAACTTACTGTCTATATACCAGCCTTATTATATATGATAAATAAGCCACTTAGAAATCTATAATATAGTTTATTTATTAGATAACATCTATGTAATCTTTATTATTAGTATTAATATTAATTAGTTCTATTTTCTACTTCTCTTACTGGTTGTGCCGGAACTAGTTATTAAATTATAAAAACTAATAATTAATTTTTATAATTAGATTCTAGTATACTAGAATTATAATATTTTAATAATTAAATTATATTTAGATTTCTTACTTTAAAACTTACTAGAATTAATTAAATAACTACTTACAGCCAGTACCAGGATCCAGTTTCTAGAGATATAAAATAATAGACTAGAAAATCTTATCTATATATAATTATTTATTTTATAATAAGATTCCAGCAGTCTTAAGTTATTATATAAATAGAAAAATAAATTAAAAATAATAAACTAGTAATTTTCTAATCTCTTACAACAGATATTAATAAATAATTTTAATATTATTATTTATATAAAATCTTTTATAATATATATTTACTAATATTATTATTCTATTTTTAATATATATATTACACTATCAGTTCTAATCTGTATTGATATACTATAAATTTAGTAATTCAAAGATCTAAATAAACTAGCTAGTTATAATATATATAAGTATTATAAGCTTCTCCTTAAACTAGGCTATCTACTGAAAATATATATAGATTTTAATAGAATAAAAATAATCTATCCAGATAAACTCACACTGGAGATATAGATTATTTTATATTTAATTAATTAATTACTACTATTCCTCTACCAGCTATAGTATATATAAATTATATAAAAAATTCTAGCCTAGTATATTTTACACTATATTATTATATAATTTCTACTATAAGATTATAGATGGGTTTTTTATATAAAATAGATAATATAAAATATTCTTTATTATTTCTATTAGCCCGTGCATAAATCCCTAGAATTTATTTATAATAAATTAGATATTCTTATATAAGATTTTATTAACTTTAATCTAGGCTATATATTCTAGTACTATATTATTATAGTAGACCTTTAATCTATATATATACTAGTTAAAAAAATCTATATTAGTCTATATATGTCCTACACTATAAAGCTCTAGATTATTTATTTAAAGTTTTTTTAAAATATGCGGTGACTGCTTATATGTAATAAGAATATTAATAAATTATAAATAAAAATACTATAAATAAAATAAATAAATAATATAAAACCCTCACTAGATAGTTTCAGTAATAAGACTATTTTTAAATAATCTAGATCCCACCCGCAGCTAACAAAATTATAATTATTAGTAGATAGTAAGAACTAGTAAACTTATTATATAAATTATTATTAATAAAAAAATAAGCTAGAATTATAAAAAATAAATATATTTATATATATCTAATCTAAGTTCTCCAGCGCGTTGTTAGTACTAGTAAATATCTATAAAATATTTATTTAATATTTCTATTATAAAGTAATAATCTGAGGCGCGGCTTAATCTAACTAAAATATCTTTTATATTATAAAGAACTACGTGATCTTAATTATACTAGATAGAATTAGAAAATAATTATTATATATATACTATCTATTCTCACTGCGGCTTAAAACAGTTATAGTATATATTAATATATTTTTATACTTATAGTTTTATTAATATTAATTAAGTAACTCTATATAAAACTTTAAATATATTTATTTTTATTATATTATTAACTATAAGTGTTATTTATTATTAATAATTTTTTCTATATTATTTACTTGTACTACTTACTAGAGTATATATTATTTCTAGTATTATTATAATATAAAATTATAAAATAGATTTATCTAACTATAAGATATTTATATTTAAATAAAAAAAATTAAGATTTACTACTAAAAATATACGTGCTTTATAATATTATTTTTATTTATATATTCTAGTAGTGGTCGGTACAGTAGCTCTATTTATTATATATAAATTATCTCTATCTAGATTATTATATTATAGTACTGTACTATTTACTAGTTTTTTTATATAATTTAATTAATTATCTACTAGAGTATCTAGATAATCTTTTCTATAAGATTATTAATCTTAGTAAATAGGTACCGGGCGCATTGCTGTAACTATAGTAAAAATATCTTATTATTAAAAATATTTATATTCTATAAAATAATCTATTAAAAATTTTATATTATATTAATAGGGTCTGGAGGCATTATATTATATAGAATATTATAAAAATAAATATTTTATAAATATATTATCCACTATATCATATATAACTAGAGATTAGTATTAATAATTAATTTATACTAGATTAATATCTAGATTTATTTATATTTTAATTTCTTCTATACTTAGATAATAATATTAATAATTTATTATATTTAGCTGGGTACTAATACAGGAGACTATTAGCTATTAAAAAATTAAATATAAATATAATATAATTCTACACAGGTAAAGAAGAATTTTTAATAAAAAACTTACTTAAATCCTTTCTAAATATTACTGTCTAGTATAGTTTTTAAAGATATTATAGCTTACTCTAGATTTATATATTAGAACTATTAATAAATAAGCTGCCAGTATTTTTATATAGATTTTATATTAAATACTAGATACTAGTAGATAAAAAAATCACGCTGATATAGTATTTTATTAGAATAATAGAAAATAATTAGAAAAGACTCATCTAGTATCTAGAAAATCTATATATTTTAATAATTCAATATTAGACTAAGCTATTAATAAATTACTTATACTATCTATCTCATAGTCTAATAATCTAGCTAGTATTAATATTTTAAATAAATTTCTATCTTTACAAGCTATATACTATACTAATACTAGTAATATATTATTACCTATAAATAGGAAATAATTTTAAACAATTATTCCTCCATAAATAAGATAATATAGTATAATAGATAATTAGAAAAATATTATATAAGTTCTAAGATACATATACAGATCCAATCTAAAAAATAGGAATTAGATAATAATTAGTAATATAATAGAATATATTATATTCTAGTAAAATCCTGTTAAATCCTAATAAAATCGTAATAAGAGTTATTAACTTTAATTAACCCGTTTACAATATAAAGAGTAATTATTAAAGTCAAACTTTAAAAACTTACAGTTAAATAGTGAAGCTATTTACTATCAAATTTTTAAGTCTCTGTGATCTATGGTTCGTGAAAATACTATACTTTAAAAATTAATTCTATTATACTCCATGCTAAGACTTTTCTCCCATATAAACTACTTACACCCTAATTCCGCCGCATATGCGATCCCCCAACCCCAGTGGGTTAGATTTATATTTTAGTAGAAAAATCTAGAGTTTTATTTATACATATATAATGAAGACTATCTCTCCTTGTATATAAACTTTCTTTTTTTAGATTTATTACTTTCTAATAAATTGATATAATATCTCTACTTTCTTATTTATTGATTATAGGACTGTTTTTGGTTTGTTACAGCATTTCCATTGTCTGCGTGTTGATTTGCAACCCCTAGATCCTCCTGCTCGACGAGGTGACTGTGACGGCAGCTCTGTTTAGAAGCATGTGATTATATTTATTTCATTTATTTTACTATTGTTTACTATTTTTTTCTTCAAGCGAGTATCTATAATACTTCTTGTTTTCCTTTTTTCCTTCTTACGCTTAAAGTTCTAGAGTAGTTAGCACCAATACGACCTCATTTTGTTATGTTAAACGGCCGTCTCAGCGACGAGCTCTCTGGATTCGGAGAGCGAGAGACGGGTCCAAGCGGCGTTGGAGCGAGCGGCCCAGGGACGCACCATGATTGCAGTGGCGCATCGATTGGCCACCGTACAAAACGCGGATGTCATCTTTGGGCTCGGGGAGGGGGGACAGGGGTTGGAACAGGGCAGCCATCGCGAGCTGCTGGGACGTTGGGGGGTCTATTATCAAATGGTAGGTTGGGGAAAACCACATAGCGTCTGATTCTCGAACTCGAGTGATCCGCTAATGAGATGAACACAGTGCCAGAGCCAGGCGCTCGATCAATCGTGGTGGACGGCTGAAGCAGGGCGGATTCAGGGTCGCGACCGTGGAAGTCGCCTACGTGAGTCGATGGATACCACATCCAGCAAACCTGGTACATTGCCCATTTAACGACCGGGTCGGAGTAGAGAACCCCTCGGGGTGAGGGTGATCATCGCGAAGGATGAGGCCCTTCCATGGCTGATAGACACCAACTTGGGCCGGGAACAATGGCAGGCCGGGAAGACCTCAGCATCTACAAGCCCACAGAGCGGCCTTGGGAATGGCGAGGAAAAGTACACAGCTAGCAGAGTAACACCTACACGTTTGAGATTAAACCATGGGGACCGAGCATCGTCTCGAGTTTCAGTCATCTGGGATACACGCGGTGGCGGCCACAATCCCGTCCGTCTTACTCGTTCTCCTCCACTCCAATCACCGTCGACTTGAACTTCCGGGCCGGGGTCTTGCGGTTGAACAAGATGTCGGTCTCCCGGTACGAGCGACCCTTGAGCTCGGGCAGGAAGAAGAAGGCCATGATCCAGCAGAAGGTGGCGGTCCCGCCCCAGACATAGCCGCACTTGCCCGCGAGGTTCCAGCCGGTCGTGTTCAGCATCCGCGACGACAGATAGATCATGGGAATTTCCGCCACGTAGTAGGCGGCCCGACCGACGGCGGTGCTCAGCGCGCGGAGGCGCACGGAGGAGGTCTCGGAGATGATGGTGTAGGAGATGGGACCCTGGGTGCCCGCAAACACGAAGGAGATGATGACGCCCAGACACGCCTGGGCATAGTTCGTCGCCGACGTCTGCGTCACGGAGGCGCAGATGCCCAGGATAAAGAGCAGGGTGACGTTGGTGGCCGTGCCCCAGAGGTAGATGGTGCGACGGCCGAACCAAGCGCTCAGAAACCAGGAGCCGCCATTGGCCACAAATTGCAGACACGAGTTGATCAGATTGAGCTCGAATGCCTTGTTGGTCGAGATGCCAGCCTCTACCGCAGGGTCAGTCAGTCCGTTCTAGGGTATCAGGGGTCCACGCGGCGCGACTCACGCTCGAAGAAGTAGGTGGCCTGGTTGGCAATCAGATTGCCCGCAAAGTTCTGGGAGGCGTAGACCAAGCAGGTGATGATCGTGCGCCGCAAGTCCGTCCCCTTCAACAGATCGAGGAGCGTCGGGGAGCCCCCCATCTCCGCTTCGATCTGGATGGTGCGCTCCATCATGGCCAGCGTCTGCTGGGCCTGTTCCGGAGATTTGGTGCCGAGGCGCTGGATGGAGCGAATGGCCTCCTTCTTGCGGCCGCGCCGGATCAGCCACCACGGCGATTCGGGGGCGAGAAAGACGAGGATCAAGAGGGGAGTCTGGATTCGTTAGCATGGAAGAGGCAGATGTCTCGAGACGGCGAGGCTCACGGGGAAGATCCACTGCAAGGCGAGAGGGGCGCGCCACGCCCACTGGTCGTTGCGCCCATTGTAGCCATAACTGGCGGCCGCGACAATGATGGAACCGATCGACCAACTCATCTGCAGTGTGGCGGTGCAGGCACCGCGGAGGGGCAGGGGCACGATCTCACTGGCATAGGCGGGGGAATTGGCGATGAAGAATCCCCAGGGGACACCTTCGAAGGCTTGCCCGATCACCAGGACCGTGAGGGACTCGGCCTAGAGGAATCCATCTCGTCAGCCGATGCGCTCCACTGCACGGGGCCAGGGACAACTCACGAAAAAGGAAATAAAGATGGCGCCATTCATCATCATCAGGGCCAGGATGGTGGTCCAGCGGTAGCCCAGTCGGCTGGTGATGGGACCGGCCAGAAACACGCCGATGAAGGCACCACATTGGCCCGACTGGAAGAGCGCACTCTGCCAGCGCGTCGGGACGACGTATTCGGTTCCGCTGACATGGACCCCGTAGCGCTTTTGGAAGGCCTTCAGGGCGACGAAATTGGTGTTCAGAAACATGTCGAACGATTCCATGACCTGCTGGGGATCAGTGGCGAGTCCCCCGCGCTACTCCCAACGATCCACTCACAATGGTAAAGCACATGATGAAGGCCCATAAGCAGGCCCAGGGGTGCTTCTTGGCCGCTTCCCACACGCCCAATTCATGCTCGCGATTCTCCCCATCGAAGGCCTCGTGCATCAGATCCGGGTCGGCCAAGGCCTCGGAATGGTGCACGTCGACCTTCTCATCGCCAGAAAACTCCTCCTTGGGGGGGGCGGTTTCCGAAGACATGTTGAAATTTGCTCGCCGTGTCAGCGGGGAATGCAAAGGGGGTTACAGCAACCGACCCGGAAGAAATGGGGGTGGTTCGCGTCTTATATCCTGCCGGCCTCCGTGCGTCTAGGGCTGGCGCCGCTTTGCGGTCAGGGGGGGGGGGGGGGGAACGCGAAGTGGTGCCGCCGGGCTTTTCCCACCAGCAGCAGCAGCAGCAGCAGCAGCAGGAGGAGGAGGAGGAAGGCGAGGCAATTACCCGAAGCTCGGCCTGGGGTCGCACCAATGGCACCTGGGGTTGCACAGAGAAAAATACCCCATTGGCCTGGAAGCTTAGCTGGGACGCGACCATCGGGTGATCCCAGCCTGGTGGGTGTTTAAGCAGCCTGCTCGTGACTCAAGGACTGGCGGACCACGTGTCGGGCGAGCGAGGAGGCGGCGATAGATAGATTGCACATGGCCGTCCCCTGCGATGGTTCCATTGGGGGCGGTGGATCCTTCCTAGGGATGCGGGGCCCCGGGACGAGACGACTCTTAGTACTACTTAGCTGTCGGGCGGTGCTTGATCCTGGATGGACTACGATCCCTGGCCGTTGGGCGCGCACATCCCCCTCGATGTATCCACTGAGGACGCCCCGCGCGCTCGAGCTGGGGTAAAAGGGGGTTACGTCCAACGGCTGGTTTTCGTCCATCGCATTCGTCCACGGCATGTAGAATTAATTTGTTGCGTGCAGCCGAAGCCGTGGCTCTCTTCCTTGGGCGTGAAACTCGTCCGACGCAGCGCAGGGAGGTGGTTGGTGGAATCTGGCTCATGCAGTGTGAATCCTGGCCGCGCTGGGGGACCGCGTCGGGCGCTGGTGATTGGCCCCCTTGGGCCGGCGCAAAAAGCTTTTGATATGCAAGCCGAAGCCAGTCAGAGTCACTGGGTCGGATGACGCGAGCCCCTGGAGTCTAGGCTTCCCCAGACGCTGTCCCGGTCGAGGAGCCTGCCGTGATGGGCCATGGAGGTGAATTACTTGCACCATCACTACCATCACTACCACCACTACCAGCAGCAGCAGCATTATCATTACTCTTAATGATCTCCATTCACCTCCAGTGGGTGTCCAACAGCCTCGGCTTGGGTGGCCACCGGGTGGAGGGCAGCGGGAAATTGCGGACGCGGGCGGTGCTGCTGTTTGTGGACTAGCGGGAACGCCCTCCAGATTGACGAGTCCGGGGAATTGAGGGGAAGACTAAGACTCCTACTTACGACCTAGTCGGCTAGTCCTATCTTTCTCTAGTCACTGGTCATAGGATCTAACCGAGGGGTCCCCCCCGGAGTGATTGGTTCCCCCGGCAGACGCCACCAACCTGCCTGGCCAACCATCGCCATCCTGCCCAAGGACCGTGCCATTCCCGTTCAGTCAGGGGAAAAGGTATATCCCCCGCTGAATGGCTCGCCAAACGAGCGAGCGGTCTCGTAGAGCCGGGATGAGGTCTTGATCGGGGCCCGCTGGCCGAGGTCCAAGCCCCAGCAGCCGCTCAATCAACTGATACGAGCTGACTGGCCCGAAGGAATCGTGGCGCTGCCCATGAGGTTGCACTGAGGTCTCCGACCGCGCGACATGCTCCACGGATGTCGCTTCTCGATGGTGAGGATGACGGCATAGGAGGAATACCCCGGCTTGCATCCCCCTTAGCCGATAAGTGATGGCTGGCTTGCCCGATCCCAACCCCCGGCGCCGATTCTCCACCCATCAGGGTGCATGACCCTCATCGCGGTCGTGGGAATCTTGCAATGCCTCCCTTCACCTCCGGAGAGTCAGAGTCCTTGTTTTTCAAATAGAAAGCGTGCTGTAGCAAGAGGTCGAGGAGATGGTTTCACGAAAGCTATGCGTTGCATCAAATAACTGCCGATAGAACCGTACGACGGGAGCAGAAAGGTAGGGCTCTGGGAGATATATACCAGTGGTACCTGGAAGATACAAAGGCCCCGCCATCTCAGTATGTTATCTCTCTCTCTGCAAAGCATCACCGTCCTGCTAGTCCAATCATGCAAGCTGGGAGAAGATCATGTTCGATACCACGGGCGATCAGGTCAGGACAGCCGGAATGGCCGTCTGTTCCACGAGGTCTCACGACTGATCTCGTCAATGACAGCGTTGAACATGATGACTCGAGCGGCATCTCTCATCCGTCGGGCCAAAGCCGTTAGTTAGCACCTCGGGTAGGCTTCCGAGGAGGCGTCCAGCTGGTGGGCGGGCTTGGAGCCGCGGGTCGACAGACTACCACACCTCCGACCGATGCCACGGGTTTGGCGTTTCATAAAGGTCGTCGGTTCGTACTCAACCAGCGCCGTCGCGGTTCTCTCGGTCTCGGACGTGTCGTCCTATTGACATTCTAGAAGATCCCGCCCGCAAAACATCCAGCGTCCCAGCCCTAGGCCTCACGCTGATTCGTCACATGTGCGTTGGTCGTGAATCTGCGCAATCAAAAGTCGCTGCCCTCGAAGCGCTGGAGCGGGCGACAAAGCATGTGTATAGTCACCTCGATTCGGACAGTTATTTCTCGGCTATATGGCGAAATGCGACGGCGGATGATGGTTTTTATCCTCCAGCTGTAGCATGCTTCGAGGTTAACTGCGGCCTCGGACTACAATGGCCCGGCTTGGGCATTTAGTTATCTACCTTTGATCGGCTAGAGAAAAGTTGAACAATCCGCTGACAGCCGACAGCCCGTGTCCCATCGTGCCATTCCGTGCACCCTGAATGTCACCAATAGAATTTTGCTTGACTCTGACACCCGGCAGGTCCGCAGGTCGCTATAAAGTGAAAGCCCTAAGAGCTTGGCGCATGTGTTACGATGCTAGACGAGGAAAGTCGCAAGGTAAGTCAGAGTAACTGTCAAGATTGATGATAACCCTAGGCGTTCCCTATCCCAGCTCCTGGTAATCGACCTTGTGGGGAGAATTTGATATCCGTACACCATCCTGCACTACCTTCTACCCCTGGGAGCATCTAGTGGCCTTCATTGGCAAGGGGGGAGATGAAGCAGCACACATCTTCTTTAACTCCAAGTACCCTCGATGGTCAATTTGATACGGCATCAAACATGCCATAACAATAAGTGTCGGGAAATTCCCTATTCCGCAGCGCCAAGGAGATAAGATGAAGTATTCGGAAATTGTAAAACTTTCATCAATGCCATTCTAATAGGTTCTATATCCATCCCAGCCTATCTCTTGCAAACAATCTGAGCATCCGTCATGGAGAACAGGGCATCGCTTTGCTTAGCCCACTCTCTCACGCTCGAGGGAATTGGTGCGTTTGGCTCTCGGATATAAGACCCTCCTTGACTCCTGTGTCCAGCGAAGAACCTTGTTCCAGACGCTGAGCCATAGTATCGCCCCACCATTTCACCTCCGCAGGCGTCGAATAGTAAACCGCGACCGCAGAGGCCCCGACGTCTGCGGGGTTAAACCCTGCCCTCTCAGCCCACGACCGAGCCAATCCACCATACGGCGAAGTCTGCCTCAAAGCCGTCAAATCTTCCACCAACTTCATGCTCTCATGCACCCCGGGGATGGCGGGATGGATGACAGCGCTTCTCCAGTCGCATTCCCTCGCACAAACCAGCCCTCCGGGTTTGCAGACGCGTCTCATTTCCTTCAGCCCTTCCACGGCGCCCGTTTTCGATGATTCGTTCGAAAGATGAATCAGAACCTGATGCGCACAGACAATGTCGAATGTCTCATCTTCGAAGGGAAGGTCCAACACATTCGCCACTTGGAAGGTCGCATTATTCACCCCTCGATTTTGCGTCAGCTCTCTGGCAGAATTGATCGCCGTCTCGCTGCAATCAATGCCGATGATCGTCCCCTGTGGAACGAGTGCGGCCAAGTCCAGGGTAATGGAGCCGGGTCCACAACCAATGTCGAGGATTTTCATATCTGGTTCGATGCGCGGCATGAAGTAGGCCGAGGTATTCGCGGCCGTGCGGACCGAATAGGTCTGCAGCATAGAGGATGAGTAGACATCCTTAGACATGTTGAGAGATTTCTGGCGTAGGCGCGTGCAAGAATGAGAGCAGTAAAGTGTTGTTGACTCGGGATTTACGGGGGTGATGATGTCTAACGGGCCGGGAACGGGCCGGAACCGGTTTTGAAAATATATCGACGGGATGGATGCAATGACCAAAGGGGTCCAATTGTCTGCTTCTGCTAATGAAACAGTCAGATGAGGTTTTCCGCGATCCCGACGAGAATATATTTCTTGGGATTGAGTCGGAATTCCTTCCAAATACTCGGTACTCCGTACGCTGTTGGTTGATATGAAGATACGCCGCCATTAAATCTGACTCAGTGTTAGCGTCAATCGTCGTTTTTTCTCTTATTCTCCCCTTATACACACACACATCTGTAGCAGAAGGGAAAAAAAAAAGAATTAAAAAAAAAAAAAAACGAAGGGCCGAACGCGATTTGAACGCGTGACCTTAAGATCTGCAGTCCCACGCTCTACCCCTGAGCTACCGGCCCTTTGGTCATGTGACGGACATCCCGCAAAGCATCCATCACTGGCTAATACAAATAGCGAAGGTCCGGACAACTGTGGGCACGGTTAGGCATGTCTACGAAGAAAAATAGAAGAACGATGATATAGATAGCCAGTAAGGCCCTTACAGACAAAATAGATGACACGTCTTGAATCTACTGCACCCTATGTCAGCTATCGAGGTCTTACCACAATTCCGGCCCGTTTCATCGCCGAATGACTGCCGTGAGAAGAACTCAGGAATTCAAGGACTATGATCGCGCCTCGCAGCGATTTCTGGCAGTGCAATCCACTATACATGGCTGGATTTAATGGTATTGCACATTCAAGTTAGTAAGGACATTGGATGAGATCCGAGCGATCAAGGTGATCACAGTGAGGGGGCAGAGGCTTCCTGCTCACGTGTCCTGCCTTCACGGCTCTCCAAGTGTTCAACAAGCACGCCCTGACCACTCGGGTGACTCGGAAATGGACAAGCCAGTCAAATGGCACCATTTCTCCGAACTGAGTCGATACCAGATGCGGCAGGGATTTGAAGAGAACAAGAATACAAGATCTTCGTTCTTATCCACACCACGCAATGGGGCATCTCTACATGGACCCGATCAATGATCACCCACTCCCCAACACCCACTTTACAGCACAGAACGAATGATGATACTCGTATTCAGTGAAAAGCATTATGGATGTCTTAGCTCCTATATCGTTTTCGAAAATATCAGCCAAACCCGCAAGAAACCAACGCTAACTCCGTGCCTGCAGCACTGCTGCATCCGGACGAGCAGGGCACTACTTCTTCCGTGCCAAAATGTCGATGTAGACGTGGCCCAGAGGTCCAGCCTCTGGGCTCCATCCCCCATGTTCGATCCGGTACTTGTCACTACTGTCCAACATCTCGACCAGGTTGACGCGATTGCCCTGGCGATTGTCCCAGTGCACCTCGCAGATCTTGGACTCGCCGTGGAACAGGTCCAGGCGGCCCTCACTGCCACGCCGGCCACGAGCGCAGATCTCGCCGATGCCGTAGGAGGGGATCACGATCTCGTCGATCTCCTCCTCGGTGAGGGACTTCCTTCGGTCGTCGGGATTATGGAATTCGCCGCTACAATCCAGCAGAAGTTAGCATTGCGGCGGCGCCGAGCAGTCGCGGCCGGGGCACGTACCCTTCAATGACGGTGTGTCGGACGGAGATCTCGCCATTGTCCAGGTGGTCCCGGATATGGAAGGAAACCCACTGGTCGTCCATGGTGGCAGTGGAAGCAATGGTGGATGGTTCAGGATAGATGATGCAGAAACTGAGTCTGAGAAGGAATCGGACAGGCTGCCTATGCCGCTATTTAATGCCCGCGTGCGTCCCCCGGCGGCACTGGGGGCAGTGGGGTGACTTTGGCATCGGGGGTCGATCCCTGCTGCGTGCAGGCCATGAGGGGATCATATGACGGCAAGGTGGTCCGACGTGGTTGGCTGCTTGGTGGGCTGATCCACGGAATCGTCCTGACGGTTAACTTTGGTTGACTTTCACGGGGGGCGAATTGTGGGGGTGGGCCTCATTGAGGGCCATTGACAGCCGGGGCACTGGTGGCGTCATGCATTCCGTGGCCGGCACGATGGCATCACCACTTTTCCCTCTCCCCCAGCTTGTCTTCCCCGCACCATCTGTCCACTCACTTCACTGCCCATCGGCACCTCATGCATAGCCCACCCGCCCATTTTTGGGTCCATGGCACACGATCGGTGTGCCCATTGGATGCCTTCCCGGGGCTTTCTGCAGTGATCCCTGCCCGGGACTTTTGTTCCCCCATCGTCCATCGAGCTGGCCGAGGGAGCTGGACCCCCCTCCCCTCGTGGCGAGAAAAATGGTCTTGAATTTCGATCGAACATTGAGCTTGGCAAACTTTCGGGAGCCATTGTCCCATCAGGTCTTCCACCATGGCCTCCCTGGCCCATCATTGCCCGGCTGGGAAGGAGGGGAATGGATGATGATCCCGACAACCAGCCTCGATCTCCTGCGGTGACGCCAGTCCCTCGTGTTGGATCCCTTCAACGGCACGATCCAGGGCCGTTTACCGCTTTGTGGAATATCACACTGGCTAGCTGTCTCAAAAATGGCCCCTCTGCAAAGTCAATGGGGAGAGTAGTACCGCGTCGCGGACTGTCGGCTACGAGCACAGCGATGGCTCTCTTTGGCCAGGACACTCCCGTTCCCGCCAATGTCTTTTAGACCCCTTGACTGTTAAATCCAATTGTCGACCGACAAGATGCCTTCATATCCAAATAGTCTATGGTTACGTCTGCCAGCACATTACCTAGAAACCTCGACAGAACACTCGGTCTACAGATCAGGTGGTGACCGTCTTCATATAGAGGTTGTCGACCACTCTGGGCGTTGACGAAAGGAATCATGACTAGGGTGGATGAAATGTCCGAATTTCTCTGTGTATCCAGTCCAGTAAAAGATATAGCACTCGCGTCTCCCGCAGATCAGCGGGACTTACAGCGGACGGGACTTGCGACACACCTATTCAGCTGGGAAGCACGGTATTAGGTATGGGAAGAGTCAAATTGACCAGATACGCATCGATGGCGCGAGACGTCTCCCCGCGAAGGAGATAGAACGTATGACCATCGCCCGCGCGGGTGAGAAGCACACTCTTCCGGATCTGGTCCTGCAATCCCACGGCCCAGGCTAGCCAGGTCAACGGGTCATACTGCGCGTTAACCAGGAGGATCGGCGTCGTGTTGTTGATCTGGGCATTATGTTCGGGGTTCTGCACGGGAAATGGCCACCCCAGGCATTGGACCTGCGGCATGTTCGCTTCCACCACCCCTTTCGTATGTGGCATCAGCGCCGTGGTCATCTGTTGCTTGGTCCGACAGGCCCAGGGAGGTGATCTGGGCCTCCCCAAGCGCGATTCGCACGGCCTCCACATCCCGGGCGACACTGGCGAGATACAGATGAGCGATTGAAGGGCTTGTCAGGTTCCCACAACTCTGGCCCAGGGCACGGTACTTGTGCAGCATGGCTTCAACTCGGCCTCGGTGGTGGGAAAGTTGGACACACGCTGGTTGTAGATAGTGGAGCTACATCGAATGGGGAAACTGAAGCCCGTCTTGCCATCGCAGTCGGAGCCAGGGATAAAAGAACCCCGGCAATGAGGACAATGGGGTTACCCCGGAATAGACCTTGTGATTGGGGTCGCATGTTTGCGAGAACTCGGAGGTAGGAACGAATTGGTGCTGCCCGGATAGAGGTTAGGAGATCATCGCGCGTTCTATTTAACTTGGCCTGTCGCAAGATGACTTACCCGATGATGTAGCCTGGTGAGTATTTCGAGACTGAATACTGAGTGGGGCGATAGGCCACGCCAGGCACTCTGATGCCTGACCGTCCTCAGCTCACAGACATCGGCCTATTCATTACACGCTCCAGCCAATCGGATGTCTGGCTTCGGCACGGACGACGATGTTGGCGGGGTAAGAACTTGGAGAGATCTCAGCTCGCACTGAATAACCCATCTGGGCTTATTGTGTCGTACATACGACCATAGGGTGTGGAGAACAGGGCTTCCCGTCCGCTCAGCCGTACTTAAGCCACACGCCGGGAGGTTAGTAGTTGGGTGGGTGACCACCAGCGAATCCCTTCTGTTGTATGTTTTTGTATGTTTTTGTCAATTTTAAATCCATCCATCGTCCATCTCGGCTGTTGCTGCGCAAGTTGAGGGCTGCGCACCACGGCTATATACCAGCAGGTATAGTTCGGCGACATTGGCCACACTCCAACCTGCAAGGATAGGAACAGGCAGGCCACATTTCAAATGATATGCCCGTTATCTAAGCTCCCACCTCAGCTCTCAGATGTATTTATACAGACCTAGCGTTGCTCTACCCCACGGTGGTTGTACAGTTCACCTAGGATGCAGTTGTTGCAGCCTCTCCATGACTGGGGATAGATGAGATGAAGTGAATGGTGCGGACCCTGAACAAGGTTTGTGGACTTTTTCGGTTCTTTGCGACGGAAACAGAAGCCCCGAGTAGCCAATATCCTCTTTTTTTCCTTCTTTATCTGCTATGCCCCATAGCCTTCGGCTCTAAAGCACCAGTGAAACCTGGTTCGTCGACTTGAAATTCTTGAGCAATTTTTGCTTCCCAGGCGGTCGCTTTACTATACGAACACAACGCCTCATTCGAGTGGATCTAAGACAATCGTCTTGCCAGTCCTCTTCCTTTCAGAAGACCCCACGACCTGTTATTGCCTGCGTATATATATTGTCGGTCCCCGCTCAAAGAAGCGGTGGGATGCCATTGTACCAGCATATACATCGACCTTGTTTTGCCTAGGTTAGGATAGCGCACCGGATAGCTCAGGGCCCTTCCAGCCGTGCTGGCTTCCGACACTCCGAATGTATACCGGATCGAAGCCTTCACCGCAAGCCACTGTACCAATTTAATACGTCTTGTTTGCTGCTCCACCAATTTCGCTCCTCCCAGCGCTGGATCGGCAACTCTCGACATCGCCTCCAGATGTGGCGAGTATGCTGAATGTGACATGCACGCGATATCCGTCGTATCAAACCAGGGGCTGTGGTGCGCCCCAGATTGACGCGCTCATGGTCAAGATGGAACGTGTCCAGACTGAAGATTGACATGCATGAGGGCCTGTGCATAGACCTCTGGGCACAGGCCGCCTAAATCCGCAATGTCCACAACTCAACACCAACCCTGATCCATTGCACCCGTACAGATGCGTGGTTAGTGAACTGGGGGCTCATCACCTCACACAGTCATTCGCATGACTGCGTTCGATATGGTGAAGCTTGTCGTTCCTAACCATGCCATATCCAGACCACCCGTGTGAAGTCCGGAATAGTGTCATCAGATGACTAACGGCGACTGCATCGCCATTTGGCTTTGTGGGGTTGGGGGCCCGAACATGGTAAATGCTTCCAATGTCTGCCGCCAGATGCCCGTGTCCCAGTCATGGTGCATCAGGCTTTCGAGGTACACGGCAGGCTCAGGCTGCACGGGCAGCTGGGCTGGTGCCCAGTGAGGTTGGGCCTCGTATATCATGGGTGCGGGAGGGCCCTGCCAGGAGACTGGAGGTCGAGCGGGGCCGTAGCCCTCATTCGGATGCTGCACCACATGGCTGATGCTGCACTGACGTTGGGCCTCTTTCTTGTTCTTCTCCAGCCATGCCACCATGCTAATCACTCGGCAGTTCGACCAGATATCATCCCCAAGAGAGAGCGTATCGATCTTGCGCATAGTTGCAAGCACGTCCTCGTGGACGCGCCGGCTGTCTATGTCTGGAGTTGGGTGGTTGTAGTTCCCAAACAGCAAGCTCACCTTGGCAAGAACCAGCATCACGTACCAGATGGTATAATAAGACGAGGCCGGTAGATGTACAGCCACGGATGCGGGGATCTGGATGTAGGTGGAAAGGACTCGGTGAGCCGAAGCAGTGAGATGCTGCAGCCGGTTGATCTCCCGGAGACGAAAGACATCTCTTCGACGCTGCACGGCCTGACCCAAGGTCAAGGTCGTGAGTGCGGTAAGTTCAAGACGGAGAGCCCCTTGTAGTTGAATTGTTAGACTTCTGTGGGGTGGCGGATACGGGTAGCTAAAAGCGTCGTCCACTCACAATTATCGCACTGGCTGAGACGGGACAGCTGTTCGTCGGTTTGCCTTTCTTGCCGCTCGATAGATTCCACGATCTGCTCCCAGGACGCATCCCGGGGGTGGTAGGAGCAAAGGCACACATCTTCGTCGAAAACACACTGGGTGCGTCGCATGAAGTTGTTGGAAGCGATATAGTCCCCAAGCAGGACATCGCTAGGATATTCCGGCTTGCGGGCAAGATCCTCCACGCACTGTTCAATCCATTTCGTGTGTCTCATGGTCACCTGTCGGCGGAATAACGTCGACCTGAAGGGAGTGTTTTAGTGTCGGCTGCAGGAACTGGGCCCGCAAGAAAGCTGGAATGGCACCGGACCGAGGGAAACTTACGTGCAGCACAAATGATAGCAACCGAGCAGAGCCCGTTGTTCGGTGGGGTTCTGATGGTGTCGTTGAGACTCTGCGCCTTCCGGCGGGATCGGCTGCATCCGGATGTTCTCGTCTTTATCGATCCCCAGGTCGACCACCACCATGTGAGCCATCTCGAGCAACATGTACTTGTGAATGTGTGTAGTGCGCCAGTGGTAGTGGAACCATGCACAATGCACGAGAAGGCCAAGCAACAGATCGAGGTTCCGTTCACTCTTCACAATGAGGCGAGTGGCCGCTGTCTCCCTGACAAGCGCCTCCAATTTGTGCTGCAGGAGAGGCTTGTGTTCCATGCAAACAGTGACGATACACAGTAGCAAGAACGGCGATCGTTGGCGCAGGCTTTCGATGTCCATGTCCGCAGCGACCATGACAAAGGGAAACTGGGGCATTTTCTGGGTGCGGAACTTGTCCAGCAGTTCATCCGCCTCGCGGAAGCCGACCAGCCCGCCCAAGACGGGTTCGCCTGATGCCTCATCGGCAGATCGGGAGGCTTCCCGTCGGTGGTAAGTGGGTGGCGAGTCTGGCGGGTGCGTAGACGGGGTTGCGCTGGAGAGCGGAGCTTCAGGGGCAATTTGGCCTTGCTGGGCGAGGTTAGAGTGACGGCTGTGGGAAGGGGTCAGGATGGGCTTGCATACCTTGTGGCCGAGTTGCGCAGCCAGCTGATCGATTTGCTCCTGGAGGGCATCGATGCGGGTCTTCCTGTAGTTGGGGGGAAATATTAGCCATTAGATACTACGCTGCAGTCGGAATGGCATGGGGAATGCAGGAACACCCACCTGGGCCTGTTGGCATGGGGGGCCTCGGGCAGGGTGCACGACTGGCCCAGCCGGGTGCAGCGCACGCACGTGCCCGTGCTCCCCACAGGCACGCAGCGAACCTTTAGGCGGACACAGCGGACGCAGGCATGGCGTCGCGGAGGCGGCTTTCGATTCATCAGCTTGGCTGGGATCGGTCCTGACCAACCTTAGGTAACAGGGCTGACCGGCTGGGATGACGTTGAGGAGGAGGTGAAGGAAAAGAAAGGCGCGCGAGAGAGCGACTAGCGCTGACTGCCGATTGCCTGCCCCGGACTAGCTCCTCTTCGCCGGTCACATGAGGGCCGCCCCGCGCCTCTTTCTTTCTCCCCCCACCTCTTTCATTCTTCCTCTTCTCCCCGGATTTCTCCTGTCCCCTTTGTCATCTCGTCTCTTCTAGTTTTCTCAGCCATCCCAATGTCTCACCTCTCTTCTTCGCATCCTGGCCGCCCGACCAGGGTTCTCGAGAGGCCACCAATCCCAAGGGTTCTGCACGGGAGGCTGCGCTAGAGCCCACACTAGAGCTGCGGCCTCGGTGCAACCAGGTCGGAGTCGGAGAAGGAGTCGGACCTCTCCTCCGAGCTTCCAGCCTCTCTACCAAGGGCCAGTATCCTCTTCCCCCACGGTCTCGACTCTTAACCAACTGCAAGTGACATCTTGGCTAATCGGCAGGTGGCTTCGGCACTAGCTCTCCGGGGGACCACACGAACCGGTGGAACGCCGATCGCTGTCATTCTCCACTCTCTAGCCCCAGTGATATACTGTCGCCCGATCGATACCCTCCTGCTTGTTCCGACCTCACCCCAATCAGAGCCTCTTCCATGGTGACAGTGAGAGCCCTTGAGATGGCCACCAATACAGTCGAGTTGTGCATAGTTCCTCCTGGTGAGAGTGGTTGTGTTGGGGAATGTCTATGCCGTCGAACCTGGCTATCTGGTGCATCTGACCCGAATCACGCTATTACTCTGCAGCAATACCGATACACGAATTGTCAAAGACATCATGCGAGACGCTAGTTCTACACAACCCCATGCAATTTCTGATATGTGCTCAGTCCCTCAGAGTGTCAGTCTGCTATAATATCTGTCGCCGCTCGCGTCTCACAATCGTGATCCTCGAGCTCGTGGTACTTAGTCTTCCACCTATTAGCTAGCTATGCAGCTCCAGATCGCCCAGTACGGTCTCGGAGAACCTTCAAATCGTGGTATGCTGGAAGACTTAGCTCGCGCGATGCCAGTCATTTGCGACCGTGCACCTTGCACGGACACATTCCAGGGTGCAACCAAGGTGTAATGCACCTACACACTCGCCAGAGAGGCCAAAATCCTGGGAAACTGACTGTACAACACAAATGTCCGGGTGGTTGTCCCAGGTTTGGTGGATAATTGCTGCGTAGGCTCCCAGAATCAGCGTCATACTCTATCATAAAGCCAATAGCTGTATGCGACGGCGCAGCGGACATATCGAGTCATTCCTGGATCATGGCGGAAGTCCGTTGGGGGCAAAGCCGGCGAGTCAAATGGAGGAGGGCAGGGGCATCGTGATATTAAATGATAGTCGCTACGCATGTATCATCGTCGATGAAGAACACTCGCCTTGGTAGTTGGATAGATACGACCGCAGGAGATTGATGCTAGGTTTCATAGCTCGATCCAATCAGTCATCCCCCAGACGCCAGCGTCTTGTATCCGGGGGTGCCTAAGGTAAGATCAGCATTGCAGCAATTCCACTTCTGGCCATTTCCCATGTTTATAGAATCACGATCGCTATCTAACATCCAATGACGATGGTTCTCACTTGCATATATTTGTTGGGGTACATCTTCCCCAAACTAAACACTAGAATGTTAGTGAGCAGGCCTTCGGTCGCCGGTGATTCACTCGCTTTTTCTAGAAGGTAGAAGGGCTGCTATGACTGGACATCGTTAATGGCAACTAGAGGCTGCGCGGGGCCAACTCAAGCTATCGGCGAATGCCATCCAGCTCGTGTAGGTGTAAGAGTGTGCTCAAGTCAGAAAGCCCCACACGTCAGTCGAACCTATGTCTATACCTTCGAGGAACAGATCGCTCCACGGAATATCAACCCTTGCATCCGGGTATTGAGGAGATTTGTTCTCCATCTCGCTTACGGACATGCTCTGCGCCGAGCCAGCGAACGCATGGCTTTGAAGACCAAACCACGACTGGAACTCGGTATCAACATCAACACTCGCAGCAGTGGCGTCATCAAACAGAGTCAGGATGCAGTTCCCCAGCCGCTCAACGATTTTAGAGCATTTCTCCCCGACGACGCGGCCATTGGATATGCCGCGGAACAGGGTCAGAAAAGTGAGGATGTTCGTCTGCACAACCGGCCTGGTTAACTCGTGACGTAGTGGCGGGGAGGCCCGTAGGGCATAGAGCATGGTCAGGGCTGCCATGAAAAGCGCATGGATAGCCACAAATGTGTATCTGATGCGATTCATGGCGTATAGAGCGCTGTAAGAGCTGATCAGTCCGATGGCGGCCTCGATGCAGATGCGCAGGTTCTCATATGACGGCATAGGCGCTGCCCGAGATGGACGATTGAGGGTCAAGACCGCGTGATGGAAAGCGATCTGAAACCAGTGAGGGGATTGGAAAGTGGAGAGGGTCTGCATGTACCGCGGAGCAGTAGAGACCCAGTGGTTGAGCTCGGAAAAATACTGTTTTCGCCTGCTCTCCAGTGCTTCAGCATCAGGTCGCCTCTGGCCGATGGAATGAAAGGAGTTGTAGATATCCGCATTGATCTTCCGTAACCGGATGATATGAATGAAGGTCGAGGTGTCCGACACTTGGGGTACTATACTGGCATGGTCTAGTGCCGCAGGTGAATCGTCCAATTCATCATCCGTCAGCTGCAGCGGTAAGGGCATTGTGATATCCGACCCCTGGATGCCTAAAGGGCGACTCATATTGATTGCCATGATGCAATTCGTCACATACGCACACCAGAAGACCCGCTTAACCATCTCTGCAGATAAAACGTCTCGTCCCATCAGACTTTCCTTCCGATGCAGGTCGATTCCGATGGCTAATTGGAGGGCGAGACCCGAGGTGTACCACAGGTTGACGGACTGTGGTTCGTTATGGCCGTACATACAGAGAAGCAAAAGGCACTGCACGCATTCAAAGTCGCCCGTCCCTATGACACGGTGCAGGTCCTGGGTCGCTCGGTGAAAAAACACCCGATGACTGGGGGTACTCCCTTCCTGATCTAACGGCTTCTCGGCGGTGGCAATTGCGCAGACAATGTTCACTAAAAACATTGATATGCCACTCGACGCTTTCCTACTCAGAAAGGGTAATAGATGCTCCCGAAGGAAGGTAGGCCGATGCAGGACAGGTAAATAGGGCCATCTACGATCGAAGAATGTTCCGGCCACGTTCATGTACGCCTCTGCATCCAAGTCCGGGATAGTAGTGGAGGGTAAGGGAGTTTCTATGGGTCTTGTGTCATCTCCCCAGAGTCTCCATGCGCTACTGAGAGCACTCCCGTTCGTATCTCTAACCCTTGTCCTCTGGGGAAAGGTTGGCCGAAGGATGCGACCGGTGTAAGGGATGTCGGATTTGAAGAGTAAGTTCTGCTTCCGCAACTCCTCGGGCGTAGTTGAACAGACATGGCGTCTGGAGACGGAAATGGTTCCCGAAGACGATAATCCTGATACATCCGGTGCATGAGAGTTGCGCAGGGGAATCTCTCCACCCGCCTGTCGTCGGAACTCTTCAAATTGCTGTGACAGGGTGTCGTACTGAAGCTGTAGAGTCTCCAGCTGACCTCGCAACCTGTCACATTGGCATTCTGGATGGGCCGGTCGTACCACTAGGCGTTCGGAGGGGATACAAGATGCGCCCACAGCTTCGCAGGCACCACATGTTGGAGTTCTCCCATCACACTATGGCTGAGGTCAGTGATCCGAGATTTTCCCGGAAACAAGGACGCCAGACCTTTTGCTTACGACGCCTGCAGCGCTCACAAGCAGCGGCACTGCGGGTCAAGCCACGGCGATGTCGGCGGGGAAGTGAAGGTGAAACGGTGGTGGCTTTACCCCCGGGCATATGGTTGGAGCAGCTGGCACGACACGGCCGGTCGGGTGGGATGCGAACGTTTTCACCCGGGCCAGACTCAATGGACCTGGATTCAGCTATGGTGGCATGAAGGCTGGAATCCATCCGAGGATTCGTTGGTTGGCGCAGAGGAAATGCCAGGCGGGCCTCCCTCTCCGGAGGGCCACTTGTTCCGCCCCGATCACGCACGTCCTATGTTATCCTCAACGGGTTAGCCTCTCCCGTGCCTCTTCGAAACAAACCAAATCCTCCCGTCATATGATGTCCCTCTCCACAGTATATCGATGATTACCGGGGGGGGGGTAAGCCATGCCTCCACATCGTTGACTCTTCCGCAGTTGTTACATCAACGCGGTGGTAGCGATGCATCCAGTAGCATCAGTTGCATGTGTTCTCGCTGAATGGAAGCCACTTTACCACGAGAACATCTGCGGAATATGCGAAGGGTCCTACACGAGTGTCGAATACGAGCATTGGAAAACACGGGTGGAATAGGCAGGATCAAGAAGCAGCCATTACCCGTAGTCATCACAGACGTTGCTACACACAGATGACACGCGAGCCACTCACAGCCCTTGTATCCCCATGGGATAAAATGCACCCAGCACGTAATTCAGATCCTGTTGAAGTTCCCATTCCGAACCATCGCTTTCACTGCCTTGCGGGGTAGGATGATCCGGGTGTGATTGTTGTGATGTGCAGGCTGCAGAGTGTTTGTCTGTCACCACTAGATGATATGCAACCGACGGCGAAGGAAGCTGGTACAAAGTTTGCACGTGCTTGGCATCAATCGGAAATCGGGAGACCTGAGTGCGACCAATCGCTTGATTCTTATATCCACGATGAGCAAGATGTTGGTCGCCGGTTGCACCCAACACACGCGGTCTCCCACCCCGACTACCAGATGCAATGACAGTGTTCCTCCAGTTCTCTTCCCCGACAATTATTCCCACACCGTGAACAAAGGCGTATAAATTGTGGCTTTGGGTCAGGTAACGGCCTAGTCTTTTCAGATAGGTGTATCGCAGTTTGAGGAGACAATTCGAGGCGTAGGCACCATGTGGGCGGAGGACGAGTTGTAGACAACAAAGAAGGCTATGGTATCGTCAATTAGAGGGATGCTGGGCTGCGAGAGCTAGCTGTTCGAAGTCAGTACTTGTTTTACTCGCTTCAGGCCCGACAAGGGCGCGTGTCCGTAAGCATACCTCGCTATGGATTGTAGGTTTACCGTAGGGATATACCATCCACGAGGGACGATTCGGTGCGTCCAGTAGACCTCGCCAGGATCTCGATGCTCTATTCCAGCACAGCATCCAGTCATTTGTGCAATGAGCCCCTCCGAAGAGATGTGTCGCGACCTGGCGTCGCAGCTTGGACGAACATCTGCATAGTGGGGTGTGCCGCAGGATCAGGGACTCCTTCCACCACATATAGCCGAGGATCCTCCGGCTTGGGGAATGAGGAAATCACCCTGCCTTTAACACCAGTCTGGGGGTCGGTTAACCAACCGAGAATCATCAGTGTATACGGGATGGTCTCCCGCAGTGAGACGCGATCTGCACTCAACCTGGCTGATCATCAGTATCTTTTCTGGAAGGTGACCAGACAATCTTGAATTGCAGACATATCACATTTCATTATTCCAGTAGAATTGTAAATGGAAGCAGCAACTGAGGCGATGCGTTCTGACTGATCACTCGGCTAGTCTGGTGGATTGGAAGATGGACCTGGTCCAGTCTGCCGAGGACGTGATGAGATCACCTGACACGAAAATGAATACCAGTCATACGGGTGTACTTCTGTATGGTAAAGGTAATTCTGCTATTGACACTTTTGAGAATAGGATCACCTGCTGAATAGTGGGAGCGATGCTATCATGGTTTGTTGTGCCTTACAACGCTCGTCTGTGGAAGAGCGCCCGCTTTTGAAAATATATATATTGACTGCCTGGGTGTTTCTCCTACCCGCACAATTTGGCAGAACCACACTTTGAAGAATCTATTCTTTTGAAAAAGTTCATTCATCTTTTGTTTTGAACACAAAGATCAGCCTTTTACAGAGAGAATATTTACTTGGGTTCTCTATAGCCAGCAAGGGTTATTCCGCAGCTTGTGAAGAGAGATGTAGGAGCTGATATAGAGATGAAAGTATCAAAGATTACATCGACAGACTTAGGTGCTACTCTATGTCAGGAACTTTCCTTGGGCTACGATGTAATTGGATCTTTGCAGCAATAGTTGTAAAAAGTGCAGTGTTCGAGACAGTTGTCAAACCAAATGCTTCATTGGAGAGGTTGGCACACATGGAATACATAGATGACCTTGCATGGCCAGGAAAGGGTATAGCTCTGCGCCAGGAGGGCATAACGTATGCTCAACTAGATTGGTGCACAACTGTACACATACCATGAACGAATAGACACCCATTACAACCTACAACGGGGCTCACGCGCAGGTGCCATTGAAGCCAGTCTGGAACTGGTGCCAGATTCTTCTATCTGTTCACCGAGCACAACACTTTCGGAGCGACATTTGCCCTCGAAGATAGACTGATTGCCACTATGGTATGATGTCCTATCTACTGGTCCGGCCGCATGAGTCGGAGGCCACCCAACACAACTCAAGGGGCACGGACGCATGACGTAGGCCAATCTAATGCCACTGGAACGAGATAAATTCCATCGCAGACCGAGAGCCCCTGAGTGAGGCAAATAATTGTTGAGAGTCATTTACGAGCCGTCGGATGGAGCGGAAAGCGTAAACATTACTCTGGCCGGAAGAATCAGTTGGGGTTGGGAGAGTCGCGCAAGGTCCGCGGCCACCAGGTCGACGACGACATCCCGACCTCCACGAGGCCGAAGTGTCAATAGTGGAGGAGGCGTTAATTAACTGCAAAGGCGGGATTTAGACCAAGCTAGTAATAAGCATAGATTGGATATTAAGGAGGTAAATTTGGTGAGTAGTTTACTCCGGACTCGGGTCCGGGACGCCGTCGGGGAACCCACCGTTTTCCCACGCAAGAGAGCGATTCATCAGCGATTGTTCAGCAATCAATCAATTCATCAAATACACCATCAATTAAACCGGAATGAAAGGGCCTCGGACGAATCCCGATGGGAACTCCGAGTACTACGGATCGTGGAGAAAGCATGGATGGAACACGGCAAGTGGAAGAAAGACCAGAGATTCTGGAAAAGTGAATGATCTGCCGTCTTGGCGGGCTTGGCAAGGGGGGCCCCGCCCCGCGGACCAACCAGCGTGGCCCCTGGCCTGACACGAGCCCCGATGCCGCGTGTTAGTTGGACCTTTCAGTGGGTTAGTGGGTTAGTGCGTGGGTGTTAGGGCTTCCAGGGCGGGGTCCGAAGACCAGGACGAGGAGGCCTCCGAGAGGCGGCACCGCCAGGAAGATGATGATCTTCGACATCGCGATCATCCTGTCCTTGGCTCAAGTTCTCGACACAGTCTAGCACCATCACGCCGAACACCTTCCCAAGTTCCACGGGTTCCGCCTCTCCGACAGGGTCTGTATCGGATTGCGACCAGGAAACAGGAGGCTGAACAGAACGGCTGGCTAGTCCGACTGCTCGGTCGAGAAGCCGCGTCATGGGGGCACGATCGAGTCATCCCTGAGCTACCAGTGCCCGCGGTTTCCTATCATCCCCGGTTCCTTCCTCGACGCTAGAGCGCAAGGTCTGGGAAAACCCAGCGCTACCATCGAACCGGGCCTGAAACCGATGGCCACCGCCGCCATCTACTCGAAACCATATCAAATTAAGCACCAGCGGCTCCACTACTTCTCTGGGTGACCTCCGTGCCGCTCGGACAGCTCACTGGACGTCCCCGGTGGGGTGTTTCAAAGAACCCCCTCAACGCTGACGATCGCCTTCCCAAAGCACCTCTCGCAGACCCCGGCAGCGGCGTGATCGGCGGTGGCATCACCATCGCCGGGGACCCAGTTGTTTATTCTCCTTCCCTGTCGACCGCACCCACCGTCATCACGGCCGATATTGTTTGAGATTGCACTGGAGTCGGCGTGGGACCTCCGTCAGGAGAAGAGCGGACGGGTTCCAACCGCCAACCGTCAACCGCCATGGCATCCGAGGCCAGCCAGCAGGTATATAAGGTCGACCGTCTCCGATCGTTTCCTCCTCTGGCTCAACACACACACACACACAGTCTTTGTCATTCTTTCTCTTCTTTCTTTTGTTTCATCACTCTTGTCACTCTTTTCCCCCAACTACTAGCCAACTTCCAGGATGAAGTACGCTGCTGCTCTCACGGCTGTTGCCGCTCTCGCTGCCCGCGCCGCTGCTGTCGGCGTGTCCGGCACCCCCGAGGGTTTCGCCTCCTCTGCCACTGGCGGTGGCTCTGCCACGGCCGTCTACCCTACCACCACCGATGAGCTGGTCTCTTACCTCGGTGATGACGAGGCCCGTGTCATCGTCCTGACCAAGACGTTCGACTTCACCGACTCCGAGGGTACCACCACCACCACTGGCTGCGCTCCCTGGGGTACTGCCTCCAACTGCCAGCTGGCCATCAACCAGGACGACTGGTGCACCAACTACGAGCCCGATGCTCCCACCAGCACGGTCACCTACGACAACGCCGGTACCCTCGGTATCACCGTCAACTCCAACAAGTCCCTGATCGGCGAGGGCACCAGCGGTGTCATCAAGGGCAAGGGTCTCCGCATGGTCAGCGGTGTCTCCAACATCATCATCCAGAACATTGCCGTCACCGACATCAACGCCAAGTACGTCTGGGGTGGTGATGCCATCACCCTCGATGATGCGGACTTGGTCTGGATCGACCACGTTACCACGGCCCGCATTGGTCGTCAGCACTACGTCCTCGGGACCGAGGCGGACAACCGTGTCTCCATCACCAACAACTACATTGACGGCGAGTCGGACTACTCGGCTACTTGCGACGGTCACCACTACTGGAACGTGTACCTCGACGGCTCCAGCGACAAGGTCACCTTCAAGGGCAACTACCTCTACAAGACCTCCGGCCGTGCCCCCAAGGTCCAGGACAACACCTACCTCCACATCGTCAACAACTACTGGGAGAACAACTCCGGCCACGCCTTCGAGATCGGCTCCGGTGGCTACGTCCTCGCCGAGGGTAACTACTTCTCCAACGTCGACACCGTCCTCGAGACCGACACCTTCGAGGGTGTCCTCTTCTCCTCCTCCAGCGCCTCCTCCACCTGCGAGTCCTACATCGGCCGCTCTTGCGTCGCCAACGTCAACGAGGGTGACCTCTCCGGCACCTCCACCACCGCCCTCGAGGCCTTCAACGGCGACACCCTCGCCACCGCTGATGCTGCCAGCACCAGCCCCGCCTCCAGCGCCGGCCAGGGTAACCTGTAAGCGGTTCTCGATCAGAATCCTCGCCCCTTGCATGTCTCTTCTGGAACAGACAAGACGAATCCTGCTGTTGTACAGCGGGAGTGTGTTGTAACTTAGCTTCTATCTTAGCCTAATCAATAATACTTCTGAGATGGATTTGGTGTTGAGTCCTATTATGTACAATTTGCCACAGTAGAACATCCACTAGTAGGCCATTGTGCCGCTCTGTAGTAGACCCTGTGCATTCGTCTGCAAGGTCCTCTCCCTGCCTGAGGATCAATTGCTTGCCTTAGGCTTTCTTTATGCCTAAGGCTAGTAGGCATTACTGCCTGAGGCTACAGTTCATCCCCTGTGGGATTGATGCCTGAGGACTACATCAATCACTAGCAGATGCCTCCAGTCAAATTTAAGTTCGAAATTAGACAGGTTGGGCTATACAAGGCATTCTCGCAAGGATATCCTACTAGGGAAAGAGCGTGCCAGGTAGCATAGCCCTTGATATTGTATTGTAGTAGCATTGTACGAGAAATTGCATTTCAATAAATCCGAACCTACTCGGTGATCGCGGTGATCGCTGCATTGGCAAGGACAATCCCATGACATGTCAAGATAACAAGTCAACCCTCAATAATAGAACCCCAGCTGCCACCATCGGCACCTCTCCTGGTCCGTCGGATCCCGGATCTCCGTGATCCCAGTCTCTCCCAGATCCAGCATCGTCCTGTTCGGCCCATAACGCTTGAACTCCGGCCCGATCTTCGACTGCGGCACGCCATTCATCGCGAAGCTCGTTATATAGTCCTGGAGGGCCCATGCAACCGTGGCGTTTACGCTCTTTGAGGGATCCCCATCGTAGAAGGTATATTGCAAGTCGTCCTCATGCAATCCCGGAGACACATCAAAGAGATACGCATAGGTGCTACCCCGATACGCCTCGTTCAGGTAGTAGTTATTACATTGGTATCCGTAATCCGCGGTAACGGACGAGGCGCGGCCCACCGCATCGCGATATCCCCGACTCCCATTGTAGATAGGCGGATACAGTTGCCGTAAAAGATGATCGATAGTGGCGGGCTGGATCTGCGGAAAGGTCCGCCGGAGATCCCGACGATAAACATCCTCATGGATAGCATCGGGGGTGGTCGCGCGTAACCCTTCATTCGCGTTGCGACCGTGCATAACATTTATATACCACATGCGCTCCCTCTGGAGGATGAGTTCCCCCGGTAAGGCGGAGATCAGATTCCCGTCGACGGTCGGACCATAGATGTACGATCCGTAGACCGAATATCTCGCCACTTGGTATGCATTCGCGGCAATGAGTGCCTGCGAGGACAAATTCCGGGCTTGATCCAACGAGCTGACGTTGAGTAGACTCTGGAACTGGCGGAAGGTCAAATCCTGTTGCGCGAAATCAGGGACGGGAAGAAAGGCTGGACTTTGCAAAATGGCGCGCTGGAATAGCTCTTCCCCGCGAGCAAAAGCGGTGATGTGATGCATGATAGACGCCGCTCCGGCGGATTCGCCCATCACCGTTACTTTGGAGTCATCGCCACCGAAAAAGTGAATGTATTGTTTCACCCAAAGGAGGGCCATGCGTTGGTCCATGAGCCCAGCATTGGCGTTGCCGGATTCGCGGAGTTCGGGGCCGCTCAGCCAGCCAAAGGCCCCCAGCTATAACATGTCAGCATGCGGGTGCGGTCACCGATGGGGTGAATTACGCGGTAGTTGACGGAGACGAAGACGACTCCGTCTCCGAATGCCATACTCCGCTGAATCAGCCCACGGGCACCGGTGAACTGGCTTTTGTCACCGGTGGTGAACGCACCGCCATGGAACCAGACAATGACAGGCACTCGGGGGCCGCGGTTGGGATCGGACGCTCTGAGCATGATGCGTGCGGGGACAAGTATATCGAGAAAGAGGCAGTCTTCCGTTTCTCGCGGGTCTCGCGGCTCGGGGTCGTATGGGTAGTCGAGGACATCTGTCGATCGGTTGAATGGAATCCCTTTTAAGTAATGGTCGACGAAATCCCGCGCGATGGCCGTGTCCCACATTGGAGATGCTTGTGGGCAGACTCTAGCATCTGTGCCGTCTTGAATTACCGTGCGGTCTGTCAATGGTGACTGAGGGATCCGGAATCGATTGTCTCCCGTAGGAGGTGATGCGTAGCGGATGTTGCTGAAGTTGTAGTAGTCACCGGCGGCCTGAAACGTTAGCTGAAGGCATACAGGTGTGGCAGTTGATGAGAGAACCAACATTGTATCCCGTTGCTCGATGGATAGCGTACCCGAGGTCTGCATGGGGAAGATAAATTGAATGAGCCTTGATGGTGGCCGATAGGCAGAGCCAAGCCAGTGCAATCCCCGGTATAGCACGCATGGTGGCACCGGCCCTCGAGATCGAAATGCGATGCTGGCAGTGGTACTCCCATCTTGCCCATCATTTTATACTCTCTTGGTTCCTATATAACACACCGAGGACAAAGATCACGGTCATACAGCAATACTCCCCGCTCGGCTGTACAGCGGTTCTCCATATTGCCAGCTAGGCTCAGGTGTTCCCTAGAGGGGTCAACGAGATCACGCAAAGGCGGGATTTGACATCCTCTAACCCCTCGTGCATCTCAGATGGGCAAAGTGTAACATCTACATGTCACACGGGGAGTAAGACTGCCTCTGCGATGGTCGTCAAGAGACCCACAATTGATGAACAAGGCAATGCAACGCGTCAAAGAAGCTCAAACTACCAACTGACTGCACGGCTAGACGATGGAGAAATGAGGGCCCCGTGGTAAGGGGAAAGTGTCCATCTTTGTCAAAGGACCACAGAGCTAAAGTCCCGCAGATTTTCCGATGGCAGTCTCGCCAGATCTGCCGTATCACATCGAAGCAGGCGTCTAGCCGGGAGGTGTGCAAGGGGCTGATCATGATCTGCACCGGAGCTAACGATTTCCCCTGAGTTTTGAATGCCCTTAAACCTCTCTTATCTGTGTCGAGAATGCCGACAATATCCCTAGATATACCTGGCCGATTCCCTAACAATTTACCCTAGCTTCGGAACAGCGGGTAGGCAATGATTGAGGGAAGGTTGGCGTCCGCGGCTGGGCACGAATTCGCCAGTGTAACACGGGAAGACTGGCGCCTTTGTGCCCATTTAGCACAAGTTGTCAAAGAGGATTCAAGTGGCGAGACTAAAGAACGGTCACTAACAGCGTGTTCTGCCCTGCATCCTGTGCAGGTTCCACAGAAATCTGGCTTCCGGGATAGACCAACCACCCAAGATTTGGGATACCGAGCAAATAATACATTTGGCCAGCTGAGAGGGTTCCCAACGGTTTCAAAGGGCCGAGATAACGACAGGTCTCCAATTGGGGATTCTAGGTAGAGTAATGCCCGTTCACAAAACGCTAGTTAAAGGAAAATTGCAGGCCGAAGCTGAAAGTAGAGCTGATAATATCATTGCATTGCACTTCGATGTCATACCGTGGGGAAGTTTTCTCCTACCCTGAAACACCAAGATAGAGTGCGGAAACCCAGGCATGCAAGTTATACAAGCGGCGGTCACAGTCCCCAAATTTCCTTCTGCTGCAACGACTGGAGGATTTGTTCGACGCCTTTGTTGTTCTTGCTTGCCAGTGAACCATCCCCGAGAGCTCTTTCTGGACCAGGGTCATTGAGAGTCTCGACCTTTCTGGTTGAATTTCGCACAACCTCCAATACGGTACCTCCCTGCAAATCGTCCTCCTCCAGACACCTGAACATGGCCAAAGCTACTTCTTCGGGGGTTGCCCATCCGTCCTTTTCTTGGTCTACGAGCATCAACTTTTCGGGATTGTCGGTCCATAGTGGCGTTCGGATTAGGCCCGGGGCCACCGCATTGACACGAACGCCGATTGCTTGTTCAAGCGGACCCAAGCATCGCACAAAGCCCGTTATGGCAAACTTCGACGCGCCATACATGGGGCAAACTATGTTAGGCATTTGACCCGCGACCGAGGAGATGTGGACGACACGCCTTGGATTATCCGGGGTGACTGGGATTGCATTCGGGCCTTTAGGATGCAGCCAATGCGATAATGCGAGTTGGGTCGCGCGGATAGGATGGGTGATGTTGATATCCAACAAGGCGTACCGGTCCCCGTCGACTTCATCCTTGCTTGCCTGGGAACCCGGCGGATGCCAGAAGTTCGACCAGGGCGGCTCGTAGACTCCAGCGCCGGGACAGAGAATGTGGAAGTCCCCGAACAGGAACAATGTCTGATTGAACATACGGTTCAGGTCCGCCCAGGAGGTGACATCCGTCCGGACAAAGACAGCCCGAGGCGATGTAGCGGGGGGCCCATGCTTAGCCAGGAGCTGTTCAGCTTCCGGGCGGAGGGCAAGATCGGCAATCACCACATTGCAGTTGTGGGATAGAAGGAGAGATGCGAACGCGAGATTAATTCCTGTCGGGGTTTAAGTGGCTGTCGACGTAAAGATGAGGGGGAAGAGAGGGACTGACCCGATCCAGCGCCCGTAATGATCGCGGTCTTCCCATCGACTGAGAAAGGCAGGGTGCTCGCCCCGGCCAGCTTGGTCATTTTGGCGGTCGCGACGTGCAGATGGTGGGATCCGCCGTGCTGGTGATAAGTCTCAGGATACCGGTCGTCATCCCTGGTCGAGGCTCGGGACTAAATAGCAGTTGCATTCGCGCCGAGGGAGCGGGGAAGCTGGTGGCAGCGAGCGGGGAACGGGCAAATCATCGAGACCAGCTGCCAATCCGAGCATTCCGGGGCAAGGTCCGAGGTCAGGGACATTTGGTATCCAGTAACTGCTGCCATTCGCTATCCAATTCGCTATCCACGTCTTCCCTGGCTCATGATGTCACGACGTGGTGGGTAGGTTGGAGCTTTTGATGTCGAGGGGACCAATCGAGAGACGGTCGGGGAGCCGAGGGGTAGACCCACTGCATCGGAGCTTCATGCTTCAGAGTAGACAAGGACCAAATAGTGTTGGATAGAAGTAGATCAATCCGCAGAGCAGAAGATGGACGCATGGAAGTGAGGCCATCGCGCCCGTCGCGGAGGACCCGCTTGGCAAGGGGGCAGTGCCGCCATGCGTGGCTCAGCCACACTCCACTCCAGTCACTCCCAGTCATTTTCCCCCTCAAAAAGCCAGGCAGACCCTCGCGCCTCCCTTCCTGGAGGGAGTCTCGACCTTAGGTTTGGTCCAACTCTACCAGCACCAGTAAAAAAAAACAAAACTGGCTCATCAATGTGCTGTGGAATAACGCCTATGTCGCCTGCCTGCAACCACTAACCATCCCCTATGTAGCAGTTGGCGGTCTGGTTCATGGATCCAGTCCCAAACACAAACTCCGCCTGATCATCATGGACTCGTGAACAAGAAGAAAGATAATCCAATATGGAAATGCCCAGAAAATCGCCATTACCCCTGAGGGCCTGCCCGGTCACCGTCCCCTCTCAATGGTGCGCATTCCGGACGCGCATCGCCGTCGCCCGGTCCGCCGCTAACACCCGACAGACGCGCACCAGGTCTTCCACCGACGCCTGTGTGTCGGGATGTGTTTCGCCCAGCACCTTCTCCCGACCGCGGACAGTCTGCTCCGCGAGCTTTTCGGCCTCATCCCATCTCCCTTGCGACTGGTAGATCCCCCCCAGATTCGCCATGGTCGTCAGTGTATGGGGATGGAGGGACCCCAGGTTCTTTTGCATCAATCGCAGCACCTGTGCGGTCAATACCTCCGCCGCGTCCGTCCGCCCTTGATTCTGGTACGTCAGAGCCAGATCTGCCATGGCGGTGAGTGTCAGGGGGTTCTGGTCCCCCAAGAGCGACTTCATTGCGGCGACGGCTTGTACGCCTAGCCTGGCGGCCTCCTCTAGCCGATCTTGACACCGGTAGGTGGATGCTAGGTTAATCATCGACATCAACGTCTGGGGATGCTTATCGCCGAGCTCTACTTTGCTTGTCTCGACGACTTGTGTCTCGAGATGTTCCGCATCGTCCAGCCGACCTAGGTCCCGGTACATCGATGCGAGATTGGCCATAGACGTGAGTGTCAGAGGATGCTGGATCCCGAGATTTTCTATCCGGATGTCCATCACCTCGGACTCGAGCTTCTCTGCCTCCTCCAAGCGACCCTGCTCTCGGTAGGTGGTCGCCAGGTTGGACTTCCACGTTAGGGTGGAACCATGGTGGTCACCCAGCACTCGCGCACTACGTTCAATCACCCTCTTCTCCAACCGTTCTGCCTCGTCGTATCGTCCCATGTGGCTATACGTGGTCGCCAAGTTACCCATCGAGGTAAGGGTGGACTGGTGATCCTCGCCCAGTCGTCGTGTCTTGATCTCCAGAAGGCGCAGTTCTAACGCTTCGGCTTGTCGCCAATGTCCCTGCTTGCGGTACGCTGTGGCCAGGTTCGACATGGAGGCCATGGTCTGTGGGTGATCCTCCCCTAGCACCCTTCGCCTAGCCTCGGTCACCTGGCGGCCCAGATCGATCGCTTCCGTCCAACGGCCCTGGCCACAGTACGCGGAAACCAGGTTGTGTATCGCTATCATGGTGAGCGGGTCGGTCGGGCCTAGCAAGGCTCGTCGGGCGTCAACCACAATGGTCCCGACATCTACGGCGGCGTTCCACTGGCCCCGTTCAAGAAAGGTGAGGACGAGCCCACCAAAACGCACCAGTGCGGCGCTCGGGTCGCCCGCATCCTCGTTGCTGGCCCGTTCCACCACTGCGTCTAACCTGGTGGCCGCATCTGGGACTCCTTCGCGTCGATAACGTTTTGACAGACTTCTGAACGCACCCAGAAACGAGAGGGACGGCGAGACATCCATCGAGGGGTGAAGGAGTGGTCTGCTCGCGACCCCAGAGTCTGGTTCTGGTAGGAGGACGGGTTGGAAGTGCCAGTGGATGATTCGAGCGCCGGAGGAACAGGAGCGGAAACGAGGAACCTAAGCTCGACGGGTCGGAATTAATAAGCCGGTCTGCGAGCGATAACGACACCAAAATGGGGAAGGGAGTGGAAGAGAAGACAGTTGGTCGGTCTAGGATGCGGCGGAAAGACACGGAAGGGAGGATCACGATTTGGGGCGCATGAGGTTTGCCGTCAACAGGAAGTCGAGCGAGCGAGGGATGGGAAGAAGGATGGTGACAACGGGGCCGGTGATGCTGGAGGGAGACGGTGGGACAGGTCGACCGCTTTGGCAGGCAGGCAAGGCCCCAGGACGGTGCCGCCAAGCCGCTAGGCCGATGGATGATCCCATCGTCAGTCCGGCCGCAAGTCGCAACTGGCAACGAACGCGTGTTATCGCCGCCTCCTGCCCAGCGTGATGCAGGTGCTGTCTGGCCTCGAGTCTCCCCCTCATCTTACCTGCATTATTGGAAACACGATGGGAGGGAAATGGGAGACCTGGGATTGGCAATGAACGGTGAGACGATCCACTCTCCGGACGCCATGGAATCATGGCCCTGGGAGTTATTTCATGACTAGCCGGTGACCCGGAGAAAACGCGCCCGCGGGCGGCTCCTGAGGGGGGGCACATTTTCCCCTTTCAGCCCTGCCGTCAGAATTCGTGACCATCCTGCCGTCCAGAAATAGCACCCGCCTGTCTTACCGTTCCGAAACGGCCCCCATACCGTCCCGGACGGTATTACCGTATGGTACTCGTCTGGTCAGCCATGATTCTCTCGGCCTCTCGCTTGCTCCTCCCAAGTGTCATCTCCTCTCTGCTTCCCCTCCAACCGTCCTCCCCTTCCCTTGCTGTCTGTCTGGCGCGATGATCGTCGCGGTTTAAAATTAGAAGACAGGTCGCGCCGACAGAGGTCCGTCTCCATTCCTGCCGCCATCGCTTGTCACCCTCCATCCTCATCGTCGTCCCACCATGTCCCGACCAGAGCACGACGACCCCTTACCGAAAGCCTCCCAAGACCTGCAAGACCACCAGCTTCCGGCTATGCCATCTCAGCCGCAGCCTGGCTCGACGGCTGCCTCCTCCGCCCACGCCCATCGGTCCGTCCTCCAGAGCATTGCAGCTGCCATCCCCACCTCCGGCGCATATCCGCTGTTATGTTTTCTGCCTCTGGGTCTGATGGCGGACGCGTTCCGCTGGAACCCCGTCCTCATTTTCATCTATAATTTCCTTGCCATCATTCCTCTCTCCGCGGTGGTGTCGGACTGCTCGGATATGCTGTCCCACCATCTGGGGGAGCTCATGGGTGGATTAATCAATGCCACCTTCGGCAACTGCGTGGAGCTGTCGGTAAGTCCCACGATTTGGCTGAAAGCCAAAGAGACCAGCCTAACCCATGGATTGATCTCTAGACCGGGATCCTGGCCCTCACGCGCGGGGAAGTCTACTTTGCACAGTCCGTCATGATCGGGAGCATCCTTTCCGATCTCCTCCTGATCCTCGGTTGTTGTCTCATCGCCGCCTCGTACAACACCTTCATATTACGGTTCAACAAGCCCGTCACCGGCGCTCTGGCTTCGCTGATGGTGGTCACATCGGTGGGGCTGATTCTGCCCTCCGTTCTGTACTCAACCTTTCCCTTCGACCTGGGGGAACAGATTATCGCCTTCTCACGTGGCACATCGGCCGTCCTTCTACTTCTGTATGGCGGGTATTTATACTTCCAGCTGGGCACGCATAGCCACCTCTTCCAATCGCAAGGAGACAACGAGGATGGTGGGAGTGACTCGCTGCGGGAACCCCAGCATAGCTTGAATCAGCTTATCGTCACCCTCGTTCTGTCGTCCCTGGGTATAGTGGTCTGCGCGAAGAATATTATGGACAGCATTCCTGCAACCGCTGCGACGCTGAACATCTCCAAGACGTTCATTGCCACCATCCTCATTCCCATTATCAGCAACAGTTGTGAAGGGGCCGCGGTTATCACCGCGTGTACCGGTGGAGGAGATGTGAATTTTGCCATCAGCGTTATCGTCAGCAGCATTCTGCAGATTGGATTATTCGCCATCCCGTTTCTCGTCATGCTGGGCTGGGTTATCGCCAAGCCAATGACGCTCTATTTCGAAACCTTTCATACGGTCGTTCTCTTCTTCTCGGTGTTGCTGGTCAACTGTATTCTGCAGGATGGCAAATACACCTATATCCACGGAAGCATGCTCGTTGCCATGTACGTCACTACGCTGCCCTTGGTTGACCACTTTCCTAACTCTCGTGTCTAGGTATGCTATACTGACGCTTGCTTTCTACGTCCGCTAAGCGGTAGCCGTGAGGCCTTTTCGGTTATAAACAGAGCATGGATAGATGTAACGCCTTCGATTGTTCTTGCATTTGGGCATTGTTTGGGCATTACTGGGACATATATACATATACCATCTTGATAATGAATCCGAATGATCATGTGTTCACGACGGCAACATCCTTGATGGTACTGACACTGGGACAGACATAGAAGGCCACTCCCGTGATAATGTATCTATGAGTTGGTTAATAGAGCGAGAACTGCAGGAAAGAAAGGAACGGGCGGCATCGGGGGAGACTGACGTTCCGCAAAGCATGAGCCCATCAAAGTAGTTGGCTCTCCCTTCGTGGATGACATGGCTCATAACCATAGCTGCCAGAAACAGCATGGTGGCCTCGAAATTATCCATTTGCAAGGTGACTGGTTGACCCAATGCCCACCCCATGAGTACCAAGGCTGGGGTGACCAGAAGAGTAAGGCGAAGAATACTATTCAAAATGGTTCGGATTGCCGTCTCGACATGGCCCTGGCGCGAGATCACGACGATGGTGATATATTTGGTCACGTTCCCCACCAGGGGTACCCAGACCAAAATGGGAAAACTGGTGGCGGTCCCTTTCTCCAGCGACACATTGACGCTATTCACCAAATGTGTAACGCAGATGGCCAAGCAGGTCACTCCGATCAGGAGAGCGAGACCTGCGCGGCTGGGCGTAAAGACGCCCAAGTGGTGATCTGGGTGCAGTTCATCTGCGCGGCCCTCGGTGCTAGAGTCCTCAATCTGTGCCCTGCCGGTGCGTTCGGCAACATGAAATATTGCAGCATGCGTCTTTAGCTGAAAGAGGAGGAAGACAGCAAGGAGCAGAAGTAGGATAATGGCGATACCGTACGAGACCAGACGAACCTCGTGGCTCGTGACGATCGCATTTATGGAGATCGTGTCCAAGGAAGGGAATGTGACCATTATCCCCGGGAGAACCAAAGCGATACACACCATGATCATCAAGGATGACATGATGCTAGTCAACGTGCGGTCGAAGATGAGATGTTCCTTGTCGTAACCGGAGATCAAGAAGCAGCTACCCAGCACCTGCGAGCCATTGGTCAACGAGACAGACTCGACTGGAGCAAAGATTGCGGCTCACCAGAAGCGAATAACACAGGATGCTGCCAACCACCACCGAGTGGAAGATGCGGCCTTGTCCCATTTGCGCCGACACAACACCTACCACTAACTCCACCGAGTTTCCCAGGGTCGATTTCAGGAGTTCGTGAAGGAATGGGCCCAGGGTATGCGACAACTCCGCAATAGCAATGGTAATCAAGGCCATCAGAGGGACCAATGCGCCGAGATTCAACCAGAAGACTACCTGCCTGGGCCATCCCAGAATCCCAGATATAAACCCTATAAGCACCAATCCAATGGATGCCCTCAGGAATGGATGGCTTCCAATCCTCACGATAACTACGTGGAAGGGATTGGGGCGCCAGTGCAGAGACCCCGTCGGCGAGGATCCACGGTCGCTGGGAGGTGGCGTAGGCGGATCTGACGCCCCTGTCGTGCCAGACGAGTCCTCCATCGTGATTGAAGGATGGTGGCGGTGTCTCACGGCGGGCATGCTGGACGATGTAGACTTGCAGGTCGAGATATCTCGGTCGTTGCTTGTCGCAGGCGGCACGAGCTTGGGGTGACTGGGCCAGTCTCCGAGGCGCGGCTGAAGTACCTTACCATCCGTGGTAAGGCAGTACGGTACTGCCGTTCCGAGCCCGAACCAAACAACTCCTGGGCGAGAGGTCCCCCTCAGCCTTACAGGGCTGGGTGGCAGGTTTCGATTGGGTGGCCACCCCACCTCCCCGTCAGACGGAGAACCTTAGCGCCTAGGCACCCCTTTTTCAGCCCAATGAAATCGGGTGCTTGGGCCGGACCCCACCCACCCACCTGCACCTGACGCCCTTTCCGTGTAAACAATCGTATCGGTCACATATGACGTTCGTCAAACCGTACCTGACGGTAACTCCAGAACGTCCCCGCCCGCCTTAAGAGTACCGCCAGGACGGGACCGAGAACGACCTGCTACTCCTCATCGCCTCTTCTCCCTCCCTCTTGGACCTGCACTGTCCATGAACTCCAGGATGGTGTTTGTGGAAAGTGCCCGGGAGGTGCCCAGACCATCCCCCGTCACCAGCCTGTGGCAGACCATTGAAGTTACTCTCTTCTCCAGCTATACAAATGTGCTTCTGGTCTTTGTGTTCCTGGGGATCCTGTCCGGTTCCCAAGAATGGAATCCCTCCGTTGTGTTCATCCTCAACCTTCTGGCAATCTTTCCACTGGCATCGTTGCTGTCCTTTGCGACCGAAGAGCTAGCCAAGAGCGTGGGACAGACTGTGGGAGGCTTGATCAATGCGTCCTTCGGCAATGCCATTGAAATGATTGTGAGTGCATCTTAGCCATCTCCTCATTCCAAGCTAACCGAGGCTCTCCCAGGTTGGGATCACAGCGGTGAGTCAAGGGGAGATCCATATCGTCCAATCTTCCATGGTTGGCTCCATTCTGTCCGGAACTCTACTGGTGCGCAGTGCAACAGCCCCATTTCCTGCTCGCATGTCTGACCATTGTCTAGGTCCTAGGATGTTGCTTCTTTGCCAGTGGCTACAATAAGGAGACTGTGGTTTTCAATGTTGATGTGACGGGGATCATGTCGTCCTTGATGATTGTGTCCTCGGCGGCTCTCGTCATTCCGTCCACTCTGTACTCCACGGCCCTCTATGCTTCACCCAACGGAAGCGAGTACATCCTGCGCCTGTCGCATATCACTGCCGTGTTTCTACTGTTGTTCTACTTTGTCTACCTTTACTTCCAGCTAAGCAGTCATGCTCACCTCTTCAGCGGAACCGAAGAGGAAGAACAAGAAGAGCGCCAATTAGGACCCTTTTCCGCCAGCCTTGTTTTGGTGCTTGCGACGCTGGGGGTCACCGTCTGTTCCGACTACCTGGTCGACGGCGTGGATGGCTTTGTGGAAGCCTATGGGGTTAGCCGGGCCTTCCTGGGTCTGATTGTCGTGCCCATTGTCGGGAACGCCGGCGAATTTGCAACGACCGTGAAGGCAGCAAAGGAGGGGAAGGTGGACCTAGCCATTGGAGTGATTGTGGGGAGCACCCTCCAGATTGCCCTTTTTGTGACGCCATTCCTGGTCCTTTACGGCTGGGCACTTGGGGAACCCATGTCCCTCCGCTTCAATACATTTGAGACCGCCTGTTTTTCGCTAGCGGTGGTAGTGATGAACTGCTTGATTCGAGAGGGGCAGTCCAATTACTTTGCGGGGGTCTTGTTGTGCGGAACGTGAGTGCTCCTTCTTTTATCTTAGCCGTTTCCTGCTGACCTGCTGTTAGTTATCTGATCATCGCTATTGCGTTCTATGTACACCCGGATATCGTTTCGCCTCCCGAATAAGCAAACGCCTGGCAGACAATATGTAATGAGTGACACGTAAACCGGAGGCATGATGACCTGTCAGATGTTCACTCCGGATATTACTATGACGTGGGACTGTCGGCCATCAGTATTTGCCAATCCGCAGAAAAAGCCGCGAGCTCAACAGCGAGTATCAAGGGTGGCGGGTCGCATCCAGGATGTGACGGAGTTGGATTGCGATCAGGCCAGGAACGGATCCTGCGGGTAAATTAGGCAAAAATACGGCCGAGCGGGGAAGCCGAAGATTACCGGCAGGTGTTACGCGGCTGTCTCCGCCCCGTATCGTCCACCCCCCGGGCCATCGGGCGGTTCTCTTTCGCTCTCTCTCGTGGGAGTTTCTCCCCCCTCTCATCTGATTCCTTCTGGCCTCATCTCGTCTCGTTCAGAGCACGACTGGACTGACGCCTGCACATCCTGTATCTATTCCGTAACTCTCTGTTCCTCCTATGGTGCGAGAGTCGTTCGTCATGACCCCGGTAACAACCAGATCCGCGGTCTAATTACAATCCCAATTCTCGCGGTAGCATGAGCTTCTAGACGGGGCCATGAAGGAGGCAGGTACTTCTGGGGCCTTGGCTACCCTTCCCCAGTGGCCCATCCCCGACTGGAACCATATATAGAGCCAATCGTTGACTAACATACCCCAAGAGCCTGAACGAAAAGCCCGTCGCCACCCACCAACCGCTGGTCAGGGGTGAGCATGGCGTGTTTGAGTTCTCGGCTGAGCAGTTGAGTAGCCTCATCGAATCGCGAAACCTCGAGACCTTCTACGCCTTGGGTGGCCTCCCCGGATTAGAAAAGGGACTGCGAACCAACCGGAACACTGGATTAAGCGTGGATGAGTTGGGGCTCAAGGACCATCACCAATCAGCAATAGTCTCGTCCATTCACAAGATATCCCATCACCATCAGCATGGAACCACGCAGTTTGCAGATAGACGGGCAGTCTTCGGAGACAACCGCCTTCCCATCGCCAGACCACCCACGATCCTGCAGTTAATGTGGATGGCCTATAACGACCACGTCCTCTTCCTTTTAACCGGCGCCGCCATCATCTCGTTGGCCCTGGGGCTGTATCAGACATTTGGGACTAAACACACGAGGTCCAATCCACCTGTTGAGTGGGTAGAAGGAGTGGCCATCCTGGTCGCCATCATCGTCATCGTCCTAGTCGGCGCAGGAAACGACTTTCAGAAGCAGTTGCAGTTCCAGAAGCTGGACAGGAAGAAACACGATCGTCATGTGAGGGTTATTCGATCCGGACGGTCGCAGGAGGTCGCAGCTCATGAGCTGGTGGTTGGCGATATCGTGCACATGGAGCCAGGCGACGTCATCCCCGCCGATGGTGTTTTAATCCAGGGCCATCATATTCGGTGTGACGAATCATCTGCGACTGGTGAGTCGGACCTGGTGCCTAAGCAATCCGGAGATGAGGTCGCAGATGCGATCGCTGATTGTCGGGATACAAAGCACCTCGACCCGTTTGTCATCTCTGGCTCAAAGGTTGCCGAAGGCGTTGGGTCGTTCTTGGTGCTAGCTACGGGCACCGAGTCGAGCTACGGCAAGATTCTTCTGAGTCTCGAGGACGACTCTGAATTCACCCCCTTGCAGTCTCGGCTCAATGTGCTAGCCAAGTACATTGCTAAATTTGGCGGGATTGCTGGTTTGGTGATGTTCGTCATCCTGTTCATCAAGTTCTTAGTTGGCTTGCGTCATTCAACGTCTTCGGGCACCGAGAAGGGCCAGGACTTCTTGAATGTTTTTATCATTGCCCTAACCATAGTGGTCATTGCCGTGCCCGAAGGTCTGCCTTTGACTGTGACTCTATCCCTTGCTTTCGCCTCCACGAGAATGCTCAAGGACAATAATTTAGTCCGCCAGCTGAGAGCGTGTGAAACCATGGGCAATGCCACGGACATTTGCTCGGACAAGACCGGAACCTTGACGCAAAATGAGATGACGGTAGTCGCAGGCATAATTGGGACGACTGCAGAGTTCAACGGGCCACAGCCTCAGATTCACGGCTTGGTTGGAGCGGTGCCGACTACCGCTGAGTTTATGTCTCGTCTCAGCAATAACGTAAGATCGCTAATCCGAGATCTAGTCGCGGTCAACACCACGGCTTTCGAATCAGAGGCAGCAGGAAGCCGATCGTTTATTGGATCCAAAACCGAAGCCGCCCTGCTGGTCTTCGCTCGAGACCACTTGGCCATGGGTCCGCTAGAGGTGGAGCGATCGAACCATGACGTGGTGGAACTCATCCCATTTGATGCGGCTCGTAAGTTCATGATTACCGTGGTCCGCCTGGGAAAGATGTACAGGGCATACATCAAGGGAGCCCCGGAATTACTGCTAGGGATGTGTTCGAGTTCCATATTGGACCCAACTGAAGATCTCTCTATTGTCGCCCTGGAAGAGGGTATGAAGCAAGATCTATACCAGAAGGTAGATGAATACGCCTCGCGATCGCTACGGACAATCGCTCTGCTCTTCCGAGACTTCGAGACATGGCCTCCGAGCCAGGCTGCGGAAATCCAGCCAGACACGCTTGACATGGATGATATCATGCGCGACCTGACTTTCATTGGTCTTGCTGGTATCCGGGATCCTTTGCGACGAGGAGCCCATGATGCCGTAGAAACCTGTCACCGGATGGGTGTGACGGTGCGGATGGTCACAGGGGACAACCTTCGAACGGCCCGATCTATCGCGGAGGAATGCGGCATTATCACTAGCAACGAGGACATTGCCCTTGAAGGGCATGAATTTCGAAGCCTGACCGAGGCGCAGCAGCTTGAGATTGCGCCCCAGCTCAAAGTTCTGGCTCGATCCCGGCCTGAAGATAAACGCACGCTCGTCCGAAGACTAAAGGAACTCGGGGCAACGGTCGCTGTGACAGGGGATGGAACGAACGACGCCCCGGCTCTCACTGCAGCTGATGTTGGCTTTTCCATGGGCATTTCGGGGACAGAGATTGCACGCGAGGCCTCAGCCATTGTTCTGTTGGACGATAATTTCGGTTCCATCGTCAAGGCGATCATGTGGGGAAGGGCAGTCAGCGATGCGGTGCAAAAATTCTTACAGGTCGGGATTGCTGCATGAGGTTTCCGGTTTTTCATCAAGCGACTAATTGTGTTGTTCAGTTTCAAATCACCATTACCTTCACCTCTGTCGGACTAGCCTTTGTCACGTCTGTGGCCAGCTCCAGCGAAACATCGGTGCTGACGGCCGTCCAGCTGATGTGGGTAAACCTGATTCAGGACACATTGGCAGCCCTGGCCCTCGCCACCGATCCCCCATCGCGAAAAGTGCTGGACCGAAAACCCGAAAGGAGGTCAACTCCTCTGATCACGGTGCCGATGTGGAAGATGATCATCGGGCAATCGATCTACCAGCTGGTCGTGACGCTAGTGCTTCACTTCGCCGGTAACCGTGTCTTCTCCTACAGCACCTCCCATGAACACTCTCAGCTGCAGACCGCAGTGTTCAACACATATGTCTGGATGCAAATCTTCAACCTATATAAGTGGGTCCTCCTCCCGTCTCTGCTATCCTCTGGTCCTGACTGTCCTTAGTACCCGCGCCCTTGGCAACAATATCAACGTCCTAGAAGGCGTCCACCGGAACTGGCTCTTCATTGGAGTCAACGTTATTATGATCGCGGGACAAGTGATTATCATGTTTGTTGGAGGCCGCGCATTTTCGATTACCCGGCTCAGCGGGGACCAGTGGGCCTACTCGGTCGTTCTGGGGGCATTGTCACTTCTTGTTGGGGTTCTCGTGCGTTTTATTTCCGATGTCCTCGTCGAGCGTCTCTTTGGTGGTTTAGCCATTGTCATGGGGCCCCTGTTGAGGCTCTTGCGGGTGAAAGGTGAATGACGGGCGGTTGCTCTGTTGTCAGTTTTATTTTGGGTTATGTATATACCTTGTGCCGTATGAACGGGGGCCAAATTCGCGAAATGACCCGTCTTCACATGATACAAGCTTCCCTCTCCTCAAATACAAGTCCATAGCATGGTGACCTGGATCACATAATATCAAGATATTATCGATTAGGACAATTCATGAATATATTCAGTATCGTTACATCATGTACAAGTCTACTTTTCCACCCTCATAACAGCGCCGGGGCAGTCTCCTTCTCCGAAATCATACGCGTCAATACTGAGTCGAAGATTTCCTTGCCAGCTCTGTCATGCACCAGTCCAATCCACATGAACGATGACAAAATCGCTCGCATCTCCGGCCACGAACGCACGCAACAGCCCCCAAGGTGATACAGCAGCCACTGTCGGAAATAGCTCCTCGCGGAGGGCTCAAAGACCGAGAGTCCGCCAACGGTCAATAGCCAGATCCATAGTTCGGGGGAGACATCGTCTCTCATAACCAGGCCATTAAGACATCGCCGGTACGAGGACGCCAGATGTGTGTAGGGAATGGTGGCGCGCCACTGGAGGAAGATATCGAATCCATAGCTTAACAACGCCAGACGGATGGCTTCGTTGCGGGCCCGGCAGTCAAAGCCCATATGTAGCAGGGGATACATGACGGAGGCCATGGTTTTGAGGAAGTCCTTTTCAGGGATCATGCCGTTGGACTCGACGGTGAGGTTGATCTGGGCGCAGAACCCTTGCATGATGTGCCAGATCCTCGCGAGGCCAGGGTCGAGTTCCCGCACGAAGGCAGGAGTCGCGCTGCGACGGGGCTGGAAGCAGAGCGCGGATGGCACGAAGAGGTCGAGGTCTCGGTTCTCGAAAAAAGCGGGCTTGCCTCCACTGTGGATAGCCAGGCCCACATCGCATCTGCACCGGATGTTAGACTAACTGGCTAAGAGTCAGACAGGATGGAATGGACCCACCGGATGAGATCGATGACCAATTTATTATTCGATATGAATGACCCTAGCCCGCCGCGGAGACGGACCATCTTGCGTAGACCCTCGGTGTGATGGCGGACGGCATCATAGTCCCCCATGATATGCGCATGCAGGATCAGAAGGATGACGATCATAACGGTCGCATTGGATATCTTGAGCTGCTCATCCGCGAGCCTGTCCCGCAGGAGGCGGATAGTCTTGACGAAGTGAGGGGAGAGAGACAGGTCGGAGCACTCGCCGGGTCGAAAGTAGGACTGGGTGGTGAAGACCATGGCGTTGAGGTAGGCAGCATCCAGGGCGAGCATCTCAAACATCCACGCGCGACTGGCCTGATTGAACACGATGCAGACGGCCAAGGGGTAGAACTCCGCCTTTGCGCTTTCGGTGACTAGCTCCCATGAGTGCCCGGTCAGATCCAGCTGGTCGGGTCAAGGTCTGGCAGGCAGACAGGCACCTACAGCGCAGAATAGTGGCTAGTGCGGCCGGACTGGCCGAGTCATCGGCCAGCTGAATCCAGGACAGGTCGTTCCCGATCCTGCGGGGAAGATCTGGCGCTGCTCGCGTGGCCCGTGGGGGCAGTGGAGGTGAAGCCACTGCGTCGTCTGTGCTCGAGTCATCGGGCTTGGACCGGTCCTCTGCTTGGCGATAACGGGATTTGCCGCGGTTCTTGCCAATCATGACATGGCTGCGGATGAGTTTGCGGGTATGGGGGTCGACTTTCTTAGTGTTGGTGGAGACGATGAAGGGCATGTCCGCCGTGGCCACTATCGCGGAGCAAGAAGAGGTAAGATACTGGCTACGGACGACCGCACGGCATGGAAGCAGCACATACCGGATCGCTGAGAGGGTGGCATGGTGGCGTCGTTTGCACGACCCGGACTGACGGGATTGGTATCACGGACAGTGTGGCAGCAAGACGCGCAGCCGCGTGGGTAACACACTAAGACGAGAGTCGCTGGCAGGTGTTCAGATTGCTGGCTGAAAACGGCAAGCAATCCTATATAAAAGACGACTGATGGGGGGCCGCCCATCGCGTTCCCCATCAAGCCTGAGGCCAGCTTCCACTCCGCCCCCGTCCCCGGCCCGCCGTCAGCTCTTCCGATTGGTAGGAGAGCCCCAGGTGGGCCCAAGATTGTTGCCCTCCTTAGGTCTAGTGCTGACAACACGTGAGGGGATCCGCGCGTTAACCCCGATCGGGAAGGAGCTTAATCATCGCTGCTCTGAATATAGAAATAAAGAGGAGATCATATCCGATGCCTTATGCTTCCATTTAATATTCTCCGGCACTTGAGCTATTCTCAAAAGATCTGTCACAGGGCCATCCGTACTCTAGCTAAGCTGATGCGTACAGTATACTGCCGGCAAGAAATAACAGAACCAACAACTACTCGCATTGACATCTCCGAGCCTTATTCAAAGACTCTACCCTCCACCGATGCATCAACCTTGAGCTCTGCTCTTTCTGAGAAACCGCTTCAAGGTGTGGTCGATGACTTTGGAGGTGGATTCATCCAATTCTTCGCCTTCGATGGACAGAGGGGCCGTGGTGTCGCCACAGGGCACCCCGTGGATCCAACGGACCAGCAGCTCATAATTCCCACGCTTATTTTCTTTGAAGTCCACGAAATGGCTCTTGGAGATGTGCAGGTGGTTTCCATCGTGATACGCGTGCAGGATCCGCACTTTGGATCGGAAGATGGAAATGACCACGACCTGGGTGGAAAACATTCGGTTAGCAAGATGGAAGATGGCGAGGAGGTGCGGACTTACGGGGAAGGTGTAGTGACGGATATAGTCAAACTGGGTCAGTCTCCATCTCATGTACCCGACAATCGGCAGAACCTCACTGCGACGCAGAGGCTCCTCCGGCTGGGCGTAATGGTACAGCCGGAAGCCGCAGTGCGGAATGTCGATGGAGCTGGCTTCAAACTCGGCACAGGTCTGCCATTCATAGGGAACATCGGGGGTATGCTCGCCACTGGCGACGCGAGGTTCTTCATGGTAGCACCTGCGGGAATGTGAGTGGATGAGCCCTGGATGAAGGGGCTTGGTGATTAGTAGTAGTGACTCGTACTTACCCCTGCTGAACCCAGGAGACCTGCTTGTCATCCACCAGCCAGGAACACCAAACTTCATTCGACACATGCTGGAGGGTATATTCCACCCGGTGGACCTCATCACTGTCTCCCTCCGTCCAGTTCGAAAATTCTATGCTTCCCCAGTCAATCGCGGGCAACTCCGACTTGGGCAGTGGTTGGTAAAAGGTTTGATGACCCCCATGGGGGTCCCCTTCCAGGTCCAGGTGGGAAAGTTTGATCCCCAGGGATTCCAAATCGCCGTTGGTAAGAGCTGTACGGCTGAAGTTTTTGGTTGCGTTGAAGATGCGCGTCAGGTCGTGGTGGACAACTGCGGTCTTCTTCACCCGCGCGCGCACTCGCTGCCGCACCATCTGGAATCGTTCCGCGTCCATTTTCTGGATAAGGGGGTTAAGAAAATCGGGGAATGGTCGGTACTCAGGTGGATGGGTGGGAAGGGAGGAGGGGGGAAGAAGGTTGGAGCAGCGACTCTTATAAAAGCCGGTCGGCGTTGCCACGACAGCCCGGCGGTCGGGTTCATGCGACTTTCACCAGGATTCCCCCGATGCATGAGAGTGACTGGCGGAAACTGCCACGCCTCTTCGCATTCATCAACCCAGAGCGGGAGCGAGGTTTCCCGTGCCCTGTAAGGGAATTACCTCGTTCACGATGGCGATTTCCGGGTGGTGCACTGGTGGTCTGGTCCCTCCCTACGATAACACTGGCATTCAACGGAGTGGCCCTTCACCCTGATATAAGTGACTCCCAGCTGTCGTGGAAGGCTCCTGCATGGCGTCGAGATGGTTCCATCTCGCTCCTTCCTTATATAAAGAAGCTGAGCCTGCTGGCTTCATCATCGTTCTCGAGTCATCTAACCTATCCAACCATCTATTCCCTCTGACCGATCTGGCATACCCATCTAGATCCAACCATGTCGACTATCCCCTTGCCCATCCAGATCGGAAGTGAAGCCAAGTGGATCGCCTCCGCCAAAGCACACGGAGTCAAAGGGGTCAATATCTTCGAGCTTGCGGAATATGATTCGGCATCCAAGATAGGGGAGGCCCAGTATCTTGCTTTGAGGGCAGTCTGGAAGCGCAAGCAGAAGGCCCAGTTCGATGCGAAGCTCTGGGGTCTGCAGGACATCGATATCGCTCAGAAGCTGTTGAGCAAAGTCCCGCAGTGGCAGGCCTTCCTCGCAGCGGTCCCCCTTCTGGTCCCCTTGGACAAGATACTCCCCGTCACCGACCTGGGCCGCTTTGAGCTCACCTGGTACTATGGACAACTCATCCGTGCAGCACCGAGTGCGCCAGATAACGACGATAATCTGATTTTCACTCCAGTCGCGAAACGAACGAGATCCAAGACATGGCAGCCGGACCCCGCAGCACTCCTGCAAACACCGACTAATCCACGCCAAAGAGATCTTTGTGATCTTTTCAATGAGTTGAGCCTTGAAGAAGGACAAGCCCCAAAGCCGGCAGTCACCCTAACAACCTCTTACTCTACTGGATCCCCCAAGGGAGCACGGACCCAAGAGCCAGCAGTCTCCCCGCCGACCTCTTACTCTTCGGACTCCTCGAAAGACGCACAAGAGCCGGAGTCGGCCAAGCCTCAGTTATCCTCTCCAGAGACCCCGCAGGATGACCTGGACCGAGATCCCACTTACGAAGATGACAACGACGCGTTCCCCCCAGTGTCCGATGAGAACGTTGTCAACTCCTACTTGGCTGGGTTTGCAAGCCTAGTGACCATGTCGGTCCAGGGGGTCAAGGCCCATTGGTCCCAGGAGCGTAAGGGGTTCAAAGTCAGAAATGAGGGCACCAAGTTGTACGAGGCACGCACCGATGGGCACCTATTCTCAACTGACGGCAAACACACCAAAGCCATCGTCGAGGTGAAACCGATGATGCGAGATGCTTCGACCAGAGTGATGATGCAAGAGACGGCAGAGATGGCTGCCTGGATCCACGCAGAACCCGATGAGATCCAGGGTTGCGCAAATGATAAAAGGTCTCATTTCAACAACCCCTTCCTTGTCGGGAAATTTCAGGCTTATTGACTAATCATGTGACTCTTAGGTTCCTTCGGCTCCTGTTCTCCATGAATCGGCATGAGATCTATCTCATCATTGCCGAGTACAATGTGGATTATGTGGACTATCTCATCAACCCAAATCGCAAATCCGAGTGTCAGTCTTTCCTGACCATGAACCAGTTTGGACCGTGGGATATTGCAAGAGCGAAAGACATGGAGACCATCGGCTCGGTGATATTGGCTGTGACTTTGCACTTTAGTAAAAGTCTCCCCTTGATTCAGCCTCCCCCTAGTGAGAAGAAAAAGTAGGACACGTCCGGTTCGGTCCTCCCCACGAAGTTCTGAGTAGACTTGAGGGGGGTCAAAGTTCTAGATAAATACACTCCCATTCGATACGGCTTGATGGCATCATCGCCCATCGTGGGATCCACCATGGTAAAAATTGAGTGCTGATTTTCTTGGGGTCAACGCGGCGAGCAATAAATACTAGGTTTAACGTTACAAAACGAAAAAAAAAAAGAATCACAAGTGCTTATCTATCTATCCATGTTTTGAGTACCACACACATAGAGGAATATGATCCGTAGTCCGAAAGAGACATGGGATACCTATCCCACCCTTCGTATGCAGCAGATCCCACATATATGGCCCGGGCGCTGAACACAGCCACGAACATCTAGGCCTGATCATTGTTTATTTAGTCAATTGCTAGGTCAAACAAAATACCGATTGTTAGCGAGTCGTTAACCTGCTTGTCATCTCCCGATCAATTCTCGCTTTCCATGTGGGCATTTCAGAACCCCCCTCGGATCATGATCAGGTAAGTCAGGGACTTTTGAAACGTCTCTTTAGGTGGCGTTTGACTACGTGCTCCGTATTATGCCTGCGACGATTGGCAATGCGCGGCGCAACGCGTCGACCTGTAGGCGACCACGGTCTAGTATATCGTTCTCTGTCTTCGCTACTCTCCCACCTCCCGGTCTGCTCCCCAGTGTCCATACTTATTCGTCCATTTGATATTATTCTCATGCAATCTGTCACAGGCCATTCAAACCCTAACTAAGCTAAATACATACAACAAAATTCCGGAAAGAAACAGGGAGACCCTTGAATTCACATTTAGGTCTGCAATTTATCGGCTCCAGGTCCCCCTAGAAATACCTAAACTGCGCGCCGTGCAGCAGCACTTGTTTGGCTAGTTCTGAAAAGCCGGTGGAGCACGTCATCGATAAGCTCGCTGGTAACTTGGTCGATTTCTTCGCCTTTGATTCCCAGAGGGGCCTCGGTGTCACCACAGGGTACCCCGTGAATCCAGCGCACAAACAGTTCGTAGTTCTCGCGCTTGGGCTCTCGGAAGTCAACGAACCGGCTTTTGGAGATGTGGAGCCGCTGTCCATCATGGTACGCCTGCAGGATACGCGCTTTGGATCGGAAGATGGAGACAACCAGGACCTGCGGGGGATTCCCATTAGTGAGGGATCGACAACCCACAAGGCAAGGTGGTCCAGTAGAAGTAAGATAGATGCAGGGGTAGCAACCCCGAACAAGCCAAAGAAGAGGACTTACCGGAAATGTGTGGTGGCAGATATAATCAAACTGGGACAGTCTCCATCTCATGTACCCGACAATGGGCAGAACCTCGCTGCGACGCAGAGACTCCTCCGGCTCGGCGTAATGGTACACTCGGAAGCTGCAATGAGGGATGTCGAATGACTTCGCTTCGATCTCGCCACAGGTCTGCCATTCGTAGGGGACGTCGGGCGTGTGCTCGCCGGTTGCGATACTAGGGATCTCGCGGTAGCACTTGCGCTGCACCCAGGGTTGTTTCTTGCTATTCTCCAGCCAGGAACACCACAGTCGATTGGAGACACTTTGGAGAACTCGTTCCACTCGGCGGGGCTCATGGCTGTATCCCTCCGTCCAGTCCGAAAACCGGACCCTTCCCCAGTCAATGGCAGGCAACTCGGACTTTGGAAGTGGTTGAAAGAAGGTTTTGGCATCACCGGTGGATTTTCCCTGCAGATCAAACGCGGCCAGGGTGATTCCCAGGGTCCTCAAATCGCTGTCGGTCAAGTTGGTATGGTCACAGGCTTTGGTTGCGTTGAAGATGCGCGTCAGGTCGCGGTACACAACATTGGTCTGGCCCACGCGCATCGCAACATTCTGCTGCACCTTGGCGAACTGTTCTCGAACACCCATTCTGAAGAGCGAGAGAGAGAAAAGCGGGGATATGAAGAGAGATCGATGCTAGGATGATGATGCCACGATGATGTGGATGGGTAGAGAGGATGGAAAGGATGGAAAGGCGAGCTATATAACATAACCCAGGGGTGCCCGACGTTACCACAACAGCCAGCCGACCGGAGTCACGCGGTTCTCGAGAGGGTTTCCCCGTACGAACGGCTTCACTCTTCACTCTTCAATCACCCATATCAGGCTACTACCGTTGAACTTACGGAATAGTGAACATGTCGGAATCTCTCTTCGGATATATGCCTGTCACTAAATGGTTGAAGCCTTTCACTAGGGGATATTCCCTGAACCCTGCCGAAGATGATATCTAAACCCAACGGATTGGCCCTCCACTCCTGCAATCCTCTCACGGAATATGTCTGATTCACTCACAGCGATGATAATAGTCATCTCCAATTAGTGGGAATACTCCTGCAACACCAGGCGATTGCAGTATCTGTTTGTCTGTTATAATAAGCAAGCCGAAGCCTGCATTCACCATCATCATCATCCTCCTCCTCCTCCTCCTCCTCTAACCTGTTGACCATATTCATCTACCCATTGTTGTGCTCTGACAAAATCTCTACAGATCTGAATATGTCGACTTGTCCCTTACCAATCCAAATTCAGGATGAGAAAGATTGGGAGACCTTCGCCACAGCCAATCAAGTCCAAGGGGTCAGTATATACCGACTTCTGAACTACAAGTCCGCATCCAAGATCGGAGCGCCTCAGTACCTTGCTCTGAGAGCGCTATGGAGGTTCGAAGGTGCGCCCGCGTTCAAACCGCAGGATTGGGGCATCGAGGGGGTGAAAGCTGCCAAAGAGCTGTTGGGCCAACTTCAAAAGTGGGAAGCCTTCCTGCAAGCGGTCCCCCGTCTGGTGCCCCTGAACAGCATTCTCCCCATCCAGAGCGACCTGGGCAAATTTGAGCTGATATGGTACTATGGTCAACTCATTCGTGGTTCCCCGGGCACATCAGCACCCGATAACGATGACAATCTGGACTTTGCTCCGATTTCGCAAAGGACGAGGTCACAGACATGGCGGCTGGACAGCCTGCACATCCCGACTGATCCAGGCCATAACATTCTCAAGAGGCGTTTCGCAAAGATGCTCGAGGAAGCAGAAGCCCAAGAGCCACCCGTCACCCCGCCAACTACTTACACCCCTGGACCCGCCAAAGGAGAAGCCCCAGCTCTGCCAGTATCTCCGTCAAAGCTTCCCTCCCCGGAGACCCCGGAAGATGACTTGGACCTCGATCCTACCTACGAAGATGATGAAGAGGACACGTTCCCCCCGGTTTCAGATGAGAACATTGTCAACTCATACTTGGCTGGGTTTGCAAGTCTAGTGACCATGACAGTCCCGGGAGTCCAGGCGCACTGGTCTCAGCAGCGAAAGGGGTTCAAAGTAAGCAACCGGGGTAACAAGTTATACGAGGCACGCACCGACGGGCATTTGTTCCTGGCTAAAAGCGAACGCACCAAAGCCATCATCGAGGTAAAGCCAATGGTACGCGATGATTCCAATCGAGTGATGATGCAAGAAACCGCGGAAATGGCTGCATAGATCCACGCAGAACCCAATGAAATAGCGGGTGACGCTTCAAAAAACAAAAGGTTTTATCCCAACATCCCCACCCTTGACAAGAAACAGAGAATCACTGACCATGAACTCTTAGATTCCTGCGGCTACTGTTCTCCATGAATCGACATGAGATCTATCTCATCATTACCGAGTACAATGCGGATTACGTGGACTATCTCATCAACCCGGATCGCAACTCCGACTATCAGTCATTCCTGACGATGAATCAGTTTGGGCCTTGGGATATTGCAACTACTAAGGATGTTGAGAACATCGGCTCGCTGATTTTGGCGGTGACTCTGCAGTTTAGTAGAGGACTTCCAGTTGGTCGGCCGCCTCGTCCGGTGTCAGACTAGTAGGTCTCGTCCGGTTTTCTCCTGATGATATTCTGGAAGTAGAAGATTGTAAAGATAAAATGTTTCAAAAAGCTATAACAGCATCGTTTTCATCTTGGTATGAAATGCTCACGAAAATGGGAACCCTGATCAGAGATAAATCTACGCAATGAAGATATGTTATTTGAAGACTTTGATATCGAGTATGGTTCTTCTCGTGTACCTATAGGTACCTTGATCTAGTAATGCCTACAGAATTTTACATTGCAATGTTTTTGCCTGATTCTTGAGGCACAGATAATCGAGCATACTTGAAGGTGTCGATTTTGAAAAGGATCGATAGTTTTCTGATTTCAATCAGTCGTAGACCGTTGATCATGCCTTCAATTGAATAATGAAAGTCGATATCTGTGCTAGAAGCGGGAGCAGAGTCAATATAGATTCCAAATTATGTCCATATCAAAGGAAAGGTTACGCTGGGCCAATGGTTGCGTTGAGCTAATAGAGTCGCTGGGGCGGGTATGCCTAAAGGAAGGCTTCAAACATTTGTTAAATTAAGCAAAGGTGCTCTATGGGTGCTACTCAACAATTATTTAGAAAGGGCACGTTATGAGATGAATCGGGAGCCTTTGAAACACTCTTTGGGGGGCACCTGAACAGGCCCTTCTAGATGTGCTTTATTAGACTCTTGGAAATGCGCTTTGCAACGCGCATTTCCAACGTCTTGGTCTGTAGGCTACCACAGCCTAGCATGTCGTTCTCTACCTTCTCTACTCGCCCACCTCTCGGTCTGCTTCCCAGTGTCCATACTTCTCCATGACACGCCACTTCCACGTGCGATATCGAATTGCCTTTCCCCAGAAGAAGAACAGAACGGCCAGGGCGACAATCACCCCGGCGATGCACGCCATCTCCCCGAAGGCGACGGTATACCCCTCCGTGTTGATCCAGGGATTGGTGTAGAACGAGAGAAGGAAGCCGAATGCAGCTGGATCATCCATTCATCAGTGAGGTTAAATGAGACGTATGATGAGTAGTGAAGGAATGATGCGGGTGCTCACCTTTGAATGCCAAGATAGAAACGGTCGCTTCACCCACCGCTGGTCGATAGCTATCTATCACATACACCATCGTAACATTTGTTGCCTGTACGATCGCAAAATTGAGAAGCCCCAACGCCACCGTCGGGACCATCCAATGCAGCTGGTTATTTACTCCCACGCCGTACAAGATCAATGAGACAGGCGCACAGACGCCACCGATGATGACAGATGGCAGCCGCATCTCCGGATGTCGGATGCCACCATTCCGTTGCGTGAACCAATCCGCTGTCCAGTCCGAGAGGTGGCCGCCGAAGACAATGCCAATAAAGGAACCTAACAGCCCAGAACTAAAGCATAAGCCTGACTGCCAGGATGTGAAGCCATAGGCTTCGGAATATGCCGTGGCAAAGTTCGAGGAGATGGCAACGAGAAAGCCAACTGTCACAGCGAAGACTAGGGAGGTCCAGAGGACCGGAGGAAGGACAATTAACACTATAGGTCGGATGAAGATGCGGAAGAGGGATTCGGAGGTGTGGATGCCCCTGAAGAGACGGAGCGACCGGAGATAAGACTCTTTTCGTTGGGTCGCTGATGGTGGTTGGTTCGACGGTTCATTATTGTCTGTTTCGATGGTCGCGGGGTTCAAGTCATCCATCGGGATCTCTTCCTGGAGCGCACGCTGACGGTCAAAGGTCGTTTCGGGAAAAGTGAAGATGACAAGCAGAGTCAGGCCCCCAATTAGCGCGGACGCGACGTAGTAGATGTAACGCCAGTGAAGGTTGATCGTGATGAGTCCATCGATGATGATGCCGCCTGACACGCCCATGGAGAGAGCTGCAGTGTAAAGTGCCATCACGGCGCCCCGTTCATGCAGGAAAAATATGTCTGCGATAGTCAGAGGCCCAAGGCACTCGCCAGCGCCGGCAGCAAAGCCCATGACAATCCTTCCAGCTAACTCCACCGCATACGTCTTCGCAAATCCACACCAGAGTCCTGTGCCGACATAAAGGATGAAGGAGATGACATAGATCGGCCGCCGCCCATACTTGACAATCAAGGGCATCCAAAACAACATGCCAATGCCCTGACACAAGGACGTCGTGCTAAAAAAGTATGATATCCTGGCAAGATGGGAGCTATACTCCGAGCCTGCAGGCCCGAGAAAGTCAATTGTTGTCTGCTGGATGGCCACGGTTGGCCCGGCTGCTAGAAAGTTGCAGAAGAAGACCGCCAGGCAGACGACGATGGCGATGTAGTAGCGGAAAGCGGAGGGCCTACCACCCAGTCAGTGGCACCACACATGCAGGGGCTGATAACTGACCAATTCAGGGGGTCATTCGGGTTCCTCGACGGGGTGGGAATCAGCAAAACCTCGTTGGTCTCATGGTGCCGCAGGCGTACGCTTCCGAGGGCATCCCTGAGGGTTTCCTCTTCATGAGACGTTGTCGGCTTCGACATCATGGCGGAGTATAATGGATAGAGGCACCGGTAAACATCTGGCGTATTCTTCCACTGTATTTAAGGCCCGGAGACATCGACAATGAGCTGACAGGCGTCATTGGGGGGCATCCAACTTCTCAGTTTGTACTCGTACAGCAAGGTCGCAGCCACGGTCACTGCGATACCAGCCATGATCTCAAACTGAACCGCTCCTTTCCCTCCACCCATCCGAAGCTGCAGACACAGGTTGGGTCCAGATGTGCGGGGTTGAATGTGGCCCGCAGTGGTTCCGAGAAGGTGATGCAGGAACTGGGCGCCTGTAGCCTTCGCGCGTGCGTGGATCCCCGGCCGCATAACCTTAAATGCTTTGCCGCCCGCCGAAGCCTCCTCTTTTTCCCAAACTATCACCTCCTTCCGAGTATCACGAAACACACAGAATGCACATCATCTGGCGGGACTCGGCTGAACCGGCCGTCTACGAAGAGGCGCGTGTAGGTCGTGTCTTCAACCACCGTCGTCCACAAAGATTCCCGTTGGCAGTCGTCAAAGCGACTAGCCAAAGCGACATCATTGCAGCCGTGAAACTAGCGGCGGAGAGGAGTTGTCGTGTCGCGGTTCGCTCCGGGGGCCATTCGTGGGCGGCGTGGAGTGTACGCGATGAATCCATCCTGATTGACCTGGGGAACTACAAGCACCTGGAAGTGGATGCCGAGAGTCGCATTGCACGAGCCACCCCCAGTATGACGGGAAAGGAGCTGAATGGCACCTTGATCAAGGAATACGGCTTGATGTTTCCTGGAGGTCATTGCCCGGACGTCGGCCTGGGTGGCTTCTTACTACAAGGTGGAATGGGATGGAATTGTCGGGTCAGTCGCGTGTCTCGGTGGTGGGTGGTTCGGGCGCTAACAGGCATCTACCTAGAACTGGGGCTGGGCCTGTGAAAGAGTCCAAGCAGTCGACGTGGTGACGGCCACGGGCGAGCTGCTGCACTGCAACGCGACTCAAAATCGAGAGCTCTACTGGGCAGCCAGGGGAGCTGGCCCTGGCTTCCCCGGAGTGGTCTCACAGTACCACCTGGAGCTGATCCCTTATCCCAAGAACGGATTCCGGTCGTCCGGCTACGTGTACCCCATTCGCCTTTACCGCCAGGCCTTTAATTGGCTTCTTTCCATCACTCCTGGCTTTGACGAGGACACGGAAATCGCCGCTGTAGCTTCCTATCCAGAGGGTATCGACGAACTCTGTCTGTTTATTCTATTCGTCACCATGAAGTCCGCACCGGAAGAAGCTGAAAAGGCTCTGCGTCCAGCACAGGAGAGCAGACCGGCCGGAGCCATCCAAGAATGGTTCTGCCAGGTTGACAGTCTGGAAAACCAATACTCCCAGCAAGCCAAGGCCAACCCCGAAGGTCACCGATACTGCGCCGAGAACGCCTACATCCGCAATGATGCAGACGTTCCCGCCGTGCTGGAGGAGGCCTTCACGACGCTGCCCCACAAAAAGGCATTTGCCCTCTGGTACGCCATGTACCCCTGCAGCCGTCGCAAACTTCCCGATATGGCGCTGAGCATGCAGTCGGACCACTACTTCGCGCTGTATACCGTCTGGGAGGACGAAAAGGACGATGCCAGGTGCCAATCGTGGGTGGCTAATGTCATGAAGAGAGTCCAACGACACGGAGTGGGTTCCTATCTAGGAGATGCGGACTTCCAAGTCCGGAAGACACGGTTCTGGGCGGATCCCAATGCCCGACGCTTAATGGACATCCGCCGAAAGTGGGATCCCCAGGGGCGGATCTGTGGCTATCTAGACAAGGGGGACCAGTCCGGTACAAAGGGACTTGACAACGCACACGACTTGAAGCTGTGAGCAATTCATCGGGGGCTAGCTTGAAGTGTGTTCTTTAGGATGGTGCGTCTGGCGGATAAATGTTCTGCAGGTGGATGTCTTGGCCCCGTCTAGTAATGGAGCTATCTAGTCCTTAGTGCCATGGCCCACTTGAGGCAAGGGATGTGTTGTAGGGAGTACACGATTCGGAGAAATTTGTCTGTACCTATACCCTTTGAAATCGAGCAGTTAGTGTCATCCTCCAAAACAAATCAATCGGGTCAAACCTGTCGGTGCTCTGGGGCTTTGGCATAGTATCGCTAGGTGATCTAAAGACCTCCCCATAGCGCAACCCCCTTCTGAGCTCCAGGTAGTAGGCCCGGTCAGATTCGACCCACTTGCTGGTCGGTTGGTGGTCCACCATCCAGGCAGGCGTGTTTCTCAAGACGCCTCCTCAGGTGAGAGTACAAACCGTTGCCGGGGTGATTATCAACGTCAATCATTCCCTAAGGTGAAGTAATAGAACGTCTGCACTCTGCAGGTGTAAGGACTAAGGACGGCAAGCAGTTGGCGGCGTGGCGCGAGTCGGGTTGTGGGGAGGGTCGGAGAGCTGGGGAGTGGTGACGCGGTCGGGCAAACTGGAGGGGCCGGGGCGGTGGTTTCCCCGGCTGGTCCAGCTGCGGGAGCGACGAGACTGGCGGTTAGCAATCAACATTCGCTGGATGCTTATATGAGGCTAGGACACGATTGTGAGAAGGTATACACTCGATTCTCCCCTGATGTCACCCAGCGATCGACTTCACCTTGTCAACGACCACATCTTGCCTAGGATGGTGGAGCAAACCCTTCTGGATAAGGTCGCCATCGTCAGCGGCTCGTCGTCAGGCATTGGGGCCGCCATTGTGCGGGAGCTGTCTGCACGTGGAACCAACACGGTGGTCAACTATCCCTTCTCCGCACTCCAGGCCGAAGCAGATGCTCTGGTGGCCTCCCTTCCATCTCCCTCCATTGCTGTCGAGGCGGACATGGGTACAGTAGCAGCCCCTCAAACACTGGTCGACGCTGCAGTATCGCGATGGGGCAGAGTCGATATCCTGGTAAATTGCGTTGCACTGGCAGTCAACAAGCCACTGGAGGAGCAGACCCTCGATGACTGGGACAAGTTGGTCAATATTAATGGGCGCGGGACGTTCTTGTTGACGCAGGCGACCTTGCAGCATCTCACCAAGGGCACCGGGAGGATAGTGAACATCGTCAGCATATCAGGACGGGGACCTCCTCCAAATCAAACCATCTATGCTGGAACCAAAGGCATGGTTGACTCCTTCACCAAGTGCTGGTATGTCCGAATGTTGCTTGCGTCATCATGTTTACCTTGTTGATTTGAACAGGGCCAAAGAGCTTCCCCCTAAGTATGGCTGCACCGTCAACGCCGTTAGTCCGGGCCCGACCAAGACTGAGGGATTTGCAGCGGCCGGAAAGGAGCAGATGAAGATCCTCCAACCCATCATTGACCAGACACCGGTAGGGCCGCGGATGGCTGCGCCGGATGAGATTGCGTTTGCGGTGGGATTTCTATGTGAGGAGAGGGCGAGGTGGATCAACGGGGCTCATATTGTTGCATCTGGAGGATTATTTATCGATTAGTACTATCCAGCTGCACGCAGTCTGCGGTCGCTAGCTCGCCTAATCTTGTTTCCATGGATGAGAAGAGAGCGATCCGTTGGCAGCCGCAGCTACTTCCCATGTCAACTCACTTGCAGACCGGCTTCCAGTTCCTTCTTCCTTTCCCACTCCTTAAATGGGTGTTTGTGTATGATAATGAGCTTATAAAAGCTTTCCTGGCATCACAGTTTTTGTAAGTTAGCAACTTGGATCACTGCCCGTCACGATGCCATCTGCATGGGACTGAAGGTGGCACAGATATTCATGAGATAGAATCCTATCAAACGCACCTGTCTATAGCCTGCAGCCTTCTGTGCAGAGACGCCGGTCTAGGCCCATGCAGGACCCTGTCCAGTGAAGGATGGCGTGAATGGAGTCGATGCGGCACGGAAAATCCCATCCGCCAGTGGTATCTCCGAGTGTTGCTCTTAACCCCGAATCTATGGCCTTCTGCTGGCTTCAAGCAACACCATCACAGAACTCTCCACTCCATTCTTCTTCGATACACAGTCTCACGTTTTGCCTACTGCTACAAGCTTCAACTTCCCTCTCCGAGGGTGTGATCCCGAGATGCCCTCTCGCAGAAATGTCGAAAAGGCGATGGCCCTGCTCGAGAAGGACAACACCAAGATCTTGGGTCTCACCTTCGGAGCTCGGTACATCCATCCGGGCCAGTACCTCCCCAAGGCTGGTAAGTTTCTCTGACGTCGATTGGATATGAACTATCACAGGATTCACGACTAACCAACCAGATGCTGCGTATCCTCCCCAGTTATCCTTCCAGCGACTGAAGGCCTGTGGCACCTACATGGTCGTCTGCCTCGACCTGGACGCCCCATTCGCCTCTCTCAACATATTCAGCCCCATTCTCCACTGGATACAGCCCGGTCTGTTGCCTATCCTCACGGAGAGTGGGAACTTCTATCTGAGGGTCGCCGCGCCGTTCGTGGCTAACTACATGGGACCCCATCCGCCTCCGCGCGCGGCTCCCCACCGCTACATGTTCATCCTGTTTGAGCAGCCTCCCGGATTCGAAATCCAGCATCATGCCCCTCCCAACGGCAAAAAGCTCGGCAAGTGGTCACGCTTGCGTTATAATTTCGACGGATGGGCAAAGAGTATTGGTCTCGGTCCCGTGGTGGGTGCCAACTACTTTGTGAGCAACTAGCTGGTTTTCGGCGGTTGTCTTTGTGATGGGACCTTGAAATTTTGTGATATGATGGTCGACGATTTCTTCAGCATATTCGATGTCTGATGGACGGTTTCCTTCCGATCCAGTTTGAGGCTATGGATGGATGAAAGATGAAATCAGTTTGACATGTAACTACAACTTGAGACCCATGTGGGCAAACAACATCTGCCGGACAGATCGTTGAGGCATAGCCAACTAAAACCAAAAATACAAAAAAAGATCAATCCTGATTAGCTTTAAATGCAAGTAACAACCCGCTATAGTACTCTCGTCACTACCCACCCACAGTATCCACGACCTGCCTCAGTGAAAGCAAGTCTCACACTCACTTATTGATCTCTTCTTTCAACCACTCCTCAGAGCTAATGACACGGCCCTGGCGTGGAAATACCTTTTCCATCAGCACGCTGTGAAGCTCCGAATCACGATCCATGCACATATCCTCCAGAACAGTCACTTTGTAATCCCGATCCGCAGCCGAGCGAACCGTCGACAGTACAGCACCACTAGTGATGAGGCCTGTGATAACCACCTCCGTAATGCTCATAGAGCGAAGCATGAGATCCAGATCAGTGCTAGTGAAAGCCGAGACGCGATGCTTGGTGACAATGGGCTCTTCCTTAGCAGGTGACACAGCGGGATGGACCTGGGTAGATTCGTGGTCGTTTCGGAAGACCCCCCACTCCTTGACTTTACTCATGGAGGAGTTCCGGGGATGGCATTCGGGGTAGCCTGCCCGGAAACCAGTCACCACGTGGATAAGAGTCACTTGGGCATTTCGGGCCGCCTGTGTCACTGATGTGACCGTCTGGAGATACCTGTCGGTGTTTTCGAGGCGATCGACGATGCCATTCTGCACGTCGAGGAGGATAAGGGCTGGTTTTTCGGCTGCCATAATGGAAAGTGAGGAGTGATGTGATAGCAATAGTACAGGGGGAAAGGGCTTGTGAGGATGGTATGATGGCAGTGATGGGAGTGAAGTTGCCTCGAATAAATAACTACGTCCTGGGATCCGGTGCCAGGGTGAACGGCCACAGTAGTTGCAGTGGTGCTCAGTGATTGGTGTGGGTGCCCGGTTCCGGCGCCGGTACCGGGATGGGCTTCCTCAGAAGTTGCCTCATGTAGTGACACCTCAACCTTGTTGGACTTTGGGTTCCGAATTTTGCATTTTTCGACTGTCTATACCATCTTTTTAAACCATTTACATATTCTCTATATCATGAGGAAGGACCCAGGAATCGAATTTGACATGAACAACCAACAACCTACCGCGATGGCCGATCAACACCCAAACACCAGCGATCCCGACCTGGAGAAAGAGGCGAGACAGGATGGCACACCCAAGCTGGAATTGTTCTCAGTCTTCACCGTCAATCAGAAAAGGGCCATGGTGGCCACGGGCTCACTGGCGAGTTTCTTTTCCCCGCTGTCCTCGAGTATCTACTTCCCCGCGCTGGACACCATAGCGGGGGCGCTCAACGTTTCAACTTCGCACATCGATTTGACGGTCACAACCTACCTGGTAAGTTTTTAACCTGTGCTGTGTGCTCAGTCACTGACACTTGGGTCTTCGTAGATTATGCAGGGCGTGGCGCCGACGTTAATCGCAGGATTCTCAGACACCGCCGGGAGACGACCAGCGTACATCATCTGCTTCACCATCTACCTCGCTGCCAACCTCGGCCTAGGACTACAAAACAACTACGGTGCTCTTCTTGGCTTGCGATGTCTTCAGAGCGCGGGGAGCAGTGGCACCGTGGCGTTGGCAAATGGGCTGGTGGGAGACCTGGTCACATCGGCGGAACGTGGGAGTTACATCGCATACGCCTCTCTGGGGAGCATGCTGGGTCCTTCTTTGTCCCCGATCATCGGTGGCTTGCTCAGCCAGTACCTGAATTGGCATTGGCTGTTCTGGTTTCTCCTCATCTACTCTGGTGCCTTTTTCATACCTTTGTTACTCTTCCTTCCGGAGACCTGCCGCAAGGTCGTCGCCGATGGATCTGTTCCTCCTCCCGTATTGAACCAGTCTGTGAGCGACGTGATCCGACATCGAAACCGAAAGGCCAAAGGGATTACCGTGGAGGAAAGCAAAATAGCCGAGGTGCGCAAGAATTATGCTTTCCGGATACCGTCGCCCATGCCCACGCTGAGGGTGGTCGTCGACATAGAAACCGGCATCATTCTTCTCGCAACCGGCCTGACGTTCGCTTGCTTCTATGCGGTTATGACAGGTGCCACCACCTCCTTCCATAATGTCTATCATCTAAACAACATCGAGACCGGGTTGATGTACATCCCCATCGGTGCGGGGGGGATCGTATCGGCGTTCACAACCGGCCGTCTGATGGACTGGAACTATCGTCGACACGCAGCCCGGGTTGGCATGCCGGTCATCCGGAACGTGCGACAGGACCTAACGAATTTCAACATCGAGAGGGTGCGGCTAGAAATTGGTCTGCCTCTGTACTATATGTGTCTGGCGTCGATGATTGCCTACGGTTGGGTTCTCGGTCACAAGGTCAATCTGGCAGCTCCAATCATTTTACTGTTTATTTCCGGGTGGTGTCTTAACGGGACCTCACAAGTCCTGAGTGCAATGATGGTTGACCTGTGGCCGGGACGGTCGGCAGCGGCCACGGCAGCCAGCAATCTATTCCGATGTGAACTCGGCGCTGCGGCTTCGGCGGCCATCACACCCATGAGTGAGGCCATGGGACAGGGCTGGGCGTACACGACCTTGGGGTTGATTTCAGTGGCTGTGTCGCCGAGCTTGTGGGTGGTAATGACGAGGGGGATCGAATGGCGACAGAAACGACTGCAGAGGGAACAGGAGGAGATGGCTCGGGGGGCTCAGGGACATTAGATTGCTATCTGTTTTGTGTGTTTGCACATCGCTGTGAGTTCTTCCTGATGATCGTCCCATTGGCAATGGAATCAAAGGTTCGGTAAAGACAACATCTTTCTAGATAGTTACCAGTAGAGTCCCATATTACAATCAACCAAAGCTGAAACAAATATTCTACCTTCTATATATCCCAATTTAAAGCATCAAGAGTCACTATTCAGCCTTCCTCCCCCTTAATACTTTGGTCAAGAAAGAGGTCACTACGACTACATTGCCTTCTACAAATGACAAGGAGAAGAGATTGGAGATCGGTCCATATCAGCCCTATGGACCGATACATCAAATAAAGAGTCTGAAATTTTTCATCCAGATGCTCGACAAGTGATGATTGATCACTACGTCAAGAATAATGAATAGTGGCGAAGGATATATCCAGGCACGATCTATGGTAGCACAAAGAATAACAATGAGTAAGACAGCAAGAGTATAAATACCAGTTATGAACACAACATGACCATAGTATAAACAACAAGTCGTAAAGAGGGCATAAGCCACAGCAGCTGTAAGTATATCGAGTCATAAGTTGCAAGTCATAAGTGGTCATGGAAGTTAAAGATCGTAGGCGAAGCAGGCAAGTTGTAGAAGCCACCTTACTCGGGCGGGTTCTTCCTTCAAAGGTAGGATAGTATCCTATTTTTTTGAGATATTATATCCAATCCTCGTATGTGATGGGCCTGTTTGGGAACTACGGAACTGGCGGCTGAATATATAGGATTAGGTCAAGGTCATTTCACCTGAAGAGGCTCGAGTTTGACGACAAACATTGTCCACGGGCGCCTTGCCCTTCCAGCGACGGCCCCACCTCTCTGAATCTTCATCTTCTTCAGAGCTTTTGTTCGACGGTAGGGAATGTGGGGTTTCCGTGGAAGGATGGCCGGAAAAAATGAGGGGAACGGGTTTGATCAAGCTCGTCGGCCAGTTGAATGTGGCCTGGCCATGGGCATCTCGGACGGGGATGGGGTGGAGGAGATGGCATTCTAGTGCCACTGCTGCAGCCCACCTTGAGTGGTAACAGCACCGCTCCCTCGTCGGTAGAAGCACAGCCTGGCCAGCACGCCACCCTGGAAGATGGGGGTCTGAGGTAGAGAGAGGCCGCCGGCGACACGAAGGCAGACACGTCGGCAGGCATGATCAGTGTCCGATAGAGAGGGACATTGCATCCATATCTGGAGTGGGTTCTTGGTGAAGATACACGCAAGTTTGGGATCAAATGGATGATAGGACTCGTTGGATTGATGGACTCAGCCTAATTCAGAGGGAGTGAGCAGGTCGTGAAGTAAATTTAAACAAAGAATGGGACAGGTGCTAATGAAAGGTTTCGCTGCAGTGTGACCGCATTAAAGGAATCTACCGAGATCAAACAAGATCCGAAGCGGAAACATGCACAGGACAAAGAAAAGCAAGGAGGATACCTAAACCGACAAAGGCCAGTTAACAAGATAGATCACAAAGGAGAGTCCAACTGTAACGACAAAGAGTGATACAGAGAAGAATCGAAACAGAGACAAAGAAGACTAAGCAAAGATTTTGAAGATAGTCTGCTAAAGAGAGTGTAACATCGAGAGCAGAGAGCCACGGGGCACAAGACAGGGAAGCCGTGTAAGCAGCCTGTATCGCAAATAACCAGACGAGCTGCTCTAACGTCAGACACAAGGCTTTATTGATCAGATGTCTAAAACTATGGCTGGAAAATCGAATGACACAGTCCATACGGTCTCTCATCAAAAGGAGTGACAGTCGGGGTTTGATTACTTACATTATATTTGCTAAATAGTGTACATGTAGGCAGAAGTATCATAGCGTGATACCACATGGCCATTGTTGCAACCCATGCATGCAAAGTAGTCCAAATAAAGCAACCCAAGACCAAGATGAATGGACCTATCTCCACCATAAAACCATCTGGTGACACATCTAGACAAGATGTGCGAAACATATCGACCTGAACACGTTATCAAGGACTGAAGCCAGACGGTGATGGCACCCAAGCGATATTCATGATTCCGGCTACCTGCGCCAATACGGATGCATGTAGCAAACTTTCCGAGCAAGCGCTCGGATGGCTTCCTCGATTTACTGACCCTCCCGCTCGAGCTACGGTCCCGTCAGTACTTAAGAGGTGCAGAAGGGGGAGTTGGAATACCAGCCTACCCGCGTTGAGACAGTCATGTGCAAACTCGGCTATGTATTCCAGCAGATGTTCTACGTGGTGGGGTGAACAACGTGGGAAGAGTCCCAACGCACTGCGTGGAGAGGTGTCCGTGAAACGGACTGCTGGACACCGCAGTGTGTTGGGGGTGGAGTATATGTGGACTAGGAGTGAGCCTGTGGGCTGTCCCTGATGGCAGGTTCCTACGCCAGTCGCCGGGGGAGGGATTCTTTAGGCCCGAAATCCCCGATGGATAGCATTGTTAAGGCAATCCACCAGGGTTGAGAGGGCCGTCTCAGTTCGTCGCACAAAAGGGCTATTAATAGCATGGCGAGGGATTTCCACTCTGGCCTGCCAGAGAGCGATCTAGATTCTTTATAACATACTTAGTCCCTCTCCATATGCCCCTAGATGGCGTTTAGGGGGAGGGGTGTCCAGCCAGGAACAAGTCCTTTTGCGCATCTTCTGGACGGGGATGGCCTGGGCCGGGCAGATGTCCATCGCCTCCTCCTCCTCCTCCTTCTCCTCTCCCTCCTCCTCCTCCTCCTCATCATCATCATAATCACCCTTGCTCTCTCCCGCGTCTTCTGCTTTGCGCTCCCGTATAGCATCACTCACGAATTCCTCGGGATGCTTTGTCTGCCACTCGCTCCACAGCGGCATCAGGCGTTCCACCTCGTTGACGAGAAGGGTGTGAAGGAACGCCTGCTGCTCCAGTGGGCCGTAATACCTGTATTTATTAAGCTCGGTAAACTCTTCACCTGGACCAATCACTTCCCGTTCTGTTCCGGCGTCAGAACTCAGAAATGCACCTGAGGATTTGCCGGAGCCAAACATACCAAAAGTATTCGTATGCTCACACCACGCAAAAACACACCGCATAGTAGAATCCATGATCTGCTGCTAGACCATGAGTGGAGGGTCGGTCACTCTGTGAAAGAAGCCCATGATGCTTAATTGATCCATCACATGAAGAAGTTTGGCGCGCAGTTCCCTAGCCCAATCAGGGCCCCGCCAAAATCCATGCTCGATGCTGTGTGATAGACTCGCCTCGATGTCACGGGCATATCTGGCGGTGCCTTCAAGATGTCGAACTTGCCTTTCCGCTAGATTAATCGGCTCCATCCGCCACGACTTCATTTTGGCGGGGGCTTCAGGTGGTGTTGGGGGAAAACTCGTAACGAGATCACAGTGTACTCGATGGGTCTCTTCCACGCACAGCGGAGAAGTACACAGAGGGAATTGTGAGCGGCGAAGTGATTCGGGGATACATGGCTTACACATCACGTAATCTAGCATATATTGCCTGTCCTCACCGCTCTTTAATGCCTTGGGCTGTGGGCGACCGTCGTCCCCAGGCCACGACCGAGCGAAATTCCACGCGGTCAGCGGGTCCAGCCCCATATCAACCTGAGCTAGTGTCCCACTTCAGAAAGAACCCACTATTATCATCAGTCAGAACATAGGGCAGATCAGAAAACACAGGATCCCTCTTTGATTTCCACTTAAATTATCACGCCCATGATGTTTGGTGCCAAAGGCTGGAATAGCCTTGTTTCGTGTGTGTTAGTGACAATGTGTATACGCTTGGCTCTTGTGGCTTCATGTCTGGCGGAGGAATTTCAGATACGTCTAAACTCTCATGCAGACTCCAGATTGCAATGGAAGAACTGCGGCGAGGCTAGCAACCACACTCTGCAGTGTAAGCCATTCACATTATTTTTGCCCTATTTAGAACCCGAGTTGACGCGGCTGGAAGGTTCCCGACTGGATGTTCCCATGGATCATTTCAGGCAACCGTCCAAAAAGACTTTCTCGATACCCATCATTAGGATGCTAGCCAAGAATGCATCTGCTAGTGGAGATAGGCACATCTTTCTAAATCCGGGGGGACCTGGAGGTATGTCGAGACTTCCGTTCGCCTAGCATTTACTGATATGTTGTAGCCAGCGGAGTGGGCTTTCTCCGGGGATCTGCCTCGTATCTCAATAGACTCATCGGGGAAGGCTTCCACTTACTGAGCTTCGATCCTCGTGGTGTAAGTGGATCGATACCGCAAGCCGTTTGCTACTCAAGCAATGCCCAACGTGCTGCCGCGTTTGCCAGCAGCCCTTGGGACTTGGAGTTCCAAGCCGGTGAGATGTACACTAGGGCCGAGAACAAAGCAAAGGCCTGTGAAGATGGGCGAGTATGGAAAATACATCAACACTCCCCAGACAGCGTCTGATATGAACTCAATCCTCGACGCGATCGGGCAGCAGAAGATGTATTACTGGGGGCTTAGTTGTCTGTGCTCTTCCGTCCCCTAGCTCGGTCATTGACTCACCGGCATAGATGGAACCACACTCGGTCAGACATATGCGCAGATGTTCCCAGAGCGGGTCTCTCGACTAGTACTGGACGGCGTCAGTAATCTGGATCAATGGTACAATTCCTTTTCCTTGGAAGAGTCGTTAATGGACACGGACAAGGTCTTTACCGGCTTTGTCGAAGAATGTTTCAAGGCCAGAGAAGCGTGTCCGTTGAACGCAATCAAGGGGGAGTATTTTCATTCCAGTACCCAACTCCAGTCCTATATCGAGGGCTTTTTGCGCGAGTTAGAAGAAGAGCCAATTCCCGTTTACGTGAACAGCACTCATTACGGAGCCATTACCCGACGAAGTCTAGTGATCAACGGGATATTCTTCACCCTATACAAACCGAAGACTTGGCCTCTCCTTGCAAAGAACCTGGCTGAGCTGCTAAACGGCAACACGACCCCTGCTTACAACGCATACTCCGAATCATGGATTCTGAGGTTTCTTCTGGATGACTCAACTACCTTCATTGGTTTGAATGATAACCGGAAAACGGGCCAGGAGGCCCCAGTTCATGGTATTAAGCCGGTCTACAATCATACTGTCTCCCGACCGGAAATGTCGTTTTTGGTATCGAAGTATCAAGGGTCTGATATTTACGATCGGGCCTCATGGTCGATTCCGACAACCCATGGCTTCCACCCTCGGTACCATCCTGAATTCCCCCGCACACAAACGGCCGAGCCGATACTTGTACTATCGACTACTTGGGATCCTGTGTGTCCATTAGTATCTGCAAGGAAGGCTCAGAATAGCTTTGAAGGCGCTCGACTCATAGAGCAGATATCGTATGGCCATTGCAGTCTCAGCATGCCTTCACTCTGTACTGTGAAACACTTGAGGCAATATTTCAATGAGGGAATACTCCCCGAAGCCGGAACCATGTAAAATCTTGATCCTGTCCTAGCTTGGCGAACAGATACTAACTGGGAAAACAGGTGTGGCATTGATGCTGAGTATTTCCCAACCCCTCGCGGATCTGGGGTGACTACCCTGAGTATTGAAGAGGAGGATTTGCTCAACAGCCTTCATGCATTGGCAACTAAAGATGTCTTACTCGTTAGAGGCCAAATGTGAGTATGAATAATTATGGCAAGGCCAGGGAAACTGGTTGCTTCAGCGTCAGCAGGGGTCCTTGACACTCAATGGGAGAGAACTTTACTAGGTCGTGGCCGCAGGCCACGACCTACGGTCTCGCACACAGCTCAAGGCATTCCGAAGCGCATTTTCTTACTAAAGCAGGCAACAAATCTCTCTAAATTATATGAATAATGTACGCAAGTTCTGCAAGTTATAAAACTTAATTAACCTATAAAAGCTAATTAATAATAAGTATCTCTAACTTGTAGGGCCTCACGCAGGGCCTCACGCAGGGCCAGCAGCGGACGATGTAACAGCAACACGAAGTTGAAGCTATCCAGAAAGGCAAGCAGGAAGGTTAAAAAACAAAGCGGAGGGAAACAGCAGAAACAAAGTCACATTATCTGTGAAAAATAAAAGCCAATGAGAAGCTGAAATTGTGATACTTTGGGACCAATGAGAAGCGAACGGGCTGGCAACAGACCTAGTTAGTAGGAGCGAACCTAGAGTTACTCAGCGCTAGCGCGCTTCGTAAATTATTTGTCGCGCCCCCGACCGCACCTGAAGGGGTTGGGTCAGCCACACGGCTCTACCAATCCCCTGAATGAATCATTTTTAGTTACATGTAATTCCCATATGAAAGATACATCACAAAGATATTTCATGTACCTAAGCCATTATCGAGCCTTAACCTTAATTTTCCATGTCTATAGCATGTTCACTATTCATATTACTATTAAACATTCTGAAAAAAATATTCAAGGAATCAGGTAATCTATATAATTCCCACTTCAACGCCTAATTCACAGGAGAGATTAAGATTTTTATCATTGTCATCGTTCATTTGATATTCAATCTTGAGACATACTTACATGAGTACATCTAACATTATAAGTCTTTATCTCATATACATAACACAATCAAGGATCTATGTGATTAGCAGTAATAAGTTACATGCTCTAACAATATCATGTTTTATTTAGGATTTCCCGACTTATTGAGACGAGGAGGTTTGTAGAGCTGTGGCCCACCCAGCCCTGAAGGGGTTGGGTCGGCGGCGCGAGAGTACAGAATGTAACAGGGTTGGCCCTCATTAGAACAATTTCGAAGAATCTCGAATGGTCTATTTGACACCGAGGCAAAAAGGAAGAAAGGGCAAAGGCCCCTCATGATACTATATACTCTCGACAGGCATACATTTACAGCTTTGCGGCAACCCTGCCACGTTGTTGTGACATCGTGGAAGGTTAATGACACGATCCCACCCTAAGTGCCTTTTAGAGTGGATCGTACAAGGCTCTGAGCTGCACCAGCTGGGCTATCTCGCAAAAGGCTAGAATTCTAACCCACTCAGCTTAGAACGCGCATCACTTATAAACCCCATTCATGGGAGGAACCTCACAGTTTACCATAGCCGAGAGGTCCCTGGGTCTTGACCCGTGACACATATCCAGGCACAACAGCAGATTACAGTCAAGAATTAGATCGTGATAATTATCTACATCATTATGACAGTGAATGTTAGAATACGTACTGTGAAAGATGGTTCGACTTAGAGGTCTTTTCAATGGTTTTTCCCCACAATCAGCTATCCTGATAAGTCTGCGACATCCACTTATTCGTGAATATCATCAGCTCTTCCCAATCTTTACACTGATGTGCAGTCCCAAAACCTTCCACCCCTCTGATCGTTTCATTCTTGACTTCTACGGTCAAGTCTGGTTGACACATCAAAGCCTGTCGGATGAGGTCTATACAATGCCCAAAATGCCGAGGGTCAGCCATTTTCGGCATATCATCGTCTTTGAGTACCTTTTGCTCATTCACCGCTGCATATAGAATACAAAATCCTTCCCTAATTCTGTTCTTCGAGATTCCATGTTAGTTTTTCACATTGGTGCCGCATACTGGGGACGTACAAGACAGTGCAATTGATGGAAAACCGAGAAAACAGATTTCTCTAGCGCAATAGTAGGATGCTTGAAGAATCCGCCGTGGCGGGGAATCAACTCATTCCACGCCTCTGTGGCTTCCCTTGAACCCTCTGAGAAGGTCTCATTGTGGGTAAAAATAATCGATTGATCGTGCACTTCGATTCCGTCATTTGAATGGATTATAGATACTGCTTACTTACCAGAACTCACATTCGAATCCTCCCTTATGCCAGATATGGAGAAAGCTCCGACCAGAAAAGACACCAAGACTTGCAACCACAGAAAGCGCAAGTATTAGAGTGACCGACTTGAGCAAACTCCTTAGAGATGTCTTCGGTACTTGTTTCACTCGATTCTCCGCATAATCGATCGTAGAATAGCGATATGTGTATGTCCCAAACATTAGAGAATCAGGTCGAGTACCTTCATCCGGGTTAACTTGTCAAGAGCCACAGTCTGGTGAGGTCTACCAGTCCAACTGCTCAGGAGGAGGCAGTGGTGGAACTTCGGAAGGACTTTCAGTCAAGTTTCTGCTCCTATCTTGCTCGTCAACACACCAAGAAAATCATTCTACCTATCAGTGCATGCTACGAGTGCCAGGCGGATCCACCAGACGGGGGTAGTAGTCAATAAACTTGATCAGACGAGCCTTCACTCGACCAAAGCTCGCATGTCCTCAGCATTTCTGAGTTGCTAATAGTCATCATGCAGTCGGCCTGACCTTTCATGGATTCAAGTGCATATATCCCACAATACAAACAGCCAATCCCTCCTTCAAGTGACTTGGCAACCGCTACCACATGACCTGAGACTTGGCGCTTACTGCGACCCCGCGTTGAATTGACTATAACTAGGTTGCATAAATCCCTCAAAGTTGCCTTCGGGGTATAGATCATCAGTGGGGAATAATAATGCAAGCATGCGTCATCTTCATGTTGATTACCGTAATCATAAAGATAATATGATTAACGTCAATCTTCGCTGACTGCATTGCGATGCGGATAACCTTGCTGTGTTTGTGGATACGGCGTCTTATTGCATAATTACCGTCTTTACCCCCACTATATTATTGGAAGGTTGCTTGCATACAGGGCTCGGCAGAACGGCTCTAAGTGGGGGGCTTAGTTTTGATCACCAAGGTTGTAGTGGATCATAGCAGTCTGGAGCGGGCGGCCTCCGTTTTGGGGTTTTGGGGGTAATAGAGCAGCGACCCTTCCCCTAGGCTACTAAGGGCTTCCGAGGGTAAGAACAATTATCCCACCTAACAACCGCTGTCTTACAAGGATGGTACCTTTGGCAGACAAGTTGGTGCTTTGATCGACTTGATAACCTCTAGTAGACGAAGCGATGCTTAGTTTATTTTCGAGGCGGTACCGCAAAGTTGAACAGGTCGACGAATTACCTAATACCCCCGGGATTCCCAAGAAGGGCAGTGTGCTCAAAACGATCCACCTGCCATGGCTGCTTCACCTTATTGTACTTGCTACTTACAGCGTCATCCTTTTCGTCACGCAACTCAACAGGAACACATGGTCTCCTTGCTTCAATGGTAAGCATCATGAGTGCCACTACCTGATGCGATTCGTTCCTGATAGAATCCCTTGATAGAATTCCTTCTTGGTGCACCCATTGTTTGGGAAGAACGTGAGTATTTTGAAGCAAATTGGGGAAACTATGCTCCATGCACGGACTGAAGCTTAAGGACTTACAGGCACTTTTACCACAAACAGATATGTCAAGAACGCTGACTCATATTCGATCGACAACCCTGATGTAGACTCGGTTTGGGCTGATCCAATTGAGCACACCATCATTGTCATCACCGAAAGAGAGAAGCAGAAGCTTCCTGGCGGACGTGATACTGCAAGAGCGTATGGAGCACAAGGTGGGTACGCAGTCTCAATCGAGATGTTCCATCAATTGCACTGCCTAGTAAGCTGATACCAGCACAACTTTTGCATTATAATGTCTTGTTGATCCCAATTACCTAGAATTATCTGCGGAAGGCCTTTTTTTATGAGGCAAATGATAGAGCAGCAGATTCTGAGAAGCACTCGGATCACTGCTTCAGTTATTTGTACCAGTCGCTTCTCTGCTACGCGGACGTTGAGGTCATGACAATGAGGGTGGATGAAAATTTCAACATTTACCAACCAGAGTTTAATGTCACAAAGCAGTGCCGTGACTACAACATCATTAAGGCCTGGCAAGAAACTCGCAAGGCCGAATATCAAAATCCACCGTGAAAGGGGGCCATCATTGTGTCGTGTTAGACAGCAGGGTGGCAGGAGATCCAATTTGGTGCGTGTATGAAGCTTCATGACTTGATGCAACGGTGAAATGCATTGCACACTTCAATGATGCTCCTGCGTGCGAAAGTTGAGCCAAAGTATTTCTGAGGTCACTGAGAAAAGGCTGGTTGAATTCAGATAAACAACCTGATCCCTTTGATCCATCATACATAATTCAGAGTCAATTACAGCCTGCGTTTATATTTTTAAGTACGTAATTACCCCTAGATGATGCCTTGAAGCCCGAACCCAACTGAAAGCGTCCACCATTGGTAGAGGGCTATACACGTTTCACTCTAGAATCAATCGACCTTTCGAACTACAACACATACAGTCATGCTGTCTGGTACACTGGAATAAACCTCCGAAGATGCCATTGATCATGAAAATTCTCATTCCTGATACCGTTGACAAATATTGGGCCTGTTAGCCGTGCCCACCGTGCCCCAGTTCATCCAAAAACGTATCCCTGATGCTTTGGATAGCAACTTGGTCTCTCATCCAATCTTTAATCTTCCCCCAATCTCGGCACTTTTTGAAAACAGAAAAGTCTATGCGAAGCGCATCAGAGGTATCGCCTGGCGCAGGTTCCATTACAAAGTACGGCGTCACATCAGCTTGGCACATCATATCCAAGCGAAGAACTTCGATACAGTGATCTAGACATGTTAGAATTTTTCCCGTTCATTACGTCGATAGAATACGGTGGAGCTGGTGGTAAAAGTCTTACCAAGGTGGTTGCGGCGCACTTCTTTGGTGACGCGGAGAATTTCAGGCAATCGCTCGGATTTCCTATACTCCTCTTCAAAGGACGCTTGCCGAAGAAGGTTCTGTAATATTTCATGAGTCTCAAGCTCAATAATTCGGCCAATCTATGTCTCGGTGTCATCGTACAAGGCAATGCAGCTGGTGGTAACCCCAAGACTGGGCTGCGATCCCTCCACCAAATTTCGGGTCTGTGTGATGCCATGGCTCAGAGCTCGACTTGTTCAGAAGGTGAATCTTATCAGAGGCAACATTGAATGCGTTCCCGTCCGCAATCTCCTCCCAGCGGGCGTCAATCTCGGGTGTTGGTGTTCCACGAAAAGGCGACGGTTGCATAAACTCACCCTGGAGCGTCTCATCATGATATTCGACGGCTTCCAGGGCGGGTGCTGTGCATTTGTGATCAAGAGTCAGCGATGAACATGTGGTATCAAGACGCCGCTGTCCTGGCTCAGCTCGAGTGTAGCCCAAACTTACAGTACGGAAACATCTTCCGTGTACATGCAACTTCTGATGGCTCGCCATACCAACTGAGGATGAGTAACGTCAAGGAGCCCACCAGCATGACCGACTGAAGAACCCAGCCCCAGATCAAGCGCTGTGTGCAGCTCTTGTCCTTCTGATCTGTCTTTGATTTTAAGGCTCTATCGAGTTTCTCGCTCTGTAGAAGGCCCTCCTCAGTTTCTTCCAGCTCGGAAGCCTCAGGTCTGCGCCTCCCATACCACATTTTGGATCCACTAAATCGAAGATGACTTGAATGTAGAGCAAACGCAGCTCAGGAGGCCTGCTTATGTACCGCTGCTCAGTTCAATTGCTTAGTGATACCTGACATCAATCGGATCATGTGATAGGGAGTTTGGCGTGGCTTCCAAGAAGATACGATGTGTTTCTAGCTACTCCGCGGGATTCGGCATGATGCAGCTCGAAGCTGCTAGAAATTTGGTGCTACCGTGTAAGCAAGTGCAAAGTGTCTGGCTGCATTGATGGCCCAGCTACGAGTCAACTAGCTCGTAAGCCACCGCGGTCGACGACGCAGTAACTGTAAGCTTGCATTGCCCAGTCCTCTCACTCATTAACGACCAAGGCTGTGAAGCGCGAATGAGAACTAGCATAATACTAGGGTAGCATACCGGGACAGGGGGGTCTCAGGATCCCATTAATGCTCTCTGTCCACATCAGTGTCCTACCCCGCGGGGGGGCTTGGAGGCCGTGGCAGGACTAAACGACAAGCCTGGGAGGGTTGAACATGATATTTCACATCAATGAGAAAAGCATCAATTCTACTTATCGCTTCCTCGAGTCGGCATTATCATCACCGATGACTGGAATTAACAGGCCCTTTTATAGTTCAACTGGTTCTAGTTGACTATCACGCAACCGGATTTGGGGCCAACACGGTCTCATCGATACAATCTTCACAGTCTAGTATTTGACTCATTCTTCCTCTCCGTGATTCATTGATAAGGGGGAAAACATTCATCCAGAGAAATACAACGCTCGTCGAAGGAGACCGAGTTTCCTTCATCCCCATATGGAATTGCAATGAGTGTGAAGGTAATAGGTGCAAATGCAACGCAACGCAAGAAGGCTAGTAACTAAAAGATTCCCATCACAGCTTACTCTATTGCTTACTCAACAGCAGGTGTCTCCTCCGCAACGACCTCGACGGAAGGCTCATTCTCATCCTGGTCATCACCATACCAAGACCATATGAAAGAGCCGATAGGCTTGCGAGCCTATGCGTATGTGTCAGCGATCAACCTTAACGCGACGATCAGAAGACCTCACCTTGAGCATAGTGGACCTTTTCACATTCATGCTCTCTTCAGCGGACTCGGCAGAAGGATGAGTCTCCTCCTGGTCGTCGCCATACCAGGACCAGATGAATGAGCCGATGGGAGCACGACGTTGGACAGCAGTAGACAACATAGTACTAGGAGCGGCCACAGCCAACATGGTCAAGTTCACCGCTGCCACCACGCAATTCGAGAGCTTCATCTTTGCTAGACCATTATTAGTAAGGAATGCCCAAAACGAATTACCGGGAAATGAAAACGACTACCAAGAGAAAATGGGTGGCATCAAAGTTGTAGGCGTTTGGTTCCGTTAAACTCCCCTGAATGGAGGAGGGAGAAGGAATCGGTATTGATTCAGAAGGGTAGTAGTTATAATGCTAGGCTGGCTCTTTTTATTAACACAGAATACCATCTGCAACCCCCCTCCCCCACAGAGAGGACATCACGCGACAAAGCCCATGTAGTGTTTCGGGGTACGGTTGAATCCAGCTTCCCCCCATATCGAGTCCCATGATGCTTGATTACTGTAAGATGCAGAGAATGAGAAAAGAAAACATGCGTAGTAAGAAGGCATGCGCATATGCCTCCTTAGAGCGTCCGCACGTTGACCAGCATACCCCCAGTTGAAGAGCTTAGGGTCCGATAGGCATCCCTATTACCGATGCTGTTTCTTTTTTCTTTTTTTTTTCCTTCAACCACTCAAGTATTTTCCTTCCCTCCGCTTTCTCTCTCCACTTCATGGCAATTTTCTCTCTTTTCACATACTTCTTCTGCTGATACTTGTTAGATTTGAAACAACAACAAGCCTCACCAGCGACATAATGGCTCCTCGACCCAACGATTGCGGTTACGGGAAGGTCTCTACTTCTGAAGACATTACGACCGACGATGAAAGAGGCACATTCCTTGGGGTGCAGAGACACACTTTAGTCTCTTCGCTTCCCCGGGAAACCCAGAGCATTGCGATCATCTTGGTTGCTTTCTTGGGTCTTTTGAACCTCTCGCTTGTGATTTTCATTGGACACCAATACTCACAGCGGGGGGTATCGAACCCAGTTTTCCCTCAGTCAATCTACTGTGAGTGCTTCGTTGAATTATATCTTACTACAGACTCAAGACGGGTTCATTCACAGAGATGGCAGTCTCGGCTTATGGGCTTCAAACGCGGTTATGGAGCTTTAATTAACATTGAAACACTCCAGTACCCATTCAAGAGGCGCTCCGCTACAAGGAGGTGCTGTTCACCAGCGGTTTTGGTGACGAAAGAACAAAGTACATGGGCAACTCCACTGCCGCAGACCAAGCCTGGTACGAGCTCTACCCCAGGACGGTAGTGCGTATTCCGAAGTCCTCGGCAGACCAACTGGTAAATAAGACGCTTCCGATTGCTGGTAACGAGGATTATTTCCCTGTTCTCATCAGCGTTTTCCACGAGCTGCATTGTCTAGATTCCATCCGCCATCTCTACTATGGACATGTTGAGGGATTTTCCGAGGACCCAATAATCAACAAGGCGATCCTCGCGCCGGGCCACATCGACCACTGTTTTGACTCGCTGCGACAGACCATCATGTGCAACGCCGATATCTCTCCTGTTCCTTATCAGTGGGTGGAGTCTAGGGGGAAGGCAATGGGATCCCTGGGTGTTCCGCACACCTGCAGAGGTAAGGCAAATGCTCTTGATCCCGTGGTATGTGTAGCTGACCTGGTGCGAGATTACGACGCGCTTCTAGAATGGGCAATGCGACCCGAGCATGATATTGGTGACTGGGATGAGTCTATCAAGCCCAGCACCATTCCCTGAACGGTACCATGGGCAGTTGAGTTGCATATATAATAATACACCACAATGACATAAGGCTCCATTTTGGGCATATTTCCCAAATTTCCTTCTTAGTCATAGTATTTGGAACCCAAGGACAAGCAACAGAAAGATAAGCATCACAGTACTTTTGAGAGAAATGCAGGTGACACCTCTAGAACATTGACAGCAAGTAGGCTGAGATCGGTGCAGTCGGTTGTGATACCAATTGCACATTCACCAATCATGCTCCGTGATGGATGGCATGTTTGCATGGGGGTTGCAATGCTTGAAATCGTTCATGCCATTGATTACTATCGCCTGCTGCAAGTGTCGTAAGCACTAACTGCCTTACCAAGAGCTGAAGAGTGATATCAGCAATCCTTACCTTGAGAAATCGATTCGGCCCCCTTCTCACAGTATTTCTTGAGTCTGGGCAGTCTGGGTTCCGCACGGCTCGAAGAGTGAAGAATTGATGTCAAAGCTGCGTCTTCAATCCAGTCACTTCGTCTTCAGTCAAAATTGTTCTTGTCTCGTCTCTTCTGTACGGTTCTGTCCACCTATAAGGAATGTGGCATTTCTTTTCCTATTCCCGACTACACTCCAAGGAAGAATCTCGAGAACCCCTCTGCGAACAGGGTCATCCTCCTGGTCTCTTGAAACAAAGGAATCGTATTTTACGCCAGAGGTCAATTTTCCAACACTTCGAGCTCATGTTCAGTGTAGCTGGCGCTCTATTCGCTCTGATCACTCTCATCATTATTGGATAGTGGATCATGAAAAGCAATCACGAGACGGTCTACAGCTGTGGTACGACACCAGAAGAAGCAGTGAAAAGGGACTGCCAATTTGACATGCTGTCTTTTGCTTGGGTCCCCAAGCCGTGTTTCGACGCTGAGTTGAGCAGCATGAACAATGCTTATGAGGACTTCGAATTCTTCTACCACCGGGAGAAGCCTGACAGGATTCCTGTAGAGGAGTTGAAAAAGGGCATCAACAAGCACGTATACACGTCTGGACGATATCACCGAACCCATTGCACGTACGCCTGGAAGATATTGCAACGGGCGGTGCTACATGGATTCCATCTAAGCGACAACAAGACGATGAACCCATCGCATTATGACCATTGCTCGTACTACTTGATCGATGTCGATCATAGCTACCGGGCGCGATTTACGATGGAATATCTGCATTGTCAGAAGATGCCGACTAGTCGTGGATCCCCATTTTGGTGAATAATGCAGGTAAATTGAATTGCAGATGGAGGCGAGGATTGGGTTGAATGGTTTGTTTGGGCGTCGGATTCAGGGTGGTGTGATGGGGGAGGGCGTCTACTCCGTAGTTAGGCATGGGCTTACCTTCCAACTGACAGAGAATAATTGCAGAAACCTTGTTTGCTATTTGTTACTTGTCCTGAAATTCAAATCCGGACCAGAGGTTTTCCATGCTCCATGGAGATGCCATGCTCCAAGCTCTAGCCACGTCCTTCGCCGAGGTCGGGTGCCATCTTTGCCTAAACTCCACCCACATGCCCTAGCCATCGCGGTCATAATCCAGACTGACCTCATCAATTCGACGGTACTGCTCGGGCCCATGCTTCCGGCTAGCAAGACGGACCACGATTGTAACCTGTGCATATTCCGTATGCAAGCTTATAATCACGGGGCGAAATCCCACCCCGCCTCCATTCCCTCCCTGTTAGTACAATGCAGCCTCGCAAATCTGTAGCTTTGCGCGGGCCGCTCCTCGGCCGTTTTCCCTTCGAGCCCTTTCCAAGTTGCCTAGGCCGCTTCCCGGCTCTTTTGAGACGCTTTTCAGTCCTTGAATGCTCATCCTAGACTCGCTGCACCATCTCACCACACTTCGGTTGTTCCTCTCACTAGGACTTATAGGGGATTGGGCTTGACATGCGATTTCAGCATGCAGTTACCTCTATATGTCTTTGGAAAGGGGAGCCAAGATGGAAAGGCATCTGTCATCCGCAGCATACTTCCTACTTTGACGACGCTCCTTCTTGTTCTTGAATCTATACTCATTTTTCAGCTCGGGTCCATGCTTTCAGTGGGTGCCAGCGTACCTGTCCCAGAAAACATGGGTTTAATAGAAAGACGATGGGAACGAGATACTGCATATATGTCTTTGGATCACAAATACGATCATTTGTGGAATGAGACAAAGCAATCAGCCCTCGTATTTGACGACCAAAGAAGTGTCGTCCAGATAACAATGTGAGCTCAATACGCTGATGTTTTCGGGTACACACTTTGTGCTGACCTCGCCTCAGGTTTCATCAGCTTTTATTGCCTTGCATCATTACGGAAGGCCTTGCAAGAAGCCAGGCATGGAAAGGACATTGGAATAGACCATAGATCTGACACACACTGGCCGCATTGTATGCATTTTTTGAGAGAGGTGTTTCAATCCCGGTGAATCCTGAATTACGTATTTCTTTCTGACCATCAGCAGGCTGTTCTTTGCACTGCAGATGGGACGCTTGAGCGTCCCGGTTACTACCCCAACGGTACCGGACGGACTTTAATCAATGGATATGGAGATACACGGTACTGTCGGTCATCAGAAGAACTTTATCGTTTCAGAGAGTCCAACCGTCTTTACGAGAGTGACGGGATCTTAGCCCTTTAATCTTAGGCAGATCGAAGGACTTAATCGCAATCATGATTGGTCGCTAATGTTGGCTAGAAACTTGAAAATACTAAATTGAAAACATGATGGGCTTTGTATGTGCGGCCAAATAAAGACGTATTCGGACTACGCTGATTATCCCATAGCAAGAAAAGAATGTATGAGAGTCTGATCTATAAATCTATTTCCACCAATCCTTCTCCTAAACACCTTCAATCCGATTAATTTGAACACGTATATCAGCTGCGGAAACACTAAACTTGCAACATAGCCATCACACATATTGTCACGATGATGGTTTACTAATCACACTTCTTTGACTCTGAAACAGCGGTCACCAGCGGTTACCTTGCTCGATCTCTATTCTCAAACAGCCGCGTTCAAGCCACACACCAGAAGCTTAGTAGTTGGGTGGAAGACTACTAGCGAATCCCTTCTGTGGTATATTTTTTGTTTTTCTTTTACTTTGAAAAAAAATTCATTCGTCCTTATATCTTCTTCTCCTTGACAGTGGTTCAATGACCAAGTTCAGATACCACCCCTTTCTAAGGCATACCATCTACCTCCTGGTCTTCATCATCCAGGATACCCAGTCGATGACGAGAATGATACGAAATACCGGTTAGAATTCTCAAAAATCCCGGAGTGAATATTATTCTACTATTTACCCGTGGGACTCTGATAGATATATATAAACTTGTTAACTTTCTGCGATCCAGCCATGTCTCTACCCCTCATACTATTATCAACCCCGTAGTCCAACCCATCGCGGTGCGCCAAATCGCCCATCTCATCAAACCATCAGAACAACCACATCAACCAAACACAAACATCACTGTGAAATCTTTTATTGATATCTATGCTATTCATACCATAACTCTCATGTCCTATCATGCCTCATAAACTTCTCTCATCGCCATCACCCCACTTCCAGCCCCGTACCAGAAGACATCACCACAATTTAGTAGTGGCACTGGCCGTGCACATCGCGAGCAATCGAGGAGCCGTTGATGGTCAACTATCACGTGTTAGCCGATTTCATTCACTTCAACCTATCATTGTTTCAAGAAAGGGAGAAGGGAGACTCACCGTCCAAGCAGCATGCTTCTTACACCAAATCGCCGTCAAATCCTCGGGACAATCGGTACGGTTCCCTGGCCCGAATCCAGTAGGGAAAGCAGTTTGGCCTATTCCAAAGCAAACTCATTAGCCACCACACACCACCCTAAACCTGAAAAGTACGAAACAGGGTACAGGGTAAGAACATACATTCACCAGCAACGAGCTCACCCAAATCCCAAGAACCGCCACCATCGCCGTCAAAAGCACTGGTCACTTGAGCGACGACATCATCGCCTGCCTCGGAGATATAGTCGTGGTTTTCGCAGCAGAGGGGGATGCCATCGCTGTAGTCGAGGACTTGGCTGACGGGGTCGTCGGTGGCGGTGGCGGTGGTGGGTTGGGCCGTCACGGCGGCGGCGAGGAAGAGGATGGTGGGTAGGAGGAATTTCATTTTTTCTCTCTTCTTTTTCTTTGTTTTTCCTTGAGTTGTGATGAGGAATGAGTGGTTGGAGTAGAGGGGGATGGTGTACTGGGGATGGAGGGGGTATTTATGTTCTTTGGATAGGGGATGGCTGGAACGGCTGGGTTTAGGATCGAGCTCGGCTGCAATAGCTGAGAGCTTAAGTTGTCTCCCTGTCCCTCACTTCAATACTTCAAACTAAGAGTTGTGATTCGGTGGTGGTGAGGAGAGTTTAGACAGCCGAGGCAGCCCTTGCATGGCTTAACGGTGGTTCTGGGGTTGGCGGAGATACCGAGTACAGAAGATAGTAATGGACTACTCCGTACGGAGTGATAGCACTAGTACTGTGAGTACTCAGTAAACAGGGATGATTGTCACTGTCGCCAATGCTTTGGCTTCAAACTCAATTGGCATTGTTGGGTCGCAGGCAGGGTTGAAACAAGGGCAGCGAGACATTCCAACCTTGCCGAGGCGCGCTGAGACATCCGGCGGTGAGGTCAAGGCAGCAACAATCCAGTGACAACTGACACAGACATTCGATTGATGTCTTGCTACTTGGCCGATTGAGAGATGTCAATTGGCCTGATTGACTTTGATGATGGTACAGCCAGCAATTCAGGTCTGTCCGTATTGACCCGGTTAAACAGGGTATGGATGATGCAGGGTAGAAGCTAGAGCAAGGTCCCTTGGCTGGCTGCGCTGATCAGGATCTGCATGCAGGCAGCTAGCCAACAGGATATCATACGGCAAGGAAAGCCAGTCGGGCCATCGCAAAAGATTCGCTGGTGTCCCGGATGGCATGAAATATTTTGTCCGGACGATGTCCGTCGATCGTGGCATTTGGCAACCCTAATCAAACTTTCTGGCCCTCCACAATCACCGGCACCACGTCCACCATCTCTCCATCCCCGCGGTCGGGGTCAAATTCATCCCAGTAGTCCTTGGGCTCTTTCCATTTGGTCGTCTTTTCCATGCCAGCGGGAGGCCAAATCCAGCATCCCAGATAATACACGCCAAAGGCAATCAACAGGCCCACTGGATAGGCGACGAAATAGAACCGCTGGATCCCCAATGGCGCCTTCACCCCCATCTGGTGAAGGAACCCGTAGAAATTCGGCGCCACTGCTATCAGATATGCCCCGAATCCGCGGAGATTAAACCCATAAAAGAAATGGTACATGCCGTCGGAACGGGCGGTGTACAGCGCCGGGATGTTGAGCCATCCGCGCCGGATCAAATAGTAGTCACAGAGTAGGATTCCGGCGATGGCGGAGAGGAAGATCTGGTACGAAGAGAGGAAGGTGATGAACACGGAGGCGGTGGCGAGGAGATACCAGGGGCAGATGGCGTAGGAGAGAACTGGCATGTCAGTAGCGGATCAGATAAGCGACATACATGACTCACTGGCACAGATGAAGAAGCCTCGCTTGACGGTGATGTAGCGGGGCAGCAGGGCGGCAATGTCATTTCCAGCACTTTCTGATTAGTATCTCTCAATCGCAGGCGTGGATGACGTACGGGATAGAATTCTCAAAGATGGCGGAGAAGACGGTCGAGTACACAAATGCAAGCGATATAAAAGCACAAGCAGCCCGGTTTCCCGGGGTGTACCTCTCCCCTTCCATCAACTTGTCGAGGAAGGTCAGGGGATTCCAGACCAACTAGAATACTTAGCATCTGGTTTCACAGGGATACATCGCAGCATACCTCCCCGAAAATACTTCGGCTACATGCTGCAATGACATTTCCAATGACAGCCACGAGCAACCCCGAAAGCGGGAAGCTGATGATCTGTCCCAGGATGGCGTCGCTCGGCTTTCGGGTGTACCGCTGAAGGTCGGCGGCATTGGAGATGAAGGTGCCACAGCTGGCCAGCCCCAGGAACAGAAATCTGCAGATCAACCAGCTCTTCGCTGTTCCATGCACCTCCGAGGGGGCGCGGAGCGCGGATGGGCTTCCCCCCGCCAGGGTGACCACCCACGCCAGCATGGCGAACGCGCCGCCGTAGTAGACCACCACTTTGATGTAGATGAGCTTTTTCATCTTGGGGACGGGAACAACGAGAAATGCGCAATTGATGAGCCTGAACCGTCAGTAGTCAGAACTGAAACGGAGGTATGTGTGGGTATGTGTACCAATAAACCAGGAAACAAATCATCTGCGCTGTATTCAAGGAGGACTTCGAGCCCATTCGATCGGGAATCCGCGCAATAGACGGGAAAATGGCATGCAGAAACACACTACCCCATTAGGAACGACACCGCAGAACATCGGAACACTCACTATAAACACTGCGCCCCCTGTGTGACGTTGACTCCGTTCCAGACGATGCTCATGGCGGCCCGGTTGAAGGTGGGCCAGAAGGCACCCCAGGGCCCGAAGCTGGAGCGACACAAAACCGGGAAGGGGATACGATACATGGCTCCCGCCCGGCCATTGAGAGCCATCAAGCAGCCCGCCAGCAGCTGGCCGGAAAAGGAGCAGGCGATGGCCTCCCACATGGTCAAGCCCATGGCCACGCCGGTGCTGGAGGCGTACAGATTGCTCACGTTGGCCGTGGCCGAGAACCAGAAGAAGATGTAGGTGAGCTGCGTCCAGGTCCGCTGTCGCGAGGGAGTAGGCCGGATGGAATCGTTATCGAGAACCTCCACAGGGCGCCGGGCGCCATCCTGATCAACGCTCTTGACGAGCAACCGGTCATGGAGGCTTTCCCAGGTCATCATGATCTTGATGCTCTCAGCGACGCTCGCTCTATCTAGACTGTGGGACCACTTCGAGCGGCGATGGGCCCGGCCGCCTTTTAATCTTGCCTCGATTCTGGGTGGCATGTCCCCCGATAGGTTATCTCTTGGCCGTCACTTTCTGCCTGGGCAAGCTTGGCATGAGGCCTGCTATCAGTCACCCTCTGATACTGTCCGATACGCCCTTCGGCTCGGGCCAATCATGCCGGCGGATGGTTATCGGGGGCACCCCACCTTTCCAGCTGCTGGGCGGGGATCGCCGTGGAGACGATGGCGGAGACAGAGTACTTATGATGCTTGCTACTTGAGATAGGAACCCCCCGCCAGCTCCCGTCCACAGGACAATTGCTGTTATGGCTGACCAGTACACCCACGTCGAGCTGTTGACGTTGCACGGTCCCGAGTACCGTCGCGTCTCGACCGCTCCGCCTCGCCTGCCCCGCGACGACGAAATCCCCATCCTCGATCTCGCTGGTATCGACGGCGATGACGAGGTCCGCCTCGCATTGGCGGCCAAGGTTCGGGCAGCGGCCCAAAACACCGGCTTCTTCTACATCAAGAACCACGGCATTCCTCAAGAGCTGATCGACAGCGCCCTCACTCAAGCTAAAGCCTTCTTCCACCAGCCCGAGGAGGAGAAAGAGAAGGTGTCCAACTTCAAGCTGAAAAACATGGACGGATATCACGCGATGGGAACCACCCAAGTCAACCAAACCGAAACCAAAGGTTAGTCCGCCGATTTAGCCAGGGGTTCAAGCAGGTTAACTTCCGAGCAGACCGCAAAGAAACCTTCTCCCTCCGCTACAATGCCCGCAACGACCCAACCGTGGATCCGTCCGAATACCCTGCCGATGTCTGGGACGACTCGCCCATGTGGGCCGGTACCGCCCACCTCCCCAACTTTCGCGAAACCACCATCGCCTTCTGGCAAGCCCGCTTAGCCTTGGCCAGGAAGATGGTCCGCATCTTCGCCTTGGCCCTCGACCTTCCCGAGACCTACTTTGACGACGTCGTCACTCACCCCGGGGCCGACGGCCTCTACGTCCACTATCCCCCGACACCGGAGTCAGAACTGGACAAGGAAGACGTGGACGTTGGAATTGGGTCACATACGGACATCCAGTGCATCACGCTGCTGTGGCAGGATATGTCAGGGGGGCTGCAGGTCCTGTCGTCGTCGGATGAATGGTTAGATGCACGTCCCATTCCGGGCACCCTGGTCGTCAACATTGGGGACTTCCTGCAGCGGCTATCGAATAACCGGTTCCGGTCGACGGTCCACAAAGTCTACAACCGCCAGAAGACGTCCCGGTATTCCATGCCGTTCTTCTTGGGGTTCAACCCGGAGTCGGTGTGCAAGGTCGTGCCGACGTGCGTAGATGAGGAACACCCAGCTTTATATGAGCCCATCTCCTGTGGACAAGTAAGAATTTCTTCCGATGGCTAGAGATGGCTGCTGACATTTGTAGTGGCATCGCAATCGCCTCGCGCTTGCACAGGGGACCACTGTTGCGACGTGACCTACAGGTCACCTCGGGAATGAATTGGAACGGTCCCTGGATCTGACAAAGACCTCTTAAAGTCGAGATTTTCTGTTTGGGACAGCATTGGCGAGATAAACAAGGTGACAAGTTGGCACTAACCACTCCTTACAGCTGGGATTTACCTAGACGTAGTAGAACAATGTGAGAGGCACTGGATAAATAAAAAACATTATCTCAACACCTCCCTGTTAGAATGCTTAATTGCTGGAACCAATCGGCGACGCAGATACCAAACCAGACTTCGGACCGGGCTTCCTATGTTGCTTTGATCAAGAACCAGTGAAGTAGACCCGAAAAACTGCGGGGTTCCGAACGTCGCATTTTTGATCTGCATCCCTGCCTGCCGAGGTTCACGGGAGCTCCAAAAGCGGGGAGTGGCACCACCACCATCACCATTATATCGTGTCCCTCCTGCTGCCCTCACCACAACACCCACCATCACCCTCCTCCTCCTCCTCATCATCACCACATACCCACCATGCAAGCCGTCATCTTCAAGGGCCCTCTCGAAGTGGCGCTCGAGGAGCGTCCCATTCCCCAAATCCTAGATCCCACCGACGTGCTCATCAAAGTTCGCTACACGGCACTATGTGGGAGGTACATCTTCATATTCCTTCCCCTCTTCACAAAGCCACACCTGACGACTAACACACCTGCTACGAAAACAGTGAACTTCACGTCTTCCGCGGCCACCAACCCTCTCCCACCGGCTTCATTATGGGCCACGAATTCACCGGCGAAATCATCGCCACGGGCCCCGCAGTCCAACACTTCCAGACCGGCGACCTAGTCGTCTCCCCCTTCACTGTCAGCTGCGGGACTTGCTTCTACTGCACACGGGGATGTTCCTCTCGATGCGCGAAATGCCAACTCTACGGGTCTGCGGTGCTGGATGGCGGACAGGCGGATTACGTGCGGGTGCCGTTGGCGGATTCGACGCTTGTCAAGGCACCAGAGAGCATCGATGAGAAGAAATTGGTTCTGATGGCGGATATCTTCCCCACGGGCTATTTCGCAGCGAGGAATGCGTTTAAGGGGATGGATGAAGAGGAGGTGAAGGAGAGTGTAGTGGTGTTGTTTGGGTGTGGGCCAGTGGGGATCTGCGCGTTGATTAGTGCGTTGGAGTATCGGGCGAGGAAGGTTATTGCGGTAGATAGTGTGAAAGAGAGGTTGGAGTTGGCGGGGAGGCTGGGGGCCGAGCCGTGGAATTTCCAGACGCAGGGGGGCGAGTTGAGGGAGCGAGTGAAGGAGCTGACGGATGGGAGGGGGGCGGATGTGGCGATTGAGGTGGTGGGACATAGTAGTGCGTTGGGAATGGCGTTTGAGATGTTGAGGCCGTGGGGAAGGATCTCGAGTGTGGGCGTGCATAATGGGGAGATTCCATGGACGGGGAATCAGGCGTATGGCAAGAATTTGCAGGTGCAGATGGGACGGTGTCCGGTTCGGAGTGAGTGATCCTTGTTCTGGAGGAAGAGGTGGTGCTGATGACTTTAGGTATTTTCGAGGATGCGTTGAAGATGTTGGCAAAGAAGCAGGATATTCTCGAGTAAGTGGTGCTGATGGATGAGACGGGGATGGGTTGCTAACGAGTGCAGTTTCATGGTGACGGATGTACGGCCCTTGTCGCAGGCCATTCAAGCGTGAGTAGATCCCTCAGAAGTGGAATTATGCTAAGTGTCCTAGGTATGACGACTTCAACCATATGCGGTCCCAGAAGATCATCTTTGAAGGGGGCAAGTGATGGTGAGGTAGACGTTGCACTGGCAGTTTTGGAGCCATGTTGAAGCTTACTCGAACTTCACGCCTTCTTTGATTGCAATAAATCTAACAGACCGCTTTAAAGTCTCCTGAACTCCCAGTAATCCGTGATCTACCAAATATGCCCTCTCCTTGCTAGTCTCGCGACGCTTCTTAAAAGCCGTTATGGGAGTCATTCCTGCCTGAGAGTCTATCGATGTTGCATCGACTACAGCGATACATATCAGGCTTACCCTCAAATGCTCGAAGTAACATGCTGTTGTTTCGCAGCACGTTTTCTGACACGATGACGCCCAGGTCAACGTGGAGCACATGAATACCCGGTTATGAGAAGCTTTGGGCTTGCGCGGACCGCAGCATGGAGTTCCTTCAGCCTCGTATAAGCAGCACTGCTACTGGATGATAATCAGGAATAGTGAGTTCCGGACTTTCTCCGCTGGTCCACACATTGTTATGGGTAATGGTAATGGAACCGTCGGAGATAGCGGAGACTAGAAGTGAAATGACTTCATCTCAGGTCGCCACGGCTTCATGCTGACCATGGAATGCCCGTCTTTGGGCAAGACACGGCATTCGTAATGGGCATCTAACATGGCACTATACTCACAGTATGCAAAATGGGGAATCAATTATTATCTACCACTACTCAGAAGGTTTGTACCATTTTTGTTTGGACTTGGCCGACCAAATTTTCGTCTCGAACGCTTGTCCCGGCTCCGCTACAAACGGTGATGTGAACCCGTTTAATGTACCGGCATAGCTGGGGCTAACCCGGTTGCTGCCCGCCGTGGAGGGCGGATCCGACCCGGCTGATTCGGTCGCAGTTCGCACGCGAGCCATATCAAAACTTGCACTCCGGTCGCGTAGACTCGGGGCAGACCCTTTGGATGACGTGGGTCGGGATTGGCTTAAACCAGGCACCAAGCAGCGAGGATGGAGCTGCCGGTCCTGCATGAATGATGACGTATCGCTGTGGGCTACAGTGTCTGTGAGTGAACTAGTGTCGGCGTTAGATCGGGTGTCCGCAATCGATCCGTTCTCTGCAAATGATCCACTGTCGGCATTGGATCGTGTCTCGGGTATTGACCGAGTGTCTGGGAGGGAGGGGGTGTCGTTGGATGGGGTGTCCACATAAGATCCGGAGTCGGGGATGGACCGAGTGTCGGCACTGGAGCGGGTATCCGCATTGGATCGGGTGTCTGACATGGACGCGCTGTCGGTATTTGCTCCAGACTCTGTGGGGGGCGTCGCATCCTTGTTCGAGGTATCCTGCGCAAACTCCTGGCCCTCGCGAATATAGCACCTCGAAATCAGGTCGTTTTGGATGGTCAAGATTTTGTTTAGCGACCGTATCAGAGCGAACTTGAATGGGACCGACATTTCAGGATGCACGGATATCGTTTCGTACGCAAGCTCTTTGACATACCCCAGGCAGGTGTTCATGTGCATGTACTCGATCTTTAATGGATGCATCAGGATTTTGCCTGTGTGCATCTTCCTACATATCACATTAGTACGTCTGCAGCGCTTCATGCGAGCAATGCACTGAAAATTACTTACCCTACTTTATCCAGATACTCCCAATACTCAATCTGGCTGGGGTCGGAAAACAACCGAGTCAAATACCATTTCCAAAAGATCTTCCTCCGCTGCACATGCGGGCCGTCGAGGGTGAACAAATCCTCGACGTGGGCCTCTGATTCGGTGCTTCGTGTACGCAATGCGCGGGCTGTGATGTCAAAGTCAAGCATTTTCGCATACAGGCGATGGGTGAGGTCGGGAAGGGCAGCCTTGAGGAATTTGGTGCCTTTGTTGAAGACGATGAGATCATCTGGAGTGGTCAGCAAATGACTTCGCTGACACGGATCCAAGCATACCGTCTGTGAAGTCGAGGAATGCCCGCAAAAATTCCATCCGTTTGCCAAAATCCGTGTATAGTTCCTTCCGCGTGACACGCCTGATGTCATCCTGTACAGGAGACAGCGGATCCATTGTGATCAGATTAGATATGAAGTCGATCTATTGAATTATATGATTATAGGATGTGTTATGGACTTCAATGGTATGGTGGGCATTAGCAGATGGGTTGGCCTGTCGCCACACTCTAAGTCCGAATGGTGTTGGAAGCAATGTGTTGACCTGCTCTGCCCCGGAGTCCTTATATTTTAGCCGGCCCAGTGACCCCTGGAAGGATTTTGGGCCAGCACGCGACTCCCATTGCACCAAACCGATGGGGACCCGACTGCGGCTGACGGGCGGTGCGATTGGTGCAGCTGCTGGAGATTTCCAAACCGTGCCGTCATACAGGCTTTAAGCCTTTGACAGCGCGATCCACCACCTTACCCGCCGGCATGGAACTCCGCGGCACAATTCGCTACGACCAGGGTAGGAAGGGAGGGCTGACACACCACAGCTGTTCCCGACGCGATTCACTGGGGCACCCACGGTGGGCTGAGATGGAGCCGATGAAGTCTGGTATATTAAATCACGAATTGCGCCCCCACCGGGGGGGGTTCCACGGCTGCTGGCCAGACTCCAGTGTTCAGCTACGCCAACCCGATCCCTGGAAAGGGCCAGGACATGAGAGGGACCGTTTCCTTCGGGTGGGGCCGCTAACGATCCCATCGCGTAGGAATCAATCTGTCGGAGGAGTCGGATATCCCGCGCGAGTCATGATTTGCTGTCGCCTCCGTTTGGGATCGGGCCCGGTCTGTGCTGGATTGTCAATGGCACGAACTGTCAGTCAGCTCTTGGCATTCAGGATTGGCTCTGAGGAGGACGGGAAGACGGATGCGAACCTTGATTCAGCTGACGCGCAACATCGCCATGGTCCCATGGGTATCTGGCATGCGGCATCGGACGGGGTCCGTCCGGACGAGAGGATGTCGATGCAGGATGCTGATCATCATCGCCTGGCGCAGCGCCAGGCAGACTGGCAAAGGCCGAGTTCGTTCGATGCAGGGGTGAGGCTAGATGGGCAGTGGGATAGGCAGAGGAAGGGCGACAGGATCATGCCATATCGATGGTTCAACTTTCTCTCCTCCCCAGCAACTCAGCAAGCGGCCGTCGTGATCCCACTAGGCCGAACCGGGTAAGCCTCGGGGGAAGCGGGCGGCCGAGAGACTGCATGACTAATCCTCGATTGCGCCGGCTCGGCTGTTGGCCAATCTCAGGCTGCCGGTGCCAGGGAAGCATTTTCCACCACTGCCAGTGGTGTCCAGCGACCATCTTCCACGGGCGCCAGGTTTCAACCCGGTGGAGGAGTATTTAATCTGCCGGGCATGCCGAGCATGACTGGAGGCTACACTGGATCATGGACGGCTCCGCCACGTCCGGTGCAGTTTAATTTCCACTTTGCAGGCGGGGCTCTCCAACACTAACCGGACTAAGGCATCGCACTGGTGACCAGCAATAAGACATTCATTTGCAGGACCGTCCCAGGTCATTGGGCAGTGATGGCTGCTAATACTTAGATCCTGGAGGCCCAACTGCGCCGGCCAAGCTGGCACCTTACTACGGAGTACTAACTACTATCTAGATACTTCCTGACCCCTGACTAGTCCTTCCCGAGCAGGTGCCAGATGGCTCCCCGAGCTCATCCGCTATCCGACCGCGGCTGCCCGGTTCACATCGTATCCATGGATCAACTCATCGACTCGCCCTGATTCGGGTCCCCTCTAACCGGTCAATTGATTCTTCTACCAACCCTCAGCCAGCATGTCATGGTGCCCACCCCCTCATTGGTGGTGATGACACGTGACGGCGAGCCTCGGCTCCATGCGCAAAATGCGGGGATCTCCTGCAACCACGCCGATCGCCATCCCCAACGTTGAACGCGCTGCCTCTCAGCCCGCCCCCTCTTCAATCTTCTGACCTCCCACCACAGCAACACACCTGCATCAACATACCATGTCGAACGTCTCTCCCAACCCCATTCCCTTCGCGGAGCCGCCCTATCTATGCGGTCTCCCATCGCCATACTACTCCCCCGGCCATCATCGATTCCAGAAAGCGTGTCGCGCGTTCCTCTGGGAGCATCTACTCAGCCATGCGATGGATTACGAGAAGGCCGGCGAGGTCCCTGAACACGTCTTTGAAACCTTCTGCAAGCACAACATGTTGATCCCCAACATGGGCGCTCCGTTGCCGGTGGACTGGCTGAAGCGCTTGGGGATCCACGACATTCTGGGCGTCAAGGTGGAGGATTGGGACTATATGTACTCGGGGATCTACTTTGACGAGGTAATATGCTTGGATCCATGGTCGTGCGTCGCTGACAGTTGCAGCTGGCACGCTCCGGTTTGGCTGGCCCTGGGGCGTCACTCAATGCCGGCTTCACCTTTGCGATCCCGCCCATTCTAAAATACGGCAGCCCGGAACTGAAGGAACGCTTCCTCCCCGCCCTTTTGACCGGTCACAAGCGCTGCTGTATCGCCATCACTGAACCCGAGGCGGGCAGCGATGTCGCCAGCATCACTACAACGGCCACGAAAACGCCAGACGGACAGTATTACCTGGTCAATGGTGCTAAAAAGTGGATCACCAACGGGATCTGGTCGGATTACGCGACCATGGCCGTCCGCACCGGCGGCCCAGGCGCCTCTGGTCTCTCCGTCCTGTTGGTCCCGTTGAAAGGCCACGCCGGGGTCAGCATGCGTCGGCTGAAGGTCACCGGGCAACTCACTGGCGGAACCACCTACATCGAGCTGGACGATGTGAAGGTGCCCGCGGGCAATCTGGTCGGCCGCGAAGGCGATGGCATGCGGATGATCATGACCAATTTCAACCACGAACGACTCTCCATCGCGGTTGGAGTCACACGACAAGCCCGCGTGGCCCTATCGAGTGCCTTCCAGTATTGTCTCAAGCGGGAGGCCTTTGGCAAGACGCTCATGGACCAACCGGTTGTGCGGCATCGACTGGCCAAGGCTGGTGCTGAACTTGAGACGATGTGGGCATTTGTGGAGCAGCTGCTTTACCAATTATGCCATTTACCCAAGGAAGAGGCGGATCTGAAGCTGGGGGGGATCACGGCACTCGCCAAGGCCAAGGCGGCGATGGTGTTGAACGAATGCGCGCAGTGCGCTGTCTTGTTGTTTGGCGGAGCTGGGTTCACCCGCAGCGGACAGGGCGAGCAGGTCGAAGCGATCCTCCGGGAGGTGCCTGGTGCCCGGATTCCCGGTGGGAGTGAGGATGTTTTGCTGGATCTCGCTGTGCGGCAGTTGGTGAAAATTTACCAAAAGGGAGAGAAGCAGCGGAAGTCGAAGATATAGACGTTCAGTCGTGATGTCACATCCAGTGATGACGTGTACATTAATATTGGCCAATATGACATAATTATTTCAATAACCCTGTGTCCCTTGCGTTGCAAGATCTGGGTTCAATGCTTATCGGGTGTCCAGCCCGGCCCATGTCCGTGATCGACACGAGCGTAAAAGTCTCGGCTCGACGCCAGGTAAGCTTCTCCAGTCTTCGCGGGCCGTCAGACTCACCGACCGGCAGTTGATAGCAGCAAGCAACTGATAGCGCCCGTGCTGTCCGACTACCAATCGCAGCCAGGCACGTCCATGACTCGTTACGAAGCAACTTATCATCGGCCGATACGACATCCTTATCAGCAACCAAGAATGGGGCGCGACTTAAATGACGGTCCTTGCCATAGATATCTGGTCCGCATCAAGCCCAGCGCTCACCAAGGCACCATGGGTCTCAAGCAGCGGCTCCAAGTTAAGCACGGAGACCTCGTGTCTGGCGTGGACTCCAATGCAGACCTGGATCCGATTCCGCGGGACTCGCCCAGGAGGACCTGGGGATGGGTCAGTTTGACCGGGTTCTGGATCTCGGAGGCCTTCTCGATCAGCATGTATCAGGGTAAGTTCCCTACCCTGGGAGGGAGTGCATGCTAAGTGAGCAGTCACGTCTACATCAGTGTCGAAAGGATTGAATGCAGGTCTGGCGATCGCCGCGGTGGTCGTCGGCCACATGCTCGTATACATTCCCGTCGCCTTGGATGGGTTGGTTACTTCCCGAAAATACTCTCTCCTTCACTGACCCGGTCAGATACATCGGCTCAATCTACGGCATCAACTTTCCCATCCTGACCCGTGCCAGCTACGGCATGCGAGGCAGCTACTTTGCCGTCCTCAGTAAGCCTCTTATCCCCTTAACATCTAACCCAGCTAACTATCGCAGTTCGCGGCCTCGTCGCCATCATCTGGTTCGGGACCCAAACCTACCAGACGGGCGAATGCATCTCCTCCATGATCAGCGCCATCTGGCCCTCTTTTGAGCACCTTCCGAACCACCTCCCTGCCTCAGGCCCCATCACCTCCTCTGAACTTCTCTGCTTCTTCCTCGCCATCATCGCCCAACTCCCGCTCCTCTACCTCAACATTCCCCAACTACGGTACCTCTTTCTCGTAAAAATGGCGATCATGCCGATTTTCGGTCTTGCTCTTTTCATCTGGGCCGTCGCAACCGCCCACGGCTTTGGGCCTGTCTTTTCCAAACCTAGCCACATCACCGACGGCACTCCAGTCGCTGTGGTATTCCTACAATGCGTGACCAGCGCCATCGGCCCCAAAGCCACCCTCGCCCTCAACATGCCCGACTTTACCCGCTACGCGCACTCTCCCCGACAAATTTTCTGGACGCAAGCCCTCGGCCTTATCATACTAGTGTCCCTCTGCGGCGTCCTAGGGGCAACCGTCACCTCCGCCAGCGAAATCATCTACGGCGTCCAAACCTGGAATCCACTGCAAGTGGCCGCCCTCTGGGACAACCGTGCCGCGCAGTTCTTCGCCGCATTCTGCTGGTCTCTGGCCGCCATCGGGACCAACCTCTCCGCGAACAGCGTATCCTTCTCCAACGACCTCTCCCTCTGGTTTCCCCGCTACATCAACGCCAGACGAGGCGCCTACGTCTGCGCCGTACTAAGCATCCTCAGCTGTCCCTGGTACATCCAAGCCGAGTGAGCATCCCCATCCCATCCCCAAACCCCAACTCTAACCAGGTCAACCCAGCGCAACATCCTTCTCCTCCTTCCTCGGTGGCTACTCCCTCTTCCTCGGTTCCCTCGCCGGCATCATCATAACCGACTACTGGCTCATCCGAGCCCGAAACCTCCGCGTCCGATCCCTCTACGATCCCTCTCCAAACGGCACGCACTTTTTCACCCGGGGATTCAATCTCCGGGCGTTCATGGCGTTCATCTGCGGCATCGCACCGAATCTCCCCGGGTTGGCACATGCGTGTGGACAGACGGGGGTGCCGAGGGGAGCGGTGTATCTGTATTCGATGAGTTGGGTGGTGAGTTTTGTGGTCTCGGGGGGTGTGTATTGGGGGCTTTGTGCGGGGTGGCCGGTGAGGGTTGATGGGGATGAAGTGATTGAGGGGGTGGATGTTAGTCTTGAGGAGAAACAGGAGGAGAAAGATGGGGAGATGGTGGGCGTTCAGGAAGTGGCTGTTTAGGCTGAAACCATGGTAAAGAGTAGAATGTGAATATGATCTGCACAAACAAATGCTCAACGAAGCCCGAACAAAATCACCTAAAACCACCTCAAGGTATAAACCTACTAAAGATAATCCTGCCCCCTCTTCACCCTCGCCACCCGAGAACTCACATACGCCCCCCTCTTCGCCGTCCTAGCACCCATCCTCACCAACGACACCAAATGATGCACGCCCGCCACGACCCCATCAATAACCTGTACATCCGGGCCCGCGACCTTCTCCACCGCCCCCTTCAGCCGAACCATCCCCGCACAACCAAGGGTAATCGTATCCGCGCCCTGGGCGACCAACCTCTCCGCAGCACCACACATCGCCCCCACCACCTCCGCCTCATCTTTACTTTCCAACTCCAATACACCAAGATTACACGCCTCCACGCCCGCACAGAACCCATCCATCCCGGCATGTCGGATCGCGTCGGCGTGGATGATTTTCGATCGCGCGGACGTGACCACCACCCCGAAACGACTCCCCACGGTCCGCGCCGCGAAGAGACTCGCTTCCATGATCCCGATGACCGGGACGGGAAGTTCCTCGCGCAAGGCCCGGATGAGCGGGTGATCGCTGTAGCAGGCCACCAGGAAAGCGTCGTATTGGTCTGCGAGGGGGAGGATGGCGCGGAGGGTGGCAGCGGCGGAGAGGACGCTGTCGAGGATGCCTTCGACGGCGGTGGGGGCGGGGAGGGGGGCCGTGAAGCCGGTGACTTCGACGTCGGGGGGTAGGGTGGGTTTGATGAGGGAGATGCAGTTGGTTGTCATGGAGTGGGTGGAGTTGGGGTTGATGAGGAGGATGCGGATGGTTTTGTTGGAGGGGGTGGTGATGTGGCCGTTGGCTGATGAGATATTGGGATCGTGGAGCGGTGGCTCGATCACGCCGGTCTGGGAGGTGATGCGGCCGTAGTGCTCGATGCGACGATGACGGGCAAAGTCAAAGGTGCGGGTCTTGCCCGCGCGACAGAGGGTGAGGTCGCAGTCTGCGACGATGATTTCGTCGTCAGTGGTTTTGGTTTCGGCGATGATGCGTCCCTCCGGGTCGATGATGGTCGAGCCGCCGATGAGCGGGTACTCGCCGTCGTCGAGGCCGCAGCGTGCTGCGCTGATGGAGAAGCAGGCGTTGGTGTAGGAGTGGCATTGCATGACCAGTTTGTGATGGAAGAGGGAGAGTTCCTCGGCTTCCTTGGGATCCATGTCGGCCGATTGTCCCCAGAATTGGGGGGCGTAGCCGTTCGTGTTGAATCCACAGGCCACGATCTCAACGCCTTGGAGACCGTACTCGCGCCAGGACTCGGCCCAGCGGCGGTCGTTGCAGATCATCATGCCCAGGATCGGGTCGGGGGTGTCTTCGTCGGAGGGGAGAAGGCCAGGGGCACGGAAGGCCTGGAAGCCGAGGTTGCCCGGTCGGAAGTATCGCTTTTCGAGCTGGTTGACGGCTTTGGGGTCTGCGAGAGGCTCGACGTCACCGGGGAGATGGATCTTGCGGTATTTGGATAGAATGGATCCCGTGGCTGCGTGGTAGTACACGCAGCTGTTGAAGTGCTCGCCGTCATCGGTGGCTTCTGCGAATCCGACTATGATGTCCACGGCCAGATCGCGAGCAGTGTCGAAGAGGGCTTTGGTTCGCGGTGCGGTGGTGATGTCGCCGTGTTCGAACCAGCTTTCCAGTTCCTCTTGGTCGAGGATCAAGTATCGCGGGAAAAAGGTGGTGAATGCGATTTCAGGGAAGAGAACCAGCTTCGCGCCCTGTGCAGCAGCATCCTTGAGCAGGAGGATCATTCGCTCCAGCGTTTTCTCTCGCGCGTCCCATTTGTTGGTGGTGCCCAGTTGGGCAGCGGCGAGTCGGACGGTGCGAGCCATTGTGATGGAGATGTTGTGGAAGAATATGATCTTCCGTCTCTTAATGGCTGTCATTAAAATAGTCGCAGCTTTTGGCCTCTGCGATTCGGATATATTTCCGCCTCTCCTGCTAGCAGCTTGATTAGGAAGGTCGGGGGAGGTCCTATCAGCCAGCTATCAATACATCTTATCGCGTCGGCCGATCCGCCTCGTCGCGAGGATGATAACGATAGCCTTTATTATCAGGAACTGCCTGGGGATAAACCTACAGAGTGAACACTGCAGCCTCATTTATCGCGATGAAAGCTACAACAGGTATCGACTTGATTGTCATCAACGCTACAGTGGTAGGTGTTGTTGATTCGTTGATCGACCATCGCTCACGGTGGTAGGCTACGGCCTCCGATATAGTCCCAAACCAGGACATCGCTATCTCTGGTGGGAAAATCGTCTTACTGGGGCAGAACCTTGCGGCACTTTTCCCCAGTGCGGACACCATCGATGCAGAAGGCGCATATGTCACCCCCGGCGGCGTCGACAGCCATGTGCACTTGCAGCAAGACAACTCTCCGACTGGCGATACCTGGGAGTCGGGGACTCGGTCAGCCATCGCGGGAGGTACGACCACTGTTCTAGCATTCGCGAGTCAGAAACGGACAGATGAGAGTCTGTTCCCAGTGGTTGACGAGTACCACCGAAGGGCCAGTGGCCAGGCGTACTGCGACTACGGCTTCCATCTAATATTGACCAACCCAACACCAACAGTCCTCGACGAGGAGCTGCCTGTCCTGGTGCGCGAGGGTGGCATCAGCTCCGTCAAGCTGTACATGACCTACCAGCCAATGCGGCTGGGAGACCGTGAGATCCTCGATGTCATGGAGACCACGCGACAGCTGGGGATGACGACCATGGTGCACGCAGAGAACCATGAGATGATCCAATGGATGACCGAGAAGCTCGAGGCGCGCCGCCGGACCGAGCCATATGCCCATGCTCTCGCACGTCCCAATATTGCAGAGGATGAGGCAACGTATCGTGTCATTTCTCTGTCCGAACTGGCCGACGTTCCGATCCTGATCGTCCACATGTCCTCGAAGCTGGCTGCAGCCCATGTGCGGGCTGCCCAGACTCGGTTGCTTCCAGTGCATGCGGAAACATGTCCTCATTATCTGTTCTTCACGAGTGAGCGGCTCAAGGGAGATGATTTTGAGGGCGCCAAATGTGTGTGCTCGCCAGCGTTGCGAGAGGATCCGATGGACCTGGAGGCAATGTGGGCGGGTCTTGCGAATTCGACCTTTACGACGGTCTCGAGTGACCACGCGCCATCCAAGTGAGGATCCCTCGATACCTGTGAGCTCTGCTAACTATGGCAGATTTGATCACCCTTTGGGCAAGAAGAAAGGCACATCCAGCTTCACTCAAATTCCCAACGGACTGCCGGGGCTAGAGACACGGCTGCCGACAATGTTCTGCGGGGGTGTTCTCACCGGCCGCATCTCCATTCAGAAGTTTGTCGAACTGACCAGCTCAAACCCGGCCAAGCTATATGGGCTTGGCAGCACCAAGGGGACGATACAGCCCGGCTTCGATGCCGATCTCACGATCTGGTATCCCACCCCAGAACAAGCGACATCTCACGGCAGCACGTCGACCATGACACCGTTCCAGCTGTCGAACAGCATGCTGCATCATGACATCGACTATACGCCGTTCGAGGGGATGGAGTTCACCAACTGGCCTCGCTATACCATTCTTCGCGGCCAGACGGTGTGGAACCGGGACGCAGGAGGCGTGGTCGGCAGCAAAGGCGATGGCGCATTCCTGAAGAGGGGGTCGAGCTCCTTGAGCAGGCCGCGGAATGTGTTTGTCAATGAGTTTAGTCCGTACCTGTAGTTAGTACTTAGACATGTAATGAAGCAGACTGGCATGCGAATTATTGTTGATTGATGTTCAGACATATGAAAGTGTCCCAATCAGAGAAATGGTGTTATGGGCAACCCATGTGATCCACCAAGAAACACACAGAGGGTCAAGTGACCCTGAAGCAAACATCCAATGTAATAGCCAAAAGTATTGACAGTAAATGCAATTCACAAGCAATCGACCCAGGTATATTTCAAGCCACAGCACCTTTATACATAGGAAATAGAAACAGATATCATCACAGTCCTCAACAACCACAACAACAACATTCGGCCGCTTCGACGCAGCACTCGCACCATTCCTCGCAGATGAAGCAGCAGCACATTGTGAGCAGACAGGTGGTCAGACAGCCGCGGTCTTTCGACGGTTCTGGTTGTGGAGGCGCATATTGCATTTGTTGGGGCGGTGGGTACTGGCCCCCAGGAGGAGGGTAACTAGAAGGGTACGTTAGTCGCTGGAATCCATAGTCCGAGGTCTGAGTACGTACTATCCCTGGGGAGGCGGTTGTTGTTGGTAAGACATGGCTCTAGGGAGTCTGGAGTGGAGGACCGATGGGGTCACACCAAATCCCAGAGGCCACCGGAGTTATATAGCCAGGAGGGATCCCGCTCGGGGCGCCCGGCAGGCAGAAGGATTGGGAACAGCTCGACACCCGCCCGATTCAGCCCTGTGGACGGACTTGGGCGGCGCTGGCCGGGCTTGGCCCTGCGGATTTCGCTGGGGGGGCGATCCACTGGCCGGATGGCGATTGGGCCTGCGGTTAGATGAAGCTGAATCACTCGCCGGGGATGCCAGTGTCGAGCACATCGACCCCTGGAGCGGCCCCTCATTGGCAACTGGGGATTGCTGGCACTAAGAATAGCTGGCAGGGTATCACAACGCAGTCAGGTAGGCGCTTCTGCTGTGGCTGTTGCTGGGGAGCTGCTCACGATGCCAAGAGCGCCTGCTCCATCGGGCGGGGAAACGAATGGCTGTTTACTGCCATTGTCATGGCGCCAAGAACCCCGACAGGGATGGAGGACACCCTCTTCACTAAAAGGGTCAGTCGACCAGGACGCCAAGGCATGGAAGCGCCCCTTAAGGCGGGCGGATCCCCACCGGAGTTCCCCAGCACCCAATCATCCCAGACAGGGTCCGGAACGCTGTTGCCTATCATCGGGGGGCTGGTGCCATCCTGTGCATGCTTATTGCATGGATGCACATGGGAAATGAATGTTGTTCTGTGGTGGCCTTGGGGCAGCTGTTGGCGGCTTCGTTGGCAAGCGGCCACAGGGCTGATGTTTCATCTGTGGTCTTTGGGAGAATGTGATCGACGAATACCCTCACCTGGACTGCAGATAGAGCGAACGGGGTTTCACCTGCATTGGCATTAGAATGGATGCGGTTGTGGCTGGAACCAACAGCGCAGGCTGAACAACGGGGGCAGCCTGGGATATGTAGACAAAATAGTCTGCTGACAAACAATAACCCTTGATGGTCTAGTTGGTTATGGCGTCCGGCTGTAATGGTTCATTGTCACCGGAAAATCCCTGGTTCGATTCCGGGTCGAGGGACTTATTTTTGTGCAGCCCATACACATAGGCTGACGCATTTGTTTTTACTGTATTGTTGCTCTGTTCTCCTTTCCTTTTGTTCCTTTCCTGTTGCTTTGCACATGGGGCTCATAATAGAGGGATGGAAGAGGGTCAAAAAAAGGTTCCCCGTGGTATCTCAGGGTGCTGTGTTGGTTGTGTACGCAAGAGACATGCACGATTTTAGCGGGCGGTGCTAATTAATAGCTCAATGCTGGCGAAACCCACAAAGCCGCCAATTGGCAGCTGCTTCAGACACTAAGTACTCCGTACGGAGTACTAGTAGATGGGCACAGACTAAACAAAAACCAAAAAATGGACTCGCCGGGAATCGAACCCGGGACCTCTCCAATGCGAATGGAGCGTCATACCCCTAAACCACAAGCCCATCTTGTTGAAATATCTGTTTTGTTAATCCCCTATCTTGTTTGAAACTTTGTAAATACAATCCCATAGCAATTTCCTTTCGTCGTGTCAAAATTAGTCGGGCTGGATAAATCCAGCAGATCGAGATTGGTCATCCTCGGAGACTACTGTATAGTATGAGCTAGCCATTAGTAGATAGTACTATGGTTAGTGAAGATGATGTGGTGGCCACCCATTCATGAATCCTTGAGTTGCTACCGGGTCTGAATATATATAGTGTCAGTGCTTCTTAAGGGAGAACTGAGTTATTCTTGTATAGAGGTATCAGAAAAACGCTCCGGCAACAATAAAACATATATTGTATACCGGCTAATCACCAACATGATGCCAGGGACATGATATTGGAGTCCCAGGCAGAGCGAAAAGCATGGCCCCATGAATAGTAGTATATAACATCATCTTTAACCACTCCATATGTAAAACTTAATTCTGCCGGTCGGAGAAAAGCCCCGAGGCGGGGCCGAGAAGCGGTCAGAGGTGACTGTCACGTGCGCCGCCCGCTGGATGTATGCATTCATCCATCCATCATCCATCCATCATCCACCCCCATCCTTCTCATCCATTCTTCTTATTCAACATTGGACCGGTAAGGACTGTTTAGTACATGATCATGCCGCAACTTCCGTGTATGTTTCAGTCCCCACGCAAATGGACGGCTGAGCATCTCAAAGCCCTACGATTATGTCGACATCACGACTCTTCCATCCAAGAGATCGTTGGTGTTGGCTATGTTCCCAAGGACGGAGATGAAGGTCGGACTCCTACTCCCTTCCCCATTCCAGTACTTTTTGCTTGGGCCTTCCATTTCTTTTCCCAGTTGTGCCGTTGCTCACAGGCAGATAGAATTCGAGTCGCTTGCCACGGAGTTTGCCCAGCCAACCGAGCATGAATTGCTGAGTTACCTCGCAGAAGGTCCCCATTACCGACGGAACATCTTTATGCAAACCTTCGGCAGCCTGTCCGAGGTGGCTCATTCCAAGACGAGTTTTGTGGCATCCAGGGACGCGGTCCTCTCCCTCTTTAAAATGCTGCTAGTCAACGTGGAAACGAAAAAACATCTGTAAGTCTCGGATCACACGCATCTTAGTACGGTGAAAGCTAAGGGAGCGAAGGACAATCTCCTCCCGTGGACAGATTCCGTTTGAAGTGGCAGGCATTCGGGGTGCCCTCAGCTGCAGTGGAAGTCTTATAGATTCGTCGATTCCCCGTTCCCCCTTGGCCTCATTTATAGTCCGTCTTGACCTTCCCTGGGTGGGTCTTTTATACTGACACCTTACGCTAGGTGATAAGGGATGGTGACCACAACATCGCCCGTGAAGTCTCACATTTATTACTACAGGGTGCTCTGGCGAATGCCTCCAATCAAACTCGTAGGGCCTTTGTTATCTGCATGGCTGGCGTGAATCTCCAGATTACCATGGCAAAGTTTCATTTTGATTACATGGATGCACTCGTCCATGGCAAAAACCCAGACAGGTGCCTCGATCTATTACATTCGGAATGGTACAATCTCTGCAACCGCGAGCGACGGAAAGAAGCACTCAGAGCCATTGTCGGCCTTGCGAGGCTGCTCGATACCCAGTGACCATTAATCGATGGCCGTTTCAATTATTCGAAAATCTTCTGCAATAGACCTATCTCGGCCCTTCCACTCCGAAGGTGTTCATAAACACCAATGCACAACTGTAAAGCGCCAGCTCTGCCCCGTTGAGACTTCAAGTCGTATGGCTCAGAACGCCTCACCCACAGTGTCTCGCTCCCCGGCATAACCGGGCTATTGGCATGCCGAAGGCATTCTGCAGTGAAATGCGCTGCTGCCAACTTAAGATGGGTGCCATGAATGGTAAGAACAAACGCTTCCTGGTCTCTCCAGCCGTCGAGCTGCGCAGCATGTTCCATAGCCTGACCCAATAATTGGGGCCACTTCCTGAGCCAAGATGTCTGCCGAATACCTTTCTGCTTCCCCTGCTGACCGGCGAATACTTCCGGCGTGACGACGTTTGGCCTATATTGCTTGTCAATCGTTATTCCTTACATCATCTCCTCACAACCATAAATGTACCTCCAGTGACATCAGTGGGATAGTCCCATATCGGTCTGAGCCAGTATAGTGTCCTTGGCGAGTTAGATAAATGCCGCCGTCATTATACGCTAAACATTTGGTCTCAGTGCCCAGCGAAATAGACACCGCTCGACTTTCCGTGTTCCTGTTGCGGTCAGCGTCTCATATTAGGGGCTCAAGGGAGCTCTAGAGTATACATTTGCAGGCTATAGGCCTGTCCCTGGTACTGGATCGATGGATAGCCGGAGCCCGTGAGGTTTCGCAGCAAGGGGGTAAACATCTGTCTTGATGGCTCCTCCTGCTTGCCTTCATTGCTGGAAGACGACAGACCGCTCCCCGGACTGGGGTTCCGTGTATAACCCGGGGTGCCTGGAACATTGGCAGGACGAGTAGCCATTACTTCTGCGATAAGGCCAAACAAGACACAAAAGGGATTTTTTCTGAACTGGCTTTCCCAGACGGAGAATTCTTTTAGGCAATCCTCATCGGGTTTCAGGAGATCCAGAGCTAAATCAGAGTACACTTTTGATGTTGTTAAGCCATGCCATTTAGCTGCATGATCGGCCAGACTCACCACCGTGGGTTTCTGCGGGTATGAATTCCGACGGGAATAGGCGCGGCATGGGCAAGCCGTCTAGCAGAACGACCCGGAGAGCCTTTAGGTGCATCTCGCCCCAGTCGGACCCGGACACTGCTAGCTTGGTGGAATTGAGGTCGCATGGCTGATCGTCGATGTGCGTGACCCCCCCGTTCTGCTCCTCTGGAGTGGGGTAGAACTTCATCTCGTGTTCTCCACTTAGGTCGTTATTCGATCTGTCAATGATTACACGGCTAGCCAAGACCCGAGTTTGAATGCTGCGGACTGGTTATTGACGCAGAATTAGGAAGATCATCTAGATGCATGCCACTGCTAATTCCATAAGAGTATCGAGTATCATAGCACTCGAATGGGTCCACGGGAAAGCACGACCCATGCCGATCCAGGAAAGGCTTGCTTGTATAGCTAGCACGACAATCAGCATACTGGCCTAACATCCTTATACTATCTATATCGGGGACTGGATGATTAGATGCATGATTTTAGTGTAAATATACATCTTGCAATACTTCCAACATTGATCGGCGCAGTATAAAGTTCATAAACGTGGTAGAGAAGAGAAACTTTAGGGTAATACACTCCGGTGCAGGCTTAAGAGTACAATCACAAGGCACCGTCCAGTTTCTTCGCAAACCTCATCTCATTGGCCCCGAAATCAAACACGCTCACGACATTCTTCATGAACGACATCCCCAGGATATTCAACACCATGCCATCCAGCGCCACCGTCTCCGAGGCCACCAAGATGGAAGCGCAGTATCCCTCCCCAGTGTTATAAATCAGATCCTTCCCGCGGTGATAGAACGTCTGATTTCCAATGACGACCCCAAAGGCAGGAGCCTGCGCATCACAATCCACCAGTGACACACCCAAGTCCTTATTATAAACAGCCGGCGGGGAGAAAAGCGCATTCACCGGGTTTACAACCGCTGCAGGAAGATACGAAAACTCATTCCCTGTATCCAAGAAGGCCTGGAATGCCGTATCGTTGGCCTGCATGGGACACGCGTTCTCATACCCATACCGGGTACCGGCCACGGTCAGGGCCCAGTACGACCGCGCCCTCTTACCCGAGGTGAACCACAGCGGGATGTTATCCATGATTTCCACAGGGGCAACACTGAACTCTTCGCTATGCGGCACAGGCGGCAGCTCACCCAGGCCCAGGTAGCCTCCAAATTCCGGCCCGCTAGCCTGTGGGGGCGTGTGTGCCAGCGCGATGCTGAACCACGGCTCGACTAATCCCTGCGCGTACATCGTGTTGAACACTGGGTTGTAAACGGCCCGGTTAGTCCAGTAGGATGTGTTCGCAGTGAAGTTGCCGGGGTGAGCGGATGTCAGGGACGGATATCCCAGTCCAAACACGCCGCTGTTGTAGCCGTCGCCCATGGGGTTGGAAACATCGGCGATGCCAAGGATGGCGCGGACGTCGACGCCACCGATGGTGATGTTTTCGTAGGCCATGACCCCGCTGGCGAGGCCGTTGCCATATTTCACGCCGAAGGTCTCGTTGGGGATTTGTTGATAGGTCGGGGAGATGGTGTAGGTGGATGAGGCGTAGAGGCAGTCGGCCTGGGGGATCACCAGGTTGGATGTGGCGTTGATGCAGGCGAAGTGGTCTCGCATGACATAGGTATCACTGCTGCCGGTGTCGACGAGGAGTCGAAAGGTTTGATTGGTCGCAATGGTCACGTCAATGTCAAAGACGGTGCCATATTGGGTGGAGAGCAGGGGGGCAGAGTGGGTAAAGCTGTTGGGATGACTGGGTCCAGCACTACGGCGGTTGAGGGGGATGGTGAGCGCCGAAGTGAGAGCAAGGAGCGGGAGGATAGAAGACAGATGGAGAAGCTGCATCGTGAAATATACTTATTGCAGTGCCGATGAGTTGAGGGTTGATGATATGGCTTGAATTGGTCGAGTTTATATACCTTGCTCGAGGCTGCCAACGGACTGGAGCCTCAATGAGCGGCGAGGCTGTTGCCCTCGCACGTTTCAGCTTCGCACTGCCATCATCCTGGTCCATCCTTCGTGCAGGGACAGTAGTACTCTACTACTGTTAGTAGGGCTGGGGGCCGGATGCCAAGCCCTCGTATACTCACGATTTGACGGTGACCAATCATAGGCTCTCGCCCTCCGATGAACCAGAAAAATGCCTGCCTGGGCTGGAATTAGATCTCCACTGCGACGACTACTACTCCTACTTTCTACTAATATACTTAGTATCAGCTATCAAGTAGCATCTGTATGTGTTCAAAGTGGATGCATGTCTGCCTGCTAGTTTGGGCTAGCGCCGCGCCAGTGTCGGGGCAGTGCCTTAGTGCCTGAGTCCCTGGGAGTCATGTGTTGCACAGTCAGGTGTCCCGGTCGGTCAACTCTTCTCCCCCCCCCGACCCCCGGCATCCATCATGAAGACCACCCGGAAGAGCACCCCGAAGGTCCGCACGGGCTGCATCACCTGCAAGTAAGTTCCTGGTCCCTTTGCTACAGGTCCTCCCGATCTAACCGTCTAGAGCCCGCCGGGTGAAATGCGACGAAGCCAAACCGAACTGTCTCCGATGCACCCGAGCGAAGCGCACCTGCGGGGGTTACCCTGTCCCGGTCCCCCCGACCGACACCACCGCCACCGTCGAGAAGATTACCGCATACAACATCCCATTCAAGGTCCCGGGCAGCCAGGTGGATCGCCAATTGCTCCACTTCTACTGTATCCAGGCAGCATCGGGTCTCTCCAGCTACTCTGATCCCACCCTCTGGAACCGACTGATCCTGCAGAGGTGTCATCATCAGCCGGTGATTCGCTACGCCCTCGTCACCCTCAGCGCGCTGTACCAGGATCACCTGACCACCAACCCGCCCGGGGCCGGGGGCGACCGGCCAGCCCCATCGCTGCAGAGTCTGCGACTTATCGCGAGATCCCATCGGCAGCTGAGGATTCATCTCTCCTCGCCCGACGCATCCACCGAAGTGGCCTTGATATGCAGCATCATCTTCTACGCCTTTGAGGCTCTGTTGGGAAATGCGGGACAGGCCATCCAGCATCTCGACCAGGGGTTGATCCTGCTGCAAAGGTGTCAGGCTACGGCTCCTGTCCACTCCGCGACGGATGACATCCTGCCGCATCTAACGGCGCTGTTCTCCAGCCTGGATGTCCAGGCGAGCACGTACAACGATGGCCGTCTTCCTGTGTTGAAGTTGCTCTCTCCCGCCGAAACGTCCGGTCTCGTCCCGGTTGTTCCAGACCACTTCGGCACACTGGTGGGTGCAGAAACGACCCTCATCAAGCTGCAAAACTGGATGCTGCGTCATCTCGTGTCGTCACTTCAATATAAGCACGAAGCGATGGAAAACATCCCGGTGGATATTCTCCACGAGCGGCATACCTTGCACGACCAATTCACAAAGTATATCGAGGCCATCAGCACCTCTATAACCTGCGCCACCCATTCGAGGATCTCTGCTCGGCTGCTACTGCTTCGACTCCAGGCGCGAATGTTTCGCACTATACTGGCGGAGAATATTCCTCATCTGAGCATGGAGGAGAGTAATCCCCTCCAGCAGTCGCTGAGGGATCTGTCGACTCTTCTTACGTCGTCCCCTTCGCTCCAACCTGTCGTGGACGGGGCGATCCCCGACAAGAGGTCATTTACACTCAGCACTCACCTCATCGCGGCCCTCTATTTCATCTGCATGAAAAGCACCAATCCCAGCACGGTGGACCTTGCTCTATCCTTACTCCGCCATGAACGGCTGCCGAGTCGGGATGGGCTCTGGGACGCGGGGACGGTGGAAGCTGTAGTCCAGGGAATCAGACAGGCCAGCACCACGAACGAGAGAACTGCCAGGGAGAATCGATTGGAGGATGCTGGGGTAGGCTTCCTACAGGCAGCCGGGGAGGGAGGCGTGTATGAGATCCTGGATGTGTTGCGACGAGATGAGGGCGGATGTATCTCATCCGTCCATGAGTCACGAATGGGAGAGAGCAGTTCTACAATCCAACCACCAAGAAAAGCCACGATATCTCCAAGTCCTGCTACGGGGACTTTCAGAGGGGAAGGCAGTAAGGAGGCGGGGGAGAGAGAGCGAGAGGCCCAGCACCGCCACAGTGGGATGTGATGGCCTCCACCGAGGGTACATGCCCGGATGATCCCTTAGGCCTCAGCAGCATCATGTTTCCTACGGCGGGGGAATGCCAAAAGACAGATAGTGCTTCACCACAGGGATTTCTAATCACGGGGGTTTGGCTGATCCAATGACTCCGGCTGAAACGCGCACCGCGGCTAAATCTACACCAGCCGTCTCCACCCGCAGCGCTTGTCAGACAATCAAGGCCGTTTACGCTGTTCTGTTGATCGCCCAAGGACTCCGCCGGCAATGCCACTGCCGCTGCACCCCACTGCTCTGGCTCAGGGCCCACGACCTTGGGCGTTGAAACCCCACCACGTGGGCGAGAGACCCTCCCAGAACCACCGGGCGTGCAGCGTCCCTCGAGACGCTCTGTACCCCCACGCATGCCGCATCTGCCCTCCCTCTCGAGGTTGCCCAAGGGCTGGCGCTGGACTCCCAGTCCGTGACCGCGAACCTCGTGTATAACCACTCGGTCTCCGGGCAGATCAGTCATGTACCCGGGCTCTCGTACAATGAGAGTACCGCGGCCTTGGGAGACTGGTATCGCCTGTTCCTGGTGCCCGGAGCCGCCCACTGCGAGCTGAACCCCTACGAGGCCAACGGACCCTACCCCCAAACGAACATTGGGGTCATGATCGACTGGGTCGAGAACGGCATCTTGCCCACGACCCTGAACGCGACGCATCTGGCGGGGCCCCAGCTGGGTGCTAGTGCGCAGTTGTGTGCCTTCCCGCTGCGTCCGCTGCGGACGAACAACGGCACGATCATGGAGTGTGTCTACGATCAGGCCTCGCTGGACACCTGGCAATACGACTTTGACGCGTGGTCGCTGCCTCTGTACTGAGTGGGCGTCGTCCCGTTCCTTCGGACCGATGCCCATTCCGTCGCAATGCCACGGGTGGGTTGGGTACCATAGGACCGGAGCCGAGGGCTGCAGAGAATGGGTAAGGGATGCGAGGAGCGGAACAGAGTCCTTGAACACCTGCTGAGAAGTCCAGCAGGTTGCGCGGAAGGTAGGGCCTGATGTAATTCAAATTCTTAGCATTATAAGAATCAACCAGTGCCTCCAACAGTTTTCCTTAACAACGGACTTATCTAAATAAAAATTTTTGGATATAAAAGATAGTAATCTCCTACAATACTTCTTAGAAGACTTACTAATTTTTTTTTTAATATTGTCCTTTTCAATCCAAGGATAATCTTAAATTTAGAAATATTTATACTAAATGTTTATACTAAATGTTTATACTAAATATTTATTTATTACAGTTCTTTATTTTATATATATAAAAAATATTACTTAGTATACTAGATTATACACTATCTTTACTCTGACATGAATGGCTACCGAGTGTCACGATCCTCCCTAAGTGCGCTTTTAGGGTGAATCGTACCAGGCTCCAGCTGCTGCTAACTAGGCTATCTGGCAAAAGACTAGGATTCTAAGCCACTCGGCTTAGAATGCGCATCTTCTTATCAACTCCATTCATAGCTAGAGCTTTAGAGGTAAGTCATGTAAGGGGCCCAAGCCTCACACTGAGCCGCGATGGGCTCTGGGATGCGGGAACAGTGGAAGTAGTTGTTCATGGAATCAGATATACTAGTAAGATGAATGAGAAAGCTCCAAGTATGAGTACCATGTGAAGAAGTGCAGAAGTTTAGCAATACCTTTGGCCTGGTACGCACACAATGACTTCCTATCTTATCGCGTCATGGACTTTGTGTAACCTTGTGTAACCTGGGGACCTCGGGTCGGGGGAGGGATCCTTCTGGCCACCCCAGGTGAAAAGGAATCAGTGATCAAAGATCCGTCGACCTGGAAGCCTACCTCTGACGCGATCCTCAGGATGCCTCTTGGTCATGCTGCTTGGTTAGCAGCAGTTGGTGATTTCACTCTGACTACGCCGTGATCTAATGGCTCACCTGCTTTCGAGAGCGGAAGTGGCATTTTCCTGCAATCCATGGATCCGCCCCTGATGAGGGTGTGGCAACGCTGTCATTGCAGGGGAAAATCCGGTTTCTTCAGAGATCATCTTCCACTCCCCAACATGATCTTAGAAGGTCATAAGGAACGGATACCTTTTCCAAAGGTGCGGAAAAACCGGTTGGAGCCTCTCCTTAGTAATAGAGTCCCGGTTCCGTGCGGGTTGCCGGATGGCCCGGCCTATCATATGTCTTGCCATGGCTCATGCATGCTTGCAGAAGACCATGGCCTGCCTAGATCCCAGGGGGTTGCCTATGCCTGCATGCAGGCTATCTTACAGCGGGGTGGAATCATCAGCGGCGTTATGACCCTAACACTCAACATGGAGCGGGCCCCTCACCACAGGGGACAGGCGCTCCCGTAGGGCATAAAAGGTGGGCAATATACACTTCTCATCTCCAACCCTCTCAGTGCCCCACAAAGTCACAAATCTCCCGGTATCAAATTGGCAGACTAGAGTTCCCTCGTATCGGGAGTTGCAAGCATCGACATGTCTATTCTCGACTCCGTGCCCGACTTGATCCGTGAGAAAGCCCTCCAGGCTGGAAGTAAGTTAGTAGTTGGCTTTCACGTCCCAACTCACCCATCCCCGCAGCGGGCACAAGGGCTGCGCTGACCCTCAAGCCAGTCAAAGATACCGTGGCACCCAAAAAGTCCAACTTCTGCTCCTATTCGGACGACATCAAGAATGCGTTTAAGGACGGCGACTACAACTACCTGAGCAAGAACCGAGACACGGTGGCTACTGACTTGAATCCCGTCTACGGAAATTTCCAGCAGAACGGAGATCAGGCCTTTTTCACAGTGACGAATCCATCCAACAATACCGACTATCAGCTTTCCATTGCAGGGCCCACGACTGCCCCGTATGCCTACATGTGGGTTTATACCGACCCCAGTCGCATTGATGCCGCCCGTCGCGGTCAGAATGATGCTGGCCCCGGAGACCATACCTTGCAGCCGGTCGTGCAGTATGGGACGTTGTCCATGAATGGCAGTACCCTGGGGATTCAGAATTCCATCCTGGAGGAAAAGTGGTTTGAGTTGGGTGCAGCGGTCATTAGCCTTGCCTTCGGCAAGGTTATTGGAAAGGCCATCTTCAACCGCATCGAGCAAGGTGCTTCAGCGGCGTTCGCGGACATTATCAGCGCGGCAGTCGACGCCACAGGCCTGGAGCTTGCCGAAGCCGGAGTGATTTCAACCGCCCTGTGGGATGGGATCGCAAGCCTGGCTGTCACTATGTCGATTGAGCTCGCCGCGGGGGTGGCGATCTACTTCTTAATCCTCTTCATTGCCAATATCGTCTATCGAGAGTATAAGATTGTGTTCAACATCCGCAACTGGGACCCCGACAATGACTATATCATTGACACCTCCCCAGCCGGATACAATGAGCAATTGGACGGCAACCAAGATTGGGAGGAGACAATCATCCCCCGGCCATCACGTAAGATGCTTCTCTCCCTCCCGATGTACGGGCTCGCTTAACAGCTGCCAGACACTGTCACCATGCCCGATGGCATCACGGTGATATCTAAGGAATCGATCTGCATGTACTCAAGCTACATCTACGTCAACTGTGAGTGTTCCCGCGGCCAAACCACTCCCTAGCGCAATCAAAGTCTATGTACCGAAATGACTGACCAATGTGCGCACCATGTTGCTGCTGCGGGTTATAGCCGTCAAGGTGTTCGCCGGTGTCGGGGTGGCGGTGGTGGTGAAAAACGCGGCCGACAAGTCGAAAGGTCGGTCCCAAAAGCCGACGGACAGCTCCCCCTCCATGGACTGATGACTTGTGGCAGGCTTTGGGGCCAAATACCTCTGCCCGTACCTTGCGGGCAATTCTCTCGGGCTCACCGGGGGCGTGGTCGGTTCCCCCCTGGACTACTACAACGACGATTCCACCTGGGCGCCCGGGGGAAGCTACAAGGCTGAATCGTCGACTCCGGACGGAATTCCCCTCTCGTGCACCACGGATTCTTTGTCCGGCGCCCAAGACGAGGTCTACACCTTCGACGTCAACATCGGCCTGGAGCCCTCCTCCAAATTCAAGGAGCCACGGCCAGAGCCCCCGAAGTCACGCCCGCTGCTGCCTCAGCCCGAGGTGCCGACCCGGCCGAGCGTGGGGGACGCGATTCGACTTCCCAACGGCGACAGTGTCAAAGTGCTCCGGTAAAAGTCGGGTTACCATCGAGAAAGAACCGACCGCGTGAGGCCCGCTGAACCGGACGACTTATTCCAAAAAAGCAGCGTGCGACTGGCTTCCTGATACGTCTATTATTGCTCTTCCCGAGTGGATTTCTTGTTATGTGATTCGAGTTGCATGATCTACCACATCTCAAATGCCAAACTGATGCTTCTGCAAACCTCTCGGCCAGTGGCCGTCTCATAGTAAAAGCCCCTTCGGATGGGGCCCGTGGCCTTGGGATGCTCCTGGTTGCCCGGGCGTTAGTCCCCGAGCCCGATTTAGCTGTAACAGGGCTTTCAAGAACACCGATAGCGAAGGTGCTTCCCACTAGGGGTTGGCACTATCCACCTCGGTGGGAGGAACCGATATTGTAGAGAGCAGATATCACTTGACGGACTAGAGGTAGGGTGAAAGCAAGAAACTCTTGATAGCGATCCCGCGAGATGCATCCTCCCGTATCTGAGATTGTGGTCAGATGTTACAGCGTCGTGCCGAGAGCATCTTCTTCTCTCCGTGTATAGGATGTACGGTGCTATAGTCGCTCCTCGAAGCCAGTCCCCATGTGCCTTTCAGACATGGTACTTGACTGTTGGTTCGGCATGATTTCCAAGCTGGGTGGACTATTTGAATTCTTAGTCTTATAAGAATCAAGTAGTGTTTCTGACTGTTTTTCTACATAATAGACTGACTTAAATTAAAAAAATTAACAAAAGAAAAGGGATACATACAACAGAAGGGATTCGCTGGTGGTCACCCACCCAACTACTAACCTCCCGGCGTGTGGCTTAAGTACGGCTGAGCGGACGGGAAGCCCTGTTCTCCACACCCTGTGGTCGTATGTACGAGACGTTACCTAGGATTGGAATATATCTCATTGTCAATGAATCTAGTCGATCCGTTGCAAGGTGGCTCAACACCCTATCGAGCAAAGGAAAGCCGGGGATCGACTGTGGTACCACTCCTTGACGAGCACAGTTATATAGTGCTCTATTCTATAAAGTAATAATCAGCCAGTCATGCTAACTGATTTCAAAGCGGGGCGGAATACATATTCCGCCCCGCTTGATGTACTTCTACTTCTCTGAGCATTATAAATCCACCGGTGTCTCCAACTGTGTTTCGTCACAACGGACTCCCTTAACCGCAACAGACAGCATGATCAGAGTCTTCATGTGCGGCTCCCTATTCCATGACCATTGTACATGGGCGCTTCTGACCGGAATCTAGTACCGGGGTCACGGGCTACATTGGAGGTGATGCCCTCTCCCAGCTGCACCGCCAGTACCCCGACACGGTCTTCCGAGTTCTGGTCCGCACGGCAGACAAGGCCCAGCAAATCCACGATCAATATCCCGGGGTGCAATTGGTCCAACGGCGACCTGAACGACACCGCTCTTCTGCAGCAAGAAAGTGCCGATGCCGATATCATCATCCGTGAGCTGCCCCTTTCCGCCTAACCGCAGTAACTGACCCGAGTTCAACCCTAACCAGATTGCGCCGACGCAGCCGACCATATCGGCGCCGCGGCCGCCATCACCACGGGGATCCTTCAAGGCCACAGCGCCCAGAGGCCCGCCTATTGCATCCATACCAGCGGCGCCGGCATCTTCAGCTACTTGGACACCGACGCACAGACCTACGGGACCGCCCGAGACGATATATTCGACGATTGGGACGGGATCCAGCGGATTCTGAACATCCCGGACCATGATGCAGCCGAGTTACGAAGATGCGCAAGCACTGGCCGGTTTTGAGGCGACCAGCTGGGGACTGAACGTGCGGTGTCGGGCGGTTAGGGCTCGGAAGGTATTGGGGTGGGAACCCTCGCGTCCGAGCTTGGAGGAGGAATTGCCGCAGATTGTGAAGGAGGAGTGGGCATTACTCCAGGAGGATGCACACTGATGACCAGATACCTGTGTACCGGTCAGAGGCCATTGTAGAGTTTAGTCAGCCTATTAGGTTGATGTTACATGGAACATGATTGTACCTTGCCACCGATGCAGTGACGCATTCGGGAATCTGACCTGCTGTCGGCCCGACGGCCAACATCCCATCTAGCCATCTGGTTAGACCGTCTCTAGAGTTTTACAATCGCTGGGACGAAGCGGGATGATGTCACGACATGCCGGACTCAGACGACGTGTCTGACCGTCGGATGCCCCGACCAGTCACATCGAGGCCGACGCGCTGCCTCACTTTGAGATGCCGACCCTGGCCAGTGGCAGCCAGTCATCGGCATCGGCCATCCCGATGACGACTTTGCATGGAAGGGTTGGGCGGGGATTTGGCGTCCCCGGCGTTGCCTCGGCTGTGGAGCATGTGCGTCCCCATCCAACGTGGGGGTGACTCTGGTGGGGGTCCGTCGTTTGCGGGGGATCAAATGCGGGGATGGAGCTGGGGTTAAGTGGGTATCCAATGATTCCAATCACTCCTGACTCCAGGCTGCATGGCCCATCGGCGTTTGACAACTGATCGGACGTGGGGGTGCTCCGGCGGGTCGTGGGGTTCTTATATCGCCAGCCTCCCCACAACTATCCCGACATCATACCGCATCCCAACGACCTCGCCATGGACCCTTACAAGCCTTCTGTCATTCATGATGAAGGGGCTGAAATTATCAAGCCCACTGACATCAATGACATCCATCATATTCGAGTGCCCCTGACAGAAGAAGACAGCAAACGCATCGCTCGCAAAACCGACAAAACCATCCTCGTCATTCTGATTTGGGTATATTTCCTCCAGATTCTCGACAAAACCGTCCTGGGATATGGTGCCACCTACGGGCTGGAAGAGGACACCCACCTCACCGGAAACCAGTACTCGCTGGTGGGCTCCATGGCCCCCATCGCCCAGCTGGCATGGCAACCGTTCTCCTCCTGGCTGATCGTGACCGTGCCCCCGAGGATCCTCATGCCCACCCTGGTGCTCGGATGGGGCATTGCGCAGACCTGCATGGCGGCCTGTAGCAACTTCGGCGGACTGATGGCCACGCGGTTCTTCCTCGGTCTGTTCGAAGCCGGCTGTCTCCCCCTCTTCAGTCTCCTCACAAGTCAGTGGTATCGACGTGCCGAGCAACCCATCCGCGTGGCGGCCTGGTACAGCACGAATGGACTGGCGACCATCATCGCAGCGGTGCTATCATTCGGCCTGGGCCATATCAAGTCGGGCGTGATGAAGGAATGGCAAATGTAAGCAACATGTCCACCCGAAGAACCACACCAGTCTAACACACCACAGCATCTTCCTCGTCGTCGGCCTCATCACCATCATCTCCAGCCCCATCGTCTACTGGAAACTCGACAACGACATTCCCTCCGCGCGCTTCCTCACCGAAGAAGAAAAGCTGCAAGCCATGGAACGTCTCCGGGCGAACCAAACCGGCGCCGGGATACGCGAATTCAAACTCGACCACGTCTGGGAAGCGGCCCTCGAACCCAAGACCTACCTCTGGGCCAGCATGGCCCTGCTCCTCAACATCGGGGCATCCGTCTCCAACGTCTTCGGCCCGTTGATCCTCAGCGGCCTCGGCTTCGACACCTACACCACCACCCTCCTGAATATGCCCTTCGGCGCCGTCCAAGTCATCGTCATCCTACTGGCCAGCTACCTCGCCCAAAAGGGTCGTCTCAAGGGCGTCGTCCTCGCCGTGCTCATGCTCCCCGTCGTCGCCGGTCTGGCGATCCTCTACGCCGTCCCTCGCAATGACTCCTCCTCCACCGGCGCCCTCATGGCAGGGTACTACCTCATCGCGTTCCTCTTCGGCGGCAACCCCCTGATCATCAGCTGGGTCGTGGCCAACACGGCCGGCACGACCAAGAAATCCGCCAACATGTCCCTCTACAACGCGGCCGTGTCAGCGGGCAACATCATCGGCCCGCTACTCTTCAATGAGCAAGATGCCCCCGCGTACCGACCGGGGTTGCGCGCCTGCGTGGGGATCTTCATCGCGTTGATCGTGGTGTTTTTACTCCAGTGGGTGAATCTCTGGGTGCTGAATAAGATGCAGGAGAAATGCCGCGTGCGGAATGGGAAGCCGGCCAAGGTGGTGGATGTGTCGATGCAGAGTCATCATCGGGTGGGGATGGGGATGGAGAATGCCCTGGAGGCGAATGGGGAGGTGCCGGTGGGGGAGAATGGGTTGATGGATTTGACGGATCGGAAGAATGAGGATTTTGTGTATGTTTATTAGCTGCTTGCTTTGGTTCGGTGGTGGCTGTTATGATTGATGAATGAATGAATTAGTTGAGTTAATTGCCTTGAACGTGGACTTGATAGTGATGTTGCTGGTATTTGTAACCCTAATTTATTCACCGGTGCCTTCATCCGATGAAGTGTAGTCTGATTCCACACAAGTATTTCTTCCCCTCATCTCCGATATCCATCCATCCTTTCTCTATTTCTCTTCTCCACTCTATAGACAACTTCTTCCATCATCATCGTTTGATAGTTTATTTGCAGCTCCATAAACATGGGATAGTCTCGTGACAAGCACCACACCAGGGCAGCGGTATTCTACATGGAAAGATTAATACCGTCTAGCAATGGATGTATGAATCCAACCCGTTCACAAGCAGAATGATTGAATGTCCATCACAGAGTAATACTCGCTACTTAGGGAAAGGACAAGGAAAATATCTGCAGATACCACCTAGGGAACCATGCTCGCTTGGTATACAGTCCAGATCAGTGAACAAGACTGGAATATCCACACCGAGCCTACATTCCACTACGCCGAGATTATCAATTCGATTACATGATATCAGATGCCTCGAATCAAGACGCGCTAAGAATGAATTCTCTGGAAAAGTCCAAATAACCCCATGATTACAGTCCCGCGAGTGACACAGAAGAAAAGTAGTCCGTCTGGTGCATCCTGTTGATGCCCTGCTATGATAAGAATTCCTCAGTCGAGATACCGAACGTGAGAGCCGGAAGACAGCTTGTCAAGGAAGATTCAAAAAATCACTACAATCTCCTTCAGTCTCGCACTAGACTTGCTTGATGTTGAAGACCAGACTGTCAAGAGAGACTGTTTGGTCAGATGGCCGAAGACTACCGTTCGGTATAGTGCCATACCGATGTATCAGAGTTATCGATAGGTACTTCGACTTGCAGATAATATCCTCGACAGAATAGATGGACGAGACTGATGAACCCATCTATTGACGAGATATACTAGGAGACTGCCTTATGGTGGGTGACTGGTTCATGGAGCATCCATGGGCATAGCTTCGTGGTCCCGATGATTACCATTTATTTCTGTTATACCAGGGTAAACGGGGGTAATAATTTACGAATGATGACATGAGGCTGTGGATCGAAATTTCCGACTATTTTGAATAGACTTATTTTGCTTGTTGCTTGCTGCTTGGAGCCACTCGCGATGTGGCCATCGAGCCGGCATACCTCTTTTGTATGCATTGCCTTCGTTCGGACCTTAAGGAATACAATGCTGCTGCCGGTGTTCCGTTTGCCATTCGGTGCGTCTTTGATGGAAAGGCGTCGATCCTCTGCCAGCGTTGCTATTAGTTGTTGCTTGTCTTTGCTGCTCGAGGACCTGCTACATCTGAAGATGAGTCTATGCACGAGTCCAGGCATTGAAGGATCATATAAGTACATAGCCATACGCCACGGATGCGCTTATGGTTGGGTTGGTCTCAGCAATATACATCAAAAGACTAACAAGGGAAGATGGCGGGTGGGTATGCATACACTGATACATGACCAGGAAGCTCGAAGATTTGTCTCCAGTATATGAAACATGCCTGTACAACAGCCATTCCTAATAATCTTCATAACTATTTACCATTCTCGTCGTCACACATATAATACAACCCTTTGATACACCAAACCCAGTAGCATGCTAACATCCCTTACATTCCTTCACCCAGAGCGAAATCGGCTCGTACTGATCATCCGAGCCATCGAGATGATAGATCTTCCGAATCTGTCCCTCGCTGGGATCCACCCCGAAGGAGTTCTCTCCGTCAACAGTCAAATAATTCTGATCATCGATTCCAAACCCAGTGAGCACGGCATCCGCGGGCGCTGCAGCATTCGGGTCCGTCAAGGCAACGGGCGTGTTGCCATCCTGAATGACATAGAGATGCTGCACACCGGTGGAGTCTTTGTGTTGCTCAGTGCCGGTGATCATGCCATTGTCATTTCCTCCTTTCACTGCTGGGGTCAGTCTCAACGCTGCTGGTGGGATGCGACCGGCTTACGGATGAGAATGGGGTAGTTGGCGATATCGCCCGTTCCGATATATGCATTGGCTAGCGAAGTTAGTGCGTCTGATGAATATAGAAATATTCAACGAAGAATGGGATAGTGCATACTGCCATCGGTGACCACGGTCCAGCCGCCGTCAGCCACCAGGGTATATGTTGAAGGGAAGGGGGCGGCAGAAACGGTCGCGGCGAGCAGGGACGACAGAGCGGTGAGAGAGAAGAGATTCATTTCGCAGGTGCTAAGTTGACGGTGGTATCTTGATGGTGGTATCTAGACGGTGGTAACTGAGGATAGAGTAAAATCGTTCAAATGAATAAATGGATGAAGCTGTATTTAAGGCTCCCCTGGGGGCCGTCAGTCAGCACTGGGTGGAGAGCTATTCTGGGATCTGCCCCACAGCTTCAGGTGGCGACTCTGAAAGGTAGGAGATGTCACCCAAGGAGGGCCCAATTATTGAGGTTCAGGCGACCGGCCGGAATTACAATGGAAGGATAGAAAGGAGCAGCCCAGACACTGTAGGAAGCAAGAGAACCATAAGCTCCAGCAAGCTGACCATGAGCTGATAAGCCAGGAGAAAGACCGCTGCCTCAATTTCCAGCATCGATTCGATCCTTGGTAGACACTGCCGGGTGGCCAACGATCGAGGCGATCTTCCGGAGACAAACCTAATTCCGGGCTGCAGGTCTCAGCCAGAACTGCGCCCCTCGGCAGCTGCCAAGATCATACCTGCGCCTTGCTTGACGAGTCTTCTTCTGCAGGCAACTCAACCGATGTAGCAATGCAGAGTCCCATCGATCCACCCTGCCTACACAGCCAGTTCACCGACTGTTTCTAGAAGCTACAGCTTTAACCATTTGTGTTCCAACAGATCTGCAGCCGACTTCCGAAGCTGCGGGTCGATCTGAAGCATGCCTCGAATGAAATCGATAAAGACGGGCACTTCAGCATCGGACATGTCGACTGGCTTGAGGAAAGGCTTGGTGGTGCCGTTCAGAAGTCGCTCGAGGCTCGTGCGTTTCAGGTCTGGGATTCGGTGAAGGTTTCCTATATCCAGTCAGTCAATGGCCTACAAAGTAGGATCTGGCCAGAGCTACCTTTTTCATCAAAGAGCTCTGCTGTGCGAGTTCCTCGGTGAAGAAACGACGATGGAAACGGGCCGAGGATTTCCATGATTCTAGCTACCCGATCGTCCTCGGCAGTCCAGGTCCCATTCTTTGACGCTTTACCGGAGAAAAGCACGAACCCTTGGACAAACTCTACGATCTATTGAGTCAGGCGTCGAGTCAGAATGTGCAGGATTCTAGTTTGTTTGGGGGATCGAGGGGCCTACAAGGCAGCCAAGACTCCATATATCGACCGGCGTATCCCAAGGGGCGCCAATCGTTACTTCCGGGGCTCTCAGAGCTGGTGACTGAATCAACTCGGATAAGTGGTGATGTCTCCAAGATGCTGCGTGTGTCAGCACTGATATAGGCAAAAGAGGAGGCTCCTCCACTCACCCACACCAAAGTCAATTATCTGAATGCGGGGTTCCTTGATTTCTGATAATAGAGGGGTTGTGATGACTTCTCGAAGAGGCACCGGGGGGTCGCGTTCAGAGTCCATCCGCGGTGGAACTTCTGACAGATACCGAGAGATGACACTATCCGCGTTGTCCAATTCAAGAAGTATATTGGTTGGTTTCAGGTCTGTCCCAAAGGACGTGTCAGCCTTGCAGAAGCACTTTCAATGTCTTCGAGTATCAGTCATACCGGTGTGAATCACCCCACACTCCCGGTGGAGGAAATCCAGCCCCAGCAGAAGCTGACGGGCGATTGTTCTCACTGACTGCAAGGGCAGCTTCCCATCTTCATATTTGGCGGCTTGAAAGTCCATGTGATGGCCCTGTACATCAAAGACAAAACATACATGGTTGCCATTTGGTCCTGTATGCCGAAACTGATCGAGAAGGGGAGATACGTGGCGACGCCCTTCATGGGTGCTAGACTTGGAAACCAGAGCGATCTTGGACAGGACCTCCTTTTCGAAAATATCACGAGGTCCACCATAACAATCGGCCCTTAGAATTTTGAGGGCGACATATCGCTGGTGTCTGCTACATCATAAGCATCGCCGTATCAGAGGATAAGAACACCATTCACTGACTGAGAATCTTTCGCTAGCCAAACCGTGGAATACTGTCCGTAGCCCAGTTTCCGTAGCACCGTGTATTTACCGGAGAGACGGTCGCCCAGGGAAACGTGATGGAACCCTCCGGGCTCGTAGAAGTTCGGTTCTTCGATGATTTGGCGTGAATTTGCGGACTTCAAGGGAGCCAACCTGGATGCCCCGAAGATATTTGATAAGCGGAACCGAAGTTTGGATAGCGACATCCTGATATGGTTCATGTTCGATGGAAATGGCGAGACGCGAAGGATTCGGGGGGGGGTACGGCGGTTATGTAATGTATGCAAGGCCTTGGCGCTATGAATGAGGGAGTGACCAGCTTCTATCTATGCCCTGATTTCATATCTTATTTACTATTTTTCAGAGCGATAAGACTATAGATATGACTTTGGGACCTCGAATAACTTCATGATCTAAATTGAGCTTATTATTGACATATCACCACATAGTCTTAAGGTATGGGTTGATTGGCACCGGTAGGCACATGTAAAGATAGCAAGATACAAGAGTTACAAAGTGATAATTATCTCTGGTGAATGCTCAATTGATCAGTTAGACCAGCCTTGCTGCTCCATCGGTACCTGTCGCAGCCTAAAGCCAATACTTCACTTCTAACCAGCCATGTCCGCTGACCTCGACATCTGCCTACAAAGATAAGTAAAACCGGCTAGGTCCAGCCCATGGGCTTCGCACCAACGATGGTTAATCAAATCCTTGTGAATGCGTATATGCCTTCACTGGACTGACAACGGCGCTACAGATAAAGAGTGCTGAAGATCCAGTGCAATCTTCCATCTGCAACCCCACGCGCTCTTCAGAATGCTCCACATCGAGAAAGGCTCCCCCTGGACAGCCAGGTTACCCTTCGACATCGAAAATTGGATTGAACTTGGCCTCGGAATCATCGTGATTCTGCTTCGACTGTACGCGCGAGCCAAGGTGGTGGGCATCAAGAAAAGGCAACCCGACGATTACATTACTGTCCTGGTTTTCTTTCTCTGGGCTGTAGGTGCATCAATCCGATATCGACGCAGTGACTGACATGATCAAGGTGGAGGTGCTCATGTTTAAATTTGTTGGTGAGTGCTGTCACCGCGTGTGCAATGATAGGTAACTGACGGCCCAGTCCGCTTTGGGGCCAATACCGGACTCAACGACGAGCAGAGAGCCTCAATCAGCGTGGCAGAAATGCGCGAGCGGGTGTTTGGAACCCAGTGCCTTCTGGCCGGCTGGCTTCTCTACGTGTCTCTTCTCTGGGCGCTCAAGGCCTGCATGTTGTTTTTCTATAACCGCCTGACGTAGGTTGCTCCAAGGTATCGAGCTCCATCTAACGAAGTGCAGCATAGGCCTTCCCCAGCAGAGATTCGTCAAGTTCGCCGCGTGCTTCTGCTTTGTAACCTACCTCGCTGCAATCCTGACCATCCTTCTGCACTGCACCCCGCTGGAAAAATTATGGCAGATTTCTCCTAATCCTGGCCGTAAGTGATCGGTCTGAACAATGCCAGCTCCGACTAATTGTGCCAGGGTATTGCACCCAAGCCACGGCGAATTACATTGTCGTTGCCGTAACCAATGTCTCGTGAGTCTCCGGGCAGTCCTCCTAGGCAACTGCTAACAGAAGATGAGGACGGATGCCACCTTGCTCCTCATCCCGCTACCCCTACTGATCCGAGTGCGACTCCCCACGCGACGGTATGTCCAACGGACCCCACTGTGAGAAATCCAGCTCACCCATCTGTCCAGCAAGGTGGCAATTGGCTTGTTGCTCAGCGGAGGTATATTCGTGATGATGGCCGCTCTATTGCGTTGCTTTATTTCCCTCGAGAGCATCGAATCCGTCAATGCGAGCAACGTGTGGGGAGTGCGCGAGACGGTCCGTTTCTTCGCATCCGTTGTGACCATTCTGACTCTCGATAGTTCGCTGCCGTTGTCGCCGTCAACGCGCCCTGTATCAAACCACTGTTCAGCACGCGTGCCTCGAATGAGGAATCCGCGAGGGATCCGTCGCGCGGGAAAGGTGGAGCCGGAAGCCACAGTCTGACCGTGTTTGGCCAGGCAACGCCGGGAGTGAGCCGGAAACGATCCGAGGCCGAACTGATCGTCGAGGATAGCCAATCTCAGATTGTGAGTGATATTCGGGGAGGGCTGGACCGGGTGGTGGACGAGGAGGCGGGACGAGGCATGACGGGGATCCAGGTGACGACCGTGTATGAGGTGAAGCGCGACCCGCGCAGGGGCAATACAGAATGACTGCCTCAGGCATCAGTTACAAGTCACGCGACAGCCCTATCAGCTCAGAGCACGTGATGCGGCACGAGCGGTTGCCACTCTGGAATTGGACTAGTGTCGGGGTGCAAATTTTCTCGTGTTTGTTTAACCGCCGCCTTTCAATCGGGTATCTCAGATTCTTCGTCCTGGATTCTGCAAGAAACAGACAGAATTCTTCCAACTCTAACGGATGCGTCTATGATTTTTCCACAAGAATCCTAAGGATTGCGGCAGTAATAGCTGCCCCCGGAGGGAAGAACGCTGGAAAGCGCCTAGAAGGCCGAATGCAACGGCGATAGGCCATTAGGTAATGGGCGGCGGGCCTGGTGGGTTTTACCGCGGGACCTGACGTATGAGACGGGGGCCGCACCACTTCAGTCTTCACGACCCGGCAATTTGGCGAAAATGCTACGAGAGAAAAATTCGCAGGCTGCCCGCCGGCCACATGGCCTCGTTCCCTCTCCTCTCCACGGTCAAAAGTTAAATCATCGTTGACATTGACGTTGCTCTGCGCTGAGGCTCCTCTTCTCCGCTGGCCTCGCGCTCGTCACCTCCTCACACTACCATCACATCCCGCCATGTCTGACAAGGATGCCACTTCCCCCGGGAAGGTGGCCATCGAGAATGCCGTCACCGAGCAGGATGGCTCCCATACCTCCTCCGATCAGAATAGCATCCAATCGGGGCTACGGGAACGCAGACGCAATGGCCTGACCAAGGACGTCGAGAGTGACAATGAGGAGGAAGAGACCAAGCTGAAGCGCAACCTGAAGAACCGTCATCTGCAGATGATTGCCATCGGTGAGTTGGGAGCTTCCCCCCAATGGTGATCCTCATCACTGACCCCCGTAGGTGGTACGATTGGAACAGGTCTCTTCATCAGCAGTGGAACGGCCCTCGCCGAGGCTGGTCCGGCCGGCGCCCTCATCGCCTACGCCTTCGTGGGCTCGATCGTATACTCCGTCATGTGCTCGTTGGGAGAAATGGCCACCTACATTCCCATCACGGGTGCCTTCACCTCGTACGCCGCGCGTCTTGTTGATCCGAGTTTGGGTTTCGCCATGGGATGGATATACTGGTTCAACTGGGCTTCGACCTACGCTGTGGAATTGACCGCCACGGGCATGATCGTCCAGTACTGGAACGACGAGCTGTCCATCGCCATCTTCATCGGAGTCTTCTGGGTGATTATCTCGGCTATCAACTTCCTTCCCGTCGGATTTTACGGCGAGCTGGAGTTCTGGTTTTCCATCACCAAGGTCTTGACCGTTCTGGGTTTCATGATCTTCGCCATTTGCATCGACGCCGGTGTTGGCAAGCAGGGATACCTCGGCTTCAAGTACTGGCATGACCCGGGTGCCTTTGCACCCTACCTCATCACCTCGAACGAAGCCCTTGGCAAGTTCGTCGGCTTTTGGGCGGTGCTCATCCAGGCTGGTTTCTCCTACCAGGGTACCGAGCTGGTCGGTGTCGCAGCTGGTGAAACCGAGAACCCCCAGAAGACCGTCCCCTCGGCGATCCGCAAGACCTTCATCCGCATTCTCATCTTCTTCGTCCTGACCATCTTCTTCATCGGCTTGCTGGTCCCCTACACCAACCCGGACCTGGCCAGCGGCGCTGAGAATGCCTCCGCCTCTCCCATGGTCATCGCCGCCAATCTGGCTGGCGTCAAGGTTCTCCCCAGCTTGATCAATGCGGTGCTCCTGACGGTCGTCCTGTCTGCCGCCAACTCCAACGTCTACAGTGGCAGCCGTGTCCTGCTCGGTTTGGCCCAGGAGGGTTTCGCGCCCTCGATCTTCGGCCTGGTCACCCGCCGTGGTGTCCCCTACATCAGCGTAGGCTTCACCGCCCTCTTCGGACTCCTGGGATTCATGAACGTGTCGGACTCGGGCAGCACCGTCTTCAACTGGCTGGTGAACATCTCCAGTGTGGCCGGATTCATTTGCTGGACCTCCATCAACGCGAGTCACATCGCCTTCATGAAGGCCATGAAAGCGCGCGGCGCCTCCCGCGACACCCTCCCCTACAAGTCGATCTGGCAGCCGTGGTTGGCCTGGTACGGACTGTTCTTCAACATTTTGATCATCTTCACCCAGGGTTTCACGGCGTGGATTCCGACCTTCAATGTGTCGGACTTTTGGGTCGCGTACATCTGCCCCATTCTGTTTGTGATCTTGTATGTCGGTCACAAGGCGTGGTACCGCACGGCGTTTGTACGGCCGATTGAGGCGGACCTGGACACTGGGCGCCCGCAATACACGACGTGGGAGTCGAGCAATCCGAAGGATGGATGGGCGAGGAGGATCTGGGACAGCATCATGGGGTGATTGTATGAGATGCACGTAATAGAGGGGAGGAGTGTTATGTATCGGAGTTTGGCGCGATTGATTTATACATTGTATAGCTGTAGATGTGATTATGGCTAGAGCTAGATCTATGCAGGTTGAGTACATAGCGGTTCAGATTCAATTCTCCGATCCTAACTGATTCCCCCACATTCCTCCCAGCCATTTGCAAGCATCCTGCCCATGACTACAACAGAGCCAGAGAGTATGCACCGGAAAGAAATGGCCTACCAAATACTTACTCCAACCCCAGTTATTACAAAGTGCGGAGTATATCCACAAAACACCAACCCCATCATTCACCACCACCACGACCCCATCCAAATCACACCAAACTCCATCTCAAGCTTCCACCACACCCATAAACCACCGTCCCCCTAAATAGTCCAAGATATCCCATCCTACACCCCCACAGACTCCATAATCATAGTACGAAATAAAAAGAATGACCCACCATGACCTCACCCGGAACCCCCCTCCTCCGTCCTCCGACCCAATCACACCCAGCCACTGACCTATGTCGTACCAGCAGTCAGCACAGTCAGGCAAGGTAAGGGATAAAAAAGAATGGAGAGGGAGGGAGGGAGGGGTCTGAGGACTAATCCCCCCTCCTCTTCTCTTTTTGCGAATCACATGTCGAAAGTGATGAGGAGGGGAGGGCATATTTACCATGCCGCATCTTGAAAATTTGAGATTTATCTATCAAGTGACCTGATTATTCCCTACGATCTGAGATTGGGCTATTTTGAGGTACGAGGGATCTTACCTACTCTGGGTATTTAATTTATTGGTCTATCAGTTGACACCATACGATACATACTGCGGAATGACTCGCGTGCTGGCCCTAAGTATCGTGGGGATCCTAGCTGCCGTAGGCATGACACAGACGGTCTGTCTAGAGGAGTGCTTCGACATGGAGCAGCCGTGCCCATATGGCCAGGTATGATCTCTTCCCTAAATCTGGATCCTGCTATATACTAATAACATAGAGATCGATCAACGTCGAGGTATGCCATCACACGATCAGATTTGGTGGTAAGTCTAATACTGTGTTGGTAGGGCTGCTGGAGTTGCTGCCGTCCAATCGACGAGGACTCAACAAATGAATGAAAGAGATTAATATTGAGGATGAACTGGATATATGCCCCGGCAACTTGCATGCCAAACTGTACTCTAACTCATATGCGTCCCCACGGCTCCGTCATGGTCATAATCATATCATGCATCTCATTTCAGTCTGTCACAAAGAAATCTTCGTGATGTATAATCCAACTGTTTATCCGTGCTGTATATCTTTTTTGAATCGAGTGGGAGCCGTATATCGCGTCACGTATATCATGGTAGACAGCGATCGCACTACTGAAAGTCCTGATCGACGCCGTTCTCCGCATACACTTGCAGACTGTACTTGGCAAAGGCACTGCGCATGCGCATGCGCTCGCCGTAGCGACTGAGCAGTGGCGGGACGATACAGAAGATCGTCGCCAGCACGGCAAGAATCGACACCGCGACGTTGGCACCGAGTGCATCGAACATCTTACTCCCGAAGAGGGGAAACGCAGCCGAGAGCAGCGATCGGATGATCGAGAGCGCGGCGAACCCACTCGCCGCATAGCTGAGATAGCTATCGGCCAGGTACGCGGTCACCACGATCTCCATCTCGTTGAGGGCATACCCGGTGAAGAAGAGGGCAGCGACAGAGGCAAACCAATGGACGTTCGTGACCTCGGGGGGAATCGTCCAGGCGAACCACCAGAGGGCGATAGCGAGGACAGGGGCGCCGATATAGATACCGGTGAGTTTATGTTCGGGTTTGAGGACGCCGCATTCCTTTTGGCGTTTCTGGATGATGCGGTAGTCGATGATGCGGGTGAGGGCATTGGGGATGACGCCGAGACCCAGGGCCAGGAAGGGGAGGGAGGCTTCGTCGGTGCTGAAGCCGAAGGATTCGTAGACGGGGGGGAGGGCTTCGGTGAAGAGGTAGACTAGGGCGACGCAGACGCCGAAGATCATGGTTACGATGAAGACGATGGGTTCGGTGACGAAGAGTCGCAGGGGCCGGAGGAGTCCGAGGTGGATGAAGGTGCGTAGGTCTGGCATGTAGTCTGGGTTTTGGGCCTTGAGGGAATCGTTGCCGGTGAGTTTCTGCAGGGTTTGCACCTCGCGGACGAGCAGGAGGGAGGGTCGGGATTCCTTGATGCATAGGAGGAGGCCGGCAAGGAAGGCCGATACGATGGCCCCCACGTAGAATACCCATCGCCTGTGATCGTTAGCACTCGGACCTAGGTGGATGGGGGATGCTCACCATCCGAATCGAACCGCAATATACGAGCTGATGATGGGCCCAGCACTGACTCCCATACACGCCATGGACACGTAGATCAACATGACCAGGATTCGATCATGCGTGTTGAACATGTCCTCGATACTGCCGGTGATCACGACCGTTGGGATGGCGGACAGGAAACCGGTGATGAAACGACCGACCACCAGCGCGCCGAGCGAGGGGACAGCTGCGATGATGAGACAGAATACGGAGTACAGCGATGCACTAAAGATGTAGAGTTTCTTCCGGCCGAAAGATTCCGAATACGGGGGAAAGACAATCCCCCCCAGGCCTTGCCCTAAGAGATATCTGCCACAAATTAGCGCTGATTGCCGCCGCGGAGGGTCACCCACGTTGACACATAAAGAAACAAGGTCAGCGTCCTGCCCGTTCCAAACTCATTCTGAGCCGCGGTGGCGGTGGTGGCCTGTCAAATGTGAGACACGAACCTGCATCGGGGGGTATCGACTCACGCCCGAAGTACTGAGACATGTCCTGGAGATGGATGTCAGCCGACGTCGAGCAAAATTCCGAGACACCTTACGTAAAGAACTCCAACAGCGAGATGACGATAATATCGTAGGCCTTGCGGACGGGATGCCAGTTCCGCGGATGCTTGCGATTGGTACGGGCCCAGCGCAGATGGCAGCCATCCGGGGTCAATTCGAGGCCATGTTCGGCGGCCAGCACACTCACGTCCGAGAGCTCTTCAAGACTGTAGTCACCCATTGTGAAATTATCAACCGCTCACGATGAATGTCTCAGTCCATGGGTTGGTTTTAAAGACCCGGTGGTGGTGGGTCAATCAAGGGATGCATACCTCTGGTGGTGGTGGGAAAGATGATCACTGGGACACGCGGATCCCCTTCCACTGAATCCCCCTGATTCGACTGCGCGGGTCAGGAAGATGCTCAAATTCACCAAGCAACGGGCGTGCCCGCCAATGTGCCTGGCCGTAGTTAAGAGCCATAAAATAACCCGAGCATGTTGTACACACGGGGTTACGTTGCGGGGTTCTTGCGTGACGTGACGCATCCCAGTACTCCGTATAGGGATTATCCTGTAGATCCAGGATATCAAGAGAATCAGCTCATCAACTCTTGCTGGATTGACACGAGAATGTTGACGGCTGCCCGGCATATAGACTTCGAAAGGAGCTCTGGACCGATTCTTGCTCATAAGGCTAGCACCCTCGCAACGGTGGCATGATATCATCGTCCACATTCCGGAATGTAGCACCTTTCCCCGGGCGTGCCATTGGCCTTGGGACCACGCTTCCCCAGGATACGCGCAATGGGCAGCGTGTCTCCACGCAAATGCGATCAACATCGTGGACTCCTGAGCTCACCGGGTTGGAGTTGCGGACGTCGACTGGTGGCACCCGACTCGCATCAGGCTCGACGGGCTACACTCATGATGATGAGTGACGAGGTTCAGCTTGCTCGTCGTCAGCAAATGCTGTTAGATGCCGGGTCGTCCCTCGGAATTATCCCTGGAAACTGGTGAAGGTCAGCTGTCCGGACCAGCAGACCCCGATGCATTGCCAACGATGACTCTGAATGAGAAGGATACCTGCGTCATTGTATAAGGCATTAATTAGGTCTGAAATTAAGTGCTGAGTAAGGCCCCATATCCTGGTAGATGTTCCGACATGAACGACATGAGGGCTCACGTCGAATCTTGAATCCTAAGGCCATCTGATTGGCCTGGAGTTTAGGGCAGCCGTTGGTTCAATCTGTTGTCATTGAATGGTGGCAATCGGAGTTCTATTGGTTCAGGTGGGCTGGCGGTTACTTAATCATGACTGCAGCCAGCGCGTAGCAGTCAACCAACCACCCCGATGAGCTGAACCGCAAGGCTGCCCTCAAGGCGCCCTCACTGGACGATTTTATTGTTGGCTGTGTGGTCTGCGCCGTTGGCCCGTCGTCCGCCTATAAATTCCGGCGGCTGTCAGTGGTTTCTTCCACCACCTCCCCCTCCCTTTTTCTACCAAACACCTTACTCTGATAAAGCATACTTCCGTTCTTACCACCTGCCGAACATGGCCATAATCCAGTCCATTCTCGAGTGTCTGCTGGGCTCATCGGCTGATATTTCCGAACGCAACGTGCGCCCCTCTCCCTCCGTGGCATCCGACATTGTCACCACGCTCATCACCGGGGAAACCATCGAGAGCATCCACAAAGACGTGAACGAAATCATCTCCATCAGCGGATGGACTGACTCTCTCGCGCAGGCCATCCTGCGCGGCTTGGACGACGCCATCCAAGCGGGCGCCGACATGGCCCGTCCGGCCAGCGACGCGCTAGTTAAAGCCAAAGAAGCAGCGGCGGGGTTTGCGGAGGAGCACCCCGTGTTCACCACTCTGCTGGCATTGGGGGTGTTGGCGATTCTCCTCCCGTGGGTGCTGGAGGTGCTAGGGTTTGGCGAGTTAGGGCCGATCGCGGGGTCGTTTGCGGCCCGGTGGCAGTCTACCTATGCGGGGTATGTGCCTCGGGGGGCGCTGTTCACCTACTTTCAGCGGCTGGGGATGAAGTGGCATTGGTAATTCCTCGATTGGGGCGTGTATGGACATAGAAGTGTGGGAAGGTTGAGATGAATGATGAGTCGACTGTACTTACATCAATGCCAACATTTTTTTAGTGTTATGACCAATGACAAGATCGACTCGCGGAATTATCTTCCAGCCCATCCAGGAGATAGGTTCCACCAAACCATAGGCGAGACTACATAAAGCCGAAGGTTCCGGAGGCTGCGCAAGCGCGATGGGACTCCGAATGAAGCTTTGATCCACCGATGGATCGCCAGGTACCGCTGTCTTGGCCGAGGTTCGTGTCGAGATGGTATTCTGTATTGAGGTCGGTATGTACGGAGTATTCCGTATGGTATAGTGTATCCGACGTATCCGTTATGCAGACGATCGGCTGCACAAGTCGTTGCCAGGAATTGATCGGCTAGCGGCGATTGCATAGCTTCTGCTACTATGTATCTATGGAGTACTCCGTATACTCCGTACAAAGTTCTTTGCAACGGGACTGCATCAGATCTCACAAATGTTCCGATGCCTCCAGGTACTGCGTCTGTGACAGCAATACCAAGCCGGGCAGCCTCGGTTCGCACGGCCTCGGGTTGCCGAACTCACAAGCCGATGAACTCCACTCGGTGGAGCCGTGAATCTCAGTGGAGCTCGACCAGCATCGCCATTCGACCAGGTCTCCCATTCGTGCAACGGAATCAGGACCCTCCTGCATAGCCGGATCATGTCATCGTGCCCGTTGGATACTACCTAAGAAAATTCAAACACGCCATCCCAGGCCCCCAATCACCCATCCCCATCCTTCTTATACCATGGGACCCCCCCGATGGCAGGCCGCCGCACCATGTCTCAACTCTCCCTGCCACCCACATCATGGCCAAGATTCCACACTGGCGTCTGATCATCGACCAGAGTGTCGTCACCCCGGAGATCATCGACTATCCCTATGCCGGGTCCGGGACGGAAGCCGATCCCTTCGTGGTGGAATGGATCCCCCATGACCCCCGCAACCCCATGCTCTTCAACCCGACGATGAAATGGGTCTACACCATCATCGCCGCCTTTGCCACCTTTGGCGTCTCCATGGCCTCCTCCGCCTACGCCGGGAGCATCGACCAAGTGATTGAGCACTTCCACATCAGCACCGAGGTCGCCACCCTCGGCGTCTCCCTGTTCGTGCTCGGCTTCGCCATCGGCCCCCTCTTCTGGGCGCCCCTCAGCGAACTCATCGGCCGTCAACTCGTCTTCTGCGTCTCCTACATGGGCCTCTCCGTCTTCAGCGCCGGTGCCACCGGCGCCCCCAACCCCTGGACCCTCATCATCCTGCGCTTCTTCGCCGGCTCCTTCGGCTCCAGCCCCCTCACCAACGCCGGGGGGCTCATCGCCGACGTCTTCCCGGCCGAGGAGCGCGGCCTGGCCATGAGCGTCTTCGCCGGCAGCCCATTCCTGGGCCCAACCCTCGGCCCCGTCATCGGGGGATTCCTCGGCGAACACGCCGGCTGGAAATGGGTGGAAGGCTTCCTGGCCACCTTCACGGGCCTCATCTGGATCATCCAATGCCTCATCGTACCGGAAACCTACGCGCCCGTCCTCCTCCGCAAACGCGCCGCCCGACTCACCTCCCTCACGGGCAACGTCTACATCAGCAAACTGGACCTCGAACGCGGCCGCGTCTCCATCCGCAGTGCCTTCGGCGCGGCCCTTCTCCGGCCCTGGATCCTCCTCTTCGCCGAACCCATCGTCCTCCTCCTCTCCACCTACATGGCCATCGTCTACGGCACACTCTACATGCTCTTCGACGCCTTCCCCATCGTCTACCAAGAACTCCGTCACTGGAGCGAAGGCATCGGCAGCCTGCCCTTCCTGGGTGTCATGGTGGGGATGATGTCCGCCGTGGCCTACAACATGTTCGACAACAAACGCTACAAACGCTGCCACACCCAACACCGGGGGTTCGCGCCCCCCGAGGCGCGCCTCCCCCCCACCATGATCGGCAGCATCACCATCCCGATCGGCCTCTTCTGGTTCGCCTGGACCAACGGGCCCTCCATCCACTGGATCGTCAGCATCATTGCCGCCGCGCCCTTCGGCTTCGGCATGGTCCTCGTCTTTCTCAATATCATGTCGTATCTCATCGACGCGTATACCATCTACGCGGCGTCCGTGCTGGCCGCGAATTCCATCATCCGGAGTTGTTTCGGGGCGGGGTTCCCGCTCTTCACCACCTACATGTATCAGAATCTGGGGATTCATTGGGCGTCGTGCATTCCGGCGTTTCTCTCGCTGGCGTGTTTACCGTTCCCGTTTATTTTCTATAAATATGGGGCTGCGATTCGACGCAAGTGTAAATATGCCGGCGAGTCGGATGCCTTTGTGCGGAAGTTGGCGGAGAAGTCGCTGACCCCGGAAAAGAGTCAGGGGGAGGCGATGGCCGTGGCGGATGGAGTGGATGAGACGGTGGATCGGGAGCGGGCGGAGTCAGTGGCTACGATGTCGGAGTCGAGTGAGGAGGCGGAGCGGCAGTACGAGGCGAATCCGTATGATATTGATCGCGTGAATACGAGGAATTCGGCCATTACGCAGCGGTCACGGTCGATGTCGATGTCGACGAAGGAGAGGGGGAAGCGGTTGTTTGGGTTGTAGGTGCTGCTGCTATGAGGGGTTGTGTAGAGGGAGTTTGATACCCTTGTTAGATACCTTGTTTGTACTACAGAGATAATGGATAATTCGAGTGCATATACCATGTGCCATAACCAATACTATATAACGTAAGACCAGTCATAAAAACACCATTCGATCACATCAGAAATCCGCCGGCTCGGGCAACTTCTCCGGGGTATCCCGCCACACCCCCGTTATCAGTCCCCCCAAACTCGGCGACCAGGCGACCCTCGGGGTCAAGACAGGCAACCCCCACAACTCCGCCACATACTTGAGAATCGACGTATGAGTGAAATCATTCGGCTGATCGGTCGGTCGATTCTGCACCACGCCCTGGCCGACCCAGGGCGACATCAGCAGTGTCGGGACCCGGATGCCTAAGCGGTCGAATTTGAACTCAATTTGACTGCCGTCGAGTGCCCACTCCTGGTGGGTGTGCTCGTCGCCGGGGGGCACGTTGTCCGGAGGCGCGACGTGGTCGGCGAATCCGCCGTGTTCGTCAAAGGTCAGGATGAAGAGGGTTTCGTTCCATTGGGGCGAGGCACGGAGGGCTTCGTAGATACTCTTAATGAAACCCTCGCCCATGTTAATCGGGGATGGCGGATGGAAGGACATGTAGGAGCAGCATTCCGGGTTAATCCAGGTGAATTGGGGAAGGGAGCCGGTTTTGGCGTCGTGGTAGAATCGGTCGATGGGTTTGATGTGCGTCTCACCCTTGCCCGTCTGGGCCGTCCATCGGTAGAAGAGGGCGTCTGGGAGGAAGCCCGTCGTGTTGGAGTAATTGATCCAGGAGATGTTGTGGGCGGAGAGCTGTTCGAAGATGGAGACCTGGGGCAGGGAGGAAGTGAGGAAGTCGATGTCGTTCATGCCGTGGCCGTGGCTGGTGCCGGAGGTGAGGTAGGCGCGGTTAGGGTTCGTGGGGCCGGGGACGGCGGCGAACCAGGCGTCGAAGAGGACGAAGTTTTGCGCCATGGCGTTGAGGACGGGGACGTGGTCGGGGGCGTAGTAGTTGATGACTTCGGCGGCGCGGGAGAGGTCCCGGTCGATGCCGTAGGCGCGGATTTGCTCGGTTACGAAGCCTTGCATGGTGGGGTGGCTGGTGTGGTTGGGATGGTAGGTGCTGTAGACTTGCATGGCGCCGCCGGCGATGGAGTGGTCGGGGTCGTCGGGGGCGACGTTTTGGGCGGTGGGTTTGGCACAGACGGTGTGGGAGTTGGGGTCGTCGATGTTGGATGGGTTGCAGTAGGTCCGGTTCACGAGGCCGTCGATGTGGGGGTGGTAGGTGAGACCGCCGGCGTAGGTATCGAAGGAGAGGTTCTCTTGGACGAGGACCACCACGTTCTTGATGGGGCCCTGCGGGGATGGCGTGGACGGGCCATGTGGTAGGCCGGTGATGCCCCAGCCTAGGAAGAAAAAGGCCAGGACGAGGAGAATGCCCATAATCAGGAAGAGCGCCGTGATGGCTACAGTCTTGCCCCAGGTGGACCGCCATGTGGGCGGTGCTCGCCGGGGCGCATTTATGTCGTCGTCGAGTTCATAGTGTACGACTTCACCGTCGGGTCCCAGCAGTGGACGTCGTTCCTCCGGACGCGGCGTCCCACGTGCATCCGGCGATGATCTGGGCTGCATGTTGCTGCGAACGGGGATGAGGGTATACACAATTGTACCACGATTGTACGACGAGGGATGAATGGGAGGAGTATCTTGCCAGGTTCCCGTGGAGGTCGGTGGGTATTCAGTGACATGCACGCGGGGCCTGGCTGGCTGGGCCGATTGCCGGCCAATCTTTCGATCGCATGCCGGGATGATCGTATTCTATTGGCTGAGACCCCGCGGGACACGGGAGGGCCCCACCAGGCTAGCCCGGATAGGATGGTGCCCGCGGAGGGCGCCATGATTGGCCCACGCGGCTCGGCAGGCGGCAATTTTGCGGGGACGCAGGGTCCATCTTCTACCATCGGTCGTGGCACAGCCAAGGTGTGATTATCGCCATTTCCTCACCTCTGCAGGGCTTGGTATCATGTCAACCGTGAAAGTGCCGAGCGTTCGCAACACTGGTCACCACGACATGTGGCCTCATCTGAGGCCGGATGCTTGCAAGGTTCATCTCTGCTGAGAATGTCGGTGTGGTACTAACATTCCCTACTCAAGTAGTGTCGGTGTAATCATCCCATGTGGCGGTGGTATGCGTGGTTGTCTCTGATTCTCCGCACGTTAAACCGTCCATGCACGTCTCTAAGCCCTAGAGTATCATTCGATAATCACGCAGCCATGTGGATTATTTTGTCCGTGTTAGAAGCTGGGTGTCATCTGCGCATGCATGTATCGATCTCTAGGGCCCGCCGATAATGTGGTGTAGGCAGGGCTCTGTAATCCGCTTGGTGACATTGATCGGAAGCGAAACCGATTCTCTGATTTGATTATTCACGTGGTGCTATCAGAAAATCGCCAGTTCACAAGGATTGAATGCTTGATACCCGATTTGCCACGGAGCTCCATCTCTCCGATCAAATCAAAGCTTGAAGGCGGGTCAGACCATTTCAATCGTGGCCTTGCCTGTGATAGGATCATCATTCGGGATATGATAGGATAAGGCCCCTGAGCCTTCATAAAGATGGTGGAGCGACTTGAAGATCCTTGTGGACAACCGGAATGTCTCGGATCTAGCTGCACATCCAAGTTGTCAGGATGACTATCTAGCTCGATCTTCATGTGAGACCTCCCATCGGCCCTCATTCGCAGCACGGTCTCTCCTTTCTGAGCCGACACCGGGTGGGGCTATTATCGCACCGGAAGATGCCGCGGAGTAAGATAACTCTATCTAAATAACATGAATTCAAAGGACTAGGTCATGAATAACTGGATGACGAAGCTGACAGGTCACATGACAGACGGTGCCATGGATGGGTATCTGGATGGGCGCCTGGATTTCCAGTTCAGGCATCTGTCCATTTGTCTATCAATAACATCATATCTCACTTTATCGCCCCTGACAAGCAGCTGCCTAATATTGAACTGGACAATGGAAGCAAAAAGATAGAGCAACAAGACGCACATCGATTGATCATCATCACCATGGGTACCCCTGCAGAGCAACGAAAGTTGGTGAAACGCGCCGGTGAGAAGTACCGTGCTTCACCATGGACGCCCATCACACAGTTACAACGGGAGAGCTCTCGTGATCCCCCGGCTCGCGGAGGCGTTTGGATCAGCAGAACTGTCTTCCCGGCCCCCGCCAGTTGCAGCATCAGAGATGCGTTGTATAGAGTTATCGACCGTCTTAAGCAAGACTATCACCAGATCACTCGAGGATACTCCAATCATAGATGTGGGGGTGAAATTTATTGGAAGTCAGGAGAAAGCCAATAATGATGTACCCGAGTCGGATGTTACAGAAGAGAAGCTTGGTGATCTTCTGAAGGAATACGACAGCGAGATGACAATCAATCCTCTAAATCCACGGAGGTGGCCTCTAGTAAGAACATTCCCCAGCAGTACCCGCAGCAGCACAGCACTAACACTCCCAGCTTCGGCAGCCCAGCCCAGTACCGAGCGGCATCGGCTCGCCTGGCAAAGATGACCAAAGCGCCTGTGGCTTCCATTAAATATCGCCTGGTGCCAAAGCATACTTTTCCGGCTCCGATCCTGGATACCATACTAGCATATGCGAGCCTGCTCTATTCCCCCAGCTGGGGCATCTTATCGTGCCGTCCCAGCAAACAAGATTATTCTGGCCGGGAATAGTTCCGGTGCCAACCTGTGCTTCGGGCTGATAAAGTTCCTCCTGGAGCTGCAGAAGCTCCCACCCTCTGATGCCAGCATCGACTTTTATGGACGGCATGTCACCCTCCCACTTCCCGCTGGAATAGCTACAGTAGGGGGCTGGTGCGATCAATGCGATGCCCTTCCATTGTGGCACAAGAATGGCGAGTATGATATTCTCGGGGTGCTGCAACCCCCATTAATGCCCGGCTTCCCTACGGATAGTATCTGGCCGGCCAATCCACCCCGGGAACACACCTACTGCGTGGCTGCCACCCTTGATCATGAGCTCGTCACTCCGGCTGCCGTGGCGGATTGGACAGGGAAGCTTGGAGTGCCTCGGCTGTGACCTGGAGGTCAGTGTACAGGTTAATACTCTGTTAGTGACATGTACATAGTACATACCAAGACTCACAATATGATACAGGTTAGCACTGCTTTAGAGGGAAAGCACGGACCCCCGTGATCCGCAAGAAGACATGTGGCCGTTGTGTTGCTACTAGGGAGTCGGTTGTGCGTTCCCCACAAAACAAGCCGTGAAATACGTGGATACAAATAGACAGAGTATCTGATGCAGATAAAGAGCTAGTTGCGATAGATTCAGTTTCTCGAGTCTTGAGAATCAGTCGGATCCGAGAGGGTCTTGGAGGAGACGATCAGCGAGAAGATGTGCTGTTGGCGCCATGGTGGAGAGGTCATTAAGGTATTCGTTGATTGACGTTGAGCCATATACTGTAGTGCTTAATGCTCAGGCCGCATCTCAGTCATCTCATGTCAGTGTTTAATCGTAACACCAGCTCTCCATCCCATCTAGAACCCCACTTGTCGAGATCCAACTCCCCTCATCGCAGCCATCCGACTGGACACCTCGATGGCTCGCCTCCATCTGCAGCAGGCGCGCCAAGTCTGCATTCGATCGTGCTTCCCATAAATGCCGACCATCAGGCATGGGGATCTGCAGATCTGAAAGTCGCAAGACCGTTTCCTTGGTCTGTTCTTCAGCCACTAGGTTCCGCTCACACCATCGCGACACCTTGTACATGGCCAACCCGCCGTTTAACCTCCTCTACCCCTACCCAGATACAAGCGTCGGAGTCGATCGCCTGGTATCGCGCTCGCATTCGTGGGTAGTAGAAGATGCGGCTACGAAGACAGGTTTCTACGAGTACGGAGAGGATATGTCGATCGGATTGTGGGAGGGGGCGAGAGCTGTTACTGCCACTGCTGCTTTGCATCAATGAGAAGATCAGATATAGCAGGATGGCTTAGTGTGTCGTCACAGGACAATGCGACAAGTCTTCCTGGCTCTCCTTGCTGTCATTAAGTGATTTAAGGGGGATGCTCTCCGCCAGGGTTCAGGTGGCAAATGAGCTCGGCCTCGACGGAGTGCAACAGTGGACGATTGCGTCTAGGGTAAGGACCTAATCTCAGGCCAAAGGAGAAAGCACGTCTAGCAATGGCCGCGTGTCACACGAAACGGCCGTGTGTACCTCGATTACCGCCTGGCGGATTCGTGACATGGCACTCGCAGCAATGGGCCATGTCTCGCCCATCGACCTGAGGACCGCCAGGTTAAGAGCCAGATACTGCTGTCTAGCCCCGGATGGGTGCGGCCCATCGCTAAGCATGACTGCGATCTGGATGACGGAGCTCAGGACAAGCGTGCAGCCGAAAAACGGAGTATGGTTGGCGACCGAGGTGGACAAAGATGCCAATTTGGATAGTTGTGTGGCACCCTCGGCCACCTTTGCAGTGTGTAGTTGAGGGTAGGCGGAGGTGGTGATGAAAGACGGTGGCGATGAGCAGAGGATACGGCCAGTGACGGGCAGATACACCAGTAGACCAGAGCGAGAAAAGTGGAGATAAATGCTGGCGCAGTGCATTAACATCACAGCCTGCATCATCATCTCGTCCAGGACGCCGCTCGACTGGAGAATAGAGCGTCGACTCGATGGCAGTCGATGGAACCAAGCGGTGATGGCGGCGCTGAGCACATCCAGGGTTTCCTGGGCGACATGTGTCTGGCCTGCGCGCATGCATCTCCGTAGCATTATAGCAGCCTCGATTCGATAGGCGGCCGGGGAGAATTCGACATCACCGCAGAACATGCTATTTTGCTCCAGGTCGGCAAGGGTAGGAGGGAGAGGATTCATGATACAGCCGACTTCATACTCTTCTGATGAGCAGGGAAGTGGCACATCAGGAGTCTCTGTCATCTCGAACTGCAGGTACCCATCCACCTGAACTGCAGCGAGCAGCACATCGACGATGAAAATCTCCCACCAGGTGCGGCGGAGACTGTCGGCTCTGAAGGGCGCCTCCATGCTAAGCGCGTCGGAGGCCTCGCGACGGTGCAGACCCAAGTCTAGCGCACTTTGCAGGGCTTGACCTAGACAAGATCGGGCTTCGTGGGGTTGCTGTCGCCCGTGCTGCACAATGGCCAGCAGAAGAAACGCCTGCGTCTTTTCAACGGTAAGCTCTGCCGCCTGCACCGCCTCCAAGAGGATCTTAGTGTTGTCTTGCAAAAGCTGAGGGGATACGTAATGTAGACTGATGAACTCCATCATGTCCAGTAGGAAGGTGGGAGGGTCCATCTCCAGAAGAACTTCCATTGGGGGAAGGAATGGGTGTGCCTGGTGAAAGTGTAGATAGTAAAGCGAGATCCACTGCCGACCTCGATCCCGGCCTATGAAGAGCCCATATTGCTGAGAATCTTGATCCTGGGACTGTGGCTCTTGTAACTGCGTCTGCTGCTGAGAAACGGAATTGCTTGGTGACAATGAGCCAACTGGCAGAATGGATCGACTCAGCATTGCTGTGCGAGTCTTGCGTCCCCGACGAGAGGCGACAAAGCGGCAGGAAATACTCAGGGACTGACAACGAGCACATCCTGCCGGATTCCCGTCGCATTTGAGGTGCCTTTCTCGACAATTTAAACAGGCAACGGCGGTAGTCAGTTCCATGGCGGGAAAGTGTAGTTGAAGGGAGGGAAGAGCCGAAGCGAGGGGGAACACACTGGGCTCGGAATATCCTTTCCTCCGATGCCCTAGCCATTGCCTTCACTCCCTCTTCTCATGTTTCTCCAATTTTAGCCTAAGGCTTAATTCGTGCTCGCTCTTAAATGTACTACGGCTATGCTTGCTCACAGCCAGTCATCATTGACCACCCTGTGCATCGTACCACTTGAATTCCTTCTTCTACTGCCCCGTATTCTTGTCCCGCCAGTCGGCGATATAGTGGGTCACTTCGCCGAATTAGTGGGACCGTCGCTCACGCCCGAAGAGGAGTCTCGCGGGGGCTTTTACATCGACCATGTGGTGGCATGCCAGGGACTGATTGCACATGAAAAGTATAGATAAGGATCTGGAGCTGTAAGGGCCTGGAGCTATTCACTATAAAATGGACGGACATAACTCATGCTGCAGCGTTAATCTGCGACAATTGTATACTTTCAACAACATGGTTGGAGGCTAGTGTAAATATTGACTTGATCTGTCACAATTACGACTACAACGGGCGTAAGTTAACATACATTCCACATGCAGATCAGAAATCGCCCGTGGTCCCTCACGAGGTATATGCACTATGCTGTCGGACTCGGCTTCCCCAGCGGAAAAAGAGCCACGGCAGGGGCGCAAAGATCACGGCTAGGAACCCTAGTAGGCTGGACGCCCAGCTATAACCCAGATTGTGGTACACTAAAGTCGTTAGATCTAAAATCCCGAACAAAAAATGAACAGTAACATACTGGCCAAAGTAAATAGCGGAAACGAGCCGCCGATGCCGTATCGCAGTAGACCATTGGCAGCCAATGCAGAAGCACCGGACGTGGCTCCGTAGACTCGTGTGAGGTAGAGTGCGGTTGATACCTATGGCAAAAGCAGTAAGCAGCTGGATGTAACAACGAGAAGGGTAAGCGAAGATGACGCACAAAAATCATGATATTGGAGCAACCAAAAAGGCCAATGGCGACGATGCTGCTCATCCAGTGAACATGGCGGGTTGACGTCCACGCAAACCAGAACAACGCAGCTGGCATCACCGGGCTAGCTAGCATCGCCCCCCATAGCACTCGTTCCGGTGGGGGGTTGAGCCCTTCAGGATAGTGTCGTCGGTGCTGAGCCATAGTGTATTGGTCCGTGACAAGGAGTCCGAGGCATCCGATGGCGCATCCGAGTGCCAGAGAGATAAAAACGAGTCCACACTGGCCCGGAGTGAAGCCATAGACATCAGTATAGACGAGTGGCACACAAGCGAGGAAACAGAACAGGACTGAGAAATTGAGCGAGGAGTACAGCGAGCATAGAGCCACAATGGGCTCGGTCAGAAGCATGTAGACTGGCCGCGCTAGAGTGACAGTAAACATCATCCGGATGCCGGCAAGACCGCGCGGAACTGGGCTCGGAGGGACGGATAGCCCTAGTTTGGCGGCGCGACGGCGGAGGATCGGGTGGGAATAGGACTCCTGCGCGCCGAGGCTAAAGGCCCAGCAGGCGGCTCCCAGGAACAATGTGGTCCACTGCGACCAGCGCCAGCTTTTGTACTCGGCCACCCAACCGCCGACCAAAGATCCGAGAGCGGGTCCCATAAAGGCGATGGTCATGAGAATCGTCACGCCGCGACCGGTTGCTGGGCCGCTCCACATGTCCATGATTGTCCCGGCTCCAACAGCCAGCGGAGCCGAGATGAACATGCCGGCCAACAAGCGGCACACCGCAAGGCTAGCCAGGTTGTTGCTGAACCCGGCTCCGAGAACGAAGAGCATGGCCAGGGGCGTCATCACCAGGTAGACATAGCGTCGACCATATGTCTCGCTGATGGGGGCGGCAATCATGGGCCCGAAGGCCAGTCCATAGACATACATGGTGAAGGGGAGAAGAGACTTCGTGGAGGAGGTGTGGAAGGCAGCTTGCACATGACTGTGAGAGGGGGAGTAGATGGCAAGTCCGAAGGATCTGTGAATACCAATTAGCTTGATCAAGCAGTAGGGTTTAATCATCTGTAAATTCACACTCACATGAGAAGACACAAAACAGAAGGCACGGCCGTGTTATAGATCTTCTTGCGCACACTCCAATTCTGTGCGTTGGCTGGGTCATCTGCCCACTCTGGGATTTCCGGCGAAGTCATTGACGCCTCCTTCGGCTCATTACCACACAGACCGGGAAATTCCATCTCGTCATTTAGTATCATACCAGTCTAGATTTTGAATGCTATTCAAGGAACGAGCCATTTATAGCCCGGATCCATGCAGTCTGTACCGGATAAGCGGATGCATGGCAGTGTGATAAACCCGAGGCCCCACTATATCGGCGAAGTCAGCCTCGTCTCTCGGATGTATTGATTTCTGTGCTAGGCATAGCGCTATGATCATCTAGATATCGCCGTCGCCTCATTCTTCCTCTTCAACGTTTCCCGTATGCTCATTCGTGCCTTCACCTGTTGCTAGACCTGCATGACATGCTTATCTGCAATGATCGAAGTACAAACCTATAATTCCAGAATCCACCTGATTCTCTCTGTATACGGCGTGATCGCCAGCTGGACCCGTTTTGTCTGTCGCGGTGCCATACTAGTTGTCCGTAATGTGGCTCTAGAATGCAGCCACTGCTGCAGGTAGCGATCGGGGGCGGTGTCGTGACAGCTGGGACCGGTCGCCCAGCAATAGCCGTTGACGGATGAAAAAGGGTGATTGATACCGTAACGTGCTAAGACTGGGGGCACACATTGCTATGGCTTTTGGCCAGTCATGGGGATGTACGGGGAGTTCTTTTCGATTGTGGTCCGAGGAACCTGACTGTAGGCTTGATCCCCGGGAAGAGGGTAGGCTTTTCGAATCATGGCTGATGGGACTTAGTGAGCCATGGATTATATTCTTGAGGTTTGGTTGGTATCGCCATCTGTTGTACTGTGTAGATTGGTGACCGATGGGCTAACCATGGGCTCACGGGTTTGGGTAATGGACAGAGGCCCATACCTCAGAAAAGACAGTGAGAGCATTCGAAACCGTAACGAAGAACTTAATGTGTACGGAGTCGGGAGACACCAATGTGCAGCAATAGCATTCAGGATTGTAGGTTCGAGACTCGCGATATGCACTATGTGGCTCTAATCTAGGCGTTCTACCGCAATACTTATCGATAGGCAAATGTCAAGACCTATTTGTTATCCCCGTCAGTTTGCTTGACCGGAAAGAAGATCTCTTTTGGTCTACTTGTGGGTTTCGGTAGATGCATGTATAGCTCCACCAAAGAAACCTTTAATACACATAAGGGTAGAGGGGCAGATCCATCTCCAAAATGGCCGGGTTGGTAAAATCCAGGACACCATCCCAGATGGTACTTCATTCACAGATACTGTAACCGCCAATGACTGTACGTATCTTACAGGGCTTGCTTGATACCGTCTTCTAATTCCGATACTCTTAGCTTCGACAGGATCGGAAGGCCTTGTGATCTATACTCTTGGAGACGATAGCGTCCTCAAACCACAGCAGGTTGCATTTACGTTTCGATGCAATGACTGTGAAGACAATTATTTCCACCCGTTTTGTGAGCACTCAATAATCCATGACACCGTGTCCGATTGGGAAGAGACCGGTGATCTGCATGGTTCGTATATCGGCTACCCTACTGGGCTACTACCTGACATTGGACCAGTTACCAACGTCCTTGAGCCGGTGGAGTAGCTCTACAGCAGCAGGACTCTGGTTTCCTTCAAATTTATCCAAATTGACACATAAAAGGGTGTACTTCGCTGTATAATGTGTGAATACTAAACTTATATCGTAAAACGTCTCCAACTCCATTCAGTTCAGGCACTGCAATCAAGAGTTATGTTTCCAAAAGACTTCTTCGGAAGTTATTGATATTTTTCATACAATGCGATAGGGAGGTTAAATATCAATCAGAAGTGGCCTTTGCTGTGGAGCAGTAGACCAAATTCACCTAACAGCTTCGGTGTTAATAACCGGCTTTCAAAGCAAGAATCTCTGGCTAATTCGCCTTTTGACTATCATCGTAGGGAATTCAACTGAAAGTGGTTCGTGCATGTACTCTACCCCCTTGATCTTGATATAAATAATATGCATGCCCCAAGAGGATAAATCAGAGAGATATTAACATATCACAATCATTCAATTTATACTTCGTTAGAAATTTGTACATAAAACAAAGGCTCCCTCAGTGAACCACCGAGCCATGATATATCACTAGGAAGCGCTCTCCATCCTCTGATTAAACAAAAACACCACCGTCACAACAGCCTTACAAACCCCACTCATAATCAATGTGACACACGACCCAGCCGCTTTCTCAAGACCAGCACCCACAAAACACCCCGCCATCAAGAGCATCAGGAACAAGACCCGACGGTTTCGATCACGATTACATTTCCTAAGAATCCCCGGATCAATCACAACATCCACATACGCCGCCGTCGCCATAGCAGTTGTGATATCCGTGATCTTCAACGCGCGACCCATAGCCACCTGCGCGCCGGACGCAAACGCCAACAAAAACAGCGTCAGCAGCGCAGCGGAGTCTCCATCCTCGCGCGCATCAATAGCCGCAGCTGCAAATACCATCCCCGTCTGAATCAGGCTCGAGAGCAGTAACCAGCCGCGCTTGCGCACCCCGACGAGGTTGCCTATCTGGCCCATTACGAGGCCGCCGGCGACGAACGCGCCGAGACTCATCCCCAGATTGCGGAAGTTGTAGTCGGCTGTGGTTGCGAGGCCGGCGCCGCCGAGGGCGAGGAAGAGCATGTTGCCGGTTTGGTTGGAGGCGAAGCAGCCGTAGGTTGGCCAGGCGGCGGCGTCTTGGATGCCGATGGCGAAGGAGAGGAGGAGGAGGAGTTGGATCTCGAGGATGATGTCTTCGCGGATGTCATCTTGAAGGGAGCCCCAGTGGGGGTAGAGCTTGCGGGATGGAGGGCTTTGGGGGGTGGGAGGGGGGAGAGTCATGCGGGAATTGATAGGTGGGAGAAAATCGCATGATCGAGAGGATTATATGACAGGGATTGTGACTAGAGTGATAAAATCAAGTTAGGGTTGGTGAAGGTGAGTCAAGTCTCTTCGGCGATCAAGTGGAGTCTCTCGGCCGAGGGTCCTGAGTCGCCGTCTGACCCGCCATGGGAATACGATCTTCAGTCTGAATGACGTGTTGAACATATGACAAAAGGGAAGACAATAGTTCGATACTAAGCACAATTGTATACTAAAAAAAGATTATGATGAGAGATTTTGTGACATTGAGCAGAGCTAGTAAGATATGTGATATCTATCGCTATAACCTAGGGTGGATTAAAATAAACATCGAGTGGGGTTTAAGGTTTCTAGAACAGACGGATAGCCCATTGTTGATGCATGATTTAATATTAGTAACTAGCAGAAAAGAATTAACAATAGATGCAAGAATTTACCTAAGGGATCAATGATTCAATGAATGTGGAGCTGGGTATAGATAGGGCTTCAGTGAGTCGGCGACTCGGATCCCACCGCCACCGCTTATAAAGCCCACTCAACATCTTCATCTGCCTACAAGCATCACACTTCTCACATCAACAACACCCACTGCTACCTGCAGATGTCTCGGCCAATGTTCCGCAAGAGTCTAAAGACAGCCTCGTCAGCTGTCCTGCGCCCGCGCCTTCAATACCAACAAATCCCGAAATCCCAGACCTTCGCAACCATCGCACCAGTGACCTCTAGCCGCAACCACAAAGTGATAGTCATCGGCGGCGGCTCAGCCGGTCTCGCAATCAGCCATCAACTTCTTCGCTCAGGTCGTTTCACTCCTCATGACATCGCCATCATCGACCCAGCGACTTGGCATCACTACCAGCCCGGATGGACGTTAGTCGGCGGCGGACTAAAAACGAAAGAAGTGCTACGACGGCCGATGCACGACTTGATCGGTCCTAATCTCAAGTTCTATAACGATGGAGTCCGAACCTTTACCCCAGATGACAACACCGTTACACTAACCAACGGGGACCGCGTAACCTACGAACAGTTGGTGGTTGTACCCGGGATTCAGATCCAGTATAACAAGATCAAGGGCTTACCCGAGGCACTAGCAGCACCAGAGTCAATGGTATCATCTATCTACGGCTACGATACATGCGACAAAGTCTTCCGGACCATTCAACAACTCCGTCAGGGAGTCGCATTGTTCACGCAACCGACAGGCGTGGTGAAATGCGCTGGTGCGCCGCAGAAAGCGATGTGGCTCGCGCTGGACTACTGGAAGCGGAGGGGACTGTACAACGTTGACCAGCCACAGTCAAAAATCCAGATAAGCTTCGCTACGGGCCTGCCTGGTATGTTCGGGGTGCCGAAATATAGCACCAAGTTGGAAGAGCTGCGACGGGGGAATGGCGTGGAAGGACTGTTCCAGCATGATTTGGTGGAGATTGATGGGAATACAGCGGTATTCGCTCAACTCAATGGGAATGGCTTGGTGAGGAAGCATTTCGACCTGTTACATGTGGTACCGAAGATGGGGCCCCATGATTGTGTCAAAGATAGTGCGCTGGCAAATGAGGCGGGTTTCGTGGAGGTTGATGAGACGACCATGCGCCATACGAGGTACGCGAATGTCTGGTCGGCTGGTGATGCGTCGAGCCTTCCGACGTCCAAGACCATGGCTGCGGTCGCTGCGCAGGCACCGGTGCTGGTGAGAAATCTCTTGCGAGTAATGGATGGAAACGAGCCTAGTGCCAGGTACGATGGGTATACTTCGTGTCCGCTTGTGACAGAATATGGGAAGGTCCTGCTGGTGGAGTTTAAGTATGGCGGAGTACCCAAGGAGACCTTCGGCATGCTGGGCATTGATCAGGCGGTTCCGCGCCGGGCATTTTATTATATGAAGAAGCATTTCTTTCCTTGGGTGTATTATAGTTCGATGGTCAAGGGAACATGGGGCGGGTCGCAGGGTTGGATTCGGTAATTTGAGGCGGGATTTGGCGGTTTTTTTGGAGGATTGTATAGACACATGTTAGAACAAGATACTTCAACGGGTTAAAGGCTTTGAAACCAAACGCTTTTGCTTTAGGAGAATGTCGGAATGCATCACCGCAGAGACGCAATGGACGTCAGTAATCATCACTACTTCCTACAGCAACTTGGAACCCGGCGTTTTGCTCCTGCAGCTAAGCACCACAAAAGTAGAGAAACAGAGGTTGATATTAAAACTTAAATGCAAGATACCGCAGTCTAGATGGATTATTCTATAGCTCACTCCCCGGCAATTGATACGGATGATCAAAAAGATCCCTCACGTCTATCCCCAGCAACTGCAAATCCCCAAAATAATAACTCGGATCGTCAATATACGGCAGGAATAGCGATTCATTCCGGTCCAGCGAGGCCGGGCTCCACGGTTGCATGGCCACGGATAGATCGGTGACGGGTTCCTGCGGTAAAACCGGCACTGTGCTGTCTAATTCATTAGTGGTAGTTGTAATATTAGTTGTTGCTGGTGCAGCTTGCAATGCTGCTGGCGCAGATGTCGGCGCCTCAACAGTGCTCTGAGATGGACCGGTCTCACTGCGGTCTCGAGACTTAGACTTGCGCGTTTCGGATATGTACTGTCTGGCAAGATGTGCGAATTCGGCGACTAGGGAACCTGGAAGGGCACCGCTACTGGCGTATTCTAGCCGGCTGAAGTGTCCACCGGCAATATCGAGAAGGGCAAGACTGAGACTGGTCTCTGGGTGGTTTGCGTTGTGGACAACGAGGTCGAAGAGAATCATCAGTGAAGAAAGGGGTAAGACGGCGAGGATCCTAGTTATACCATAGTAAGAGTTGAGCTAGCGTCAGATAGCACTGATATGGATGTATTACAATGGTGTAGCTTACCAAACTGGTGTTGAAGGCGCGACCTCGATGAAGACTGTCAGTTCCAACACGCTCCGTGCTGTTCGCATCAGCTCTCGCTTCATGACCTCTTGCTGCGTGGTCCCCAAGCGGACGGCACCATAATGCAGCACCGTCCATGACAATGTAAGAAGGGCGTTGAGATAAAGAAAGTGGGTAATCAAAGCAACCTGAACAGCGAGGGTCTCTCGTAGCAGACGCGGCTTGAGCGTTTCGCCCGGCCGAAATCGGGTGGGAGCGGTCATGCGCCAGGCTTCAAGTTCCATGCGTAGGCTCTCCACCACAGCGTTGTAGCTGGTCAACGGTTGGCTCACAGAGCTGATCGTGAAGAGGGATTGGTGGATTTTGGAGACAAGACGGGCATATTTGACAAAGCCGAAGAACCAGTCGTAGTCGTGGAAGGTGGATTCTGGCACATCTGGGATAGCACAGCTTATATTAGCGTCATCCAGAACCTGACGCATCAAGGTTAGCATGAACTCATGACTGGGAAGCTGGAGACTCACCGAAGTCTTGCCGGTGGCAAAGCAGGACGTTTTCTCCATGAAATAGAGGACCCAAAATGTGCGACGGCATTGCCCTTCCTGTGGACTGTTTGAGCGATGATAGCCTAATCCCTGGGCCATAATGGCAGCCTCTGACAGCATCAAGGGTTCGAATTGGAAGGCCGACACAGTTGATGAGAAGATTGCCTGCAACCGGGTCAGTCCGGTCCATTTGGTTCACAATATGCACATACCATAGCAATCAGGGCCTGATACGAGACATTAATTAGCTTATTGGTCACAGTGGAAGAAGAAAGAACATACTTGGACCGCAGTCAAGGAGCCTCTTCCAAAGAGGAGATCCTGGAAGTATGACAACGACCGCTCAAAATATGACCATGCCTCTCCCACGCCAGCCTCAAAGCTTCCTCCATCGTTATTCTGACAACCAATAGCCAGGATTGCGTAGAAGAGCGCCGCCCAACTTTTGTCTGTAACTAGGGATTGAGCAAGGTCCGGCCCTGAAGCTCTCCCGCGAAACGTGTCTGGACAAAGGAATGGGTAGATTGGGTGCACAGTGTCAAAGTAAGCTGCGGAAGAGGTCCGATCATCAGCATTGCGAGATGAGGACAAGGGCGGATTTCAAATACCGGCAATATGTGCACTAAGGATGTCTGGGCTAGGGAGATCATGGATCCTTCCCACATCCCGATGCCGCTGGACATAAGATTGGGGGATGGCACAAGTGTTCTTGACCTTGGTTGCCACCACCGCGCGAATTTCGTCCAGCAGCTGATCTAGTCGACCATGACCCAGTCTATCACTAATAGCTCGAACCCTTTTTGCGGGAAAGAACGAGATGTTTGGATTTGGGCCAAAAATTGTCGTTAGCTGCGTCTCCATTGTCAGCTCATGGGTGCTGGCGGGCAGCTGGAGAAGAACGATACCTGGTCTGGATGGCTGGCACCTCCCTGCCGACGAGACGCCTGGCGATTAGCAAGCAAAGAATCTATATATAGGTTTGCCGGCTGAGGGGACCGATAGGCAGCATTTTCGGACCCTGATTGTGGTGCCGGAAGCTCACGGATGGCGGGCTGGTAGGATAGTGGGATTAAGACTGGGGTGATAGATTAGCCTGGCACATCCGGTACGGCGTCAGAGTCGGTCATGCCTGATGGGTCATATTTTCGTTTCCTGGGCCGCTTGACTGGAGTGAAGGAACATGGACGAGTCTGGGCCTGTGGACGATGAGTCTCCGATTGCAGACTGGGAGGCCTGACGTACCAGGCAGAACTCGCAGGCATCAGCACTGCCTGATAATTCTGGCGCGCAGAGAAGAATGATTAGTCACGCCCTCCGACGGGGCTTTTCTTCCGACCGACTCACTGCATCGCGTTTTTCTGGCCCTGCACGCGTCGCATGCTTTGTGGAGCGGCTCGGAGCCTTGAATCTCTGCCGACATGGTTGAATTTGATGGGCTTATGATAAGCTGGGAGGAGGGAGAAAAGAAAAAGAAAGCGTTCGTGGGGCAGGGGAGAATTCCTTCGTCGCCGATGGTTCCGATGTGATCGCGGTTCCGGCGCCGATGCGCTGCAGTTCCCCACTGACTTCGGCGCCGAACAAGCAATAGCAATGCCGTCGGCAGACATCACCAGCCAAAAGGGTGGTGGAGCTCCTAAAAATATCAAGATGTCATTTCTATTGCCCTGCGTCATCGTCCTCCTCGGTGACAATGAAAAGGAGGTCGCTCGCTGTCGATTTATCGTTCACCAGGGCTCGACTGCGTTGCTCTGCCATATATATATTCGGTGGTGAGCCGGGATCTGTTTCCACGACGTAATAATTTCTCCCTGGTGATCTACAGCATTGTCTTCTTCACTTTCTGCGGCCCTAGCCTGCCCACAGGCATTGTCCAAAGGCATCAAGAACCGTTACTCGTCGGACCAACCCAATGTTCGACGAAACAGAAGACGCCACTATGTCTGGATCTGTCAGCACGCACGGCAAACCCAGCAGCATGAGGGAAGAAACAGAGTCGCTGGAGATGTCACTTGAAGACCAGCGTAAGATCAGGAACCTTGCAAGACGCCTCACCGCAGACTCAACCAGAGGTTGGCATGATGGGATGCCACCAAACCCTTTCACCAACACGGACAATCCGAGTCTAGATCCCAGTTCCCCCGAGTTTAACGCTAGAAATTGGGCGAAAGCGGTGCTTCGATTGACCTCGCAAGATCCTGAGAGGTTTCCACAGCGAACAGCAGGCGTCTCATTCCGGAGTCTTAGCGTTCATGGGTATGGCCGATCAACCGCCTATCAGAAGGATTTTTTGAATACGGTCTTGCAGGTAACCGATCTGGTGGGTGGCTTGGTCAACCGAAGCGATCGGAAGTTGCAAATATTGCAAGACCACGACGGGGTTTTGCACAGTGGGGAAATGCTTCTTGTACTGGGAAGGCCCGGCAGGTAGGAACTCAGTTTCTTTGGCTTGCGCTGTTCTTACTGACTGTGCGATTCCGATGTAGTGGAGTATCGACGCTACTCAAGACAATCGCTGGCCAAACCAAAGGGCTGTCCTTGGACGAATCCACAGAATTTAATTACCAAGGTGGGAGTTCCGAATTGAGCTCGGACATACGAGCACCAGACTGACGATCTTTCTACGATTTTTCTTGACTATATAGGCATCTCTTGGGACATAATGCACCGGAAGTTTCGCGGCGATGTAACCTACCAAGCAGAAACGGACGTCCACTTCCCTCATTTGACCGTTGGGCAGACTCTTCAATATGCGGCTCTAGCAAAAACACCCCGCAACCGACTGCCCGGAGTCTCCCGTGAGACCTACGCAGCTCATCTGCGTGACGTGGTCATGGCCGTGTTTGGAATTTCCCACACCGTCAATACAAAAGTGGGAGATGACTACATTCGCGGTGTGAGCGGCGGGGAGAGAAAGCGAGTTAGCATTGCTGAGTTAGCTCTCACCCAAAGCTGTATACAGTGCTGGGATAACAGCACCCGTGGCTTGGACAGCGCGACAGCATTGGAATTTGTGCGAACAGTGAGACTTTCCGTCAAGATGGCTGGAACGGCCGCAGTTGTGGCTCTATACCAGGCATCACAACAGGCATATGATGTAGGTTCTCTAGTGTGCCTGCTTTTGCCGCTATCTCCAGTCTAACCCACCAACACCAGGAATTTGACAAAGTGGCGTTGCTATACGAGGGTCGGCAAATCTACTTCGGCCCTGTTGATCAAGCGAAATCATATTTCACTGAGATGGGCTACCATTGCCCCGACCGACAGACTACAGCAGACTTTCTCACATCCCTCACCAACCCCGTCGAGAGAGTGGTCCGCCCAGGTTTCGAAGCTCGTGTGCCTAGGAGCCCTGATGAGTTTGCAAAGTGCTGGAAGGAGAGTCAACTGAGAAGTGCTCTTTTGAAAGAAATCTCCGTCTTTGAAAAGGACCATCCCATCGGAGGACCCACATTGGAGAAGTTCGAGCTCTCCAGGAATGCGGAGCGATCTCCGTTAATGTAAGCCGCGGTCCTTTGTCACGGGGCGATGACACTGATAACTTGCAGGACCACCAATTCACCTTACACGATCTCTGTCCTGCAACAGATTGCCTTGTGTATCCGACGAGGCTATCGCAGAATCCTCGGCGATCCATCCTTCTTTCTCGTGACAGTGCTGGGCAATTTCTTCCTTTCACTCATCCTTGGCAGCGTTTTCTACCACCTCTCGGACTCGAGTGCAAGCTTTACCGATCGATGTATTCTCCTTTTTTTTGCCTTGCTCTTCAATGCACTCAACAGTACCCTCGAGGTAAGCAGTCCTCCGTCGGATTGTTACGACCATGCTGACTCTGCATTAGATCTTAGCGTTGTATGCCCAACGGCCCATTGTCGAAAAACATGCATCGTACGCCTTCTACCATCCAATGTCGGAAGCAGTGGCGTCTATGATATGTGACCTTCCATGCAAGGTTCTCTCGACACTGTCCTTCAATCTGCCGTTGTACTACATGTCTAATTTGCGGCGCGATTCTGGCCATGTGGTAATTTACCTGCTGTTTGCATTCATGTCGACCTTGACTATGTCGATGATTTTTCGCACCATTGCGCAAATGACACGTACAATCGCTCAGGCCCTCACCCCTATCGCCCTGGGTGTTATTGGCTTGATAGTGTATACTGGATTTGTGCTGCCTACTCGCAATATGCAGGTGTGGTTGCGCTGGCTCAACTACATCAATCCGATTGCCTACTCGTACGAAACGCTTGTCGCGAACGAGTTTCATCACCGCGAATTCGAATGCGCTAGCTTCGTTCCATCCGGCCCGGGTTATGAGAATATCTCCAGTACAGAGAGAACTTGCGCTGTGGCTGGGGCATCTGCGGGCTCAAGCGTGGTCAGCGGAGACGCGTACGTTGAGGAAACCTATGGGTATTATTACTCCCATACCGGGAGGTTTGTTTGACATATCTGTCCTCAGACGAGTGGCTTGCTGATGGGTTGATGTTAGGAACTTTGGCATTATTATAGCCTTTGTCATCTTTTTCATGACAACGTACCTTTTTATCGCCGAGTTTGTCGTGTTCAACTACTCCAAGGGAGAGGTACTGATATTCCAGCGCAAGCACAGAGGGGCTCTCAACAGCAGAAACTCTACGGCCGATGAGGAGTGCGGTGCTGAGAAGATGACCACGAGCGCAGATCATCAATCGATGGATAATCATGCAGGAACATCCGAGGAAAAGACCATCAACTTTCAGTTCGAGTCGAACACTTTGCACTGGAGAGATGTGTGTTACGATGTGCCCATCAAGGGCCAAATGCGACGTATCACCGATCATATCGATGGATGGGTAGCCCCTGGCACTCTTACCGCATTGATGGTAACTATCCACCCCTATTGAATATCGATCGATTCTAACTGCACAAACTTTGAAGGGAGCTTCAGGCGCTGGAAAAACCACCCTGTTGGACCTTTTAGCGAGTAGGGTCAAGACCGGTGTCATCTCGGGTAACGTCTGTGTTAATGGAAGTCCACGAGACCCTTCTTTCCAACGGAGGGTGGGATACGTTCAACAGCAAGACGTCCATTTGGAGACAAGCACCATCCGAGAAGCTCTTCAGTTCAGCGCTCTCCTTAGACAGCCGGCCTCTGTAAGCACAGCCGAAAAGTTACAATACGTCGAGGAGGTCATTGATCTGTTGGAAATGCGACCGTATGCTGATGCTGTTGTTGGCATTCCCGGAGAAGGTCTCAACGTGGAACAACGAAAGCGGTTGACGATCGGTGTTGAACTTGCTGCAAAGCCAGACCTGCTACTATTCCTCGATGAGCCAACGTCGGGCTTGGATAGTCAGACGGCGTGGTCTATCTCTTTGCTCCTACGCAAGCTGACCGACCATGGCCAGGCCATTCTGTGCACAATCCACCAGCCTTCGGCAATTCTCTTTCAACAGTTTGATCGGTTGCTCCTCCTGGCTAAAGGCGGCCGTACAGTCTATTTTGGGCCGATTGGGAAAAATTCAGAGTCCTTGACTGGGTACTTTGAACGACACGGTGCTAGGCCTTGTGGGCAAGATGAGAACCCTGCTGAATGGATGTTGGAGGTCATCGGTGCTGCTCCAGGGAGTGTACCGGTATGCGACTGGCCAGTGACGTGGAAAGAGAGTCCGGAATACACCGAGACCCGAAAGGAGCTCGAGCGGCTTGAGAAGCCTAACTCTTCAGGACCGGACACGGTAATTGGCTCAGCTCAGCAATATGCGGCACCATTTCATATCCAACTGTGGTTATGCACGAAGCGCGTCTTTGAACAATACTGGCGCTCTCCATCATATATCTATGCGAAGCTAATACTGTGCTTCGGAGCAGTAAGTGCGATTCATTCATCTGTTACTCGGATCTGCTAAACAGCCATCAGGCCTTATTCATTGGTCTTTCGTTTTTGAATACCAAGGTTACCGTCCTCGGTCTCCAGCACCAAACCTTTGCCATATTCATGCTGCTTGTCATTTTTGCATTTCTTGCCTATCAAACCATGCCCAATTTCATCAAACAACGTGACCTATACGAGGTTCGCGAGCGGCCCGCCAAGACATATGCCTGGTCGGCTTTCATGTTGGCCAACATCATCGTCGACGTTCCCTGGAACTCTTTTGCGGCGGTATTGATCTACCTCCCGTTCTACTATATCATCGGGATGTACCGGAATGCCGAGGAGACCCATGCGTTGACTGAGAGGAGCGGTCTCATGTTTCTGCTTATCTGGTCTTTTATGATGCATTGTGGCACGTTCACAATCATGGTCGTTGCGAGTGTGGCCACAGCTGAAGTTGGGGCCACCCTAGCACTCTTACTTTTCTCCATGTGTCTCATTTTTTGCGGGTATGTGGGTTCAATATGTCCTATTTCTTCTGAGCGGTCTAACGTTTTGGCAGTGTCATGGCAAGTCCGGCAAGCCTCCCCCGATTTTGGATCTTCATGTATCGGGTGTCCCCGATGACCTACCTTGTCAGCGGGATGCTTTCGACGGGGCTAGCGAATGCCGAGGTTCAGTGCTCGAGTTTGGAGCTTATTGTCATACAGCCTCCAAGCAACGAGACCTGCGCCAGCTATCTGGCCACATACATGCAATCCGCCGGAGGTGCAGTTTACAACCCGCAGGCCACTGCCAACTGTGAATACTGCGAGATGACCAACTCGAACGTGTATCTCGAACAGCTCTCTGCCTCTTATAGCGATCGGTGGCGCAACTTTGGTCTTATGTGGGCATACATTGCATTCAATGTGTTTGCTGCATTATTTCTGTACTGGTCTGTGCGAGTGCGAAGCGGCTCCGGCGCGTCCATTTTCAGCCGGTTGTCCAAGTTGATGGCAGGCTCGACAAGACAGTGAAAGCTGTCGATTGGTGATGATTGTTGGCTGCGACAGAAATTCTTCCAGTCACTTACTAATGGCCCAGATGCCATGCTTGGCCATGATTGGCCCACAACTTCCCTTTCTGGTTGTATTTTGATATAGATTGTTTGCTCTTGTTTCACCGTGTCTTTTGCTCCCTGACCGTACCCCGCGTTCTTTTTCGTTTTGCGTTCCTACCCTTCTTTTCCGGATTCCCCTTGTGGGTCTCATTTCGATCTGCCATAGATATAGACATAGAAGGCACATCTTTATATCTATTTTAGTCGCTGTGAAGTCTGCGATGAAGTAGTGGCTGTTACTTCCAGTCGGGATGGCATGATGAGGACAGCCGATTCAGCTGCGGGGATGATAAGCCCGATAAGCACCCAGCCAGTAGGCTGCTTCGGATGGCCCCACAGTCCCCGCCGAAACCGGTTATCGGACAAGTCAGCAGGGTAACTGGCGTCAGCATGCTCGATCTTCAACGAACTCGCCCTCGAGATATGAAAATGGCTGCCTCCGACACTACTACTAAGGTCTACGATGTGGTGGTTGTGGGTGCCGGGCTCAGTGGTCTCCAAGCCGCCCATTCAATTCGGGCCGCAGGGTTCAGTGTTTGCGTCTTAGAAGCCACGGATCGAGTCGGCGGAAAGACATTGTCCGTGCGGTCCTCGGAGAAGGGCATCAATGACCTGGGCGCGGCCTGGATCAATGACACCAATCAGAGTGAAATTTACAAGCTTCATCAACAATATGCTCTGGATGGAGAGATCCAGTACACGCACGGAAATAACATCTTCCAATCACCGGGTTGATCGGTTCACAAGATACCTTATGGCCAAGCTCCAGTAGGTATATCGTCTACCCTCATAGCAGTACTGACGGGCTAATGCACCCTGCCGTCTAGACAGGCCTTCTACCGAAGGTCATTGGAATTCTTCGCGAGGAATCGGCGTCTATAGATTTGCATGATCCCGCCAGCTCCCCGGCAGCCAAAAAAGTTGATAATCTAACGTTCAAGGACTTTTGCGTCCGCCGGGCTGAATCCGAGCACGCCGTTCTAATTGCAGATGCCATCTCCGCAGCGCTTCTAGGGGTGGACAGCCACGAAGTGAGCGCTTTGTATGCGCTGTATTATTTCAAGAGCGGTTGCGGAATTGACAATTTACTTTCGGACGAGGAAAATGGAGCCCAGTACCTGCGAACACGCCAAGGTAAGATACATATTATCCCACTACGCCAAGTAAGTCTCTTGTGCTCATTGTATAGGCACTCAAACCATCTCTCAAAAGATGGCCGCGGAGCTTGACCCAGAGACTCTCTTTTTGGGCAAACCGGTCACTTCGATCGACCAATCTCGCCCTGATGGGATCTGCCTCGTTCAGACAGTCGATACCCTTACTTTCCACTGTCGACGAGTCATCGTGTCTGTCCCAACTACCCTGTACCAGAACATCTCCTTCAGTCCCCCGCTACCACAGACAAAAAGCACTCTGAGCCACCACACAGTAATGGGATACTACAGCAAGATGATCTTCGTCTTCAAAGAACCCTGGTGGCGGAATGCCGGATTCACCGGGATCTTCAACTCTCCAGTCGGCCCAGTCAGCTTCACCCGGGACACCAGTATTCCCAAGGACGATCAGTGGTCCATTACATGCTTTGTTGTCGGCGGCTGCGGGCGGACATGGTCCAAGCTGTCTAAAACAGACCGTCAGACGCAGGTCTGGGAACAGTTTTGTCGGTGTTTTGGTGAATTCGTGGAAAAGATCCCCGACCCGGCAAATGTTCTAGAGATGGAGTGGAGTAAACAGCCTTTCTTCCTCGGAGCTCCCTGTCCGGTGATGACGCCTGGTATCATGACTACTGTTGGTACTGAGTTGGCTGTGCCGTTTGGAAGAGTGCATTTTGTAGGGACTGAAACGTCGCTTGTGTGGCGGGGATATATGGAAGGGGCTATACGGTCTGGTCAGCGAGGAGGAGCCGAAGTGGTGGAGGCGTTGAATGGCGATCTTGGTATCGAGGTATAGGAAATGGCCGCATTGAAACGTTTCTTGATTGGACATCATTTTAGTTCAGTGTAATCTGGTACAGGAATAAATGATTGAACTGAAAGACACATGGGATCGCAATTACACAATGGCTGCCAGCCCCTCTATCGCTGATCAATGCACGGACGAGCATTAGGCATTCCATCCGTCTTGAATACAGGCTCGAATGTACAAAATGTAAACAAAGTCGATACACCCTGTTTCATCATTTCCTCCCATTCTTGGTTGTATCCTTGGTTGCCCACAGGCTAGGCCGGATTACTCGTCATCCACCATACCGGCATAGTACTCCCACAGATACTGCGGAAAATCCTCCACCAGAGTTTCATTATCAGCCAGCGCTTCAAACGTATCGGTGATATTCCGCGGAACATCATAATTGATCCGAAAGGTATAACCACCGAACCCAATCAAATCGGGCTCAACAACAGCCGTAACATTCAAGTCGGCATACTCGCCCCCCTCCTCCTCATCCTCATCAACAACAACCCCCCGTTTCGAACACCGCGTACAATCCATCCAAAAAGCCCCCTTGATATTCTTATGACTCAAACACAAGTTACTCCCGGTAGAGGACTTCGCCACGGTGCCACAGTCGGCGGACTTTTTCTTGGTGCAGACAGCCCCCAAGTAGGTATCGCCGAGGCCAAGGAATCGGGTGGACTCGAGAGCGCGCGACGAGCCGCAGCACGTGTAGGATGCGATGCTGGAGCATTGCACGAAGATGTTGCCGCTGCAGCTGTGCTTTTTGTGGTGTCGGATGCCGACGCCTTCGACGGTGGTTGAAAAGATTAGGATGGAGGGGAGGAGGGTGGACCAGGTAGATTGGAAGAGATGCATGTTGAGTTGAATATCGGTGATCCAGTGAAGCCCAATAATTGTGAATGAGGGTTTGAATTGTCTGGTGGGTAGGTAAACGGTGTCAATTTATAGACTGAATCTTGGCCAACTTTCCTTGCCTCTCCCTTGACTTGATTTATCAACCGCATATCTCGTCATTTTGCTATTCCGTCGGAGTCCGTTAAAATTCCAGTCTCGCAGGATGCCTCAACACAACTGCTGCCTAGCCCCATGCCAGTCCACCAGCCTGATAGCCCGGACGGTCAGCTTCCGCTGACACATCGAGTGAATGCTGCACAGATTACCAGACTATCACTTATCCTATTCTTACAGGATCTGACCGTAGTCTAGATCATAATCAAGCATCATCACGCGCGCGTCTCGATTCCCTTGATTGGCACCCTCCCAATGCTTATCTCCGTTAACCCTCGGATGACGTGGCCACCGCGCCACTCAGCTTTATAAGGAGCGACTAGCGCCTCCATGCCCTGCTTCAATCAAACCCAGCTTCTGCTCCTACTCCTTGTCACTAACCTCTTCAAAGCGGGCCAAAAACATCCTGATGAGATTTTAGCTCGCATTCCACATCATCCTATACTATCCACTCCTATCTTTCATCCCGATCATGTTTTCCTCCAACCCAGATAACAAACCCCCGCGCACTCACCCAACCCGCCAAGAGATGGACGAAATCGCGAAGTCATTAATCGGCAAACCGGCGCCTCCGATGCCAACTGTCCTACCGGACTTGATTTCGATTGATGGGCATCAGTTTCCGATTAATCGGGAGGGAGTTCCGCAGGCTATCACTGATAAGCTGGAGGATATTTTGGAGATGGGTGGGACGTATGAGCAGATTCCGCCTGAGGTATTGGAGTATGAGCTGAAAGGGGATGACTATGTGCGGGATGAGGAGGAGGGGGGTGGAGATGGGGGTTCTGCGAGGGATGGGAAGTGAGAAATAGTAGGGGTGGGTTTATTTGGATGGCGGACCGCAGACAATTTCATGAAATGTCTTTTCCTCAAGTTAAACCACTGCCACATATGCTTTATGTAAAGAAGTATATGCGCCTCTAGTTCTAAGCTTCCCACTGATATCATTTTATAGAACCAGGAAGTGAAAATATGTTAATAATGAAGATACACTGACAGTTTCCACAAACCAATCTAATCTGGGTTGAAACTTGCAAATCACCCCCTTGAGTGATCTGACCAAGGGCATGTTCTTGTTCCTAGCCGAGCCGTAGCCTTCCCTTAAGACCAGTGACCTGCAGGGTTGGATAGATATGTTCTATGGACGATTGAAAAAAGGCCTCCCCAGAGAATATGACAAATCAGGCTCTTATCATGTCCAACGTGATGCAGCGCTTTGAATTAACTATGATTAACCTCGGTCTTCACAATAATCACCTGAACTCTTTCCTTTTGTTGATTGCTGCAGATAGATTCATAAGTTATGCCGAGGAGTCAGGACCTGGTGGGTACACCTTCAGCCAATCACATGCTCTTCAGGAACAGGTCAGAGCATCCGGCTAATCAGATCGTGCACGAAGACAGCAGTCATCATGGCCAAGACAAAAAAAAAGCAAGCACCGTAGGGGGATTTTGAAATCTAACGCATTGACCAATGGTGGATATGGATGGTCACATGTCCGGGCCCGAACATTCCGTGGGGCTTCACCCTAGCAACAACTCCGAGCTGAAAAGAAAATTTGCCTGACTCTCACTTTACTGCGCAATTCCAATGCAGCACCTAACGCCATTTTACTCAGCGAGCAATTGGAATACCACAAAGTGTAAGGTTCAGCACAACTGTCAAAAGGCAGCACACGTGGCCGGTGCCGGAATCTGGTGGTGCAAGACAGATCTGCTTGGTTCGTAGAAGCGGGTAGTTCAGGAACCGATGAACCATCCCCACATTTTTAAACTTTCTGCATGGTTCGGGTCCTAATTTTAAGGGGTTTCACCCACCCCCGAGGCCCCTGGTTTGCCCGATCCAAGGATCACAAGAGATCGCCCGATCTAAACAGTTCAACTAGTTCAAGACAAGCCAATAGTCCGGTGCGGAATGGTTTCATTCATCCCATCAAGGGGTCGATCCCACCAACCTCGGTAGTACTCTAGTACTTCATTGGCCATTCTGTTGCAACAAAAAGAGACTATCGGAGATCCCGATTTCTAATAGTTAATCGGGCTCGTCACATTCCCACAGATCTTCCATAAGTAATCCCTCATCCCCGCTGTCATGAGTTACTCATGCATGTGCCCGTCGCCAAAATGTACCTCCTCAAGTCCTTGCTGGTGGCCGCGTCCGCCATTGCCACCTGCGAGGCCCTCCCCTCTCTCCAGGCCCGAGGTGCATACCCATTCCATGTAGCCCCCGCTCCGTACTGACTCCCCCAGACATCACCACACAACAACTAGACGACTACAGCTTCTGGGTCCAATACGCCGCCGCCGCCTACTGCGAACCCAACTATGTCTCCAAAGCTGGCCACAAACTAACCTGCTGGGCGGGAAATTGCCCCCAAGTCGAGGCCTCCGACGCCACCATCCTATACGACTTCTCCAAGTAACCCCCCCCTCCACCTCAATCTCTCAACTTCAGCCTAACCACCACAGCACCACCTCCACCGACACATCCGGCTTCCTCGCCGTGGACACAACCAACCAAGCCATCGTCCTCTCCTTCCGCGGCTCGTACTCGATCCGCAACTGGCTCGCAGACGCGACCTTCTTCTACACGGACCCGAAACTCTGCACGGGGTGCGAAGCGGAGCTCGGCTTCTGGAGTTCCTGGACCAACGTCCGCGACAACATCACCACCATCCTGACCCCCACATTGACCAAATACCCAGACTACGAGCTCGTCATCGTCGGCCACAGTCTCGGCGCCGCCATCGCGACCCTCGCAGCCGCGGACCTCCGCCACAGCGGCCACAAAGCCACCTTGTACGCGTATGCCTCGCCACGCGTGGCGAACCCAACCCTCGCCAAATACATCACGAACCAGAACCAGGGAGGGAATTATCGATTCACGCATACGGATGATCCCGTGCCGAATTTGCCATTGCAGGTGATGGGGTATGCGCATGTGAGTCCGGAGTATCATATTACGGCCAAGGGGAATTCGTCGGTTAGCACGAGTGAGGTCGTGGTGTATCAGAATGGGGATGATCCGAGGGGGAATACGGGACTACTAGGGATTCCGGATTTGTTGGATGTCGATGCGCATCATTGGTATTTTGAGCGCGCGGATGGGTGTTTGGGGCCGGGGTTGCCGTTCAAATAATGGCATTGGATGATTGCAGAAATTCACTGGGTACTAAGGGGTTGGGTTGGAGATGCATCGCCGGGATTGGCCTGGGTGGGACGTATATAATATTTAATCTGATATATGTAATTATTAATCTTGAACAAATATCGAATGGAGGCTTGTAGTTTGGGTTGTTCTGAACATTAGTATTGTGGTGGTGGCATCATATAGGGCTGTTCTGTCAATGGTCTGGTTTATGCAGAATAGCCATCGCTGTCATAGGCCTAGAAAGTGTACGACATAGCATAACTAGCATGATTCAGTGAGGGGCAGAAGAGTGAGAGAGATTAGTTCAGGTTTGATGAAAGATACCGAACGTAGTATGGATGGAGAGAGAAAATAAAAGCTGTAAGAGAACGCCAGTAACCCTGTCTACATAGCCATAAGAGATAACCTTCGATAGATCACCTTTAACAGAACGATCTGTTCCAGCATCCGTTCTTCCCCAATAGCCGAGGTGTCCCTATTCGACAATCAGCTCTATATACCCAGACACTGCTAATGCACCTACCGGAAAAGACACAAGAGAGATAAACAGCAATCCCAAACCCAAATACAATACCCAAAGGTCTCGACCACCCGCAGGTCCTGCCCCCAGAATACTCACAACTAGTATGCCGGATCATCCGACAGTACTCACGCCCTCTACCATCAATCCATTTTTCCGCTTCCACAACCCAGGCAGAAGACCGATCAGGCTCAGCGTGATATTCACGATACGCCGTGTATTCATACGCCATCGCGGCGAGATGATTATTGTACTCCGGCTTATTTGTTCGGAAGATACGCTTCCAGTATTCTTCCCAGTATGAGAACGGATTTGTTTGATAATCTTGCGGTGAATGGGGTGGGAAGGTGGCGCGGCTGAGAAAATCACACTCTTTGTAATTTGTTTTCCAGGGCCTTATTCTGAGGCGCTCTAGCGAAGGAAGAGACTGTCTGGGGGTTCCTGTCAGCGTCTTCCGGGGTCTGCGTGGATATTGTAGCATGTTTGGTGATTGCAATGCTGGGTTCGGTGAGGTGGGTGCAGAGGGTGGTGTGTGTTGCTTGAGTAGAGTTGAAGCGGCGTATAATTGCGCAACTATCATTGCGCGTCATGGTGACTCTGTAGTTATAATCCAGGGCTGCGGATGACCTTACTCTCTCGCGGTGTCATTATGTGGTAGGTAAGTGTCGTTGTCGGTTAAAAGATCCCGGAGGGACCCTAGGAATGTTCAGTGGTGGCCATCTGATGGAAAACGGTATGGAATGCTACGGCTGAGCTTGTGTTTGCCGTGTAGTCCCAGCCAAAGCGGTTGTGATTGAAGAAATGGCAAGGATTGTTAGAAGACTCATGGCTATTTAGCAAGCAAATTATGAGAACAACAACACACAGTGAAATATATATCCTAGGGTGCTTTAGTACTTCAATCTGGAGACTGTGGGTGATTCGGAATGATATGTTCGAAGAGCAACTGCTGTAGAATGGAGACAGGAATGTCAAAGATGGAAGGCAACATGACCATACCGTACGATACCGCCTCATGATACCGGCGGATCCCGTGCCGCCTCAACTTCACTTCTTCACCACCGTCCTTGTCCTTTCTCCATCATCTCGATTCCTACCTAGTTCCCCGATTTGATTGCTCGGATGGACCATCTGTCATAAGGACACTAAGTCTCAGATATCCATCATGCCATCCCGCCGCCGCAGTGCCGTTGCCTGTCTCTTTTGTCGTGAGAAAAAGGTGATCAGTCTCCCCGCGGTCGAACACGGCCACTAACAAATTCCCCGGATGCAGTTAAGATGCGACTCGGTGCAGCCCACGTGTGGAAATTGCGCCACCAAAGGCCTGGTATGCCAGCAAGGCATCCTCCAACCTAAACAAAGGTGAAGCAGGGTCGATTCCCCGGTAATCTATTACCCACGACTGACTGTTCGGGCGTTAGGCCAACGAACCACCGTATTGCTCAGCTCGAGCGGGAAAACCAGGCACTCCGCGAGCAATATGCCCATATGCAGAAAAGCAGTCCGGGATCTCCGAGCATATCCCGAGTGACCCCGACGTCACCTATCGAAGCTACTCATCCAGAGGCTCGTGATAGTGACCCAACCAACAAACCACCGCCATATCATGGTCCCACCAGCACGGCCTATGATGATTCCACACTCTTGCCGGAAGCCCCCCGGGGAGACGCGCCTCTCGCCGAAGAGAGCGCGCGCCAGTCTCTTTTTGCTGCCGCCGCGAGACAGCGTAAGCCGATCGACGACAGATCTTATCCAGGCTCGAATTAATATCACTAGGACAGCTTGAACGGCTCAACCTGGCCGCAGGCCGACTGGACTTTGACGGAGTGGACCCAGCGATCGGAATGCATTTGCTGTCCATCTACTGGAGTCGCCAGCTGTACACAGCTCAGATTATCTATCGCCCTGCATTCATGCGAGACATGGCCTGTGGGGGGCCTTACTTCTCCCGCCTGCTTCTTAATGCCATCTTGTTTGTCGTCTCCAAACACTATCCCCGACCGGAACTCTGCTCCGATCCGGACGACATCACGACGGCCGGCTGGCGGTTCCGACAGCGGTTCACCGAGCTTCTGCGACTCATGTTTGACCAGAGCGAGATTACAACCCTGCAGGCCCTGCTGATCATGTCCAATGCGCTCTTCTCACGTTGCGATGAGCGAAGTCGATCGTGGCTCTACGCGGGAAACTCCCTGAACATGCTCATTGATCTAGGCCTGCATGTCCTACCGTCCGACCCAACGCGTCTGACTGCAGAGGAGCTCGAGATCCGGAAGCGCGTCCTCTGGGGCGCTTATCGTGGGTGACGACCATCCAGCTATTCATCCCAGATGCAACAGCTGACCTCAGTAGTGATTGATAAGATTCAGTGCCTCTTTCAAGGACGTCATCCGCTGCTCCGGCAAGTCGACTTCAATACCCCGCTCAACTTCTGGGACGAATACGACGAGCTGGAAGAATTCCAATGTATTACCTACGCCCCGGCCGGGTCTCGGCCTGGGGTTCCCTCCCTCAATGTCACGCTCCTTACCAAATTGTGCGAGTTGGCCCTGATAATTGAGCGCATTGTGGGCGAGCTGTATTCCGTCTCGACACGCGACCGGGCGGGCAGCCCTAGCCACATGGTGACCGAGAAAATCAATGCGGACCTCACAAAATGGCGGAATGGTCTGCCCCCAACCGTCGACTATCTCTCCGCTCCAAGCCCGCAGATACCACTGCCTCAGTCATGTTGCCTGTTGTATGTGCCGTCTACTCCAGATGCATCCAATCCTACTGATGCTAGGACCATTCAGGGCGCTCTATAATGTCTTGATAATTCTGTCCAATCCACCCCTGGTCACCGACCGGAATGGCGGGTCGAACCGTTTCCGGCCGGCTCATGAAGGCGTGGCCGCTTGTACAGGCGCTGCCAACCAGATCGCGCAGATCCTGCGAGACTATTGCCAGCACTACTCCATTGCCAGTGCGCCCTACATGCTCTCGTACGCAACCTATATCAGCGCCACAATCCATGCGCACATAGCTGCACAAAAAGGGCCTGATTCCAGTGCGTTCCAGTCTTTGGTGTTTTGCCGACGGATCCTGATCGAGCATACCCGGCTGTACGGAGCCGCTGCGAAAGCACGAGCAAACCTGGACAAACTGCTTGAGCGGCTCCAAGTTGTCATTCCGGATGGAGATTTGCCCAATCAAAATATTAGCAACCATCTGGTCCCCAGCGGTGCAACGAGGCGAGATGGTGATACCCTGGCTGCTATGGAACTAGTGGATTCCATTGACCCGGGTTTGGGAGTGGCAGAGTTGCCCAGCCTGGACCTATCAGACCTGGACCTCGAGGCAATTGCAGAGGGGTTGTTTGTGGACGGAGATCTACATGGTTGGATGCAGTCCTTGTCTGGTGTATGCCAGTAAGACAACTTTATACACGCTGCATCGCCCGGCCGCAAATACGTTGACACAATACGACCTGCCTGTATAGACCTACAAAACGATGTGAGAGGAGATTGGTCCCATACGACGTGATTGCCTAATTACCATATGGACCGCGGGTTTCAGCGGATGGGGCCGTCGCTGTCACTATGGCAAGCTCGCGGGTCATCGAGGCCGATAGCGCACCCACGTCCGTCAGCACATTAACCAGATCAAAGCCCATGTCCACATAGTGCTTTGCCTGAGCCCCATCACCACAGTAGATTCCTGCCTTTTTGCCCGCTGCCTGAGCCGCCCGCAGAACCGTTGCGATGGCCTCCTCCAGGGCGGCATCGATCACGCCATTCATTACAGGGTGGCCAATGCTGTTGCCTAGGTCGAAAGGCCCAACGAACAACAAATCCAGTCCGTCGACGGCAGCAATGGCATCTGCCGCCTCCAATGCCGCTTGTGTCTCAATCTGCACCGCCAACAGGAGGGTCGCGTTGGCCTGTTCCAGGTACTGCGAGGCCGTCGAGCCCACGGCAAAACGGTCCATTGCAAACGGGGAACCGAACCCTCGCCGCCCTTGAGGGGGGAACCGGGCGGCATCCACAAAATCAGTGTCGCTGCTTCGGTCATGTATAGACATCAGAATGTTTCGCACGTTTGATCATCCAGCTCTGAAAGTCGGGGACGCGAACAATGGGGCTGACCCCATATCCGGCAATGGCTGCGACAGACTCGTGCATCGCAGCATCTCGTAGCTCAATTAGCAAACGTCTACAGAAAATTCCCGGCCGGCGTACCACCAATATTTCCACGCTCACAGTCAACCAAGACCCAATCGTAGCCTGCCCGGGCCAAGATGCGGGCCAGGTTGCTGCCGGGCAGTAACTGCCAGACCCCAAGAGCGACCCGGTTTTCTTGGAGGACTTTCTTTACTCGACTAGTTCCGTCCATGGTGATGCAGATGTATATTCAATTGACATGGTATCACACCTGTCTGGGATAGATGTTAATATAAAGCAACGGCGGATGAGATCTACCGATGCAGGGCTATACGAAATGCCGGGTGGAGCCAAGTGGTTGCATGACGTAGCCCGGGCCATTACCACCCGACCGGAAACTCATGTTCCGAGGGTCGCAACAACACCACCATCTCCTCAAGGTTAGTTTGCTGGATATCAAATCGGATGCTTTTAATCCACTGGCATTGCCGGTGCCGCGGGTAGCGGTTACAGGGCTCGATGAGACTCCATGTTTCGGCGCGCATAAAGGACCAGCGCTCGTCATTCACCCGGACTGGTTCTTCCCACCTCGAGTTCTAGAGATTATCTACGGTTTCCCATCGCAGCCATGCCGTGTGGCTCTTCCAAAACGTGCCAGGGTTGCTCCTGTGCGCCAACAGATGCGCCACCATCGATCAACATCGAAGATTGCCTGAAAGAGCTCGAACTGCTACGGAAGCGCAATTGTGAGTTGGAGGAGACGCTCAAGGTCCGCACAGAGCCAAAACCCAAGATCCCGATCAGCACCCCGGGTCGGCCGCTACGCTCATCGAAATGGTTCAACTGCCGCGATGATCCCGGGATGACGGCCATCTACATGGAGCGATACTTTAATTTCGGCATCACCCGAGAGGAGCTAATGGCTGGAAAACCCATCATCGGAATCGCCCAATCAGGATCCGACCTGGCGCCTTGTAATCGACACCACCTGGAACTTGCTAAGCGGGTTCGCGAAGGTATCCGCACCGCCGGCGGAATCGCCATCGAGTTTCCGACCCATCCTATCCAAGAGACGTCGCGGCGCCCGACGGCGACACTGGATCGGAATTTAGCGTACCTGTCACTGGTGGAAATCTTGACCGGTTACTTTCTGGATGGAGTGGTCTTGCTTACGGGATGTGATAAGACGACTCCCGCCTGTCTGATGGCCGCGGCGACAGTTGTAGGTGCCTGGCTGCATCCTGTACGAACCATGCTGACACCTAGCAGAACATTCCAGCCATCTGCATGAACGTGGGACCCATGTTGAATGGATATTCCCGGGACAAGCTGACAGGCTCGGGTTCCGTGCTGTGGAAGGGACGGGAGATGTATGCATCAGGCGAGATCGACGACAAGGAGTTCATGGACTACATCGCGCGAGGGTACGTACCCAGATCTTGGCAGTGGCTGTACTGACTGGCTGCAGAACCCCATCAGTCGGACACTGTAACACGATGGGTACGGCGTCGACGATGAATGCACTGGCAGAGGCGTTGGGAATGGCCCTCCCCGGGTCGGCTGCGATTCCTGCACCATACAGGGAGCGAGGGCAGTGTGCCTACGAGACGGGCTGTCGGATTGTGGAAATGGTGGCAGCGGATCGAAAACCCAGCGATCTGATGACCCGCGAGGCGTTTGAAAATGCCATTGTCGTGAATGCCGCGATTGGTGGCAGTACGAACGCCCCGATTCACATCAATGCGATCGCCCAGCATGTTGGGGTGGGAGTGACCATGGATGACTGGGACCAGATCGGGTCCGAGATTCCGCTGCTATTGAATATGCAGCCCTCGGGAGAGTATCTGGGGGAGGAGTATCATCGGGCGGGAGGTCTCCCTGCCATTCTAGCTGAACTACTCGACGCCGGAAAGATTCATCCGAATGCCATGACATGTACCGGTCAGACCATAGCAGAGAACATCCGCGGCAAGCATTCGTGGGACCGACGGGTGATCCGTCCCTACGATGACCCGCTGATGAGCCACGCTGGGTTCATTCATCTCTCTGGTACGCTCTTTGACTCGGCCATTATGAAAGTCTGTGCGATCTCGCCGGCCTTCCGTCAACGATACCTCTCCGACCCCCAAGATCCCGATGCGTTCGAGGGCCCGGTTGCTGTCTTTGACGGGCCGGAAGATTATCACCGACGACTGGAGCACATGGACCAGATCAATGAGCGGACCATCCTAGTCATGCGCGGTGTCGGGCCACGGGGGTACCCGGGAGCTGCGGAAGTCGTGAATATGCATCCGCCCAGTCGGCTGTTGAAGCAGGGCATCGACGCGTTGTTCTGCATTGGAGATGGGCGGCAGTCCGGCACCTCAGGTTGTCCCTCCATTCTGAATGCAAGCCCGGAGGCGGCCGTCGGAGGCAATCTGGCCATTTTGCAAGACGGGGATCGTCTTCGCATCGACCTGCTGAAGCGGCGAGTCGATATGCTCCTCAGCTCAGAGGAGATTCAACGCCGTCGACAGGTGTTGGAAGCCAATGGGGGCTTCCAGATCGTGCCCAGTGGCACGCCGTGGCAGGAGATCTTCCGACAGGAGACGGACCAGCTAGGGAACGGCATGGTGCTGCGTACGGCTGTCAAGTATCAGCAATTGGCACAACAAGGGGATGGACCGCGGCATAATCATTAACAATACCTCTACCTATCATGCATAATGCGTTTATCCGTTTAGCCATATTTCGTAGACGTACCCACTAGCCCGGAAAGTCACCATCCGACCGCCTCACGCCTCCTCGGTCCGAGCGCGGCCTTTAGATGCGGGGGGACTTTATCTACCATCCCGCTTCCCATCCCAGCTCCCCTCCCCCCCCCCCCCCCATAACCCTCTCAACGAAGAGCATTCACACAATGGGCAAACGCATCATCGTGACAGGCGGCTCCGGCGCCGCGGGCCAGCACATAATCACCTACCTGCTCGCCCAAGGCCACAGCATCCTAAACATCGACCTGGTGCCCATCCCGGACCCCACCCTCGCCTCCCAAGTACACACCCTCCGCGCGGACCTCACCGACAGCGGGCAAACCTACAACGCGCTCTGCTCCCACTTCCACCTGACCGAACCCTTCCACGAACCCCTCCGCCAACTCCCCAACGCGGTAATCCACCTCGCGGGCTACGCCCGAAACATGATCGTCCCGGACAACGAAACCTTCCGCGGCAACGCCTTATCCATGTACAACATCATCGAAGCGACCTGCCGCCTCAACATCCCGAAACTCATCCTGGCCAGCTCCATAACCGTCTACGGCGTCAGTTTCGCCGAAGGCGACATCGACTTCCCCTCCTTCCCTGTCGATGAAACCGTCGACGCAAACCCGATGGACACATATGCGATCTCGAAAATCTGCGGAGAGCGAATTGCGCGGGGGTTCGCGCGACGATTCGGCAACGATATCTACGTGCTTCGATTAGGTCGGGTCATTGCACCACACGAATACAAAGGGGAATTGTTTAAATCGTACGTGGAGGAGCCGGAGAAGTGGAAAGCGCATGGGTGGTCGTATATGGATGCGCGGGATCTGGGGCAGATATGTGATTTGGCGGTGGGGAGGGATGGATTGGGGTTTCAGATTTTTAATGCGGTGAATGATACGAGGACGAATGGGGTGGGGGGGTCGACGGGGGAGTTTCTCAGGAGGGTGTGTCCGGGGACGCTGGTGACGAGGGAGTTGGAGGGGGAGGAGGCGCCGGTTTGTAATCGGAAGGTGAGGGAGGTGTTGGGGTTTAGGGAGGGGCATTGTTGGAGGAGGTATTATGAAGCTTAGTTGGGTGGTGGTGTATATTGAGGGTAGGTATATTGTTGCAAGAGGTATATATGTAGGGTTTACTAAAACGGTATTTATACTGAATATGCGTATGGCTTAGGTATGGTATTATATACAAGAATGAAACAAGTGAGGTAAGGGAGTAATCCCATCCGCTGCGATGACCAGCCAAACTGATTATAATCCAGAAAATAGAAACGCAATCACGGCCAAGAAAACCGGCACGAACCCTCTCGACACAAACGGGACGATAGGATCACCACCCGAAGAAGAAGAAGTAGCAGCCAGTCGCAACTCCGAGTACGTCACATTCGACACATCATATCCACACAGACCACTTCCGGGCAGCATGGAGGCCGGAAAAAACACCCGGGGCTCGCCCTTATCCATCGGCACGATCAGTTCACTATAGGTATTAGTGGTATAGTTGACGCAGTTCAGCACCTCCGTGACCACGATGCCGGCGCCATAGGTCTTCGGCAGGGTCAGATTATAGGCCGACCCGTTGGTGCCCTGGGTGGATAAAAGCATAATGACTTGTCGGCCGACATTACCCTTCCAGAAGGCCAGTTCACTACCGCCCTGGTAGATGGGATAGGTTTGCGAATTGATGTAGCTGGAATCCAACTTGATGGCCTGTTTGCGAATAGCGTTGAGGGATGCAATGTGCTTGTACAGCGTCGTGTTGGTGTCATAGTCCGTGAGCCACAGCGCCGCGCGGTTGGAATAGGCGATGAATTGTTCCAAGCCCTGGTATACCAAGGGAATGCCATCGAACAGCATCATAAAGGTGAGAGCATTCTTGGCCAGCATGATATCGTCATTCATATAAGCCCAGCGGTCGATATCTTGATCTTCGATGAAGTTCACCATGGCCGGTACATCGGTGCACAGACTATTGATCGTGTTGATCTCCTCGACTAACGTATCGGGCTCGCCGTTCAAAAACGCCGTGATCATCGAATAGTACAGTGGGTAGTTGGGCAGACTCGGCAGGTACTCCTTTTGATAGTTGCAGACAATAGTGGCATTCGACTCCATCACCTCGCCGGTCATCCACCCGCCCACGGTATCCACATACGTAGGCAGAAAGCTAGGGGTGAGAGATTTGGCGGCATCGATTCGGAGTCCGTCGACGGAGTAATTGCTAATGACCGACTGACTCCAGGTCATCAAAATGTCCTGGACGGCGGTGTGCTCGGTGTAGAGATCCGGCAGCGCGGTATAGTTATCACCCGTTTGACACCACTGCGCCTCGGTATAGTTGTTCCAGTTGGTAATGAGGCAATACGGATGGAAATAGTCCGAGCCGTTGAACTGGGGAAAGACGGTATAGTCGATGTGGGTCGCGGGATCTTCACCGTCGGTCATATAGGCCACATTGTTGATGACGACGTCGAGCAGCAAGTACATGTCCCGTGCGTGCAGGGCCGCGCTCAGGTTCAACAGATCCTCGCGGGTCCCGAAGTGGGAATTGACCTCGTAGAGATCCAGCGGCCAGTAGCCATGATAGGCCTCGCCATCTTGTGATCGCCCGTCCACGTTTTGCACGACCGGGGAGATCATGACGGCATCGAATCCCATCCCCTGAATGTAATCCAACTTGTCGATCGTCCCCTGCCATGACCCACCGCAGTAGTTGGATTCCGTGGTATTGCAGGCAGCAGTGGTCGAACCGTTGGTCAGAGCGAACCGATCCGTCATGGTCTGATAGATGGAACGGGTTTTCCATTGCTCGGTGGTTGCGGCCGTGGCGGGGTGAATGCAGCCCCAAAGGAGGGTCGCGAGCCATTGGCCGCGCAGAGACTTCGAAACCCGCAACATAAGGAATGTGGTGGGCGAACCGAGCTTGATTGCGCTCGAAACCCCCTGGTGGAGGTGGTTGGTTTCGTAAGGAGTGTGTTTGGTGGTGATCGGAAGTGCAGTTGGGATCGTTGCGAAATGAGGAGGCCGCGTGTGCTAATTACTGCCGGGTCGGACAACGCGGAGAAAAGGAGTGACTAGACCAGGCAACCGACTGGGGCGAAGACGATACTATACTAAGGCAAGCGTGAGGCAAGCCCCGGGAGCGTGCGCACCGGGCAAGATAGGGCCCGCTGCAGAAGGCTTAGCATGTTATCGCTCGTCCATCTTTGAGAATTGGCACGAGACCAATTCTGTCCGTCCAATAATGTCCATAGGGGAGTAGAAGAAATCAACCGCTCTAAGAATGGGAGGTGATTGATCCTTCCTGAAGCCATGTCAAGCCTACGCCAGGATTGCCAGCCTACCAAGCCGACTGCGTTGGCAATTTCACCAGGTGTGGGTGGGGGTGCGGTCTAAAAATACTTGGCGTGGGACTCCACATTCACGATTTCTTCACAGCAAACGCCTTTTCAGATACCTGGGCTTTTTATTCAGATGAAGCTATCAGGGTTTCATTAGGTATTGAGGTCTTCACTTGTGGTTCGATCAAGGGATTACCGTTCAATTCCGGGCCAAGCTCATCCGGCCACGAAGTATCAAAAGGGGCGCGTGTGATGATGTTCAGGCACCGGAAGGTCACATTGCGTCGAGCCCCCGGGTCGGCCCCACCACATGGCTACCATAGGTGGGAAAAATTCAGGGGTGGGCCCGGCTTACGACAGCCCGGCCATGGCCAACTTTCATAAGCTGTGACCGGATCGGCCCCGCCCGGCAAGCTTTTCGCTGGAAGCTTGGTGGATAAATACTGGGCCATTGGCAGCTGTTGTCTCATTCTTGCTGTTTGGCTCTCGAAGGTTCTGACATTGAACAAGTCGTCACGTGTCGGCTGGATTGAGAATCAACCCCTTATTGCTGATTCTGAATGAGGTCTATCATGTATCGTGACTTTCCGACATGAAGGAAGGACTGAATATGAACAACAATATACCCATACGCAACGGGACGAGACAGTACAAATTCTACAGAAGCGGTGCGGATTCCTATAGCTATGGAAGCAAGCCTTTTCCCAAACAAAGAGCGGAGAAGGGTGTGGCTCCAGTTCCTTGCAAAACCAGTGTCATTCCTTGGGCTATTTCTTTTCCAAACTGTCTCGCCAAGAATCCACTCAACTAATTCACGATAAACCCGATAGGAATTTATCTCAGGATGGCGTATGGTCTTGTATCGCAATTCTAGACTTTCACAGGGTTGTAATTTTCGAAGCGCGCCAGCGCTGAGAAACACTAGGTCCGCTCCTGGGTAGGGAAATTCGCAGCTCCGGCTTCTCATTGGTCCAGAAGAATCATCTATTTTGGCCTTCTGCTTGGCTCCCCCATCACATGTAACGTGACTTGAATATTGCCTTTTCTCACCGCTTCGGAATGCCTGGAGCTATGCGCGAGACTGTAGGTGGTCACGACCTCGTAACTAATCCCCTGTCGTGCGAAACTCCCATCAGTATACCGTTCCTTGCGTCAATCATGTCTGTCCAAGGTACCAGTACAATCGCCATGCGCTTAGCCAAAAATCTCCTGGTAAATCCCGAGCCTTCAGACATACAAATAGAAAGGGAGATTGCAGCCTCCCCGGCTTCCTCAATTTTTGAGATAAAAGTGGACGGTCAAACGTACGCTATGAAGCTGGTAAGTCGACGAGCTTTTCTCACTTTACCGTCGCTGATAGCTCAGTATCACGATAACGGGGACCCCGGATGTACGAAGAAGGGCCGAGACTTAGATCGATATCGCTGTGAGCTGAAAGCTTACCAGAATCTACTCCAATATGGCGTATGTGACAGCGGCTTTGTTCCACATTTCTATGGTCATATCGATCGGCTCGACCCAGCTGCATTTCGGCCATTCCTGCGGGATTTCGTTCATGATGCATTGCACCCGAGAGCAATTATTCTCGAGTACCTTCCCGCCGCCGAAAGCCTAAACTGTGTCAATTACTCGGAGGCCCTCTATAACATGGCCATCGAAGGTATGAAGCAGATACATCATGCTCATGTTCACCACAGGGATATCTATCCCAGGAATATCCTTCTAGTGACGCGAGGGAGTGACAAGAGACTGGTGTGGGTGGACTTCGATGTTGCAACGACATTCCACAGCGTGGGACCTGAAGAGGAAAAGTACAGTGGATATGAAGATGACCTTGTTGCCAGCTTCGGCGACGCCTTGGTTTGTCCCACCTGTATTCTGTTTGAGACTGCATGGTCTAATATTTTGGTTTTCTAGCGGGAGGACCAAAGACAAGGTCTTCCTCCCAATACAAAATTCTATTGAATGTTTCCGGCCCTTTGGGTGTTTCATCCTCGGGATTACGAATTTGCGTTGCTGCATTGCTGGTATTTACATAAAAGTAACAGCTTCTGTGCTAGAGATTCTCTCTTACAAAGTCTTGTTCGAACGGCTCGGCGTTGGTCGGTATTGACATCCGTAAGAATTCTATATTACCTGAAGTTTGCAAGTACATGACAAAATATGAGTATATAGTCAGTCCCGGATCGTATCCAGAACATCATCATAAGATTCTGTTGAGACATGCCATTTCTACCTTCTACGCCCGAGGCTAAGAAGGGATATATTCCTTTTGGTCTACGTGGTTCTTGACAGATTCCAATATACTCCCTTGTTCAACGTACTTGACTAAGACCTTCATATTATGTCAAGAACTACGTAGGCTAAAAGGAATATATCCCTTCTTAGCCTCGGGCGTAGAAGGTAGAAATGGCATGTCTCAACATATTATAGATTCTCAATCTGTAGTGCTTTTTACCTACCGGATTCAGCCAACATGACGTCCTCTGTGATACAGTACTGTTTAATACAAGGTATTTCCAGAAATCGGTTATTATCTCTCAATGTTATTCCGTGCTAGCGTATTCTTGGCAGACAGTAAGAGAGAGTACTATGGGTGACACTAGTTCTGCAAACAACTGGACTGGCCATGCCATGCCTTGGACTTTTGTGGAGTGCTCTGGCGAGATAACAAACCCGCAGTCGAACCTTGATCCGGCCCCGACCAGAAATCGCCTGCAATTGGCCGACGCGGCGTCCTTCTCCGACAGTGGACTCTATCGCGGGTGCCTAGTGCCTGGCGGGTGACGCGGCCTGCAGACGATAGCAGATAACAGGGATACATTGCCCCAGAATTCCCTCCTTTATCTACTATGCACATGGGAAATGCAAACTCGAGATTGGGTTTGCCGTGGATCAGATATGGTTCTTATCTGTGAAATGTGGCCCATTCATGCCTGTGAGATTGTAGGGCAACTCTGTCACCACTGCATCCATGATATATAAGATTACCACTTGGTTTTTAATCGGGTGCTACAGAAAACAACTGGCCAGTGCAACAAACCTAGATAACTGATTATCTTCTTTCTATCCTAGGCTCGAATGTTGGATATCAACGATAGAAATCTTAGAGGAGACGTACCACACAGGCATAGCTAATATTGCAGTCGGTGCATCTGTCAGACACCCTGCACGGGATCTGCTACTGTACGTGGGTTGATTTCGCGGGAAGCGATTTCAAATGGCAATGACAGTGACCAGGGAGGATCAAGCCTCCTTCGTATTAGATGTAGCCGGTACGAAGGCCGTGTAACCCAGATGAGTTCTCAGACATATCCTTGCCATCACTGGAGGACTATACCAATTCGTCAATCCCTCGTACTCGGCTGGATGGCAAAACCATCATGCGGATCATGTCCAAGCCCTTTGGATAACACTGATATAGCCGTAGGACATGACTATTATCTAGTCTGCTGTCCAGTCCAGTATCATCTATCTATTGCCGCCATGAAGCCCACGAGCAGTCAACTGCAGCAGGTCCATCTCGGCGTTTCTGCCAGCGGGTATGAGCCTGTGACATCCTACCAAGGCGACCCATCCATCCACACGGAAGAACATGAACGTTTGCAAGCCAGAATCCTGGACCTCTGCGAATCCCGGCTATGGTATCGAGGCTCGCACGAGGCATCATGTCCTCGACCCATCCTGATCACACAGCAACACCAGGCTCAGCTGCAGCAGTTACACCGGGCCTTGACTGCCGCCATAGTTGATATCGTGACGCGATGGTGGACGGATGCGGATGCTCGATTTCCTCAGCGGATGCCGTTGAGAAGGGAAGAAGAGGAGCTTTTGAAGGTTTGTTCGGTGCCCGGATACATGGGACTTTGCACCGATAGCCCAGAATTGACAATGGTTCATGTGATAGTGGCTCGATCGTCATCTTCCACCCGACAGGGCAAACTATGCAGGCTGCTCCGGGTCCTGGAGACCGGACTTCTTAGTCGAAGGTCCCGGGAGCGAGTCGGAACCGATCGAAACCTTCCGCATCACAGAGATCAATGCTCGCTTTTCGTTCAACGGATTCATGTATGCGGCATACGGACAGGAGGCGTTGAGGAATCTCTGTGATGATCCCGGCCTCGTCCCGGCAACTGATCCAGTGAAAGTGAGTCCCCAACCTTACCACTGTCTTGATACCCCTGGCTCACTTCCTCGGCAGATTCTCAGCGGACTGCTCAGTTTGTTCCAGCTGAATCTGCCATTACATTTGCTCAAGAACGAGGAGCCTGGCATGGACATTCACATGTTCATTGACTTTGCGAAGCGACACCTCAAGATGACGCCGCGGCTCATCACCCCAGCAGATCTGAGGCTACTTCCTGATTCGCAAGCCCCTGGGGGGTATAAGCTGTGTTGTGTGGTGTCGGATCACGAAAAGGCCTCACTCCGGCATGGCTTATCCTTCATCACATCCGAGCAAGGGGAGAAACTCGAAATCTTTCAGGTCGGACTGGAGCTCCACCAGCATGAGCTTTTCGCGCTGGATCCCGACATGCTGCGTCAGATTAGCTTACGATGTTTCAATGATATCCGCACCATCCTGCTCGTGCACGATAAGCGCATGCTGGGTATCATCAAGCAGGAAATCCCCCTTCTCGTGGCACGACAGGTGCTGCGGCCCGAAGATGGTGAGGCACTGCGACGGGGCATCGCGGACACCATCATCCCTGGCTCTCCAGAGCTGGATGAGCTTATTGGTTCCTCGGCGCTCTCGCCAACCCTACGAAAGGAGTATCTGTGGAAGCCAATCCGAGGAGGCAAAGGGGCGGGGATTGTGTTTGGCGACGAAATCGATCCCGAGGAGTGGCTGGCGACGCTGGAGCGCCTCCGTTGCCCCCAGCTCGACAGCACACGCACCACGTACGTGATCCAGCGGCGCATTTGGCCCGCCCTTTACGAGGTCATCCTGACTGCGTCTGGAGAGCGAGGGCAGTACCCTCTGGTTGGGACGTACCACGCCGTGCATGGTCGGCTGCTGGGATTAGGGATCTGGCGTAGTAGTCCGGATCGGATTTGTGCGGTAAGCCATGGAGTGGCTTGGATGGTTTCGGTGTTATATGCCGACGAACATTGAGAATCCTGGACGTTTTTCTTGTATGACCTCCTGCAGTCTAAGTCAGCAGACGAAGCCAAGCGGGGCAGCTGCGGTTGGGTGACACGCGACGGCAGGAATTCTACCACATGGATGGGTCGTACCTGCACCCATTCAACATGGGTAGTGATCAATGCGACTGGCAGATTCTATCCATCTAGAGTGATGCCTGGGCTCAATCCACAGGTATATTACCATTCTTCATATCCCCGGAATAGATCATCGTCTGACCCATAAGGGTGCAAATCATCAAGTGACTTATCCCAATGCAACGTGCCCTGCGCCTCCCCTTGGCTCTCCATGCGGGGAAGCCAACTTTCTGGAGCTACTGGCCAGGACAGCATGTGTCAGTTCGTTCATTTGTCATGGGTGTCGCGCCAACCGTGCCCCATCTTGTCGCGCGCGAGTTGATTGACGCCCAACGACGACCTCATGTTCAGGAAATTCATCACCAGCTCCAGGAACACGGCATCGTCAAGTTCAGCTTGCAGTTTCTGGACCACCAAAGCCGGTATCTCGAGACCCTGATCTTCAGCCTGTGTGCGCACCATGGGCATGGCCCTCCAGTCGCCCATAGTGCCTCTCGAGGCTGGTTCTGGGATGTTCGCCCGAGTCCAGTCACATCATCGACGCCAGAGTATCGTGCTCGATCCGAGACCATGCAGAATTTCCCATGGCACACCGACTGTAGCTACGAGACTGCGCCCCCACAGTACTTTGCCCTGCAAGTTCTGCAGCCTGATCGCCACGGCGGGGGAACTCTCTCCATCATGAGCATCGCACAGCTCGCTGGCTTGCTCTCCCCTGCCACGCAGGCCGTTCTTCAACAACGCGAGTATCAAATTACGATCCCGTCCGAGTTTGTGAAACATCCCCACCAAACACATGTCCTGGAGAGCATTCTGGGTGTTCATGCAGGTGACAAGCCCCCCGCCATCCGGTTTCGCGAGGACATCATCGTCCCCCTTAGCCCCAGGGCGGCGGCCGCTATGAGTAAGTTGAAGCAAGCATTGCATGCGTTGGAGAATTCTCCCCAGTCGATCCTACGTCTGACGGCGGCAGACTTGCCCGAGGGGTCGATCATCCTGCTGGATAATCATCGGTGGCTTCACGCCCGGGATGACATCAAAGACCCTGCAAGGCACCTGCGTCGCGTGCGGTGGAATTCAGTGCCTTTCCCCACCGCAGCTGGTGTGGCTGGCTGAGCCGCCAAGGGCTTGAGGAGGGGTCAGAAAGTGTTGCTGTTGGCAAGGTTGCCTTGATTTGTAATGCATGGATGACATTGCTTCTGCTCTTCATGTCGCTTATGATCTGGTCATCATAGTTCTCGTATTCATATTAGGAAAGGAAATCCGGTAGTCACTACTCCATCCCAGGTGCGCTGGCTCAAAGTTGGATTACAGCGTATCGTACAGGTCTAACAGAAACCCACTTGACTGATTCAGGATGGTGCATCAGTTGCAATCCAAGATCAGCTACGCATAGTAAGATGGAAGGTCAATGGCGAAAAGCAGATTGTGGGGTTGTCAACATCACCCGCGTTTGCGTGAGGAGTAACCCAATCGGAAGGGGAAGGCGATTCGCAGTAACCCGATGCTGATACGAAACATGAGTTCGTCTGCAGGGAAGCTCAAACTATTTCTCCTTACCAACCTCAATAGACTTTCCGTCGGCGAATATCGGAGCGGAAACCGGGTTGTAGATGCAGCGTGGGCAAAGATGCCGAATGGATCCATCCCAGTCCTGGGTCGCGTCGATCTTGCCGGGGGGGGGATGACGGCATTTACAGAGCACTCCAGTGCGCATCACGATAGGACTGGAGCCTATGATGCACAAGTGTCGCGAATTCGAACCCCGCGGCAATGGTGGTGTTCAACTGGTCTGTTTTGCGGTCGACCTTCCACCCGCCTGTCTAGCAAAGGATGTACGCGTTCCACTTTTAAGCAAAGAGGGTTCATCAAGAGACATATTGAGTGTGGCCACTGCTGTTCACATCTCCGCTGCTGTTAAACGAGTATCCCGACGAGACTGTTAGAAAGAATCAATGTCAACGCCGAGGCTTCTCAGATCCATGATGCATGATAGGATTCTACTTTTGATCCCTGCTCTCAGCCTCTTAGTGTGTCAAGGATATTGACCTGTGACTGACTAGTATAAAATCACATCCGTCCAAAGGTATTTCTGAGCTCGGCCTCGTGCGAGGGAGATGGGGTGAGAATGGCGTGTGATTACGGGATAAATCCAGCCTACTATTATTCCCCGCAAGCACAAGCGACATCCCTTCAATTATCAGCTACGCGCACTAACTCATATATCATCTAGCATCAAATCCGATTTAGCCGTACTCCCAACTCTACCCATCACGCAGACGAAACCAACCCCAAATCCGCCAACAACTCCCCATTCAACCTGCGCTCCTCCTCCTGATACACCTCAAACTTGCCCCCACCCATCCCATCTACCAAACCCTGCAACTCCTTCACCAACCCCTCCGCTTCCTCCCTCCTCTCCACCCCTTGAAACCACACCGCCTTCGCAATAAACCGCCGCGCATTCAGCGCCTGCGGGGATCCCTTCCCCAGCCGTGGCACGGCATCCATCCAAGCACACACCGGTCTGGCCGTCTTCTCCGCCTCCTCATACTTTCCCACCTTGAGCAGATACCCGGCTAGCATATGCACGGGGACGATATTCTCCGGATCCGGGCGTTTCTCGACCAACATCCGCACCGTCTGCTCCGCCTCAGGAAGATCCAGATCGTTCTGGATGGTGTAGATCCCGGACCAGAGTCTGTACCAGCGTTGGTAATCCTTCTCGTAGAGGGATTGGGGCGGGGTGGTGCTAGATTCCTCCTGCGCGAGCTTGTCTTTGAGGAGTTGGAGGAGGAGACGGAGTTTGGTGTCCTGCTCCGCAGTGCTGGATGTGTCGAGGGGAAGACTTTCGCGTTCCGAATCAGTGAAGTTGACGATGAAGCCCCGCGCGGTGCAGTATTCGATACTGTCCCAGAAGGGGTTCACGGGGACGGGAACTTCCCACGGGAATGCCTTGGCGGATTCGGAGGTGGCGACTTCGCCGGTGGAGTAGCGAACCGCAGTGGTGGTGGTGGTGGTTCCCATGATGGATGATCGTGGGTTAGGAGTAGACAGAAGCAGTGGATGATGATGATGATGGAGAGGAGGGGACCAGAGGTGCAGTGATGCCGTTTTAAAGACGACGTAGCTCAGCGCACGGATCCAGGGCGAAGACCCTGGAGGGGCTCCCTAGTGCTTACGCTCATGTAGGGTCATATCAGGAACAGGGGGTTGATTGGGTGCATTCCGGAGAGGACTGAGATCGCGCGATAACATGCGTCGAAGCCAATCAGACGAGGGCTGGTGCCTAGGCCGGTGACCTGGAGCCTAGATGCATACCGCACGTCCGTCGGACTACCCAAAGTTAGGCAGGAAGGCTGTGTCCTAGAAGTGATAAGTCGAGTACTGGGGATCACCGGACCACTCGTTGAGACCCTTACTGCAGAGAGAGACGTTCACATGCACTGCGACTGATGATTACTTCCAGCCTTGTTCTACCACCCCCAATTCGAAATATCAAATCGGACGTTCTAGGCCAGAAACCATGAGCAGCGATGTAACCCAGCCTGATGCACCTGACAATCGCGTCGCGTCTACCACCCATGACACCATCCGCCACCAATCAAGCCTTCCACGGCGGCACGAGATAATACACCAGTCCAGGCCCGATGGCAGCCGCAAGCGGCGCAACCTGAACCAACATCCCATGAGCCCAACCCTCCACGAGAGCCACGAGAAAGAGCCCACTCACCCAATGAATCCAATGATATCCCGGGAGCGACGATCCCACATACACTCCAAAGCATCTGGCCGGGTTCAGGGCTAGTTCTATCAGCATCCACCCACTCAAAACAAGCAATGAAAGCCCCGAGGAAGACATACACGCCCCTCCATACCCCACCCTCGTATACGCCGACCCCAAACTCACCACCCCGAGCACCATCCCCACTAACCACGGCGACAGGGCAGCCCCATATACCCGAACCTGTCTCGGATCCAACCCCACCCCAAACGACAGAAAAATGAGAATCAAACAGCAGATGAACTCTAACACAAATGCCTCGCGCACCGGTACGAGGGAAGTGTTAACTGAGCACCCGCCTACGATATACGTACCCGTACCAAACGCCGATCGGAGCATCCATCCGGCGAGGGCTCCGCCGAGGATCTGGCCACCTAGGTAGAGTACCATCCGCGGAAAGGAAATGAGACGGGCGAAGAAGGTCGCCAGAGTAATGGTGGGATTGAGATGGCTGCCACTAACGGCAGAGAAGGAGAAGATGAAGAGGGTGAGGATTAGCCAGTTGGTGACGCCGCCGACGAGGGGCCCTAGGAAGGTGGTTGTGGCGAAGACGCCTGCGGGGGTGGACGGGGTGGGCGTGGAGCCTGGGGGAGTGGCCGCAGCCCAGGCGGTGAGGAAAGCGAGCATCATGGTTCCTAAGCCTTCTAGCCAGTGCTGTAGAGTTAGGAATGTGGTACATACCAACACATTCCACCACGGCAAAGCGCCATAAATCGAGATCAGTGAATCCATGCAGGTTAAATGCATCCCGAAAGGTCATCAACGGGGCTGCATCGGGGACTTTGCGCAGAAAGTCGGTATTATCGGGGTCGCTGCGATCGAGCACAATGCCTTGGTTGCCGCCGATGCGGCCGACGAATGGCTGCACATGGGGTTTGCATGATAGGTGTTGGGGGCTGGGGTCGATGTCGTCGGGATAGAGTGGGCCGGCCATGGTGGATCTTTGATGATGGAAATGGTATGCACCTCTGCTGTATAAATAATGCGCGATTGAGTTGGGTTGTGGTTTCGTATTGAATTACATCATTTCGGGGGGATCCATGGTTCGGACGGGTGATCTCAGATCGCGTAACTATGAATAAGCTCGCGCGGATTTAGATTTGGAGGTGCTCCGGATGTCGGCTTCCTACAGCTATCCCAAGGTTTGTTCCTGTCATATGGTCGCTCCGTCTTCCAGAAGCAGAAAAAGAAGAATTGAGCATCCCTGACTCAACTGTCAGACCAACCGGAGATGTCAAGACTTGGGTTCCTCCCGCTCCGTATGCACACTCTCCGTCTATGGATCAGCCCTAAGTCCGGTCTGCTTACGACTCCGACTGCAACAACTCGAGTCTTCCACCAGATCTTGGGATGTAAATACTAAAGTCCATATCATGCGACTATCGTCTAACACCATTATAATACATACACCCAACTAAGCTTCCATCCTAACGAACTCCCTCGTCACCCCCTCACACCACCTCACCAACCCCTCCGCCTCGCCTGTCCCGCCCTCCCTCATCGCCTCCACCAAATCCTCCCTCGGCGCGGGATGCCACCGCCCAAACGGAATGCCATACCGCCCGCCATCCTCCACCGTTATGCCCTCATCAAACCCCGCCCACAACAACGTGTTCACCCCTTCCTGAGGGGTATAAAAAACCGGCTTACTCATCCACACCGACCATCTCGGCGCGCGATCATAGATCGGGGTGTAAATGTTGCCCGGGTTCTGAGTAAGACTCACCACCCCCTTCTCGCCGAGGGATTTGGCCATGTGGGCTGCGAGGAACCAATTACCCACTTTACTGACGGCGTAGTTGTGATTGGGGTCGGTGTTCGGGGTGGTCAGTTCTATCGGGGGCACGCCGCCCGTGGGAGCGAGAAAGTCGACGACCATGCTGGAGGTCCAGATGACGCGGACGGAGTTGGGGGGTGTGGAGGGGTTTTGGGCCGTCGTGGTGAGGATCGGGGCGAGGAGGGTGGTGAGGAGGTAAGGGGCGGCGCAGTTGGTGCCGAGGTGGGGTTCGAGGCCTTGGGCGGTGGGTTCGTTCAGGGGGATGCAGGCCACGCCGGCGTTGTTGAAGAGAAGGTCGAGTCGGGGGGAAGCGGCCAGGAAGGCGGTGACGAAGGGTTGGATGGTGCGGAGGTCGGAGAGGTCCAGGGGGAGGGAGATGAGTTTCCCCGGGGAGGGAGCAGTGGTGGTGGTGATGATGGTGTGAATGACATCGTTGGCTTTGGCTTCGTTGCGCGCCCCCATGTAGACGGTGGCGCCGGCGGCGTAGAGAATGCGGGCCAGCTCCAGGCCCAGCCCCGAGGTGGCCCCCGTGATGATCACTACCCGGCCGGACTGCGGGGGGAGGTTCCCGGCGGTGAGGGTGGGTTGGGCGGGGAAGATTTGGGGGCGGATCCGTTTGAAGGTCTGCATGGTGTGAGAATTGACATGAACAATGATGCGATGGATGCTGATGGGAGATGGGCCTTTTTTAAGGTTGCCCCTGACGGCTGGATTTTCTTCCGGCTGTGGCATAAGACGAGCGGAGCCCTTCCGACAGGGTCAGAAATTAGTATATCTAGTATTAAATTAGTGAACACGTGATGAAGCTGGTTGAATTAGGCCTGGATTTGAATGTTTAATCAGCTCTCTGATACTAGATATTTTTTTTTAGAAATTACGTGTTGAGCTCATTCAGTGCAACACGAGGGTTGATCTAGCTGAGGGGCCACGTCTTATAACTGCAATGATCCGTCTTCCATAGCCATCAGTCGTAGATTTCATAGCAGACCATCTATCTGGTCCCTGAGGCTGATCAAGAAGGACTAGGCTTTCGGCCCCCACGTGGGTCGGGCCATTGCTGCGCCGTTGCAGCCGGGTTACGAGCTGGCCAGTACGGAGCTGTACTAGACAGTGGTTAGTGGCATTGCGTGTTACTAAAAGACGTACCTCCATCAGTTTCCTCCAATGCGGGGCATCCGGTTCCACTTGTGTCCACGCTGGCTTCACTGGTCCCCGCGACACCTTCCAGACAATCCAGGGAATCGCCCCTCTATTTATTCCACAATCCTCGGGGGTGTTCAGCTGGACAGATTTCCCTTGGTCTGCAAAGCGTGAAAGGTTGATCCTTTGCAATGGCTCTCACTCACGGCCACTCCGACCCAGCTTTCAGCCGGGTTCGCGATCTGCTGCAGCAATATCTCACCTCGGAGGAAGAACTCGGAGCCTCCATCTGCGTCAATATCGACGGACGGAATGTCGTGGACCTCTGGGGCGGCTACGCTGACACGGCCCGGACCAAGCCATGGGAAGAGGACACTCTCACCGTCGTCTGGTCCGTCTCCAAGGTCATCACCGCCATTGCCATCCACATCCTCATCGATCGTGGTCTTCTAGATCCGAACGAAAAAGTCGCCAAGTACTGGCCCGAGTTCGCTGCCAACGGCAAAGAAAACATCCTCGTTTCCCACATCCTCAGTCACACCTCGGGCGTGTCCTCCTGGGAACTCCCCAATACCATCGAGGATATCTACGACGTGAAAAAGTCAACCGACAAGCTGGCCACCCAGGCCCCCTGGTGGACTCCCGGGACCCAGTCCGGGTACCATGTCTCCAACCAGGGCCACCTTGCTGGGCGAGCTCGTCCGTCGCACGAGTGGCAAACCGCTGGAGGATTTCATCCGCGATGAGCTAGCCGGGCCGTTAGCTGCGGATTATCGACTGGGAGTGCCAGAGGAAGACTGGCCCCAGACGGCGGATATGGATCCCCCGCCGCCGCTGAACCTCGAAGGCATCGACCAGCAGAGTATCGCATTCCGGACTTTTGTCAGCATCCTCATGCCGGCGGAAGCATCCATGACTCCTGCCTTTCGACAGGCCAAGATTGGCGCGATGAACGGGTTCAGCAATGCCCGAGCAGTCGCTCGCATCGGATCGGTGGTGTCCCTCGGGGGCCAGGTGGATGGCAAGCAGTACCTTTCCCCTCGCACGATTGACCGCATGCTGGAGGAGCAAATCGCCGGGACAGATTTAGTCTCATACCAGCATTTACGCTTTGGCCTGGGAGTGGGGTTGCCCGTCCCGCAGACGCTACCGTGGTTGCCAGACGGTCGCATTGGGTTCTGGTGCGGCTGGGGAGGTTCGACGGTGATCATGGATGTGGAGAGACGGATGACGATTGCGTATACGATGAATAAGATGGGGCCGGGGATGTTGGGCACAGACCGAACGGCGGCGTACGTACGGGCCATCTATGAGGCGGTTGCCTAGTGCCTATTACCTCGTCAGCCGGCCATACCAGGCAACGTGTTTTGTTCCTGTGATTTTGGCGCTAGGTGACGGAGTTGCATTTATTGCTAGAATCCTGATGTCGTATGAGACCTATTCTAAGAATGTCGTGCAATCCCCTTCGCCATAGGGTATCGACTCGAAAAACATATGGGTGCAAATATATATTCTTGTCGGCGCTCCCGTGATATTGTACGTAGGGCTATTACAAGGACATGCTAGATCTGAAGCTTGATCATCTAAAGGGGTCTCAGTATACAGAGCCAGGAAAAAAACAAGTCCGAAGGGGACACATAAATATACGTACTCAGCAGGTGAATGGGGGAGGTTTCCTGATTAGGAACTGTCAACATATGGAATCCCCCGATCGGGCTAGTCCCCCGCATAGGATACCATCGGACCCGGAAGAACCTGGCCTCCGCCGGGGGGGGGGTCGTCCATCCTTCAGCCAGGATGCTCACCCAGGCTGACATGGCGATACACTAGAGCAGCACATACGAAAGCAGTCAAGTAGAACAGCGAGGCCTCTCCCTGAGGACATATCCTGTGGCTAATGGCAAAGAAATGACAATCTCCCTGCCCTTCTAAACGCCAAATATGGCCATCCGAGGCCTTTTTCCAAGAAGAACTCTAGGAGTCACGCTTTTCCGCCCATGTAACCCCCCTGATAGACTTCTGGTGGCTGCTTTTTCCTCCCTCCATAATAGAGTGAAAGGGACCGATGGTATCACAGATTCAAGACATGACCTGGAGGCACTCAATCGGTCCACATCAGGCCGTTGGCTTTGGAACGAGCAACAGCAACTGGCCTCTCGCTATGTCAAGTTCGATTTCTCTGCACTTTTGCAACTAGCTGCCGCTGCGATCAGGTCGAGAGCATGCTCTCACGTGTTAAAAGTCTCGGAGGGCCAATATAACAAAGTATTGCAGCTTACCATGGACAATGGACGCGAGGTTATTGCGAAACTTCCCAACCCCAATGCCGGCAGACCACACTTCACGACAGCTAGTGAGGTTGCTACTCTGGACTTTGTATGACGCTCCTCTCTTCACGACCATAATTTTATGTTACGCGTCGAACTAATCTTGCTAGTTGAGAAATGTCTTGAGCCTCCCGGTTCCGCGGGTGTACGCATGGAGTTCTCGCGCATCAGAGAACCCTCTCGGAGCAGAGTATATCCTGATGGAGAAGCAGGCGGGCGTAGTACTAACGGAAGTGTGGGACACTATCAAAGCAAAGCAGAAAGTACAGATTCTGGACCAGGTTATCGACATTGAAAGGCGACTAGCAACTACAGGATTCTCTAAGTTCGGATCGTTATACTATAGAGACGACCTTCCCGAGAACTCGGATGCTACTTCGTCCCTATCCCGTGACGCAACTGGAAACGAAGTGCAGAGTGACAAATTCGGCATTGGGCCGGTGGCCAGGTGCCACCCACACCAGTCCCATATGCCGGTTGTCCAGTTGGAAAGGGTTTGACTACTTATAGGATGACTACTTTTCCATATGCTTTATAGACTTATATTCATGATTTGAGTTGCTAAAAGCGATATATGTAACGTATGACCTCTATCATAGAAATGTGTGACTATACATATCTGAAAAGCCCTACTTCCGTTGCTTACCGCGATCCTTCTCGCAGCATCACTACTAGAATGACATCTCACCGCTAACACCCGCAGGATGCCGAGAGTCCTAGCATACAACCTAACCTCATTAAGACGGGGCTGGGGCCGACAAGGCTGAGGGTGAATCCGCAACCCCTGACTCCATCCGACTCCATCTGACTCCATCATCCAATGATCCAACCCTCGTCCACCATGACACTCCACACCAAAAAGGGTCCGGTAGGCAAACCACCACCGAAATGGAAAATCTATCAACGGAAACTGAAAACCCTGGGCCGTCTCTTCCATCGCACCGGTACCAACAACGCCCACGAAACCACAGCAACTAACACGACCCCATTCCCCTTCCTCCGCCTCCCCCGGGAACTCCGCAACCAAATCTACCAAGACCTCCTCACCGTGACGGACAACGGCGCCCTCTGGATCCGCTACAGCCTAAGCCGTCAACGCTGGTGGGACGCCACACCACTCTGCCAATCACCCGGCCCACGAACCCCTCGACCCCGACTAACCCTCGGCCTCCTCCTCACCTGCAAAACCATCCACCCCGAAGCCCTCGAGATCCTATTCTCCCACAACAAAATCTGGCTCGACGCACCCCCGGCAAAATGCCTCTCCTTCCTCACCTCCCTCCCACCCACCATCAGCAGCAAAATCCACCACCTCAAGCTCTGGATGGACGTCTATCTAAACTGCGGCATGTCAACGGGGAACTTACCAAATCTCACCCCGGATGAAATCACCCACCATGCCACTCGTGTCCAAAACGAACTCCTCTCCCCCTGGAAAGCCCTCTTCCCGTGGATCCACCAACACCTCCCCCTCCTCCACACACTGCACATCCGCTTCGGCCCCAATCGCACCTGGCATACACGCAACCTGCACTATGTATCCCCCCAATGGCACCAATTCTACCAAACCGGCTGGATGCAACACGTCCGCGAAACCACAACCCAAATCCAACACTTACTCGTCGAATCCGACCTCCAATGGTGCGATCAACTCGACGAGACGGAGCGGGTGGACTTCCAGGACCTCCGACGCGAGTTGCACCGGTATTCCGGGTTCGAGGAGGTAAATGTAACATGGGATCATTATTTCTTTTTGTCGAGTGCGTGTGAGCAGTTTCCGAAGACGAGTTTGTGTGTTTTGATGCGGCGAAGTGAAGAGGGAGAGGATGGGGAGGAGGTAGGGATAGGGCCATTACCAGAGTATCAGCGGGTGTATACCCTCGATGATATGATTTGTGTGATGGGGTGCTCGTTTGGGGAGCCATTGCCGCCACGGTCGCCGAATAATGGTCGTTGACTTACTTTAGTATCGTGGTTGGGGTTTATTGGTGTGATACAACTCTGCGAGATAGGGATAAGAGGCAAATGGTTGCTTAGGATGGAATGACAACGTAGTTCTTGTTTACCGCTGGGTTAGATCCTTTCGTGGAATAGCGGGTTTAAGGCTGTATGATGGATGCGATTGAGGAAATGGATGGGGTATGGCTTTTCACATGCTACTATTTAATACATTTTCGATTTAGCAGAAGAGAATTGCAACAGGAAATGAACAAAAGTGAAAATAGAATTCGAGAGGAACGATTCTTGGCTGGTGCTACAGAGTATAGATCTGACCCGGATACTGCTTGACTTCCGCCCACTCCCCAGAAACCAGGATGAAGATCAACCAACAACCAACCAAGATAAATCAGTAAATTGATCTACAACTATCTCCACGACGCAAAAAAACAATTGACAAAAATAAGAAAGAAAAACATACAACAGAAGGGATTCGCTGGTGGTCACCCACCCAACTACTAACCTCCCGGCGTGTGGCTTAAGTACGGCTGAGCGGACGGGAAGCCCTGTTCTCCACACCCTGTGGTCGTATGTACGAGATATTATCTAGAGTTGGAATATGTAGATGTTATAGTATTTGAATAAGCGTTTTTGTTAACCCCTTTCTAAGGCTTTGTATGAGGCCGGCCTTTTCATATGAATATCAGGTCTACATGAGGTCTTACACGGAATCCTACATAGGATCTTTCGTAAGTTCGTAAGACGACCCTTGAACGTGAAATAACTGTATATAAGATATCTAATGAGGTTGTTGACGAGCTGGTATAGACTAATAAGATTCTACCGTCTTCCTAACGCAAATCACACAGTCCGTGAATAAGCTCAATATAGCGTGGTTCTAGCCTAGCCGGTATTGCTGTGCTCTGACTATCATTCCTTGCAATCTGCTGTAGCACGCAAGGCGTAACTTCCCTGTCAACAAGGGACAGGACAACGAGGCGCAACTTCCCTTTCAATAGGTACTGCACGGCGGCTATTTCAACGGACCTCCGACCCTCTTTGACAGCTATCTTCAGATATAACATCAATTTGACACAGTACTTGAACCGTTTCCTGGTATCTTAAGACGCTGATCCCGAAGTCAGCCGCTACAGGGCCCTGAACGCGGCATCGGAATAATGACAATGAATCACCCTTGGTACAACCCTCCAATAACGCAGCCTACTGGTCTACCATTCCATGAGGTCATCTATGTCGACACTCTGATGGAAATGATGATGCTATATGGACATGAATTCCAGCACAGCTTTAACTACAAAAGCGCCTTTTTCAATCCGCGATCAACTTAACCTTCTCAATCAACCACATCCATCCATTCCGCCATGTCTGTCTCATCGCCAATCCACCCCCCCCCCCCCCCCCCACGCGGGCGCCCGACGCAGCCCGGATTTTCATCATCCCCGAACTACTAGAATCCATACTCCTAAACCTGGACATGCACACCCTGCTAATCTCCACCCGGGTTTCTCATCTCTGGAACAACCTCATCAAAACCTCTCCGCGGCTCCAGACCGCCCTATTCCTCCTTCCCCAATCGACCGCGACAGCGTCGAGCCAGCCACGGACCAAGAACCCGCTCCTCCTCGACATTATATGGCCGCAATTCATTGCCCGAATGTTAAAAACGCGTCCACGCCCGGCATACATCGGTGCATGGTTTCCCGACATAATCTCCACTGAAAAAGAAGAGGCATACCTTCGCCCGGAAGCCAGTTGGCGACGAATGTTCCTTCACCAGCCCCCAACCTCACGGGCAAGTTTCATCGTGGGCCCCGATATCAAGAAAGGCCCACTACACAGCTACATAAAATGTGGGTGCCATGAAGGTCTGATCCGCTTGCAGGATCTGGAATACCTGATTGACTCAGGAGCCATTGTTCCGGAAAGTCCTTATCCGTTCGTTTTCGGGACCCGTGGACATGACTTCTGGTTTCAGGAACATGCATTTCCGGGCAATTCGCGGATGGGGATTGACAAGCAGTTGGGCATGTCTGAGTTTATCGTCGTATCCCTCGAAGGGACTTTTGATGAGTGGGTTGAGAAAAAGAATAACCCCCGACTACGACGAAGCAAGGTCCAACGTCTGTGGAGTAAGGAGACAAAACGAGAACAAAACAGGGTGGAGCGTGTTTTGCGACGACTCCGATGGGAAAAGGAGTTTCGGTGGTATCGGGAACATGATATGTTGGACTTATCTGCGGAACGATTCGGACTGACGTACGTCTCTGAAGATGATTCATCTGACGATTCGTCTGATGAGGACTCGGAGGACTCCGAGGATGAGAGCCTCTCGTTTGAGCCTTGAGGCGATCAGAGTGGTGCTGAAATCTTGTCACATCGCTGTCTTGTCTACTCCGCATAGACCTTGCGGCATTTATTGCACTGATCATCGTTCTTGCCTTTCAGATCTGCTCTCACCATCTCATGCCTTAGTCTGGCCGATATCGTGTTCTGTATCTGGTTTCATCCTTCCTGCTGATGGAGTCAGCTTGCTATGTCTGTTTATGCAACCGATAAACATGAGAAAACAAATCGGTCTTACATCGCTCAGATTGCCTTCCGTGCACTCAAGGGTTCAAGATGATGATCTTTGCGTAACATCCAGGGGCCAGTTGAAACCCTCTGTGCATGAAATGCTTTTACGGTTGGATGATGCTCTTTTGCGCTATAGGTCTGACGAGAGGGGAGCATAGTAGCGGATCAATGTTTCCGTATAGGCAAGTCTTCGGAGAAGGGAGCGCAGGAGGGTTAAAATAGTGAGGAATGTTGTGAGGGGACCGGTGCAGCGGCAAATGTGTAGTTTAGTTGAAGTAGTGCTAAAAGACCTGATACTTGAATGGCGCTGAGAGACTTTCTGCTATGGCAAAACTTTAGCTGGCTGTAATCTGTGCCGCTATGCAGAGGCAAAATGCAATAGGGCGTATAAATAAAGAAAGCCTGTAATGGACATAAGGGACTGTGGGAGGGGAGAGGGAAAATGCTTACCAGAAGTGAATTAGGGATGAACGTCACTTCCCGAGCTATTCTGAGCTTGCAATGGTATGTACAGTAATTAGAAGATGAAGCACAGGGAGAGTTGTCCACGTTGGCTTCCCCTGTCGCTTGAGGCGATTTGCCGCTGGTAGTCTGGCAACCGCGATTAGGTTACTGATCCCACCGTAGCGCCCAGGCACACATTGTCGCTGTCAGTGGCTGTGTCAAGGCCACCCGGTTATCCCAACATTTTCCTTCGATGTTATAACCACTGTTCCTTTCCGCGTGAGATGGTGGAGGTCACCCAGATGATAGAACTCGAACCGGTCACCGTCGCTCAGGATGTCGTACACGCCGGAGTACTCCTGCCTGCCGTCTTACCTCTTTCTTTGAACTAATGCCATAGCACTAAGAAGTTCGTATTCTCCGCAAGAGACTGTACCCTCCCTCTTGGCCTCGACGTAGACGAAATTGGCTTTGAAATCGGCTGGTGGTCCGTGGAACACGGTGTAATCCGTGCGTCCATCGAGGTGCACCTTAACAAAGGGCCCGTAAACGGACCCCTCAAGCTTCGTCTCGTATTGCATGTTCAGTTCCTCCGACCTCCGCAAAGCGGGATGCTGGTCGTTGTCGAAGGACGCTAAGAAGTCGGAAAGGACAGTCAGAAGGATGAGATCCAACTTGCCGCGCTTCATTGTCAGGAGCCCGTCTCGTAACCCTTTCTAATCTTGCCAGACCGGTAGCTAAGGATTCTGGAACCGCAACCTGCGGCTGGTCTCTGGAAAGGTTTCGGAACTGCAACTGACTCCGAAGTAGGTTTCCAAGTCGGACTTGGTGAAATCCCCGAGCGCTATCTTCATACCCCAATCCTCCGTAGCTGAATCGACCGCTTGCTCAAGCATTTCTCTCGCCGTGACGGGTTCGAGTAATCCTCCTTGGTCGACGCGGACCATGGGCCCTTGGGCAATATCTCGAATCGAGAACAGGGTGTCGTACATCAGTCCTTGACGAGGCACTTTGTCAGGTTCGTTGCTTAAGCACAGAAATCAGAGGCTATGGAGGATGATTTTTTCAACCTGGTGGCTACAAGGAGCTTTCTTAAATACTACGATGGGCGGGACTGTGTATCTGGGGAAGGCACGCCGGGTATCTCTTGTCGAAGCAGGCGCTGTCCCGGAGGCAGGTCCGGCTCTCAAGGGGCTCCGTCCAGCACCTGCAAACGTAGTACTTTCAGACATACGGTCTCAAGCTATGTTTTAGAAGGCCCTTACCCTCCCGCCCTTGGGCTGAAGCAGTGAGTAATAACAATGTCTATATCAAGTCACGTGCGGAATGTATAGACGAATTAATCAAAATACTTATACTTTACACCAACCACATGCCTAGCCTTCGGCAAGACATATGACTCGAAGTTCTCAGCGCTAGAAGGCTTCACAAATCAAGAAAAGAGGCCACAACACAGACAATAAAGAACAGGACTCCAAGCGCGATCGTATTTATCAACCTTGTACCTCTCTGACTACCATGTTCACTGCCTATAATCCAATACCTCTCCCAATATGTTATGAAGTATGCTCATATATTCCATCGAGACCGCCCATATCAAACAGATCAGATGGCGTGCCTCCGAAGAACTTCAATCCCACGGTCTCAGCTCTCGGGTCTTTGCAGACAGGAGGAGACTCCGGCCCACCGCCAGAAAACTCCGGCTCATCACCGACATCCGACTCCGGCTCATCAGCCCACCAAAAAGCAGTTCGCAGATATCTCCCTATATCCGTCGAACCATCTTCTTCCAGCTCTCGTAGGTCTAGATCCTGTCCCATCCTATACTACTCATAATTGTGCCCGTCGATGACATTTGCGAGACTGCTCGCATGCACAATTTCCGCGATACGATAGTGGCAATCGAACAGGGCTGGATCGGGTAACGGTACCGCATGACAACCCTTCGCTCGTCGAAAATTAACCGTTCGAGTTTTGCCGATGAAGAGCTTCTCATCGTGCCGAATGTTCTGGTACATGATCAGCTCGTATTGGTCCTTGACGGACTGTATGGATACATTAGTACAGTCTTGTTGTGGATGATGTTCAGCTCCACACTCACCGTGGGCTTGAAAGCCATCGCGAACCTCTTGAAGGCGTCGCGAAGGCATGATATGAGAGCAAAGCCATTCTCCGGTGAGTCAACTCCCTCGGCTGAAAGACCTATCCGTCGTACTTCCGGGAAACACCGATATAAAACGTCCCAGCAATTCGCGAAATCCTGAGGTAGATTCTAGTTCGAATAAGCAACAATCCAGGAGTGTAGAGCATAAAAGGGTGAAAAATACCTTGCGCCGGCACGACCCATACATAAACGGGATGATGAAAGCCACCTCGACTTGAGAATGAATCTCCGTCGGGAGTCCCATCTTCCGATGATATTCCGTATCCACCCATCCGGTCACCGCACAAACATGAGCATCTCTTTCCAGTATGGTATCCCGAACAGTCTCATACCGTGCCTGGGAAGCATCCTTCTCCAGGGGAACGAGGTCGGGATCTCCGTCCATAAGTAGTTGCAGCATAGGAGGAAGAGGGGTCCGAGACGCCGGCAGGGCTGCACTTGAAATGCTTACTGTTAAGACAGTTAGTTACAGGACGGACAACTTTCATGATCCTAGATACTCACTCGGTATAAAGAGACCCGCCAGGAGGTCCTTGTAGAGAACATCAAGGGACTCATCGGTAGCCGCTTCAATGATGCTCTCTGCTAGGCCCTGGCGGCTGTCGATCGGAAACCATGTCAGGCAGGAGTGCAAGCAGGTTTTTAGTAGACCTTGACCGGCATCGTGGTAGTTTCTCAGGCGCTCCTTGGCTTGTTCTTTTAGCGCTGGCCATGATTTATCGGGTGATGGTGGTGATGATGGTGATGGTGATGGTGATGGTGATGGTGATGATCTAGGGCTTAGAGGTCGGGGATTGGTACCACGAATTTCTTCCTGAGTAAGACGACAAGATCGCCGGGGCCCAGGGGGCGCTTCAAAGTTGCAGAGTGAGATAGTACGCTTTACCGAAGGCATTGTGGCTCTTATTGCAAAAAAATGGTGAGTGAGGAGGTCAAGTGGTAAAGGTTAGGCGGGAACAGTTTAAAGAGAGACGGGATCATTCTAGAATGAGGTGGGATAATGTCATAGTATGACTCAGGCAAGTAGGCTTTCTGCCGGTACGTGATAATGATGGAAGACTATAAGAATCATGTGCAGGTGCTCGTTCGAGGGTATTGGGACGCGGCTGGAATATGGTGATGATATGTGGGAGGGGGTCGGAGATTATGGAAATCGTGCAGCTTTCTGAATAAGAGGGCTCCCCATGCAAGACTACGCTCAGTGCTTGCAGAGAGAGAGGGAAAGATTCATTCACAGAAACAAGCTAGAATGTATCTGTCATGCCAAGTCCAGTTTAGTCCAGTCATACTTCCTTAGCCGAATGAAGTCCGCTGAGATACCGGCCTCCTGTACTATGTGCCCACGTCCCACCAGAAGGCGGCTTCCAAGTAGTTGGTTAGGTGGGTTGATCCATCTTCTCTCAGTTGCCCTGCTTGCGGATCCCGTCGTATTTGGTCCCAGTAATCGAGACTTCTCTCAATCACTTCTCTAAGGCCGCTAGCATCAAGAATCTCGGCGATGCGATAGTGGCAATCCAAAAGTATTGGGTTTGGCAACGGTATGTCCTTGTGGCCTTCCGCTTGTCTGAAAGTGACTAACCGATTTTTTGGTATCATCGAAAGTTCGACAGAGTTCAGACGTTTGTATGACTTGATCTCATACTGGTCCTTGATACCCGTTGCCTTGAAGGCGATCTTAAATCTCCCGAACGCACGATGAAGATTCACCGTCAGGGTGAGACCATTCTCTGGCGAGTTGATTGTATCGACTTCGAGAGTAGACCCTCTCACCTCCGGAAAGCAACGAAATAACACCTCCCAAACTTTGGGAGCGTCGTCTGGTACACCCTCCCCTCTCCAGGATGCATACGAGAATGGGATGATATGAGCCCCTTCGAGATCGGAATTAAGAACATCCTCCGGCAGTCCCATCTGCTCGTAATAGTCGGGGTCTACATGCCCAGATACAACGCAACGATAATCGTCCCTCTTTAACAAAGTGTCACGGAATGTCGTACTCCGGTATTGCGGTTCAGCGATCGTTGATGCAACCAAATCCACATTTGCTTCTCGCTTGGAATGGGGAGAAGCAAAGACAGACGCCTGTCTACATGTCTCCTTCATCGGGATAAGAAGACCCGTCATCAGAGTGTCGTAAACGTCATAGAGGAATTCGTCCGAATCCGCTTTCAGAATGTCTCTGATCAGAGACGCCCTCCCCCCAGGCGGGAACCAAGAGACACAAGACTGGAGGCACTTGACCACGGTCTCCTTCTTTTTATGATCGTATTGCTCCAGGCGCTCATTTACGAGCGTGTCCTGGATTTTCCCTGCGTTGTCGTCCATGTCAGTAGACATTGTGGGGCGCTGCCGGTGCCTGGCTAAAGCTGTAGTTTCTCTTGCGCGACGGTCGGCCAACCGGCTCGATCGATGGGGGGTGGGAATATGGCGGGCGGGAGAGGCGGCGGCATCTTCTAACTTTTTTCGTTTCTGTCCAGCCATGATGGAGGATCCTGGGGAGACTGGCGACCTCACAACTAGATGATGAGAGAGAGGCGTGTGGGATTGGCGGCGTGAAGTCGGTATGACACATCCCGAGTAATTAGGTTGGTATGGGCCTGTATCCGCGTAATTCTCCGTACGATCAGGAGAGAGAGAAGTATAGAGTATATAAGGGATCACATCCATTCACATCTAGTTCAGTGAACCTCAGAAGTATCATTCTGGAAAGTTCTTTCGGACCTAGACCTAGAAATGACATGTTTCTTTACATTCCATTCGATCTATTAGGTTTCAGTATGAGGCTGTCTTTAGATTTTCGCGTCTACTATCTCCCCTGGCTGAAATTGGTCGCGAAAATGTCCAAGTTGATCATTTATAATTCTTCGAGAGCTAGAAGACACTTCAACCTATGTCGACTGCCATCTCACTCGCGAGTTAGATGCATAGTCAAAGAAGAAATTATGTTCGTCAAGTACTGACCGGCGATACGATATGCACCTTCTGGTCATGCGCACCTGTCGCCTGAAGTTTGGCTTTGGGATCTATAGACATGGCATCAGATTATATCGATCTCTTGTCACCTGGGCTTTCTTGTGCTTTTCTTTCGTTCCTTTTTTTTTTTCCTTCTTCCTCTCCGTTCAGTGAGACCTTAATGATGAGATATATATTATGAGAGACATATCCCGGAACGCATTCACTAGAGACTGGCTATATTCCTCCTAATGCGTGTTTCAACTTTTCAAATACATATTTGAAGATGCTACTATACTGATGGAGCTGGCAATGCGAGTCAAAGCCAAAGGCATCTCAGCCTCGCGTCATCCAACCCCTGTCATTACTGACTCACTAATTTCCAGATAAGCTTCCGGCTGATATGGCTATAGGCAGTCATTGGACAGTATTGTTATATAGACAGGGTTCTGTGCCGGTTTGTTATCAGTTAATTAATGAAATGCAGATGCCTAGTTACTGGCTGGCTATATAGTACGCCGGTGTCTATATTTCTGACAGGAAAGATACAATTGTGACACTTCCATCCACTACTCTTTCACCACTACTTAACCATGGATACGACAGCATCAGGCCGCCTCCCTAGCAATGTCCAACTGACTCATTATGACCTTACATTAGAGCCGGATCTGGAGTTGTTCACGTTTCGGGGTAGGGTGGATATCAGGTGAGTTTAGCTACTAGGTACACGACTGATCTAATGCCATACCTTCAGACTTGATATCCTACAAGAGACTACATCAATCACTCTCCACGCACTCGACCTGACAATCCGCGACCCCGAGGTCTCCAGCCAGCGCATATCCAATGTCTCACACAACAAACGCAACCAAACGCAACCAAACCGTAACAGTTCATCTCCACGACCCCCTCCCAGCCGGAGAAACAACCACCCTCACTCTCTACTTCACCGGCCTCCTCAACGACAGCATGGCCGGATTCTACCGATCCAGCTTCACCGACCCATCCGGCCAGAAACACTTCCTGGCCGTCTCACAAATGGAACCGACCGACGCCCGCCGTGCATTCCCCTGCTTCGACGAATCAGCCCTCAAATCAACCTTCTCCATCACCTTAATCGCAGCCAAACATCTCACCTGTCTCAGTAACATGGACATCAAATCCATCCAACCCACCCACCAGCCAGACAAAAAGAAAGTCCTCTTCAACACCACCCCAAAAATGTCAACCTACTTCGTCGCCTTTCTCGTCGGCGAACTCACCGTCCTCGAAACAACCATCTACCGCATCCCAGTCCGTCTCTTCGCCACCATTGGCACGGATCTCACCCGGCTCGGATCGTTCGCGTTGGAACTCACGGCCCGGACACTCGCGTTCTACGACGAACAATTCGACAATCCCTTTCCACTCCCGAAAATGGACATCGTGGCCGTGCCGGATTTCGTTGGCGCGATGGAAAACTGGGGATTGGTTATCTACCGCGAAGCAGATCTCCTCCTCGATTTGGAGACTAGTCCGGTGACTTCGAAACAGCGGGTCGTGTTACTCGTGCAGCATGAGTTGGCGCATCAGTGGTTTGGGAATTTGGTGACTATGGAGTATTGGGATGGTTAGTATTTCCCATCATTTTAATATTTGCTCTATAGACTAGGAGATAACAATGTTAGGGTTATGGCTCAACGAAGGCTTCGCAACCTGGATGGCCTGGTACGCGTGCAATGCATTCTATCCCGAATGGGGGGTATGGCAGATGTATGTGGCCGAGAAGTTACAGCGGGGGTTGTCGTTGGATGGGTTGCGGAGCTCACATCCCATTCAGGTTCCGTTGCGGGGAGAGGACGAGATTGGGCAGATATTCGATGATATCTCGTATGCGAAGGGGGCGTGTGTGTTGCCGATGATTGCGGGGGCGCTGGGAGAGGAGGTATTCTTGGATGGGGTGAGGTTGTATCTCCGGAGACATGCGTATGGGAATGCCACGACGGAGGATCTCTGGGCGGCGTTGACAGAGGCGAGTGGTCAGAATGTTGGGGCGATGATGCATGCTTGGACGCGAAAGCCTGGGTTCCCGGTTTTGACAGTCACGGAGGATGAAACTATGAATACGATCCACGTGCGCCAAACGCGGTTCCTAGCAACTGGTGACCTCAAACCTGGGGAGGATGGCACCATCTACCCAGTCTCATTAGGGCTACGGACCACAGAGGGCATCACCACCGATCTGATGCTCACGACTCGCGAAGGGACCTTCCCCATCCCCGACCTAAACTTCTTCAAACTCAACGCAAACCACACCGGGTTCTACCGAACCGCCTACTCCCCCCACCGTCTAAAACAACTCGGCGAAGCAGCCGCTCAACGCTTCCTCCCCGTGGAAGACCGCGTCGGACTCATCGCCGACGCAACAGCCCTAGCAGCCGCCGGCCACCAACACACCCCCGACATCCTCTCCCTCCTCACCACCCTGAAACACGAACACGAGTACATCGTCTGGAAACAGATCCTGACCAGCATCGCAACCATGCACGCCGCCTGGCTACACGATCCATCGATTCAAACCGCCCTACTAGCCTTCGAAAACGACCTCGTCCACGACAAAGCCCACGAGCTCGGCTAGACGATCGATGAACATGACAGTCACATTACCCGACAATTCAAAGCCCTTCTTTTTAACCGGGCCGTCCTAACAGGTGATAAAATCGCCCAACAGGCAGCAGACAACATGTTCACTGCATTCCGCACCGGACAGCGATCAGCCATCCATCCAGACCTGCGCGCAACTGTCTTCGAACACGCTCTATTGAAAGGCGGAGAGAGTGAATACAACACCATCCTGGAAGAATTCCGCACCGCACCAACAAGCGACGACCGCATCACCGCACTCGCAGCCCTCGGCTACGCAAGAGACCCGCACCTTGTACACCGCACCACATGCGTGTTACTCAGCGATGAGGTCCGGCTCCAAGATATCCACGTGCCCATGACGACTCTCCGGACGCATCCCAACGGGGTTGAAGCGCTGTGGACGTGGATAACGGACAACTGGGATGTCGTGAAGGAGCGACTATCGTCTGGATTGGTGGTGCTGACGATGGTGGTAGGGTTGTGTACGAGTGGGTTTAGCACGGAGGAGCAGCGGGACAAGGTGGAGGCGTTTTTTCGGGAGAGGGGGACGGAGGGGTTTGATCGGGCGGTGGGGCAGAGTTTGGATGAGATTCGGATGAAGGCGAGGTGGGTGGAGAGGGATGGGGAGGAGGTGGGAAGGTGGTTGGAGGGGAGGGGAGGGAATAGGGCTGGGGGGGGTTGGGGGTGAGTTTTGTCGTGAGTTACTAAGGTAAGAGGTGGTTAGGTTATGGTTGTTTAGGTGCACCACATGTTTGTTTTATGGATTCTGTGTTGGGGATATCAGGTCTTGAGTAATATTGGCCGCTTTACTTATGTTTGGTGTTTCGAGAGAATTGAATGAGAAACCCGGATTAGAACCACTTCTTAAATAGTACCTCTCGCCTAGTAATCCCGCGATAATACATACATCAACTAGTTAACCCCATATGAGATACTACTACGCCGCCATCCTCTCAACCCGCAGCTGCAACTCCTCCACCAACTCAATCCCCGCCCTCGTCGCCTCATCCAACTCCTCCTCCGGCAACCCCAACACCTCATTCTGCGCCTTCCCCGAAAGATCCGCCGAATCCTCCGGCCAAAACGCCCTCGCATACAACAACTTACTAAACCCGGCCATATTCCCCCTCTTCACCAGGGCCAACCCATCCCGATACCTCATCTTACTCTCCTCCTTCACAACAACCCACTCACTCTCCCTCGTCCCGCTCACACGCAACACACTCTCAAACATATCCCTCTGAGTAAGGACAAAACTCCTCACATACACCCCCTTGCCCAGAAACCCTTCCAACGCAAGTCCCCCATCAAACTCATCCTCGGGTAGCACCTTCAAACTCAACACCCGCGCCACCGCCCTCCCCACCTGCTTCAACGTCGTCGTCGAAATCACACTCCTCCCCTCATCATACATCGTCACTCTCCGCCTCGCAAAATCAAACCCGAATCGCGTCTCCCCCCCAGCCAAACTATACTCGTACCAGAATCCACAACATAGCGCGACCCACTGCATACCTAATGCCTCGATCTCGGCCCGTTGGGCTTGAGCCACAGGGCCAAGGAGGGTATCTTCGTTCAGTTTGACGTTGTCGATATCCCCCGCGTAGCTATTCGGCATGATGTAGGGAATGCCTGCTTTGGCGGCCGCGTGGACGAGTTTACTGTGTGTGTCGCGCGGGGCGGTGGGTGCGAGGGTGATGATGAGGAATTGGTGGCCTTGTAGGGCGGCGATGAGGGTGCTTTCGTCGGTGTAGTCCACGGGGGCGATGTGGATGCCCGGGGGGAGTTTGGTGGTGCTGGTTGGGCGGGTGAGGGCGGTTATGGTGTGAAGACCGGTGGCGAGGAGGGCCGTCGTGATGTGGGTGCCGATGGTGCCGCCGGCCTGGGCGTGATGTTAGTTGGGTTGTGCATGGGGATGTTGGGATTGAAGGGTTTGGGGGAGGAAGGGGGGCTTACGCCGACGATGGCGACTCGTTCAATGGTGTTGGTGAAGCCGGCGGGCTGGTCTTTGGCGTATCGGGGCATTTTGGTGGATGTAAGTATTGATGGGAAGTAGTTGAATGAGACTTGTGCCTGTGAGGAAGGAAGTGGTGAGTGTGATATGTCTGTCCGGTGCAGAGATGTCCGCCTATTTATATTCTCAAACCTAGTGTTGTGTGTAGTTTACTAAGGGTCTAGTCCATGGCAGCCTGTGTACTCGAGCTCGGACAGATCTCCACTATCTAGTATATACGCGCCAACTAGGTCAGAAATCGGAACTTGATTCGACCGGACATACAGCGCTGGGCGAAATCAGCCAAATTGGAGACAGCCCCCTCTTCGCCGCAGCAGCCGCAGAGGCCGCACGCTGGGGCCGTCTGATTGGCTGGTGCGGCGGTAGGAAGCCAAGTCCGCAATAGCCGCACATAAAGCCGCACAAGGCTGATTCACCTCGCGCCATCGGACTCTTGAAGCTCCGAGCATCTCAATCTTCAGTTAATCAGGATAGAAAATTGTGAAAAGAGCACGGATTACGTGTACTCCATTGCGTCCCACCCAACACTTGTTTGGCGTCCAAGAACATGGTACAGAAGTAAGTCAAATGCAAGATTACGTTCCAAGATTAGTATCAAGCTATCATAAGTGAATGTGGACTTGTTCCATCTAAGAATATACGACGATCCAATAATTTACTCTTACAACAACGTCAGAAAAGCGGGAAGTCAGGATCCCAATATGGCTCCATGAAGAACTGATTCCAGTCCACCCCCTCACCTATGTCTGGCACCGCGGGGTTGGCCTCGGATGCCAATGGCTCCTGAAATAATCTATCACCCCCCTCGACAGCTTCCAACTGAGCAAGCTCCTTTCGCTTCTTTGCAATCTTCAGACTAAGCAGATGTCGCGCCATTGACAGCGCTTCACGGGTCAGTCCGGTATCGACCGCCTTGACAAGGTCCTCCAAGCCCTCGAATGCGGCGTCGATGTGCGTAGAAGCCGTCGGCGTATCCATGGCCAACAGGATGCAGGTGTACTGGAAAACACTGCCGATCACGTTCCAGAACAGATAGCCATCGTTGGCTTGCTGCTTGGCCGCCTCCACTGCGGCGTTACCTCTACCGATGATGAGCTGAATGATATCGTCCGGTACATGGATATCGAGCTGGTAGAGGCGCCGATAGAAGCAAAACGCAAGATCTGCCTTTGTCACCAACAGGAACGGATGGGTATAATTGAACTCCTCTAACGCCCGGAGACGCTTGAATAGCTCCTCGCTCGGACTTTGGGGCTGCAATTCGTGCTGGAACGGAGAGTTGGCCGACGGAATGATCTGGATTAGTTTTACGAACTGATCGGCTACTGACCCCGGTACCCCGAGGATAGGCTGGCACGTCACGGCCCGAAAGCAGACAGGAGAATGATCGTACTCATAGGACAGCATAGTATTCCCGGCCCACGAGATCCAGAAGATTCTCCTCAGCCGGTCCGCATCATATCCAAGGGCAGCGGCTCTGGCGGTGGATGCTATCTTCTTGACATTCTCTTCCTCATGCAGCCCCATCACTTCACAGAGGTGCATCTGCGTGCACGAAGCGATCCAAGTATTGCTGGGTCGGGTCGTGGCCCGGAGGTAAAACACTCGCATGCCCCACGCAACAATGTGGTCGATGCCATGCAACCGCATGGAGGACGGATCATCGAGGATGGCTTTGGCGTACTGCACCAAGTCTGACTCCCGCGGGTGCTTTTGGGGAGATAGGAACGATCCGAGCGCAGCGACACCGGCGGCCACGGCGGCAAAGCCGACCGCGTTGCTGCCGGCAGTCTGGTAATAATCCCGACATCGCTGAGCGTAGAATTCCGAGTCCATCAAGTCGCCGATGGGGCCCAATACCTCAAGGTACACCTTCGAAAAGCGGGCAAGTTCCGCCTCTGAGATAAGACTTCCCAAAAAGCCGTGGGCGTTGGATGCCTCCTCGGGGCGAATGCCAAAGTTGGAAGCGACCGACCGCATGTTTGGAGGGCTGTCGGAACCGAGAGCCGCCCCCAGGAGATGCGGGAATGCCGTGACCGCCGACGCCCCGGAGTATCGAAACTTTTGCTCGTCGAAGATTCCCGGGGACCTGACGGTGGGGCCTTCGTGGCGATCTCGCTCCATCGAACTGCGGTCTGGAGATGGAGTTGGTACGCCGCCGCCCATAGCATCAGGGGTGCTGCCCTCGGGGTACCTGCAATCGTATTCGTACCTGATGCACCTGCCGCAAGGATACTTGGCATCGCATTTTCGTTTGCGCTCATGGCAAGGAATGCACGCCTTTCTCACACGCTTGCGCCCGGTGGTTTTCGGCGACATGACTGCAAGAATGAACCCACTGCAGTGGAAATCTAGTTATCCTCTGGTCACCCTTGCGGGGGACGGGATTGACGCGAGTCTTTTCTGCCAGTCAGTGATTGTCAGCAGCTATCGCCTGACATGGATGTGGTGTATCAGCTACCGCTAACGCGTAACACGGCCCTCAAAATGGCTTCATCGGGTAGCCTGGCGGAAGGAGAGACCCTGCTTCGTCTAGCCCAAAGTGGCTAGCGCAGCTTACACTAATTCATTCACCTTGGAGTCATACTGTAATCCAGAACTAACCACAAGGCAAGTCCGATCGAACATTAAGAAAAGAGTCCTAGGAGTATCTGCCAAGTTAATACACGATCTATGGTGAGCGGTCTACCGCGATGACCAGCTTGATGTGCGTGGTATTTCCCCACTGCATCCAGTGGATGACCCGGCCCGGCTCAGCCATTATCCAACCGGATCATACGGGGCCGTCGATATGGTTTCGCTTATCTAGCACCATCCCTCGCGGAGCCGGACTCACGACCTTAACTATTATATCGGGTTTAAAGGCTTCAAACCTACACCAGCAAACCGATTCAGCCAGTCCGGGGTGAGACGAAGCCTCCATGAAGATAATCGCTCATCTGCGAGACATCCCAGTCCAAGTCACCAGATAGAATACAAAAAGTCCTCTCAAAGGTAAAGTTCTACGTGATACAATGCCAACCGATGTCACTAATCGTGAGCTCGTTACTCTTCAAAAATTGGATAGGGATGGAATTATAGACTTATTAGCATCTACTCTTATAGTAGATAGGGGAGTGTTTCTTACCCAGTTGACTGTGTTTCTTATACTGCGGGGCTGATGATGGCATGCATTTGGCTGCGATGGTTTCATGTGCATATCATATTTCGGAAACGCTAGGTGTTTTATGTAGTCAAGTCCATATTCACAGCCTAGACTGGCTAGAATGGTTTGGCTGGCGGTCAAGAGGACGTTGGGTTCTTGTTTGGCTGCAAAATAAACAATATTAGCTTGCCTGGTGGGTGAAATCTAGGCTTGGGAGTCCTACGGTAGAGTGGGGGATACTGGTAGACCCGTAACACAGGTATTGCACGCTGTTCTGCTGGTTTTTATCCTCTGTGCTCCATCTATATTGTCTCAACCCCACCGAAAATGCATAAAACATTCGATAGACTAATCCTGGCCACCCTTCCTTTCCTTCATGCAGCCCGACGTCCGATCATTCTTCCGCGGTACTGGCATAGACTAGTTCGACCAACGATTGCAGCATCGTCTAGATGGAGTTTAACCCGCGAATCGAGGGGTCGAGCAGATGAATAGAATGTACGCAAGCTGGAGAGCTATCGGACAAGGAATGAGTCTTTCCTGTATCTAGTCTCCAGAGCCACGACGGAATCGTTTGGGAAATGAGGACCTTCGACTATAACGAAAGACAGCCACATTTGCTTCAAAGAGCGCGGGGCAGTTAGACCATGAGATCATTGTAGCACAAATCCTACGGTGGACCGTTGTCCCTCTGACCGCTGTAGCCCCCCGTATCCCAACACCGCCAGCTGCACTCCCTGCTCGGATCAACATCGTCTTCACTTCAATTCTAGTCTCCAGATTTATCACCACCACGATCATAACGATTATCACGATTATCACGATTACTATCATTACATCGCCATCACCAATATCTCATCATCATCATGTCTTCTCACCATCCCGACTCAGCAGGCCAGGGCACCCAGACTCAAGGTGATAGGACCATCCCGGTCCCAGATAGAGTCCAGGTTGACCCCCACTACCCACCCCGGTTTCTGATGTCTCTAACTACTTGGCTGTGTCAAGGAACCCATTCAGGCCGATCCGTCGATCAACCGCATAATGAACTGGATTCAGCCGGGCAAGCTGGATTTTGGGCCCACTCAGCCCTCTGGCTTGACTCGGTCGCCACCCTCTCAGCCCATCTCGGTTAATGGGCTCCCCGACGTGACAGGGCTGGTGGAGGAACAAGTTTTTGGGACCAGTGTGCCCCCTTTCTTCTCCACTGGTGAAAGAGTGTCGTTTCGCGGGCATGAGTTCCTGGCAGAAGCCAGTATTGGCCCAGAGCTGGAAGAAACCCAGTTCTGCGAACTACTGTTCCAGCGCCCGTCTCAAATCCCAGAGAACACTCTCATGGATGGAGACACAATGGATGCCTTTCATAACTCCTTGCGCAATCAATCCGCGAGGCGGTTGCTGATTGATCTACATCCTTTGCTCTTTCCTGGCGCGGACGCCCAGGTGATTAGAGGCAGACGGAACTTGGCGTCTGTCATTGATGGTTACGACGATCTGTGGGCGAAAAGCCACACTTTTATCTATGAGACACAACCATGTCCCAGTCACACGCGCGGCCTTCGACCTTCGTTATTCACTGAAGCTCAGCGGAGGAAGCTTGGGATAGAGCCCGACAAGTTATCTTTCTACGCCGCCACGGAGGAAATCTATTTCCCTTACCTCGTCGGACTAGTGACGGGAGACTTCGCGGTCCCTGACATTGCTGATGAAGAAGCAACGCACTGCATGTCCATTGCCCTTCGCGGCCTCGTGCACCTTGCCCGCATGGCTGGCTGTGCTGAATCACTGCACAGACAGATTCTGGGGTTTTCGCTCTCACACGACCTCGACACAGTCAGCATTTACGGATACTATCCCATTATCGAGGGCACAAAAACCACGTACTGCCGTCGACTGATTCGACAATTTGACATATGGACCGATAAAAGCAAGTGGGATTCGTACTCGTTTGTTTATAATGTCGACGAGGTCTTTCTGCCGCGTCATATACGACGTGTAACGGAATGTTCAAGTCGAATACCCGACGCATCAAATGATCCGGCGGATCCTATAGTACCGATCAGAGAGCAGATCCGGGAAGAAAGATACGCTTCTCGTGTGCAGCTGCTGAAAGAAAATCTGGTCTGGTTTGTGTTGGAAGATGGACAAGCGTGCAACCAGAGGATTGTAGAGGAGGATTAATGCCGTGGATTTTACTACGATTATCGTTGCACGGAGAAAGAATAGATAACACAAGAAGAGCAATCAATAGAAGACATAGGAACTTTCTATTTGTTCGCAATTTGCTACCAAACCTGGGTTGTCGGGACAGACAGTCATGTACCTGCCAAAGCTAGCAAAAAGAACGACGGAGAGCATACAACTGGAATAAAACATGCTTACATTCCCATCGCCAGCGAGCATCTATCTTCCAATTACCCATCTGCCTCTCCAATCCTTATCCAGCCACGACACGTGACATCAACCAGCGTGACTCACATCTCACCCAACCCAGCTCTATCGCCCACCTACCTCTTCTTATCACACTATACAATCCACCTATTCACAACCCCACCAGCCAACCATGCTCATCAAACCCGACGACCTCACCCACCACCACACCGACCTCCAATCCAAAACCCCCTCCCCCTCCTCATCCTCCTCCCCAACCCCAACCCCAAGCACAACCCCAAGCACAACCTGCTACGTCCTCCCCCTAGCCACCCTGCACCACGACCCCACCATAACCATCTACACAGCCTAGGACGGCCCCGAACTCCTCGGCTGCGGCGCCCTCAAACACCTCTCCGCCACCGAAGGCGAGATCAAATCCATGCGCACAGTCACCGCGCATCAGCGAAAGGGCGTGGGTCGGGCCATCGTGCAGCATATTATGGGCGCTGCCAGGGAGAGGGGGTATGTGTGGTTGAGGTTGGAGACGGGGAGTGGGGGGACTTTTGAGGGTGCGAGGAGACTGTATCAGGGACTGGGGTTTAGGGCTTGTGAAGCATTTGGGGAGTATGTGGGGAGTAGGGGGATGGGGAATTGTTTTATGGAGGTTGAGGTGGGGGGGAAGGCCGGGGGGAGGGGGGGGTTAGAGGGTTAGAAAGTTGATTGTTCAGAGGTTTATTGTGCGATAGTTCGACTTTTTGACTCCTGGTATAAACAGGACATTCTGTACGGAAGGGTCCATATTTCAGCAGCTCGCCAAGTAGTCCCAGGGCACCCTAAGATGAGTCGATTGGTCCCGCTGACAAGGTATTAGCATACTGTCTGCAGATGTCAGATGAAGTTAATAAGAAAGGTATGCGCGTACCTTTTGCCTCCTCAATTGTCCGTCCATATCGACAAGCCAAAAGCCAGGAATGATGGGAATGTGTATTCTTATAGTGGTTGGGGTCAAAACTGTACTGTGTGCCGAATAGATGACCAATCCAGTCCTTCTCCTCATTGATAAAGATTTCGTCCGACCCATAATCGCAACCCTCACTTAAGACACCAAGTTGCGCTACAAAGTCTTGTCGGTTCGCGAAATGTTCGGTGCGGAGGACATGAGAACTGAGGTACCGCATATGAGCATCTGCAGGAGTACTGGACGACGACTCCTGGATCTTCCAGTGCATGCTCGGACTCCCAAAGGTGAAAACGCAGAGACGTTCCTTCAGTTTTTTTTTCAATATGGAGTCGGCAGTCGCATCAATGATCAGCTTCTCCAGAACACTCCTCAAAAGAAGACATCCTTGCGAATGGGCAATAATAATGATATATTGCCCTGGAGGACTGTTATCCAACGCCTGTCGGAGCTCACTGAGAAGAAGCGCTTGGGCTTCTCTGCTGCTAGCCGTGCAGTCAATGAGATCCTTTTGGCCTCCAACGATTTTATCCACATCCGTTTCCGCGATGTCGCCATCTGTATCGGAATCGTGTGCATGTGAGCGTCTTTGCCCTGCGCACTCGATCAAATCCCAGAGGAGACCGTCGCCTCTGTTGAAAATCCCCTCGATCTCCCGGGAAAACATTGCCCGCAGTTTGTTGCAAGCAAGTTGTAGCCAGTATATCTCGCCGCCAACTCCATTCACAAAGAACCATTTCTCGTGTCTCGCGGCCACTGTGACGTCGCTGTCTGGGCTGGTTTTTTTGCTGGTTTTCTTGCCGGTCGTTTCAGAGGTCGGTTCGCTGGTATTTTCGCCGGTCTCTCTGCCAGTCTCTTTCCTTTCTTCCGCCCTATTCACAGCCGACCTCGCTACTGTCTTCGTCTGATGGGTTCTTCGCAGCTCTATACCCCGATCACTCTGAAGTGTACTTTCCTCACTCATCTTGATCTCACTGAACGTTACCGGCTTGAACAGGTTCTTGAGGATATAGATAACCGACAACGCCAATCTCTGAACCTGACAAATCGCAGCATGACGATTCATATGCTGCGAGAAGTCCAACTCATTGAACTCCGCATACAGCACATGCTCATCATCCTCATCCCGCTCTCCATCCGCCAAATAGTAGCATTTGGCAGCTTCCAGAAGCTCTAATAGAAACTTCGCAAGTTCAGCAGCCTGGTCCCAGACTAGGCTGAAGGTTGGTGCGTTGAGTTGATTTCTGTATACCGCTTCTCGGATACTTGAGATGCTTCCCACAGTTCCGAATACAGTCGCAAGGACATACCAGGTCAGGCTTTTCACGGTATCCAGGAGTAAGTTCGGACTGATGAGGTCGGGGGTGTTTTTGATGCGCTCGAAAACGGTTTCAAGGAGTCTGCGTATGGATTCAGCATTTGCGTCCCGGAACACGTCCGCCGAGATGCTGATGACGCTCTCGTAAATACCCATTATGATAAAGGCTACAAGCCCTGAATGGAATGGATTGAAGAATGGGAAGCTGGAGAAGTCAAACTATGAAGAAGGTGAGAGTTGAGATCTGCGCTCGAGAGTATCAATGTTTTCTATTAGCGAAGAATCTAGGAGCAGCTGCCTACATTTATGATGCAAGTCTGCTCCGTCGCCCGTATTCAGCTCTTTCTAAGTGTCATACACCTTGGCAGTATACAAATGATCTCACTGCCCGGGTTATGCCGCCAATCATAAAGCCGCCGAGATTAGGCCATCTACGAGCATACGAGATACGGGCTGATATGGAACGATCTTTAACTTCAGTCTATCTAGGCAACCTTCAAACCATATTTACCAACTCAGTGGTGTAGATAGGGTTGTGTGTCCCCGACTTCTCAGCCTGACTTGGCAGAGGTTATGATGTACGACGGAAAGCTACATTGCTCTCGAACCCTACTTCACGAGTTTGACAAAAGAAAGTTTCTGTCTTCGTTCTAGGCTACAATCTTTCAGATTGCCGGAGTTATACTACCAAGGATCCTTGGTCAGTCGTTGCGCGGGAAGGCTTCCGCAGGTTCAGATAGTGGACGCAGGCATCTGGTAGCTAGCCGGCGTACATCATCCACATCAGTTGGATACGTTCAACCTCAACATCCGTCGAACCGGCAGGTTCAGCTATAGCTTTTGAGATTTTGAGTGATCTATACCGTCCATCTATCAACTGTCAACTTCCCATGACTGGAGTGACGCGGGATGATGCTTCTTATCAATTTGACGTTAATCTCACAATGCAGGTTACAGCTGCCATACTCCAGATGTAGCCGTCCTCCCGTGTGCCGCGGACTAAGACATGTCAATGGTACTGATATAGGGTTCAAGCAGAAACGCTGTATCTTGGGCCGAACGAGGGGTAGAAAGCAAAGAAAGAGAAATTCAGGCTGCATCATCCGTAAATCGAATACGAGCCTAAATCGATAATACGGTTCTGGACAATATCGTGTTATCGATGTTGGCGTAGAATGTATCCACGGTTGTCAGTTATTTAAGGTTCGGTAACGTCTTGTCAAGCCAACCCTCTCTTTCTCTCTTGGTGGAGAATTTCAATAACGACGAGACAGTTGTATCCATGCTCAATCTTTATTTGAGTCGTTGCCTCGAGCTGGGAACTCTCCATTTAGGAAAATATATATACTAATCACCAAAAGAGTAGAATTCCTGAGTGTTGAGCATCTCTACTAGTGGCCCCATCACCACGCACAGGTCGCTACCCCGCGTATCGCTTCGTATATTTCTGGATGATGTTCCAGACCCAAAGCTGTGTCGCTCGTCATAAGCTCATCATCACCACAGCACGACCTCAGGATTGTAGATCCTCAATTCTTGCAGCTGCATCAGCTCTCGCTTCGGAGATCAACTTATTCCAGAATCATCTCATTCTCTCCATAATCTAATTAACCCCCCTGCAATATGCCCGTCCCCGACTACGGAGTATGGCGAGCCCACCCGGTGCATTACAACATCGACCACGCATCACAAGACCCCAAAAGCCCCCATCTTTCTTTATATTTCACCGAAACACGAGACAAACACTCTGACAAATGCCACCACGAATACACCGGAAGCGGCAAGGAAATTCGCGGCCTCAACCGTGCCGCCATCAACATCAAGTCCGTCGACAAGGACTCGCGCATAGTCTACTGGTTCAACGAAGATCTCGATGAGAACCACCTCACTGACTTGCTAGCCGATCTGCCACGCGGATTCCACCCCCTTGGCGAGCAACAGACCCCGGATCTAGGCCTCGATTACATTCGAAACAACATAATCAATATCCCGAGTGGCAGGCTTCTAGTCCACGACACCGACACCCCAAAAAACGAGTTACTCGATCTCCTAGAACCGCGCATGCAGGCCGCAATCCGCGAACACGCTGACATCTACCTCTTCGGGTCACGATCCAACTCCAACTCCGGCTCCGAAATGCACAATATCCACATGAACCAAGGCAACATGCCGAAATACCAAGCTGACGACGGGATCTTCCAAGACGGAGGGCTAATCTTTCATTTCGCGCGCGCCAAGAAATGGATCGGCCTCTTCATCACCTTTACCTCCCAGTCTGCACATACAGATGAACAATCCGGGCACGCGATCGGCAGCACGACATGGGCGGATTTCTTTAACGAGGATATGAAGGAAGAGCATTTAGAGGGTTCGGTCGCCATTGAAGAAGTTTCTGTCAATTCACGGAAATATCAGCTGAAGAATTGTACCGAACATCCCCTGCAGCTTGCGTCGTGGAAAATTCATAATTCGCATGGGGAATTTGAAAAGTTGCCGTCGACGGCTAAGTTGGATGCGTTTGCATCGGAGGTGTTTGAGGCGCCGAAGTGCGTGCTCTCGGATCAGGGGGATAATATCACGCTTCTGAATGAGAAAGGGCTGAAGGTGGCGGGGGTGAGTTATAGTGCGCAGCGGGTGAAGGCGCATTCGTCGCCGTTGGTGTTTGCTCATTGATGGTGTCTCTGTGGTCGGGTGGCTTTGGTAGCATGATATTCAACAATGAAAGCTGGCGGTATCAGTATTCATAGGCATACCATCTCATCTACTCAGATAAAAACAATTAAATAAAAAGAATACATACAACAGAAGGGATTCGCTGGTGGTCACCCACCCAACTACTAACCTCCCGGCGTGTGGCTTAAGTACGGCTGAGCGGACGGGAAGCCCTGTTTTCCACACCCTGTGGTCGTATGTGCTCAAGGGATAATGAGAACAGGCTATAAAGAGCCCAGGTTGCGAGAAAAACCTCGGTATTGGACATTGGAACACATATAGAAACTTATTTGGCGTTATATCTACTGAAAGTCATGATGGAAACACTGGTTCTCACAATCCCAGTCCCATGCGTGGCTCGGGTAGGGCAAGTTGGAATCGCTCGATTCGCAGATATATATTACCATCACTCCGAAGAGATCTGAACTCCATCAAAAGGTGTATAGAGCTTCTAGTGAGTATATCAATCGCACAGCACATATCAATCGCCAAAGTCTGATATGGTACGGAGGCGTCAAAGATAGAAAACTATTGTCAAGGGAGAGCACAAGAAATTAGAAACCGAAAAAAAAAAAAAATTTAGATTCAGAATGGAAGGTAACTAGAAGCCTACCACTCTACGGAGTACCCTGTGCTTTAATAGCCTGCCATGTCCCATGCTCCAGCAGTGAAGATGCTGATCAAGTGAGTGGCTCCAGTACCCTGCCGCTAAGATTGCTCTTCTAGATTACTTGTATTTTAACTACCTTGGGTTGTATGTTGAGCGTAACTGGTGGTGCGAGGATGGGCGGTCTTTTCGTTGTACTGGGATAAAGCCTTGGGTTTTCTTTTCACTATCCTTGAGTATAGGACAAAAATAATAACACATTAACCAATAATAAGACGATATGGCCGAGCGGTCTAAGGCGATAGACTAGAAATCTATTCTCTTCGGAGGCGTCGGTTCAAATCCGACTGTCGTCGTTTTTTGTTTTTTTTGTGCACCTCCGGATGGAACAATACGCTAAAGGGATCAGTTAAAGAACAAAAAGAAATAATTTGGTCCAGTGGGATTGGTTCGATTATAGCCTTATAGGACACCTTTGTCTGCATCATCTCAGTTAACTGGAGGTTTGTTTGGCAGGACCAAACTAGAGATGGATCGAGATGGAATTCAAAAAAAGAGTGATTGGCAAAGGTAAGGATAAGCTATAATTTAGCATTCGGCATTCACAATACATTATTTCAAACCGAAATATAAGCACACAATCCCCCAACTGCCAGAATTCCATCACCTCCCTTCTCAAGAATCAAGACATCTCCAACTCCCCGGAAACGATGAATTCCCTCCCACATACGTATTGCGCAGTGGATACCTAAAGCAATCAGCATTCACAACCGACAATCCAAACAATAATTCAACACCAACCTGCAATGATCCCGTTGAAGCTCCACCCCCAACGCCGGAGTATCATTCACAAACTTTGTCCCCCGAATCGTATCCGGAGGAATATCCCTCTCCACCCAATCCACCAACGCAGCCAACACACTCCCTTCCCTCTCGAACGGAATCGCCATAGCGACCGGCCCACCACCCTGTCCGATACCCCATGCCCCGGGTCCTGAATTACAATGTCCCATGCCTGAGATGCGAAAGAAGCGGAAGAAGCCATCCAGCCGCGAAGAGGACATCTGCATGGATCTGGATAAATGGTTATAGAATCGCGCTGTGTTGAAGCTGGTGATCTTTCCGTCTTGTTGGCCGTGAAAGGTGATGATTTTCCCGCCTCGATTGCGGTAGGTGGATAGATCGTTGGGCCACGTTTTGATGTTTTGGGGGTTGAGAGCTTCTGCGATGGAGGCGTCGTGGAGAGTAAATGTTGCTGGGTCCCAGGAGGGAGTGTAGACTACGTATTGGAACCATTCCTGGGGCTGAGGGTGAGTGTGCATGATGGATGGTGATGAGGGGGTGGACAGACCTCGGAATAGCTGAATGGTTTCCCCGCGTAGAGCTGCGTTGCAGCTTCTATCTCGCTGCCTGGTTGCATGGCTGGGAAGATTAATTGTCCATCGATGCCATACAGTGGGCTAAGAACCCGTCGGATGGTATCAACTTGGCTGACATTCAGACAGTTGTTGATTCTGTCCCTAGTACACATGATTGACTCTGGACGGAAGTGACATAAAGAAGGGTCTTCAATGATGCCATCAGCAACACCATCAAGGCTGTCGCATTGGCGGAGTACTTCTGGGTGAACGAGTTTCTCCCAATCAGACAGATTGATGAAGCTCGATGAGCCAGGGGATCCTGTAATGGGGAAAAAGCTGGCGCGCCAAGAGACCAGATTGTTGAAGTCTAGTGCTGGAGATCCGGCGACAATGCCGTCAAAGTCATCTGGAAATGATACTGCAGAGTTGATGCCCTGTCGGCCGCCAAAGGAGCATCCAATGTAGTAGGATTTCGTCGCAGCTTTGCTGTAAAAGCTCTGTGTGAGATTTTTGCCCATAGCGACGCTGACATGGAGACTGAGTTAGAGTTAGTATTTGCGTAGCTTGAAGTTTGGTACACAAACTGACGCTCTCCAGGCGTAATCCGCAAGGATATCCTCATTCTCATAGAAGCTCACCGCAGTGGTACCGTTGTGGCCGTTGTTGGAACCAACAGTAGCGAATCCAGTTGCGATACCGTACGCAAGGTCCTCGTATTTGATACCTTCTCGTTAGGTTAGCGATCCCCACTTCAGCCCTAGTACGTAAGCATAGGGGAATATCGTATTTGGCATGGAGAACCTACATCCATCAATTCCCCCATTCCCGGTGCCTAGAAATCTCCCCGTCCAGGTTTGAGGCAGCCATACTTCCATCGTCATGCCTGATCGATTTGATGTCTCAACCGAGAGTGCGAGGCGGCACATATCCACTGGGATAATTTGGCTCGGTCGATTACATGACGCGTCATTATACGGGAATGTGAGGTTTGTTCCTGCGGGTATGTACTCGGCGAATCCGATGGCATTGTAGATGTCGAGCTGGGGGAGGAACGATTGGCAGCGTGTTCGGAAATTGAATTTAGGGAATGGCTCTAGCTGGGGAAAGATGGATCCCAAGAGGAGGTTTGCCCAAGATGAGGGTTTCATCCTCGGGATTTGCTGTCTGGGCCCGTGAGCCTGGATAGGTGGATGAACTTTGTTGTGGGTGGAATTATGCTAGCGATGTACGGGGCAAGGAGGTGTTGATGCCGCGTAGTCTCATCTAACTTTTCTGACCGCTTGCAGTGAGACTTGGCGGTGGCTGATCTGGCTAATTGATGCATGTTGGACCAATAACTGCGTCGGGATGCCTATGACCTGCAGGTCATGTGATAGGGTTCAAGGTAATATGCATGGGTTTCGCATTGGTCTTAAATGTGACATGATGTATCCTATGTGTTGGGAAGATGACAGGAGCGATCCTAGTCAGAGATAGGCTAGCAGATAGGTCTGGGATTTTAGTATTGATAGAGGCTTCAAAGGTTCTTGGACTATGTAATAAGAGGTGTCATCATTGCTACATGTATTGACGAAAGCAAATGGAACAGTAGGTATTGAATTGAATAGGAGTCGTATCATAATGGGTTCTTTCAGGGAGGCTAAAGAATGGCTCAGTAGTGAGGTAGGGTTGGTTCGATTGAAGTTCGTCAGCCACTCTTCCCCACCATCTCCCCCGTGCAGTACCCAAGACTGAAATTAGAATTACTAGAGAACCTAGCTTAAGCACTCACAAGAGATTGCTTGTGCCACTTCAGTCCCTATCCCTAGTAGAGTATGACCACCCCTCAAATGCACCAGTGGTCTCTTTCCGAGCACGCATAACAATCTTTGATGTTGACACAGTCTTCATTTTTCTTACACTCTTCATGCGCGCAGCTCGGATTGGGCTTGTGCTTGGGCTTACCACCTTTCCCACCTTTCCCACCTTTCCCACCTTTCCCACCTTTCTTACCACCACCACCACGGCCTCCCTTTCTTGCAGCAAGTAGATTATCACGCGAATGCCTCTGCAGAGCAGACTCCATCGACTGATCCAATACTACACAATGCGCATCGGATGGCACAGCCAACACTTGGGCCTTGTCGTTGATCAGGTAGTACCCGCCGTTCCGATCGTCCAGGCTGCCATCGGGGTGCAGAATCGCCATTTCGGCCAGTTGGTCATGGGTGTCTAGCACGGGAATGGTCTCGGGGACCGGCTCCAGGTAGCGGGTGGTAGCCCCATTGGCGGTGGTGAGGGCGACGGAGAGGGCAAGAAGGCAGGTGAAGCAGAGCATTTTGAGTTTATCGCCTGTAAGGTTGCTCTTTGTTATCGGAGAAGGCGGGCGAAGAGAGAAGGAATGCTGGTGGTAAGGAGTTTGATGGGATTCAAGGGCTGTTTATATGCTTGGTTGCCTTTTTGTGTGGCTGAGCATGCACCGAGGAAGTCTGTTGCCTTCCAGGTGTTGATAGAGAATCGCCATCTTTGTAGGAAGATCCCTACGGTAGCAGAGAGTTTAAAGCTCGTTTTGACCCTTGTAGTGAGGCAGTGCTTGTCTCATTTGTCAGTTGGATCTAATCATCATATCCTTCGTAGGTCTGAGCCCCGTTGCCTCTGCAGAGAGGATATGAATCACCCGAGGCGTGGAAGGGGAAATAAATGAGTGTGGGAAACACATTATCTGCCCGTCGAGTTTTGTAAAGAAGGGTTGTAAGAAAGGGCGCGGTTTCAAGTGACGACTATGATCACTTCCACAGCTAAACACGTGGTGCAAGAGGGAACAACGAAAGGCTAAAGAGAGACAGACATTGAGCTGCTTTGTCAATCGTGCCGGTGCTGATTGGTGCACTTTTTGGAGCCAAGTCCGAGTATCCATGGACCATCCCGCAAAAGTCCAAAGTTATGTATTTGTGTCTCTTAGAGACTTTCGGCCCCAGCGGGCACTTCCGCCGATCACCCCGCGGCAGTCGGAGAAAGAATCCTGATAAGGGAACCCTCGAGCGGTCGTCGGTCGTCAGCAAGAATGGCCGCTTTCTAGGTGGAAGGAGCCACGAAAGTGAAGAGGTCCAGACCAAGTTGAAACTTCCTTTGCACTGGAATTTCTTCTACTATTTATTGGTTGACAAAGGTGTACAGACGCGATTTTATCGATCAGTATATGAAGTTAAAGTGATCGAGACAACTGTACTACAGCAAGCTAGAGGGTACGTACACCTAGGAATAAGGTTATCTTCGAGCCAGTAGATCGTGGATCGGCTCTATCTACAGAACGCTAAACCAACCCTTTCTTTTTGAGTGAAGCGCGAACCACAGCCTCCAAATCTTCATCCGTGGGCAACTCAAGCACCTTCATCCACTTGTCGGTCTTGTTGCCAAACTGTCCGATCTGCCATGGCCCATATGCAGTAGCTGCGATGACCTTGAACATCGACTCTTGCTTACCCTCTTTCATTTCCTTCATGCCAGTGGCAGCCCGCTCTTCTGAACTGCAAGGATGAATCGTAAACTTCTGACCGGAGAGCCGCTCGATAATCGAGAGTAGTTGATTTTGCGACGCGGTGAAAGACTTCACATAGACGTATTCATTTTTGGTCTCTTCCAGATGGCGAAGCGTGGAGATGATGGAGCGCGATACTTGCTCCAGCGTGCAAAGATCCACCTTGGGTTCTCCCTTGTCATAGAGAGCCACTGCCCGGTGTGGAAGATCCCAGCCTAAGTCCTTGTTGTCGAGTTCGAGGTTCTACATTCACATTAGCCCCTTCTCTCGGCCGCTTATTTACCGAAAATTGAAAACGGAACCACGTACCCAATGCAACCAACTGCCCGTGCAAATGGCAGTCCAGCTCAAACCCTCCTTCTCTTTGGTCTCCAAATGCTCGACAATCCGTCGTTTGGCGGACTGGAAGATTCCGACATCGACGCGATCGGGATCCGACGAATCGCCGCCATACTCGCTGGGAATAAAGCGCTGCACCTTGGCTGCCACCGCGGCATCCACAGCCACCCGCTGCGCATCCACGTGGGCCGTGGTGATGGTGGACACCACGGCATCTTGGCCCTGGAAAGCCGCAGTAAGGGCCTGCAAGTCGTCGTAATCGACCCGGTGGACGGGAGTCTCAGGGGGAAATGTGGCTTTGGAGGAGGATCGGACCAAGGCTGAGACGGTGAAACCGGCTTTGGTCAGGGCTGCAAGAACCACTGAGCCGAGAGCACCGGATGCCTGTCAAGAGTGCACTTAGTTCCAGTCGTTCTATTTACATTGGCAGCGATAAGGGAAGCGGGCTCACCCCCAGGATAATCACGTTTTTGATCGCCATGGCCTATCCAGCGACGTGATTGTCTAACAGTTTAAAAGTCGGTTTTGCGACAGAGTATAATAATCGAATGCCAACTGTCGAATGACTGGAAATTGGACAATTACCGGACCTGGATCATGGCGGAAGACCGACAGGCACGACGGCTTATTTGACCTGGTCTGGTCTCATTGCTCACGCCGCTTGCGTCATGGCAAAGCCTTAACGCAATTGACGGCTGCGCCACCCTGTACGGCCACCCAAAACATGCTTTCGTGAACGGGGACATGTCAATGATACTGATGCGTTCGCATACTCGAAATGGCCCACGGAGATATATCAGATGCATTTTAGCCTACCTATCGCGGTGATCATGCTTGAATCCGTTCATCTATTGGTGGCCAAGGACTCGCGAGTCTAATGGAAACGGGGGGGCGGTGAATGACTACGGGACTGGGTCAAGTCGCATTGACTCAGAATGTGACCGACCTCCCTGCATGCCGCCGATGCGGATCAGCTTTGAGTGACACCAGCCAGCCACTCCCGAGTCGGCCATCTGGGATCTGCCCAGGCACGCAGCTGCTGCAAAGCATCTCACTTGTTGCTTCGGTGTAGCTCTGTGTCGCATGATCAACTGACCCTGGAACGCAGTGATGGTATCTACCATAACATGACGAATGACGGACTTTCTGTAGCATATATCGACCTAGGGCTTTGTTAGTACAGAGTTAGTCGTCTTCCAAACGGGGTCTCCCAATTGGTCGGGATTTTGTCCGCATTCAGATAATGCTTGATTGGCTGGTAGAGGCTCACCGCCCCTTCCGCGAACCCACTTCCCGCACCCCATCAAAATCCACGACGTCGGCGCCGGCGTTGTGCAACTGGTGTTAGGGAGCCTTTTGGCCTCGTTCATTCCCGGATCGACTCGACACGGGGAGTGCCTTGCATGCCCGCATGATGTAATACCTATTAAAGAAAGATAAGAGATCATCCTCGGTACCATGTACCTCTCTCTATAGCTTCCAATTACAGCACCCTTACACCTGTTCAGGCTGTGCTAATCCCTTACTCTTGCCATCCCTTCCGGGATTCTTGGCCTCGCAGTCATGAGTGAATCTGAAGTTGGAGATCATCGGGAGAGGGGGCAGCTTTGCACATCATTCTCGGTCAGATAATTCCTAGAGATGAGCAGTCATAGTAAACAACAACCTGGCCTATTTATGAGCCAAGGACCCCAGAAGACCGGAGCTAGCCTTCCCTGTTTCCTGCCCTATCCACTCCACTCAGCCCTTTCCTTCTCCAGGCCATTGTATCCTTCACAGCGCCTACCATGATTTCTCACACCTCCAAGATGACCGAGCTGGCAGCTCGGATTAGCGAAAACACCGCCAAAGTAGATGCCTACCTACGCAGTCGGGGCCTCCCCTTCCCCTCCTTCCACGAAGACGGGCCCGTGGACTTCGGTATCGACGACGAGGAGATCCAGCAAGCTCAAGAAGAGGCCATCTATTCCTCCTTGGAGCTTCAACGGCTCCTCCAAGGCCCGAAACAGTTCTACCGTCCCCTCGTGAGTGGACTCACTCCATAGTCTCCTCCTTGCCGGTTCGTCCGAAATGGAGTAGTATGAACCCACACGCCCACAGGGCCAACACTAACCCATCATATCACCAGCCAAACATCATCAGTCTCCAAGCGATTTCCAAATATGAAATTGCAACCAAAGTCCCCATCCACGGTCAGATCTCTTTTGCCGATCTCGCCCAACAATGTGGCCTCAGTGAAGTCAACGTCCGTCGATTTCTGCGCTACGCCATGTTCTTCCATAAAGTCTTTTGCGAGCCGCGTCAGGGTTACGTGGCACATACCGCTGCCTCGCGGTTCTTGGCGGAGAACAAAGTCATCCAAGACGTTTTGTCTCACTATGCAGAAGAAGCGGGTCCTTCTTATGCTTTGGTATGCTGACCGTCTGTCACCACATTAACCCGACTGACATCATCTTCCAGACACTCCGTGCCCTTGACGAATTCAACGGACAAGAAGAACCCAACCAGACTGTAAGTTAAGGACACCACAATCCATCATGCACACTATTAACGCTCTCCTCGACACAGGGATGGAACCTCTACCACCAAACCACCGATTCCCCATGGGAATACTACGACACACACCCCGAACAAGCCCGACGATTCTTCAGCACCATGGCCTACGAGACCGAACTGCAAGACCGATCCAACACCGTCCTCGTCAACAGCTACCCATGGTCCTCTCTCCGCCCCAATGGCACCCAAGCCACAGTCGTCGACCTCGGCGGATCACGAGGTGTAACAGCCACGGCCCTCGCACAGTCCGTTCCAAACCTAAAGGTGATCGTCCAGGATATCCCATCAATGATCAAGGGTGCCAAAGAAGGGATTCCATCAGAGGTCGGCAACCGGGTGGACTTTGTGGCGCATGACTTCTTCAAGACACAGCCCCTGCACGCGGACGCCTACATTATCCGCCACGTCTTTCACAATTGGTCCGATACGAACGTGATTCGCATTCTGCAAGCTCTGGTTCCGGCGTTGCATCGGGGTTCGAGGATTATTATTAATGATTATATTGCGCCCCCGCCGGGTGTGACGACGCCTTTGAAGGAGCAGCGGCTGCGGTAGGTTTAGCCTTTTTTTTTTACCACGATCAGATTGTTGAATCATTGGCTTCGCACTGGCACGCATACTGATTAATGGCTACAGGGAAATGGACATGACCATGTTGACCCTCTGCAACGCCTACGAACGAGAGAGCCAAGATTGGAAGAATGTCATCGAGCGGGCCGACTCGCGCTTTCAGATCGCACAGATGTTGGTACCGAATGATAGTGAGGGTATCATTGAGATTGTGTGGGAGGGTTGAACAGGATATCTTGGCGCTATCACTCAAACTTCAAGACTTTCTTGTGAGATGAGTGATTTATATGATAGATGATAGACGATAGACGATGGCGCATGATTCCCATGTGCTGTCATGACAAGCACTTATGACAATGATGGACATGGAATATAATCTATGTGCAAGCGAGTGTGTACTTGCAGAACCCTAATCTTGGAGAATATATCCGGAATATGCGGCTCACCTCTTGAATTCTATGACTTCTGTCTGATCACTGTATGTCTACGAAGGTCAGCAATGATCTCCCGCGTACTTCGAACCAAATATTTGACCATTTCCTGGATATCGGACATCGTACTACTCTACTCCCCCACCCCACATATAATCCAGCATCAGGCCCACAAGCAGCTAAAAACCGGTTTCATTGTGATGAATTCCCCATCCACATCACACCATTCACCACCAATAACACCCATCCCGACACACCGCGAATCATCTATCCCGCATTGAGATGAACTTATCCTCCCTCATCGCTGACTCTGAATCCATTTCAAGCCTTGCCAAGAATGGTTGGAAGAAGAAATTACACCTGGAAGGGAGCAATAGTAGTGGTTGGTACACTGACAGGAACTGGCATGAAGGGGAGCCGAAACCGGTAAACCCACAGCGATGGAATTTAATTCCGCGGTGGAGATGGATATTACGAGACCTCATGCCACGGTGAAGGGGTCACGGAGTAGTGCGAGTTAAGATATAGTAAGAAAAATAGGAAAGGGGTGCGGGTTCGAATGTATGTGGGAAATATGGGGGTTTGATGACTGGGCTCGTGTGAAATTTCCTGGAGGTACTGCGCGATAGCGTAGCCAATGCCTGAGGCGGTGCCAGTAACAAAGACTTTACCTTGCATGGGGGGCATGTTTGCTTGGTGGAAGGATGTGGTTTTGGATGATGAGTTTCTTATGGTCTTGTCGTTGGCGTTGATTGTAGGGCTGGACGGTCATGACATGGGACGCACGCAAACTCCGTCTCTTAACTCCGTTATTTCCGACATGTGAAACATTCGTATAGAAATTCGTCGCGCTGCTTACAGTCTGGAAATTGGTCAGAAGTGTCCCCAAGGTCCTTGTTGGTGGGGATGGGTTCATGACAGTACCTGGTCTGGTTGGATGCCACTATATCCGACGGTATGGACGGAGTACTTGTAATGTTTTTCTCACTTCAAACTTTTTCATATATTGGAAGAGCATGATAGCTATACATCTATTATGACGATGTAGCAGACCGAGTATCCGCAGACCGAGTATCCGCAATATTATACACAAGTTTCTCCCCACTAACCTTCCCCTCTTTCAAGAGCTGAAGACCGCCCAAAATACCATCCAACCCCCCATCGCCAACCCTAGGAGGATGGACCTTCATTTTCCCAGCCGCCAACAAGTCCTCGAAGATCGTACAGAACCGTTCCGAAAACGCCCTATCATCCGGCCGAGCAGGGATATCCCTCGGTCCGAACTTGAACGGTTCTCCGAACGCCGTGTAGGCCATGGTAGCGCGGTCTCTGACATTATCGCGCTCAATGCTGATGGGCAAGAGGGAGCTATAATTGCCTCCCTGCGAGGAAAGAGCACGGTCACAGTAGTCCGCACTGCTTTTCAGTGAGATGGTGTCGAATGCTAGGGTTAGAGAATCGCCCGTCTGCTGCCGGATCGCCTCGGCAGTGCTTGGGTCATTGTAGTCGAAGACCTTGTCAGCGCCGATGCTTGTTACTTGCTCGAAGTTACGAGGCGAACAGGTAGTCAAGACCTCATAGCCGGATAACTTGGCAAATTGGATTGCCAATGTTCCGGTTGCCGTGGAGCCACCATAGATCAAGATCGGGAGTGACTGTTGGAGAGGTTCGGTAGGGAGGGCAAGTCGGAGACTTTGATAAAGTCCTTGAGCGGCTGTAGTGACTCCCAGACCGAGGGTGGCCGCCTCTTCGAAGCTCATCTTATCGGGGATCCTGTACTGAAGATCCCCCTTGACGACGATAAACTCCGCAAAGGTTCCATCCTCAGGCTGGACGGCGTTAGATCCGTGCGCGAAGCCGCAAATGCGGTCTCCCTTTTGGAAGGGCTTTTTGACATTCTTGCCGACTTCCTGTACCACTCCGGCGTAGTCGCAGCCAACGAGAACCCCAGGCGGAGCCAGATAATCGATGTGTTTCCAGTCGGTAGGATTCAATGCGACGCTGACGGTTTTGACGAGAATGCCGTCATCGCGTAGCTTCGGGATGGGTCTGTCGGAAACTAACGCCGCATGTGTGGGGGATGTAACGATGATGGCTTTTTGAGATGTCATGGTAATTGAGTGCCTCGGCAGAGAGGAAAGGAACAGGGGAAATGAGGGCGTATGGGTCAATTGGACCCTGAGAGGGGTAGTTATAAAGTAAGCCACTCGCATTAGCGTGAAAACCTTGCCACGGAATCCGAACATCTAAAGTCCGATGCTCCGAGGACCCTTGAACTCTTGAATCCCTTCGTGCCCTGTAATTAGTGGACCCTGTTGGCGCCAAGATCGATTGAGTCTGTTTGCTGCGCCTTCATCAGCTTACGTTGAGCAAGTAGATAGGGGGTTCTGATTCTCAGTCAGAGAGGGGATGGGTGGGCATAGAACAATCAGTCCATCTTTGACACGGTTACCTTCAAATTTGCGATGCAATGCAACAGTTCACAGGGCAGAATGGTGCCATATCTGGACCTAGCATCATGTTAGCGAACTGGTTTGGTTTCAGCCCTGCATGACCCACCAGTCATCCGGCTTTACTTCGGTCTTATGTCCGGTTCTATGACAGCATCCGGTATACACATGTCTGAGATGGTATATCAAGGACACGACCAGCTACGATCACAACCATCTACCACAAGCGTCAAGCGTTCCATTCTACCCATTCTTCTCTCTCTGCTGCCCATCATCAACTCCATCAAGATGAGCGCCCCGCAGTCCCCTCTGTTCCGGCATCGCCAGCTCGCCCCCGCCGCTTCCGTCCGCGTATCCCCGTTATGTCTTGGCACCATGACCTTCGGCGGCGCCCAGCAAGACCGTTACGGAGACTGTTCCCGGGAGGACGCCTTCGCAATGCTCGACCACTTCGTCAGTCAAGGCGGCAACTTCATCGACACCGCGAGCGGCTACCAGGCTGGGCAATCCGAAATCCTGCTGGGCGAATGGATCGCCGCACGCGACAACCGCGATGAGATTGTTCTCGCCACCAAATACACCACTCCCTATATGCTCCACCACAAGGACAAGATCCAGTCCAACTACGGTGGAACCGGGGCCAAGTCGATGAAGGTCAGCGTGGAGCACTCCTTACGCAAGCTCCAGACCACCTACATTGACTTGCTGTATGTCCACTGGTGGGACTACACGACCTCGATTCCGGAATTGATGCATGCGCTGGACGATCTCGTCAAATCAGGCAAGGTCGTGTATCTGGGCATCTCGGATACCCCGGCGTGGGTGGTCTCTAAGGCGAATCAGTATGCTCGGGATCATGGACTGCGACAGTTCTCGGTGTACCAGGGGCAGTGGAATGCCGCGATGCGGGATTTCGAGCGCGAGATTATCCCCATGTGTCGGGATGAGGGCATGGCTCTTTGTCCGTATGGTGTGCTCAATCAGGGTCGGTTCCAGACCGAGGCTGTCTTCAAGGAGCGGGAAACGAACAATCCGGGTCGGAAGTTCATTCCCACGTCGGAACATGATAAGAAAGTGTCGCGGGCGCTGGAAGCTATTGCCAAGGAGAAGGGGGTCGACTTGCTTCATGTGGCTCTCGCGTATGTGAGATACAAGGCGCCGTATGTGTTTCCGATTGTGGGTGGACGCACGGTGGAGCATCTCAAGGGTAGTATTGAGGGGTTGAAGGTGGTGTTGACGGATGCCGAGGTGGCCCAGGTGGAAGAGGCCTACAGTTTCGATTATGGCTTTCCGAATGTCTTCCTGAGCGGGTCGATGTTCGACGGTGGCATTTCGAGAATGGCCAACGGTCCGGGTGATGTGTGGTTGACCAAGAATATGGGGACGTTTGACTGGGTCGCCGCGCCATCGCCGATCAAGCCAGCTGAGAATTGAAATTAGCCTTGTTGCTGTCCACAGAGGATGATTTAGCATTGTGATATAGATCAAAGCAATATATTTGTTATCCGAGCTGTTTGAAACGAGCGTCATGAATTAACACCATCGTGATCTCAATAGATTTCATCCTCGAATTTTTTGATTTTCCTGTAAGTTTCAATATTAAGCGCTCTTAGCCGTCTTTCTCATCTTCCAGACCAATTTATACCTCTATCGACCATCCCGTCGCCCGGTCTTTTTACCATAAGCAGGATTCTCTGCCCTAACAAACCCCTCCTCGTTCTCATAGATCCCTGCCCATTCCACAGCATCATTCAGTGTCCGAAACAAATATTGTAAAGATGGATATCATTCATTCCAACTCACTGTCTCGTACATACGACCACAGGGTGTGGAGAACAGGGCTTCCCGTCCGCTCAGCCGTACTTAAGCCACACGCTGGGAGGTTAGTAGTTAAGTAGGTAACCACTAGTAAATCTCTTCTATTATATATCGGTATTCACCCCCTTCTTCTTTTTATTTCAGATAGGGTCTTCTTACTGCCTTGTCTTTACTTCCTTCACCTAAAGTCTAGCTTCTCCTAAACTTATCCTATCTATTTTGTACCTACTACCCCGCCTAAGAATGGAAAGCTGACGTATTTATTAAAAAGATATCTGAGATAAGACCGTAATATAAATTTTTTTAGTCTACTATTTTTATCTACTATCTATATATTTTCATGAATTAAATATCCACTGATTGTCCATATAATTACTATTAGAGTTATTTTCTATATAGTTATTATGCTCTATAACTTACCCTCCGCGATCTTTATCCCGCGGGAGGTGTTATATAGATCTGATACTAGACTAAAAAAAGATCTACTTATATATTTTAGCTTTAAGATTATAAATACTGGTTCATCGGGTTTAAATTTTAATGAATAATCTTATTAAACTATTTAAAATTAAAAATATAAAAAGAACTTGAGTTAATATGTACAAGTAGAGAATAGAACAACTATTTTTAATGATATTAAAAAATACTTTGTTCCTGGCAATGTATATAAGCTATCTATCTAGTTAACTATTATTATTTAAGTGAGTATTGTGTTATAATACTGCTACCACTAATACTATTTTACAGTTTTTAAAAGAATAGTCTTTTTTTAAGAACAACCAAAGGCTTCTAATCTGTTAGATAATAGAGATAAATCTCTCATCTATTATTTTAAAAATGGGAGACTGATGCGCAGCTAATTATTTAATAAAAGAATAATTAGAAGTTTAATTCTAGATTAATATCTCTAGATATACCTTGTACGTTCCTTTCTCAGATATCTTGTATCTATGGAAATCTTCTATAAAAATTAATCTAGAATTTTAGCTTAAGATTTTTAAGGTAGTATCTCTGTATATTGAGCTGTCTATCTTACTATAATTATAAAAAGCCGCTTCTATAGGATTTTAAATAGTCTAGTAGTTGTAATATCCTAGTCCTAGATATCTAGAACTAATTTTTTAGTAAAAAAACTTCTATGAGACCTAATAAACCCTCATTTTAAGATCTGAGAGAGATAATTATTTAGAAGATACTTCTATTAAAGAATTTGATAGGTTGTAAAGCTTGTCAAGGCAGAACATCAGTATAATAATAAATAATAAATTATAATAAATATAGAAAAGTCTAACTTAAAAATCTAAGCTATGGATTATAAAAAGAATCTAGATGCCTATTAATTACTAATTTTTTCTTTTTTTCTTTTTTTTTCTTTTAACTTTTATATGTTCTTCTATTCAAGATAATAATAAATATAGTATAGGATTCTAATTATCCGAGGCGTATAGCTATAGACCAGTCTAACTCTATTAAAAAAATAAATCTATATATTAATAGTAATAGATTGTTAAATATATTTTTAAAGAACTTTTTATTCCAGCTAGGGGATAGTTGTAGTAAGAAAGTAATTAATCTAGAAGATTAATCTAATAAGTTTATAGATTATTCTATTGAGATCTATAAGAGTAAGAAAGAAGATAAAAATCATAGCTATAGTAATATTATTTAAAAAATTAATAAAGATAATATAGTAAAATATATTTTAATCTTAGTTATACTAACAATCTTATAGAATATCTAATTGAGTTTAATAATGATGAGAAGAATAGTTATAAGAATAAAATTAATTTAAAATTAGTTTTTATTTATATCTGGTATAGCCAAGATAACTAGATAATAAATAATAAAATAATTAATTTTTTTAAAATTTAATAACTAATTCTAATTTAAAAACTAGCAAGTAAATTTATTCATATGTAAGATCTATTATATTAATTTTATTAATATAGTTTTTTCCTACTGCTATCTTTTTTATTATAAATATTTTAGTAAGTATTATTATAACTATTTCTAGACAAAATATTACCAGATTAGTAAAGATTTATAGGAAAAGGGAAACTGGATTATACATTATCTATATTATTAAACTAAGATTGATAGATATTTTATTAAATCATTATATTAAAATAGAAATTAGTATTACTATATTTTTTTTAAATATACTGATTCTAAGAATAGACCCATATGCTTTATTACCTATTATATATTCTGAGAAATATAGATTAACTATATATAAATTTACGTGCGGGAGGCTTTAACTAGTTAATTAATTAATTAAAAAAACTAGTTCGGTAAACTAGTTACTATAGAAATCTAATATACTAGAGATTTTTTTTTTTTTTTAAAATATAGATTCTATTATTTTATATAAGTTTACTTAGAATATTAATATAACCTATAGATTATTTATTTTATATATAGCATCTATTAGTTTTTTCTAGTTATTTACTATCTACTCTATACCATAGTAATTGATACTATTTTATTTATATACTACGTGAGACCTTATTTTAAAGTTAGAAAGTTATTTCCTTATTAACTATAATATATCTATATATTATATAAGTAATCTTAAATAGTATTCTAGATATATTATATCCCCCCATAGATATATAGTTATAATTAATATTTATATCTAATTATTGTTTAAATTACTGGATTAGTATGGTAGTATTAAAAAAATATTAATTATTATTTTTTTTATTAGTAAAACATAGTATTCAGGCAATTATTATCTAGTTAATAATCTTACTTAAAATTAATTATTACTTACTTATTATCATACTATAAATCTTTTAAATATATTAAAGTATATCAAAATGGCATGTGGCTTCTAAAGGGAGCTATAAGTAGAAAGCTCCAGAATAGATAAATATTTCTAGAATAATAATTAATAAAATTTTTAAATAGAAAATAAGAGACTGGAATATTATATTTTAATAAATAAATTTTTTATAATTATTCTAATTATAGCTAATAATATAGGAACAGATAAATACAACACGAAAAGTATAAATAATAATAAAAATAATCTATTCTAATATCCGCTGCTTTATAATACCTTAATTTTCATTTATATAGAATGTAATTAATAGATATATTATTAATATCTAATACTATATTCCTTCTATATATTAAAAGGATTAGACCGGTAGCTGCCACGTAATTTTTTTATATAATATTAATCTTTAATAATAAAAGATTCAAGCAAAGTAGAGACTAGAATTATACTAATTTATATTACTACTATAATTTATTCTAGATATTAAAAAATCATTAGGCAAAGACTCTATATATTATAAGTATATAAAATATATAGATTAAAAATAATGGTAAGGATATTTTAGAGAATATTACAAGTGTAGAAAATAGACTAATAAAAAAATATAAAAAATTTAAAGTATTTACTCTGATTATTCCTAGCATTAGAAAAAAAAGAGTACTTCTATATATTAGAATATAATATAAGTTCCCTACTATAAATATTAGAATAAAAAATAATTTTTCTTAATTACTAGAAAGAATTATTTTAAAAATAGATATTCTAGTAACTTTACTGGCTATTAGTTATATACTATATATAGATTATAATTTAATACTAGAATATATAAGTAATAGCTAGATACTTAACTTATTACTAATATTATTAGTTAGATAGTGGCTCTAGCTGCTGTATAATAAGTAAGAAAAATATAAATATATAAGAAAAGTATGCTTCTGTGAATACTTCTTTCTAGAAAGGAAGTATTCAATCTTAAATATAGTAGTGGCTTTGGGTAGATTTTAATATCTAATATTAAAATTAATCTAAAGTATAGAAGAAATATAGTATTATTATTAATAACTTATCTGGTAATTACCACGTAGGGGAAAAGAATGGAAAAAAATCTTAATTTCTTAATATAAGAATCCAATCTTATAATACTCTATTATAAAATTTAATTTGAAATAATCTAGACCATATTACAATAACAAAACAGGAATAAAAGCTTTAATAGTTATCTAATAGTTAATATACCCATTGGTTGGTTAAATTAATTAAATTAGCTGGTTAATTTAGAAAAATTTTAGTTATAAATCTTTATATATTTTTTTTTTACTATTTCATGGATTATATCTAACTCCTCTTTAATAAATATCCCTTCCCTAATTGAGTTAGTTAAAAAATCTAATTTTTTAATAATCTAACCAGCTCTATCAACTACAGATATTATAGACTATTTAATTATCTAGAAATTACTCCAGGAAAAATAGTCAAGAAATAGATTATAAAAAAAAAATAATTATAAAGTTATTAGGTCTTCTTTCCATATTAATGAAGATTATAGGCTAAGTTATTATTAATTAGATATATATATAATATATATATATTTCTGACTGTGTTTTTATATTTTACTAACCATTTTCTAATACTATCCTAAAGTGAAATAATGCTAGGAAAATAACCTATAATTATTTAAAGAGAGCTGAGAAAAGTAATAGAAAGTTTTCCTCACTTTTTATTTTATTATATAATTATATTTTTTTTATATTATTATTCTTACTCTTAGAACAAGGCCACAGAAAGTAAGTAAGAATACTATAGTTAATACTTCTTATATAGTAGTGTATTACATCATTCGCATAGTATATAAAATTAAAA